AGACCAGCCAAACCCAAACCAAACCAAACACACACCAAACCCAGGCACAAATCAAACCCAAACCAAACCCAAAAGAGTCCCAGGCTGCTGCTTTCAAGTTACAAAGTCGCCAGAAGCTGCGTAGGGTTTCCCTTGCTCCTTGTCTTTGTTTGATCCGAGCCCCCCCCCCCAACCAGACCCAAACCAAACCCAAACCACAGAGCGACGCGGTGGCGGGGTGCATAGTATCCCCAGAGGCTTGCGCGCTTGTGGCCTGTGCTCTCACTGTGTTGGGTGGCGAAACACGTCCAAAACCTCCAAGGTGGCGAAGGTTTTCCGGGTGCCGTTATCGGTTTCGCCTGGGTCGCTGATCCATCGGATTTGGCTTTTGGACACTCCGGGAGCAAACCCGCCAAAGAGCGAGACACACGGCGAGGCCTTACAGATGGGGAATGGCCACAACACAAAACACAAACGCGGGAAAAAGGCCAAAAAGGCGAAGGCAAATCGCAAAAAGCTTCCGGCCGTTTTGCAAGTCTCTTAGCGGTTTCGGCTTGCCTGAGTTCTGTCCCTTAACAGTTTCGAACTTCATGCGGTTATCGGTTTCGAGTGGGTCCTCGCGAAACTCTTAGGCGAAACCGTTAAGGGACAGCGCTGCTTCGGTTCCCTTGTGGATTTCTCTGCCCCCTTTTTCCCCCATTTGCCTCCCCCGGTCTTGCTCAAGGCGTGGCCGCGTTTTGCTCTTGAGAGAGCCGCCCGCTTTGTTATCGGTTTCGCGCGCTGCCCTCTCTTCTTCTCTGTGCTTTTCTGGCATCTGCTTATCGGTTTCGCGTCGGTTGCTTTCCCTCGTTTGTTTCTCGCGTCTCTCTCTATATAATGCCACGGGTCGGCCACCTCTGCGCCGCGGTCCTGTTGTGGTGTCTTGGGGGACACTTGCGCGCCATCGGAGTCCCCCCCGCGAAGCTCTCAAGCGAAACCGCTAAGGGACAGCGCTGCTCCGGTTCCCTTTTGGATTTCTTTGCCCCCTCTTGTCTTCATTTGCTTCCCCCGATCCTGCCCAAGGCGTGGCCGCGGTTTGCTCTTGTGCCGTCCGTTTTGTCATCGGTTTCGCGTGTTGCCTTCTCTTCTTTTCGGTGCTTTTCTGGCGTCTGGTTATCGGTTTCGCTACGGCTGGGCAGCGGTCCCGGGACACAGAGCGGGCACCTCTGGCCGCCTCGGTCCTGCGGGTGGCTCACTACACCGCGAAGGCCTTGGGCAGGGGTGGCGTGGGCGCTGCGTGCTTTGGCAGCCTCGCACTGGAAAGGACTTCGGCAGGGTCTTTATCGGCGGCCAGTGGGGGAAGAGTCTCGGACGAAGCCAAACGAAAAAAAACCGCCGGCAGTCGTCCCTAAAGTTTGCCACTTCTCAAATAGACTGAGTAGCCCCCACACATTTTCGCACTGGTGCGGCCTATCCCTTTCATTTGTTTGCGAAGTAGGTTTTTGAAGTTGAAAACTTTCCAAAAAAAGCGCAAAACGTGCGAAAATTTTCAGAAAAAATCACAAAAAGGCCAAAAAGTATTGCGCTGTGACTGTTAGGGGAAACAGATGGGGCTACCTGCTGCGCTTCTGGTTAGTGCTGGAGCTCTTTGGCAAAAAGATGAAAAACCTGCGCCAAATTTTTTAAAATGTGCACTCTGCCACAAGCAGGAAAAGGCAGACCTTGGATGCCAATAGGCTGTGCCGACGGTACACGGTGGGCATGTGCGTCCCTGTTGGTCGAAGGTCCGGCAATATTCAGAATTTTTTGAGAAGATGGGTCAACTTTTCCAGAGCGAGAGAGGCCACCAAAATGGTCTGTCGTTGCAGTGACACTAAGCCAGGCGAGGCTCGAGGCTTCGCCCACAAGTCCCAAGCGCTCGGGCGTTTCCCCAGCTCTAGGACCATGCGAACACCTAGACAACCCCAAAAGCCTAAACCCTAAGACCAGACAGACAGAGAGCCAACAGGAAAAGCCTAGACCCAAAAACCGCAGGGACAGAAAGCCAATCGAAAAGCCTCCAGCCCAAAAACTACCCGGATAGGGCCCCAATCTAAAAGCCCTAAACCCTAACAAAAACAGGAAGCAGACTCGAAAGCCTTAAACCCTAGGAACACACGAACAGCGAACCGACGAAAGGGAAACCCTTAGCCCTTGGGCCTCATGGGCAGAGACCCCACCCAAAGGCCGCAAGCCCCAAGTCGCGCAAACAGAAAACCTATCCAAAAGCCATCGACCCAAAGCCGGACGAACAGAAAGCCCACCCAAAAACCGCAGGCCCCAGGCCGCGCGAACAGAAAACCCACCCAAAAGCCGAAAGCGCCAAGCCGCGCGAGCAGAAAGCCTACCCAAAAAGCGCAAACCCCAAGCCGCGCGGCGGAAAACTTGCGCGGGCTGCGCTCGTGAGTAAAATGGTCGCAGTCCAAAGGACTCGGACGTGGTGAGCGTTAACCACTCAGCTATCTGACGGACCTCCCCAAACGCCCAACACATGGCAGGCAATTCCCCTAGGCTTACTGCTTAGGGTGGGACCGATGCCCCAAGGGAGAGACCACGGGGAGGGGCGTGCGGTGTGAGGCGGGGGGGCGCTGCCTGGCGGTCCCCCCTTCCCCCGCCCCGCGTGCGGCCTTCTGAGTTTGGTAGCGTCTCCCAGGGGGCCCCGCTTCCGTTTTTCGTGTCGTGTTTCTGTTTTGTTCCTTGGTTGGCTTCTTGTCTTGGCTCTCCCAGGTTGGTGGCTTTGCCGGATTGTTAAAGTGGTTCGCTGAGTTATCGACCGAGATGCATCTGATTAAAATGCCAAATTTGAAAAGTTTTCGATATGTGGGGTTTTTTCCTTGAACAATACTGCGGGGAAAGTCAAAGAAAGTTCGAGAGGCTTAAGGGAGTGGCTTCCCCCTAAAACCATGACGCGGGAGCATTTACTAATGCCCATCGGCACCCTAGAAGGCACCGCGGCCCCCGCATGGACAGAGTCGCCCCCCCCTAGTGGCCTACTGGGAAACGATAGGGGGTGCGTTTCCTGTGCGGAATCTGCTCGCGATGGACTAGGGAGCCCACTAGGCTCCCGCTCCCTCCGCTCCCGCCAAGGTAGGCAGCAAACTGCCCGGGACCTCGCAGAAGGTCCGCGAGGTTCCGCGGCTTCGGTTGCGGGCCTCGCACTCCAAAACCGGCAGCCGGTCCGCGATGGGTCGACGACTTACGCGGACCGCCGTCCGCCTGCCGTCTCATCCGCTATCCGGCACATTTGGCGACCTCCCTAGGAGAACTCGCAGCAAAGTGGAGCCCCTGGGGCAAGGGGCCACTAGTCCGCACCCCCCGGGCTTGGCTTCGGGCTTCATGCTCCAAACCGGGCAGCCGGTCCGCGATCTTCGTACTAGCTGCGCTGCAACGACCAAAAAGGCCGCGGCCTGCTGCGACTTCCACCGCGAAAGCCGCTGCAGGTCCAAAAGCTTCGCCACCCCGTGCGGGCCTACACTCCTCCCGGCCGAAAGGCCGCGACCTGCGGCCCCGCGGGCCGCTCGCGAGGGTCGTGGCGCCCCTCCCCGCGGCCCCCTTGGCGGCCTACGGGAGGACTGCCGGGAGCCTGTTTCCCTTGGTGGAACCCACTGGCGACGGACCCCGCGAACCCCACGCGGCTCCCCAGCTTTCCGCGCCTGAAATTGCATCGGAATCAGGGAGCCCGAAAGGACCACACCGAGGACCCACTAGCAACCTTCAAAGGCGCCGGGAGCTGGAGCGAAGGACCGCAGGCCCGCGCGCGCGGTCCCGGCTTCTAGGCCTCGCACCCCAAGCCGGGGAGCGGGTCCGCTAAAGATTGAGGCCCTGCGGCTTGGCTTCTTTTGGCTTCCACTCCACAAAAATTTAAAAAACTTTCTCTCATTCACGCGGGTAGCCGTCTCTCAAAGAAAACCAGCCCAGGATCCGGACCGTGGGAAACGGGCCCAAGCTTGCACGCGGGCGCCCTGCTTGCGGCCTCACGCTCCAAGCCCGGCAGGTGGTCCGTAACGGGCCGAGGGCCTGCGGCCTGGCTGCTTGCGGCTCCCGCGAAAAAGGGGCGCCGCCCTTTGCAGACGGTGGGGCGTATTTCAAAGAAGAATAGCGAAGGGACCGGATCGGGAGAAAAGGATCGGGGGCCCAGACACAGTGGCCCTGCCTTTGGCCTGCTTCGTGCTCCAGGCCTCGCAGCCGCCTGGCGCGGGCTCTTGCGTCCCTCATACGCCCGTCGCCTGGTTGTGTTCCCGTGCGTCCCGTTTTATTTTCCCGCGGATGCCTGCCGGCTTTTCCCTTCGCCGCTCTTGCGCCAGCGGCAAAAAGGGCCTCGGGCACTGGTCGCCACTCTCACAGGCGGCCGCCTCCTTCCCTTTATACGCCGGTCGCAGCAGTGCTGCAGTGCCGCCTCTTCGCTTTCGTTTCTTTGAGATAGGGCACACCGCGTCAAAAAAGCCGGGTCTTCTTGCAGGGTGAGGGAGACAAAGCCCAGCCCCGGGCAATAGCAGTCCGTTGCTGTCCCCGTGGGCCTCTATAGCGGGCGAAGTAGTCCCTACGGATGGAGCCCCTCCGCTTATCGTGCACGCACTTCGCCCCGGCCCTCTCGCTGGGTCCCGCGCAGCGCAACGGCGCTTGTCTTCTGGATGGTAGCGCGCACTGCGACTCGCCCTCCAAAGGCGCGTATGTGCCTATATTATAATGCTAACCACCACTGTCTTCACAAAAGGCGCGCTTGCTTTTGGTCACTATCGAAAGAGACCATGCAAAATCTTTAGAGTCTCGGTTTTTCACGAAGTCGGTTTATAGGGCAATGAAAGCCTATCAGTGCGGCTACGTATGTTTGCTAAAGCCAGAGAGCGTTTTTGAGCAGTACGAGACGGACGAGATAACTTCCAGCATCGCGGGTGTTGTAGATTCTGTTCGAATACTCAAAGTGAGCGAGTGCCCAACACAATAACCGAGTGTCTGAGATTATTCCCCAGCATGCTTGGTTATTTTAGTTTTTCGTATTCTCTTCGCGAAGCTCTCATTTATTGCTATCCTTCACGACCATCCAAGAACGCAGATAGAGTGAGAGCGAGGGAGCGTGGGTTTTACCTGTGAGAAAGGTCCAGTGTGCTTCAGGTCCGATAAATGCAAAAAATGTGCGGTAGGCCAGGCGAACGCCAAATCATCTATAACCCTCACTTCTTCAACGCTTCAATTTTTTTTTTGACCTTGCATTCTAAAGTAAACTACTCGTCTCCCTACCTACGCTGTAATAAGTCTCTCGAAGTATTCTATTCATGATGTTGTAAATTATAATTGAGAAGAGGGCCTATTTTTTTTTACCCTGAGTCAACATGATAAGAAGGCCTATTCTTTTTTACCCTGAATCAACATTGCGATTGTTCCTATAAGAATGTTGTCTTCCTCCGTTCTCGTCTCTGAGGTGGAACCTCTCCTCGAGCATGACTCTCTGCGAGAAGGAAAACACTCATCTCCGGAAGTTGCCGCACCCAATGTCCAGCAGCGCATCCTGGATTTTGTTCGAACTAAGATCACGGAGGAAATATTGCATCCGTCGGAGCTCTACAGTCGCGAAAAAGAAGCTAAGATTTTGGATACATCGAAGCGATCGTCTCGTTTCATGCGCTTTACGGATCCGGCAATACTGGATCTCGTGGGAGCCTACGTGGAACAGGTGAACGCGAGAAACGTACTACGAGGAGGACAAGGTGTGAGCCTCAGCTCAAGTCCTTCCTCTACAGCCTCCGCGAGAAAAAGTACTATGAAGTACATTTTTACGCGGAAGGATGTCACCTACATTCGCTACGATAAAGGTGACTTTTTTACGCCGCACGAAGACTATCTGTCCTTGACGACCAACTTTGTGGAAGAGTGGACAGGTTTGATGTGTGTTGGGGCAAGCGACGACTTGCTCGGTGGGGAAACCGTTTTTCATCTCCACGATGGGCATCATCCGCAGAGCGATGAAGACAATGAAGGAGAGCAGGCGAGGGGGAAGCTGGTCTCGCGCGCCACGGTTTCTCCGAAAAGTGCAGTTTTTTTTCGAAAAGACCTGACGCACGAAGGAGCGGCTGTCGAGAGAGGTGTAAAGGAAGTAATCATGTTTGATTTGTGGGCGGTGCCTAGTGGGAGTGACAGGCATGGTGCTCCTTGGAGTAGCAATATTACGGGACAAGATTCAGCAAAGGTGTATCCCGATCCCCGTAGAGTAGGCGAAGGCGCAGCGACGGCACCAAAAGAACACCTCGTCGCCACATCGAAGGAGCACGCCCTCGCGTCCTCTCGTCGTGCTGTAGCGAAAGTGGACGTGATTGCTTTGTCATTGTTGAGGGCACGGCGGAAGCCACACAACCTGGCATCACCTACGACGGGAAAAAAAGCAGACGACCCAAGCTGCCTCACTGCAGCTGCAGATGTCGAAATTCTTTCTGATAGTGGTAACCACGCAGTAGTGCACGAGCACCACGGCGACCACCTTACCCTAGTCCCGTACGCTAGTGTGATGAGTATGAGCAGAACTTTGCGCATCATAGTGGAGAAATGTTTGGAGGGATCTTCGGACGCAGAGATTTCGGCCGCTGCCGGTGTAACTGTTATTACAGGTCGAGAAGAAACTTCTTCAAAGCCAAATACTGGGGATACAAAACGGCTTCACCAGGATGGCACGTTTGGGCGGTTCTTCAGGTGTGTGCGGATTAAAGGGCAAAATAATTCTGAAGAGGAGAAAAGCGAAGGAGCAACTACACCGGGCGTGCTCTATGTGCAGCTGGAGTACCATGACGACCACGAGGGCCCTTCTACTTCTGTATCCAACTACAGCACAAAAACTAGTCCACGTCTTTATGACCGTCACTCTCCTTCTGCATCAAAGGGAAAAGCTACTTCGAGAACCCCTCTGGAGGTCCTCGAGCGCGTCTTCAACCGGTGCTATATAAGCAATGAGGATTTTTTAGAAAACGAAACTCTAATTCTCAAAGGTTTAGCTATTCCACAATCCTGCCTGTTGGTGGAAGTGGTGTATCCAGAACATTTGTTGACGCTGAAGAAGCCAGGTGGCTCAAGCCTCGCAGGAGGTGGAGGACCAATACCAGTTTACAAGAAGGAAACGGACAAGAAGCGTAGTTGTTCAAGGGAAAATTCTCCTCCTTTGCGCAAAGAAGAAGAGGAAACGGAAGTAGATGTTGGTGAAAGAGCAAGTAGTGAGAACGGGAGCAACACGTGGTCGCGAGGAACAGTAGAAGCAGATCAGAAGAGGATGGCGGAAAAAAATCAATGGCACACTTTTGCCGATCAGAGAGTGCTGGGGAAGAACTTCTTTTGCACATCTTCGGATTTGTTTAATACCGCAGCGTCGAGAGCCAGCCACAGTGGTGCTTATCGCTTGCATTTCAATGCTATTGCGAAAGAGGATATTATAGCCCTTGAGACTCCAGAAAAAACCGCCTTTCTCGCCAACATCGTCCGGCAACACGAGCTACCCTTTTTGAGTTTCCACGTGATTATGGCGGAAGGCGCCTTTGCCCAGCATAACGATACGCAAAACCCGGGATTGTGGCTGTCGACTATGTGTCCAATATACGCTGCTTTCGGGGATTGCTTTCACATCATGAACAGAATGTTACGGCTATTAAACTAGTATCTGTATAATTGTTAAGACTATTTGAGCAAAACCATAGTGTGATGTTCGTTCCTACTGATTAAGAGGGTTAGATACTGATAAACAGGGATGTTGATCGTGATACCCGTATCCTAGCCTAGCCAATAATGATAGATATGAATCATAGAGTGCTGATACTAGGGCTCTGTACTGTGAACTGCGAAATCGGGCAATCATATGACATAGTAAGAGCTAGCTATTGCGATGATCGATAATGTTTTAGAAACTCGCTTCTCTAAGAAAAGGCCTATTAGGAATGAAGCACCGTCCAGGGAGACCCGTTTACAACCATGATTAGGGCTACGACCGCTGTTGCATCCTCCGCAGCGTCCTTTCCCCCTTTTGCAAGCATAAAAGAGAGGGACCAAGGATGCCCCCAAGGATGCAAGCGCTACGTCAAGTGCTAACATGGGCGGGACCGCTCGTGGCGAAAAATTCGAAATCTCATAAAACAGGACCGCAAGGAAGGCTATCCACATATTGGCCCAGCGAGTCCGATCCGAGACTATGCTAGCATCGTCAGAACCATCCTAATGTTAAGGGTAGGCTTTGTTACCGAAGGATGGTCTCTGTTCCTCGTTCTGTTAAGTACTGTTTCTATTACCGTTTGTTATGGTTCTCCTAAGGGAGAAAAGCATAACAGACGGCTAAGTAAGCGAACGCCAAAGCCCCACCGCTAATAACAGGAGCATCAGACTCGAAGCAGAGTCGGCCAGTCTATTCCCCGAACGCAGATCATTCGTCGGATGATGAAGCCGCTTCGTGTAATAAACTGCATTCCAGAGAAAGGAGCTACGACTACACACGAAGGTTACGGACTCTTTTTTTGTTTGGGGTCTACCTGGTTACTACTCCTATCTAGAAGACTACGCTTTTACAGCTTGGTGTTTCCTACTACGTAGAGAGCTTGTTAAGACTGAGATCTTGAAAGTGTACTAAGGATTCGGAAATGGTAGGCTATTAGGACCTCTAGTCGACTAGGAGTGCAGGAAGTCCGAATCGAGGCAAATCGAGTAGGTCTTCTGATACGAGTCACGTGAAAAGGCTCCACGGCCTCCTGTTGTTCCTTCTAATGTGCGACTTTGTGAAGGCCTTGGGGGGCCGCCCAAAATACGCAAGGCAGAGGATGTTAGAGCCGAAACAAAGTTGGGAGCTGAAGAATGCAGCGGAGTCTGGGAAATGGCCTATCTCTTTCGAAAAAAAGGGTGGCAGAACGTTTTTAAAAGACAAGAAACAAAGATCACAGATTCGGACAAAGTTTTATGGCTACAACTGTTGCGACAAGTCTACGACAATTATGTCTCTAGCAAGTTAGCACCTTTTCCGAACAAATTAAAAACTCTAGCATCAAGTTACAGGGTAGGACATTCTTCTTCTTCTTCTTCTTCTTCTTCTACAAGTACTACAATGTCTGATATTCTTGCTACAAGTACTACAATGTCTGACATTCTTCTTCTTCTAAAAACTGGAGCAGATGCAGTTTTTCGAGCGGTTGAAGGAAAGGCTGAAGACCACAAATTTCGTGTATCCGCAGAGGAAGCAGTCTTTCGCAACCTCTTTCTGCAATGAAATTCATTTTGCGAATCTGAATTTGATCTTGATGACCGGCTTCATCCGAGTTGACGATGATTGCGATTCGTCGACGTGGTCTAATATCGTGGTTGGGCCAGCACCAGCACCTGCCAAGGAGTCGCTTAATTTGAAGGGAACAAACGGGGACCTTTCCAACATGAATACAAGCACAACAATATCACCGAAGAAGAACGAATCCGGATTTCTGAAATTTTCTCCCGATTCTCGCGTAGAAGGAGGAGGAAGAAGAGGTCTCCTGAGTGAAAGCCGACAAGAACAAGTAGATGCTGAAGATGCAAGAAGTGGTGCAAAAATCCAAAACGAAGATATAGGAGTACAGCTCTTTGCACGTTTAACGCGGCTAAGCGGTGACGCTATAGAGGTCCCCTTACTGCCAAAAGCTTCATCTTGTGGAGTACCTTCGTCTTCGAGCAGCCTTGAGCAGGCGTTGGGCACTGAAGATTCGTCTACCTCAGCCGCGAAAGAAGTAGCAACAACAACCATAAAACAAGTATTACAAAATGACAAGGTCCCAATTGCTCAGTTGGAAAGGTGGGTGGCGCAAGAAAAGAAAATATCCTATGCTGACTTGCGAAAGCTGGTCTATGTTGCACTGAATGCTCAGCGTGGTTTAGTGGTTCTTTCTGAAGCGGGGTTCTTCGAGCCAGTGATCAACAAGCAGCCTATTGAAGACAACACACGACAAGGCTTGGCACAGCTTTTTAAGCCTAAGAAGGTGAACACGAGTAGGAAGCACAGGCTTAAGAGAAAAGTGCTTGAACAAGCGGGTCCGGGAAGGAATGTATCACCATTACGGCAACCGCGGGAGCATCCTCCGCACCATCCCTGGTCCCTTTTTCAAGGGCAAAAAGGGGCCAGGGATGGTCTAAGGGATGCGACTCGGCAGCTCTAACGCCACGAACTCCTAGGACTGCAGAGGAGGAGGGTCTGGATTCGCCGCGAACTCCTAGGACTGCAGAGGAGGAGGGTCTGGATTCGCCGCGAGCTCCTAGTAGTAACAGTAATGTTGGTCATGATGAGATTCCATTAAGAGCAGTGGGAATTATTGGATCTTCACTGGGAGGTAACGATAAAACCCGTAACGAAACATCTGATTCTGAAATAGGCGAAATCCTAGATTCCGAAAAATCTCCTGCGATCGATTTCTCAACTTCCTCGGAGCTTGCGAGGTTTTTATCTTTGATGCGAAGCCGCGACACTGCTGATAGTGGGGGAGGAGATGACCATGACAGATCATCAGTTCGATTTGTCTTTTCCTTAGAGGAGAAGTTGCAAGTGATTATCAAACCACCGAGTATATCGAAGGATCAGCCACAAGGGAGACTCTTTCATAATTTTTCCTTACGATACGTTAAGGAGGAACTGTTAGAAGAATTTGAAGGCGTGCAAATGGCACTGCGTCAGACACAGCAAAGCAAGCAAGACGTGTACAAACACTGGCGACAACATGCTGGACTGACTGAAAGAGGACTCTTATCCTCGAACAGCCCAAGTACGAGCTCGGGAGGGGAAGAGGATAATGCGGCTAATGATGCTTAACTCTGTGACTTCGAGAGAAGACTCTAGATTAGAAAAATATCAACACCGAGTAGGCAACTACGTTGCTTTTCAACATCCCAGTAAGGCTTATCTGAGACCACTGCATTTGTGTTCTTTTTATCTGCATTAATCCTTTTTTAAACGAGGAGTGTGGTCAGCATTTGTGTTCTTTTTATCTGCGTTAATGCTTTTTTAAACGAGGAGTGTGGCCTCATAGGACATAGCTTCTATGAGGTTGAGGCTTAGATGGAGAGAAGACGAGAGGCTGTTTAGATCATGAGGTGAGGATTCTGTGATGAAGAGTTGACAAGAACGACGATGGTATGAGTGTTCTTACGACTACGGAGGATCAGCCCTTCTGAGGTCCTGTTGTTCCTCACTTGGGCATATGATCAATTTGACGTGTTCATATGGGTGACCTACTGCGCGTATACCTATACTGCGTGAGAAGGATCATAGCCCTTCTTTGTCTGTAAAACTGAAGTTAACCATCTATCTATTCATAACTAAATCTAAAATCCCCATAACTAAAAACCCCAAACGAGCAGGGGAAGGGTATTCACACAAGTGTGTGTTGTTGAGGGTAGTGTTTTGAAGTTTCTCTCAACGCAGCGCTTTATACAATATAGGTGCCGCTGGTGTGGTGTTTTGTTCTTCCATTTTCGGGCGCACGAGAAAATCACATCGACTGAGCATTTCTTCTGTTACAGATAGTGTGGCTAGGCTTCAATCATGTAGTCATCATGAACAAAATGACGTCAACAACGCAGAGTGGTGCAGCGACAATCTATGACGCCAGTAGGCAGTCTGCACTGAACTTTGTGCGAGATAAATTGTCTTGTGTTGTGTTGTAGATTGACCACCGGAGAAAGATGAAGACAGCATCTTCAAGAGCATTTGTGGAGCGGAGGATGGGGGACGCAAATGGAAGGGATGCAACAGGAAATGCAACAAGAGGAGCGTCATCGCCATCTTCAACTTCTTCACCACGAAGACCTGCAGTCTCTACCTATGCACTGCTATTCCTCCTTGTTCTCCTAGTAGGTGTTTTCCTCGCACCAGTTGTTTCTGGAGGATGGTTTGGCTCTTTCTCGCGCGCAGATGTCATTACAAGGTATCGTGGCGCGATGCACCGTCAGGCGGTGAAAGTCGGTGAAAGTGAAGCTGTTACACGGCTGAAAGAAAAACCTGACGAAGATCCTCCAGAACGTGATGTCCAAAAACCTTCAGCCAGTGTGAATGTTGACGACCTCCACGACCACAAAAGAAAAGAACACAATAGAGATGAAGCCTCAAAGACAGCCTCAACCTCCAGAAACTTAGCAGCGCACGAGCCCACACGGACAACACTAGCAGAGCATGAGTCCGACGAATTACATTGGTCCTTAGAAGTACAAGATCTACTACGCCAGAGCGTCCAGGCTGGTTTTGTTACGATGCTCCAGACTAGTGCTTTACTTATCGTAGCTACACACCTGGACATTGCTGCACACAAAAGTTTAGTGTTGGCGTCCTGCACTTTGCTCGCTACAAGTGTGGCAGCAGGATTCTCGGAATACGTGGTTCGGTCGGCTGAAAGAGAATTTCTGGTACTTCTAGCTTCTACTAGGCATCTGCCCATTATGGCGATCGCAAACTGTGTGTTTTTACAAAAGAATCAGAATGGTCTGCATCAAGTCCTCATCAGCCTTGAGAAATCAAACAAATTATGAACATTAGATCCACGAATGGAACCTTGAGCGAGAGGAGGTACTCCAAACAGGAGACGAAGAACGACAGGAGATGATTGCGCTGTATCAAAAGCGAGGGGGCCTCCGTTTAGAAGACGCTAGCACGGTTGCGGATACCTTGAGTCGTTATCCTGAATACTGGGTTCGTCACATGCTCAACGAGGAAATTGGGCTGAGAATACCTAGCAGTTTGGCGGTGCTGCGTCCAAAGACGAATGCAGCTCGACAACAAGGATCCATTTCTCGCGAAGAAGCCGAAGAAGACCTTATCCCCGAACAACAAGGCGTCGCCACTGCTGCATTTACCGTCAGTTTTATGCACTTTTGTTTTGGTATACTTCCTGTCTTGGGGAATGCCTACCTGGTTTACTCTCGTCAAGTGCATCTTCGCATCAAATTTTTTGTTGTCAACAACATCGGCGTCCTCGCAGCAGCAATAGGCGCTGGCGTTCTTCTTGGCTCTCTCGTGGGAGCGCGCCATTTGCGTCTCTTTGTAGTCGCAATAACATCAGCTGCTGCTGCTACACTGCTTTTTGCTTTGCTGTGTATGCATTTGGGCAAGGTTGCATTGGGAATAGTTGTGGTATCCCGGAATAGACTTGGAGAAGATGAAGACGGGCATGACGATGCCAGAATTGTCTCTGGCAGTGTTATGCCTTCCTCTAGCTCTAGCACAGCAACTGGAGGAAAGCTACAGATACTACTACCTACTCTGGCAATAGCAGCAAGCAGCTTCGGATTTGCACTGTTTCTTGGGTCAAACCAAGAGCAGACATTCTTTGCACAAGAGGCTCTTTTTGATTTTCTGTCAGGGTCTTCCAAAATGCCTACCGTGCCCTCTAGTGGCACGACGACAAAGGACACAGCATCAACTTCTGGCGTAAGTGTCCTACACGTCTTCATCATTTCGACATGCTGTTGCCTGTGTGCCGGACTAGGTTGTGTGCCCTTCTTTTTCGTGCCATCTTCGGGTGTCACGGCTAAGACGGTGGCCCGTGCTAATTTAGTAGCAGCAGGAATCATGTTGGCAGCTAGTTGGGGTTTGATCACGGAAGCTTTTGATCTCCAACGTGGAAGTACGACGCCTCCTGGTTCCAGGCTTGCTGCCAGTGCCTCTGTATCTTGGGGTTTCGGACTCGGGATTCTTTTTATCGTATTTTTGGAGAGATATCTTGGCGATCCGGACCCATGGGAGGTGATGCTGTCTTTGTTTAGGCTTAGGAGGGAGGAGGAGGCTATTTCACACGGAAGTGCTAACGAGGCTGGTGGAGTAGAGAATCATACTGAAAGAATAGCTAACGAGGCTGACATACAGAAGCCGACTGAAGAAAAAATTTCGCCGAAGAGTCAAAGACTACCACCTTCTCAAGTGCTAGCAGGATCGTCGCCTTCGTCTTGTAGCTCCAGTAGTCCTTGTCCGAAGAGTTCTGGTTTTTCTTCGCCAAAGAAACCCCCTTCTGGTTTTTCTTCTCCAAACAAGACTAGCGCTTCTTCTCCAAACAAAGCCTCCTCAACAGTATTTCCTTCTTCTTCACCAAGCAAAGGCGTGCTGCTTTTCTTAGCCATGTTCTTTCATTCTTTCGCAGAAGGTGTCGCGATAGGCGTCAGTTTTGGCGAGCAGGAAGGGAATTTGGGTCTTTTCATAGCCATAGCATTGGCCGTACACAATGTCCCGGAGGGATTGGTCGTGGGGCTTACGCTGTTGTGTCGGGAGAATGATGAGTTGTTCGATGAGAATGATGAACTCGAAACAGAACAACTACCTTTGGATGCGGCTCTTGAGGAAAGTTCTGGCACCTCATCGTCCAACAAGAACATCAACATAGAAAGCCGTATAACTACAACGACAAGCAGAAGGACTTGTTGGCAAGCCATTGTCGTGGCAATCGTTTCCTCCATGCCTCAGCCGTTCATGGCTGTCGTCAGCTTAGTAGCGGTACAAACCGCCGCACTTTTGCTGCCATACGGATTGTCTTTCGCTGCTGGAGCTATGGTGTATGTGTCCTACGTGGAACTTTGGTCCGATGCAAGAAAGCCAGAGTCCGGACTCTCGCTTGGAGAAGCATTGATTGTTACGTCTGCTAGTTTTTTGTCGATGTGCATCCTCCAAGAGAATCTTTTTTGATGTTTTGTAAGATGATGTGTGTTACTGTACGCTTCTTGGAAGAAATTCCTCGGGGCCTGGTCTCAACGCTGGTTTGGAAAATCAGATTGGAGACACATGACATGACAAGTATCTTCTCCCATGACGTTTGAAGAACATGGTAGTTACCCTCACTGACAGATCCTCCATCCGCATTCCACATATTTGAATTAAGAGCTTAACGTTATTCCTCTCGCAAATTGATTTTCACACGTTTCTCTACCAAGAACTGTAATTAATTCTTGATCTTTGAAAGATAAAGATCACGTTGCTTCCCTCATCTTCCCTATCCCTATTATCCCCCTAGTTTGCACGCTGCGCTGGTTTACAATATGCTAGATGACTTTGTCTTTGAGCAGGTATCTTTGATAGTACTTGCTTGGACATTTGATGGTCATAACACTTTTATTACTCGAGACTAGGTTACACTTAAATTTGAGAATCTTTAATATGATCATCATTATGTGATCATTCAACATGTTTACTACCTCTAGTAACTTGAATGTTTTTGACTGTCGGGCTTTGACCTCCTCCTTGTCTGATGGGCATAATGAATTTCTGCTTTGTTAAGCAGGGGAACAGGTTTTGGGATTCAATGGAGAGCAAAACGATCATCGCGCATCCTTATATGGAGAAATTATGAGCTCTACTGTGTCCGCTGCATTCACGAAATTTTGAACAAGAGGTGAGCGTGAGAGGGAGTGGGGAAATAGTTTTGAGCAGAGAGGACTCTAGCATGTAATGCCGGCGACCGGATGACCATATTGAGAAAAGGTATGGAAAAAAAACATTTCTTGAAAAAATGACAATCGAAAAAGATACAACGCAGGTCATTAGCACCACCACAGAAATAGAGGGAACAAAAGAAACGACACCATAGAACCAATACTGCTAGTCTAATCTTCAAACTACAACATATTCAAAAGAAAACGACTCCTCGAAACTGTTATAGAAACATAGTGATAGTTCTAGTTGTAAGTAGTCTAAGAGTGAGTTAAGAAGGAGCCTCCAAGAGGTCACATCAAACATACAAGATGGTGGAGCATTCCTTGTGGCATCCTATCCGGCATCCAATTTCGGATATTCGACGGGTCATGCCCAAAACCAGCCCTGATGTCTGGCGTGAACATCCCCAGTTCTCTGAAGGAAAACGAATGCGAAACTATTTTTGGTACTATTTCGTAAGGTGCTACTCCTACTTGATGGTAAGGTGTTACTACAACTTCTTAGTGTACTATCGGGTAAGATAGTGAAGCGCTCAGTTGTCCCTGAAGTGCCTCGCGGAGCACTCAGCGAGGCACTTAGCGAGGCACCGAAGCGCCAAGTCCCTTAACTGCCTCGCGAGACACTGAACGAGGCAGTTAAGCGACGGGTCCCTCATGTGCCCCGCGAGGCACTTTTTAGCGAGGCAGCTAAACGACGGGTCCCTTACGTGCCTCGAGGCACTTAAAGAGGCACTTAACGTGGCATTTAAGCGACGAGTCTCTTAAGTGCTCCGCGAGGCACTCACCGAAGCTGTTCATATTTGAAAAGAAGAGGGCAAAGAGACCAGCTTGATTATCTTACTCAACCCGTCCTCACAACGACAGTTCCGGTTTCGCCTTATTCGTTTTAACGCAGTGCCTTTTCCTGTTCCTGCAAGACTATTTTTTGTTGCTGCTCTTGGCGGAAGTATCCCTCGTTTGCTGTTATCTGTACTACCTGGAATTCCACACCAAAGATGACGAAGACGTGTGTCCTTTGGGGTGTGTGACGGTGTTTGCGCTCTTTACCGCGGTTCTCGTGGCTGCGTTCACCTACAACGACCACTTCGTCTACTACGATTACTATTATGGCAAATGGGCGTAGTTCTGCTGTGGATCATGATGATCTTTTATTTAACGATATGACTATTGTGTTTGCTCCTGTAGTAGCAGATAAACGACACCCACTCCACATTGATATACAACCGGCTAGACGTGAGAACGACTTCCTCTCTTACCTGAATGGTTCTGGTATTTTTGGTATAGCCTGAATTTGATGATCAGAAGGGGGAAAACAAGAAGAGAACCCTTATGATCAAATTCAGGCTATACCAAAAATACCAGATGAGCCATACATTACCTAGTATCGAAAAAATCACACTTATAATAGCATCCTCTCCACTTACCTATTGAAAATGACACTGAATATAATAAGTAGCACGACCACGACCTTTCATACAAGCCTCAAAGGGAATTCCGTCACAAATGCGACTGCTGCAGGAGGTGCGGGTTTACTGCGTGCAGGCGCCCATCTTTCTTTCGATACGGCTGTCGTTGATGTGGAGCGCGTGACTTCCTTCAGTGACGGTTCCTCACCGGCTTACTGCGTTGCGCCTATTGTAGAACCGGGGGTTCAAGATGGAGGAGGGAGGCCATTTGTCCTCCTGTCGCCTGACCAGCAACAACAACAACAAGACCATTCTTTTCTCGAACAAGAAGACAGAAAGTCTTTCCTCAAGGAAAACAACGGAGCAAACTATCTGCAAGTCGATAAACAACCGTTTCCGCACCAGATAGCAATTAAATACTACGCTGTCGGCAGAGGGTGCTGCCGTGATGGAAACGCAACGGCGAAAGTCAAGTCATCCTTTATTAAGGCTACAACTTGGAGCTCCACCGTCTATTATGACTAGTATCCTATTTCTTGTGACTGAGAAATTCCACATGTTCTTCTGCTCTCCTCGGTAGTTCTAGCTGACCTTACCTAGGTCACCCATCACTCTCGGAGGCGAACATGCGCCTGTGGGGCTCGTTGAGAAGGATCCACAAGCTAACCTAACCTCAACCTTTTTAGCCCATCTCTAACCCTCCTTGCGCACAAGGTTATGTGGGCGACTCAAAGACGAAGAGCAAAACATCAGAGCAGGGCCAATTAGTACCGGTGCGAAGACCCATGAACGGCGTCAGCGGTCACGGCATGGTGGAGCCGGTTTTCTTCCATTGGAATCGGATTGATGTGATGGTTATGAGATCAGTTCAAGTAACTTGGAAATCTTCATTTGAGGACGAGAACTGTAGACTCAAATTTTTTACTAGGATTATATATGGTCTTGACTGCATGATACTGATACAATAGTTGACAATTCACCCCTTAGCAAGCTCCCCTTCCCCGCACGGTCTTCATACCAAAGAACAAGCTTCCGCTGCCAGATGGATATAACAGCACGCAACCGAAAACTCGATTACGCAAAACGACGAGCTTTTTGCGAGAGACGTTCTCAACGAGCAAGTCAGGAGGAGAGCTTTCCCTCTTTCAGAGTGGAGAGTCTCCTTCACTCTTGCAGAGTGGAGAACTGTCCGATTCTGATCTGCTTGAAGAGAGGACGTCTTCTAGACTGACAGGACGTCGCTCTGCCCTCGAATCGTTGGGACGAGTCGAATCACTGGAGTGTGGCACCGGCACAGGCACGTCCTCGAGTGCCATCAACAAGTTCCTCTGTGTGGTGACTGATAGAAATTCGATTTTCTATCCGATTGCAGCTCTGTTCTTGTCGAAGACGGGTTTGCGAGGCTATTATCCTACTAGGAATGCAGAACGCCAAAAATGGGAGAGAGCTAGGAGAATGGCAGAAACAAAGTGGAATTTGACCACGGCGGACGTGGATGAGATGGTAGCAGTGAGTTCTAGTAGAAGTACATCTTCTGTTTTATAAGGTTAGGGTTTAGGTCCAGCGGCGCTCAAAGCACATAAGTAAAGCAGCCGGTTAGCTTTCCCTCTATCCCTTCAGGCAAATGATGTTATCGTCAGCTTTTTTTCATCATTCTCGGCATCTTAGTCCCCTTTTCCCTTGTATTCTCATTAGATCCAAGGTAAAAAGGGCCAAGATGAGGGGACCGAGATGGATTAAAACTGACTCTAATCATGATTTGAGAATCCATGACTTCCAGTTCGGGAGCTATATGCTAATTCGAGTCTGTATATACTAAGTAATTCTTTTCTCTCGTTCTCTGTATATACTATAATTCTTTTCTCTCTCAGTCTGTATATACTAATTTTTCTCTCCCTCTCGGTCATTCTTTTTCTTCCTCCAGGTCGTCTACGTTCACTGGGTCGATGACCCCATGTTCTGGGCCTATACGCATCTAGCCTACTCCGTCGTCTACCTGCTTGCGGCCTCCTGTATCGTTTTTCCACCGTTTATGCTTCTCTTGGCCTGGCAACTTGCGAAACTGGCGACACAAGACGCTTTTGAAGAACGTGCGGAGGAAATGGCACAGGGTGAAGCGGCTTTCTCGGACGATGATGATGATGATCTGTCCGGAGGTACGGAGTACTCGGGGAAAGATAGCGGCTCGGATAGACGAAGTAAGAACTTCTGGGAAGATGACAGCTGGGAAGACGACTATGACGCTCTCAGTGGGAGAACGCAGTGAGAAGTTTGTTGGTGGGAGAAGGCAGTAGTAGTTCAGTGCTGGCTGCGGAAGTACTATTCAGATGCTGTAGTAGCGCTCCAATACGGAAGATCTCAGTGACGCACTTTCGGCTGGGCGACAGCGCGCTGGCACAGCGATTCCCCGCAAGTGTTCTGCGACGTGAGCAGATACGGCATAATTCCGAAGAGGATCAGTGAAGATCGACGCGCTTGGGTCCCACGCGGCCTGCAGCACTTCCAACAAGCGGAGGAATGCCTGGCGCGGGCGAGTCGTGCTCATGGTCGGCTGATCGAGTTGCGCGTATCACCCGTGGCGAGAAGATCCGGGCGACGGTTTCCACAAGCGCACTCCACCACTCTCATTTGTTGCTGATGTTTTGTTTCACAATGTATAATCCTACTTTCATCTTGAGCAGGCATAGTCATGTTTGCCCCTTGCTGGAGCAGTATCAGAATCCAAGAAACACTATTAGGGACGTTTTGTATAGAAATATAACGACGAGCATTTGGAAACTTGACGTTGTACAGGACGCATGTTTTGCTGAAGGGAATGAACTGCAATTTTTCAAACGCAATTTTGGAATCACTGTGATAAAATGACACTTGATGATTTTCTACGCTAATGGCGTGCACTTCTACTTCAAGGGCAAACTGCGCTCGTCATGGAGCTTTCTTGCAGGGTTGTTCGTAGTCGTTTCTGGGAACACCAGCGGCGGTGACATAATTCACTATTCAACTTTCAACCACCCGTTCCTTTGACGAGGAAGGTTCATTTCTATATGAGAAGTCGACCGACGTTCTTTACCAAGAAGAAAAGTGACATGGTTCGCGTTCGTCACGGTGGTCCCCCCACCTTGCTAGCCGATAAACCGGCAACCACCAGCAGCTTAAAAGCGCCTCAACAACAACAAGCACAAAAAGCACCAGCTCAAGGGAAACCCAAAAATCTTACGACGCAGCTAGCCACGTTACTTCTCCATGGCGCTAACCCCAACTTGTACAGTCACGAAGATGCCGGAGAGCGTCGACCACTGCTCTACCTGGCTATCGAGGAAGCATGCAACTCTGGAGATTGGTCCACAGTAGAGCTGCTCTTGGAGCAACCTACTTTGAATCCTGGTTTGCGCTGCGAAAGGCAGCCAAGGGAAAGCTCGTTCGAGCTGGTGCTGAGAACAGATTTTCCACGTATAGCTGCTTCTTCTACACTAGACCATGAATCAACAAGGCAAAAGAACTCTCCTACATCACAAGGAGACTCTCGTCAAGTTTACTTGGTGCGACGGATGCTGCAATTGAGACCCTCTCTGGTGCATGAAACCTCTGGACACTGGGTAAAGGACCCTAGCTCTAGTGTTTCGGCGGAAGATGATCAATCGCAAGAAGGTTCACCCGCTTCTGAAACTCGAGCCAATCTTCCAAGTGGCAGCAGTACTAAAACCAAGCTCGAACAAAAACCTGATAAGAAGATATCTCCTCTTCATCGTGCAGTGTTTAGTGGGCATGATGAAGTAGCGCTAGTTTTGCTGTTGCATGGAGCCAACGTCAATGCTACGGACTGTTTTGGACAAACACCTTTGTTTTTCTCACTCACAAAGCCAGTTACGAAATTACTGCTGAACCATCACGCAGATCCAGCACATGTGAGCACTCGAGGCCAGGTGGCGGCGCATGTTTTGGCGTATTGTTGATGCTTAGAAGATGTGATGCTTACAGTTCTTGTGAATACGAAAAAGTAGCACGACGCGGTACTACAGCTCTGTTCGCAATCAAATCACATGGATGATGGCAGTTCTTACCGAAGAAATATTATATGAGAGCACCAAAATCTTCCACCTCGACCTCCACAAACCCAGTTCCAACGGTTGCGCTGGTGCCCTTAGCATTCTTTTAGAGCACTTTCCGGAAGCTGTGAACGTGCAGGATTCAGAGGGTCGAACCCCACTCCATCTCGCAGCTGCTCGTGGTGAGGAAGGCGCGCTTGCAGTTCTGCTCGACAACGGAGCTGATATGCAAATAAAGACAAAACGGGGTATGGGTGAGAAATTGTACTAAATAGATCAGATGAAGAACAACTAAGTAACAGTCACATTTACAAACAAACTTTCAATTAGCAAGACCTGTGGGTATGAAGGGGAAATTGTGAATCACTAGATGAGTTAGACAAGACTCCTACCTTTGATGTACAATCAATTGTTGTAACTGTTAGTACATGTGGAATTAGGCTGAAAGACCTCGACACCATTTGACAGGATGGAAAATGAGGTAGCATGACATGACATGCCATGTAGTAACTACCTTGGAGGAGTAATCCATACCCCCTGCAGAGACCGCCACCTTCTCCTTTCATCCTGTGCAAGATGACAGCTATCAGCTACGCAGAAAGACATGGGAAGGATGATGCGGCTTTCTATTTGTATATGCGATGGACGGGATCTAAGCATGCTTCCTGGAACGAGCGGTTGCGAAATCCGTTGTTCCTCTTCACGTTGGTGATCGTCGTTGTTATTATGGCAAGGATAATCATAGTATTGATTCCTGTTTGTTACTGTAATTATGAAAACAAGTACTTACAAGGGAGGTTAGTGTAATGAAAAATAGTGCTCCTGCTTGGAAAGCTAAACTAGCACTAGAAACATCAACTTCGTTGTATATCTACATGACTGAAGAAATAGAGAAAAGCATACCAAACTACTCGTGTCAATGCATAGCGAAATGGAACCTTTCGGTAAATCCACTTTCATTTCCTGCGTTTATATGCATGCCGGAACGTTCCAGAGTGCTTGGAACGACTACTGGGAGGGACCCGCTGGTGTGCATCCAAACCTTTGGGTTCCGAAACCGAAACGATGAATTATCAAGCTTTCATTTGGATCATAGTCTGTTTAAGGTCAATATTTAGTGTCCATTTTTCTCGGCATCTCGGTGCCCTTTTCCCTTGTATTCTTCCTATGAAATGATACAAGGGTACTAAAGGGGTCAAGATGAGGGGGCCGCGATGCAATCTAGCAGACTCTATAGTAGTTCTTCTTATTTTCTTATTCCTTTGAATTTCTTTCTGAAGGAGCGTTGTCTTCAGGGAGATTAGTAAGTTCAGTCCATGAAAATTTTGCTCATAAAATTCGACATGCATAGTAGTGACCATCACGATTTGACAATCGATGGTGCTCAAGGAGACTCATGATCAACACAAGGACATTCAACCTAGTAAAATTGAGTATGGACAGCTTCTTTGAAGAGTCTGTGATGTGAATTTTGAAAATCGAGGAATCAGCGTTCCCTTCGCAAATGCGGACCTTTTTTGTCTTGCAAGCCAGGAGTACAATTTGAAAATTCACGACCTATTGGAGGAAAAATTCACGACCTATTGGAGGAAAAAGTTACCCACGGTGATCATGCTTCCTTCATATGAAACAATTCGGTGCTGCTACTTCTTCTCTTATTCTGCGTGGTCAACAACAACATGCTCTCCATCGGAAAATCCATCTCCATCCTCTTCAACATGCTCTCCAACATGCTCCTCCAACATGCTCTCCATTTAGAAGAAAGGAATCGGGTGATCCGAACAACCTTTCCGTCGATGTGTTTAGAAGAGATCCAGGATCCGCTCTGTCGATCCGAACAACCTTTCCGTCGATGTGTTTAGAAGAGATCCAGGATCCGCTCTGTCGAACAGCGACTCGTGTGGTGGCCAGCGACTTTCTCTGAACTCTCCCAATCCCAATCCCAATCCAGAGTCGTTGTCTCAGGATACCGCTACCGCATTTGGAGCTTTAATTGCGCTAGACCTTTTACTATGTTTTGTTGCAAGTTCTTTTGATTGGTAGAAGCTTAGAACGTAGTACAAAACGACAGCTAAAGAGCGATAGAGGAGGCATGATGGAGGAAGGAATTGGTAGATGAATGTTTTGGAACGACTTTAGATTCTTAGGTTTCATCAAGGACGAGGAATATTTATAGTCGTGGCGTGTGTCTATAAACATATCGCAAAATTGATATCGGATGTGTGTGTCTGGATGCTCGTACTAGTACTGCTGATGTTGTGAGTTGGATGATTCAAAACTATAAAAAGTTTCTTAGAAGATGGAATCATCTATTTATGAGTACTATGTGATACAATATTAGTTCTAAAAACTACTAAGACGAGGTGAGTCGATGCTGTACGAAGAGTTGTTGACACGAGGAAGGAATCAATCAGGGCTTGACATCTTCGACATCTTGACCTTTCTTGGTATTGACATGTAGTTCTTGTTGCTTGATGTAGAGCTGAAAGCTGTATTGTAACAAGTCGGTAATCGGTGACAGTAATTGATATAGAAAATTGGTAATGGTCTCGTAGTTCTATCTCTTTCTATCTCGTGGAGTGAAAAAAATAGTGTGGAATTGCGTTGTTTTCTTGACCTGGTTGAACGTAGGTTGTCAAAGATCAAGGAGTACTAGAGAATACTATTAACTATAGAGAGTATCGTATCGTTTCTCACAAGGTGTTATTGCAAAATTTCTTACTAGTGCCTAATAGAAGAAGTTCCTTTACTTGTTTTAGACGTTGTTGTCCGATATTAGAAGAAGTTGAGTTGTAGTTATATGTTTCGTTTTCAAGAAGTAAAAGTGTACAACCACGAGAATCTGCGATATTAGAAGAAGTTGAGTTGTAGTTATATGTTTCGTTTTCAAGAAGTAAAAGTGTACAACCACAGACGTTGCCGAGTGAAGCTATACTTAATTTTCGCCACGCCGTCGTTCATTTAGTAGCCTCGGGATACAAAAAAAAAAAGTCCAGGCAGAAGCGAGACCCCCTTGAATCTTGGACCTTGAAAGCATAACTTGTTGAGAATCTATCATAGAAATAATGTTGTACAAGAAGACGAACAAAATGTTGTCCCTTCTAGTACGGGTACTCCTAGTGAGGGTACTCGTTCTGCCGTTGATGGCCATAGAGGTAGCAGGGCGAAGCATTCGTGGACCAGGGCGTCCGCAGGTGTCGGAAGATTAAGACTACTTCAATTGACTGACTGATTGACTGAACTATTATCTGGCTGACTGGTGCTCGTTAGACGGCCGCATATAGTTGACTGACTGGACTATTGTAAGGATTTGAGTCCATCATCATACCTAGGGGAGAGCTCTCAACAACAAACTTCGTTGCCTAGAGAGGGTATTCTTGTTGTTGAGGTACGATGATCCCTACCGCAGGGAACAGGGGATCTTCCCTATGTTTCTAAGATTGGTATAGAAAGTGGGAAGCTAAATTAAGGGCTGCGGCAGCTAAGAAGTTACAGAAAAGCGAAAGTCCAGACCTATACAGAGCGCCTCGTCGCAGCCCCTTTGTTAAGGCTAGAGATTGATGTTGAGATAAGTAGTAATTCGTCTGTGACTGTGAGATAGTTCATCTTTGAGTGCATCTGCATCCCTTTGAGTGCAGTCTGACTAGAAGGACATTCAGACCTTGTCTATACAGTCAACATCACGAACGACGCATGCATACGCGAGTGCATCTGCATCCCTGAAAAGTATGACTGGGCACCTCTCGCCTGATGCCCTTCACAAGTTCAAAGATGCGACTGAAAGATGAATGATTCACGCGTGAGGCGGAAGGGTCGCGCGCGAACATAATAATAATAATCTAATGTTGCTCTGGGAGTGGTATTGATCGAGCCCAAGGATGAACCTGAAAGGGAGCCAGAAGAAGAACCAGGAGGCAGTTCAAAGACGCAGCTTTTTTTAAAAAGCCTTCGAGGTAGCAGAGGACTCCCGGTGCCCCTAAGAAGGGAGAAGCCTGCATCTGCACAAGTGAAAATCGAGGAAATCTTAGAATGGAGCCCAGTTATCGACAAAAGTCCCCGACCACGACCGGGTCCAGCAGTTAAGGTTATAAGGTTTAAAGAAGATTTTAAATTATATATTTATAAGATTAAGCCGTTGAATGTTTAACGTAGTTCCATCCTTCACTACCATCCTTGTCCTCGAGTAGAGTACTAAAGCACTACCAGTTCCTCCAGCACCCAGTTCAGGTTATAAGATTACTATGTTTACAGGCTGCCATGCATACTCTGCAATTCTCACTTCGCCTCTTGAATGACACGTGCATTCATTGTTTTTGAAAAGAACACTTACCTCCGCTAAGAAGGACGACGATCATGGCAGCATGCTTTCGGAGCCGTCGCTCGACGCTCGGACAATTATAGCGAGTAAAGTTCGAGATATAGCAATACTACATTACAAAATTCACAGCTCGGGTCTTCGGATGTCCAAACTATACGACTTGCTTCGTCTAGATGATACGGGGACTGATGTGCATGGCGGTTCTCTGCGTCTCGAGTTTTACGTCGAACTGGATGAGAAGAAGTATGTGCCAGGTGAAAGCGGAACAGGTGAAAGCGGAAGATCTTCTCGGAAGAGAGCGGGAAAGTCTTCTGCAAAAAAACATAAAGATGATAAAAATGCGACGAGTCCTGACAAGAAGCATGTGCCTCTAGGACGTGACGAGAGGTATCTGTCACGAGTCCCGGTGCAGGATCCGTACCAGGTAGTAACGAATTGGTCGTCCTTAGAAAGGAGCGCAGTTTGGAACAGTTACATTCCACCTCAACTTGTGAAGGCTCCGAAGTGGTACGTGCGACGAGTCTACGAGCAGAACGATTTTGTGGTATCTGCGTACCGACAAAGCCCTGTTCCAGCCCTTTTACGAGGACCAGGTTCCTCGTTGTATTATCACTTGAGCCACCAGCACGACCTCCCGAACGAAAAATTTCCTACTACTGCTCAGATGAAGAAGGAGAAGACCAAGACACGTAGTACAGAGAAGAAACCTACTGTAGAGAAGATGTTGTCCGGTTCAAACCCTTGGTCAACCTCCCATTCAGCTTCAACAAGGTCATCATCCGATGAAGATGGAAGTGGAAGAGACGCGTCTACTTCTCTTGAAATTTTCGACCTTGATTGGCAAGACGCACAGATCGAAGAAAAGCTGCTTGCAGCGCACGTCGCCAGCGTAGAACGAACCTGGACTTGCTTAAGCAGAAAAGGACGAAAGACGACTACGCCAGAGGCAACGCCCAACTACTTGAGCGAGGACTTCCTTGACCAGTTGAAGTTGGCGCATGCGAGTCGTCTTTTGCAAGCGTATTTGAGCGAACTTTTGAAACAAAGTACCGACTTCACCTTCGGACAAGACGATAAGAAGATGAACTTTGCGATGAGAACGGAAAAAGACCACATGCGCATGATAAAGCGGCTTATCATAGCAGGTGGAAGCATGCGCACCGATGTCGGGTTGCTGGCTGAACTCTTTCCAACATCTTTACCAAATCTGTGTCGTGAGCAGGGAGGTAGTAGGAGAAAGAAAGACAAAGATTAAGGCTCTTCTTGTAAGAAATCCATCTCATATTTATTACTTTTTGTGCGTGAAAAAGAATGCTGGAATAACCCACTTTAAAAGCATACTGCATTAGTTTATAGCGCCATTTTGTTTTTACGGGAACAAACAAAGCGCTCGAAAAAAGGCGTATCTACTACTTGGAGAGATGACGGATCATGTCGCTTTTATGGATGAAGCTCTTGTTCTAAAAAGTGACGCGGCAAAAGCTTTTGGCGACAGAAGAACCCAACATGTGCGGCATGCCTGCACCTCCACCGGCGTCGTCCGTGGAGGAATCAGAAGAAGACTTCTGTAAAGAGGAGCGGCCGCCTGCCTCGTCCGTAGAGGAATCAGAAGATGACTTTTGTATTAAGGCCTCCCCTAATCTTCCATCTTCAGAAGATAGTTGTACACCTTGAAGCTGTCCCGTATATCTTCTAATACTTTTCCGGTTAGTTTATTTCACCTCAAGAAATCTAGACTTATCCCGTGCAACAATCTCCTAATACTCTCCTAGTACATGGCAAGAACATCTTGTTGAGCGATGTATTAGAAGGGGACCACACCAATATTCTCCTAGTACATGGCAAGAGCATCTTGTTGAGCGATGTATTAGAAGGGGACCACACAAGCGATGATGTATTATCTAAAGATGGAAGATTAGGGTGAGCGCTAATTTGAGAGAGCCTCCTGCAGGTCCTGAGGGTGGACGATCTGGAAGATCTCCACTTTCGACATCACGACTCGGGCAGGTTTCATCTCAATTTCATCTACCACCCAGGAAGAAACCTATTTTGGAAGTAGAAAATTTTGGCTGTATCAAAGGTGCCCTACGTTCTAGAAGAGTGAGGCGTGACTCTGAGGGCTGCTTGTTGCGCTCCTACCCTGAAGTGGAAAATGATCAGCAACAGCCTTCTCATCAGGCTGCTCAAGGGGCCAGCTGCTCCTGGTCTTCTAAAGAAGGATTGCCGCAAGGCCTATTTCAAGGACAAGAGATGGAACGGGGGTCGGGGAGACATCAACGAGCATTGGCACAAGGAGCGATAGAAATTATTGGCGGTGGTGAGAGTGGCAGAAGAAGGAGTAGAAGTCAGTGTCCTTCGAATGCGTCAGGTTCTCAGGCTTCTGGCAATGGTTCTCGCGCTTCTGGCAATGGTTCTCGCGCTTCTGGCGGCCACTCACCGGATCGACAGACCACTGATAGTTAAGGCTAAATGCAAGGCTATTACCGCTGTACTAGGTTGAGGGTGGATATTGAAATTGAATTCTGTGGAGTTTTTCATTCAGGGTTTTTACTAGTGCTTTTAACTAATTATCAAAATGAAAATCTTGTACTACTAGTTCTAGTTCTAGTTCTAAAGTAATCGACCGGGAACTTCAGCGTCTTATTGTGGAGACGAGCAGATTGTACATCCTCCTTATGCTGGAGGCAAAGGCGATTCTCCTTGGATGACGACTTCAGGTGGTCGTCCTTGCCGCCTTCCCCCGACCACTCGAAGTAGTAAACTCGAAACAAACAAGAGTAATCCTCAGAAGACACTAGATCAGCGGCGTGCGGAAGAAGCTCGAATCAGAGAAGTGCGTGAGAAAGCGGAGACTGCACAAGTTGCAGAGATTGGCAATCTCGCACGTGGAGCAGTCCGCGAAGATATTGGGGAGTACCTCCACTTAAGGCTACCTTCAGGGGGGGGCACGTAGAGGGGGTCACTATCACACTATCAAGGATTCTTCAAGCGACCCCTCTTTGATGACCCCTCTTTGATGTAGGCGCTAAGCCACTTACCAGACGATGTGGTACCCCATTGGGGCTCTGACGAAGAAAGACCAGATGCGGCCAAGGAAATAACACTGAGATTGCCAGATCCTGATAGGGGTTGGTCTGTACAACAACAAGTGACGAGTCTGGGTGGGATATTCAGGCACATGAGGATGGAAAAAGGCGGAGGATCGCTTTCGCCTCTGACACCCTTCTTAAGGCTTCTTCCCCTAATTATGCGTCTTCGGAAGTATCTTAAAGACGTTTTCGGAAGTATCTTAAAGGCGTTTTCGGAAGTATCTTAAAGACGTTTTCGGAAGTATCTTAAAGACGTTGGTTTTTTTTTTTCAAGTATCTTAACGACGATTGCGCACGATGGGCCTCGAGATGGATCAGGGTGAGCTTTCCCATTGGGCACGATGGGCCTCGATCTTAAAGACGTTTTCAAGGGGAAAACGACGATTGCGCACACGTGGCTGCTGTGCTTCTGTATTGGATGATGCATTTTCAGGACTCTCTTGATATGTTTCTCGAGATCAATTAGGGTGAGCTCTAACATTCTACGACTTGGTGAAGAAACGGAAGAAAATTATCGCCAAATTAGAACAAGCACGGGAGGTGGAGGAAGCTGACAGGAAACTATTTTTTTCGAGTTCCCTCCAAGATTACCAAAGACACAAGCAGGAGCAGGAGAACGACGCGTGGCCGCGGAACGAGATAGAATTACGAGGCTTACTTAGTGTTTAGTACTCATGTAGTGTTCCTCTGTCATGTTCCTATGTCTTCAGCTTGGACATGGTTTTTTCAAAGGACTCACTATCGGATCAAGGAATCTCATTTTCAGAGGCATACTTGGCGTGCTTATTTCAGGCATATTTGGCGTGCTTACGACCTCTTGCCAGGCACATCAATCAAAATGAATCAATCAAGGAAATCACAGATCAAAGATGTTGTACTCCTCCTCATGTTGAATTTGTATTTGAAACTGATTTTTTTTTTAATATAGATATGAATCAGTAAACACTGTGAGCGCTTCTAATAGAAGTATGTTCATCCTCTGACGCAAGTAGCAGTGACGCAGACGAAGAAGGCACAAGGAGTCAAGAAGAGGAGCGACTATTTGCCCGAAGAGTAGCGGAAGAGGTGCAATATGCAGTGGACCTGAACTTGATTGAATTTGATCGTAAAAATAGTGCTATTTTGGAGGGTATGCTGTCTCAGCTTGAGGAAGCTATTGAACCTATGGTGCGTGCAGAATGTGCTCTGGCCCACCGTAAAGCGGTCTTACATTTGGCGGAATTAGGGTTGTTGCACAACGTCAGCAGCATTCCACTGTTCTCGCAAGAGAGCATACAAGAAGAAGGAGGCGATGACCGAGAAGAAGGAGGCGATGACCAAGAAGAAAAGGCTGGAGTAGAATCAAAAAGTAAAAAAGAAGGAGATTATACACCAGGAGATCAAGGAACGGTTGAAAAGACTGAGGCAACAGGAGCAGGAGAAACATCGGCTGAAGAAATGGCACTTGATGAAACAAATGGCGCTCTATTCACTCATCCGAAGATGAAGATCCCTAGCGCATCCGATGAAACAAATGGCGCTCTATTCACTTATCCGAAGATGAAGATCCCTAGCGCATCCGACGGTCCTATAATTGAAGAAGTTTTTGGTCGCAAACGGACGGTTCGTTTCCTGGCAAGACAAACTTTGTGGCAAGTTGCCATAGAAAACGCAGACATTGACATGTTAGAAGCGATGCTACGTGGTGCGCGAGTGAGGAGTGAGCGACCGATTTTTGCGCCGAATCTGGAGGAAGTGCCTGCAGTCATTACGGGTTGCATTCCTCACTACCATCCCTGACTCTTTTCCTAGTAGAAAAGAGGCCGAGAATTATGTGCTGGAGAGTGTAAAAATTGCGTAACCTCTAAAGTAATCTACTTCGCTCTCCTGTGGCACGCTGAGAGCGGACTGCACAAATTGGCCAAGAATTAAGGCAAATTGGATCTGTCGTTTTATCAAGCATCTTTATCTTTGTTTTTTGTTAGAAAGATCGTCGGTCTCTTGAATTCTGAGGCCCTCGGGACTGGTATAGTATCAATTCAAGTTCTTGTCCAGTAGTTGAGGCAAAAAATTGGATCTGTTATATTTTTCTTTACGAGTAGCTAATATAGATTTGAAGTGGCCGTTCTGAGGGCGAAGGCCGCGTATGAAGAAAGTGAGGAAGACCAAGAAGATAGCGGCTCTGGAGCACTGAAGTTTGACGCAATTACGATGCTGGATGTTGTTGATGCAGTGGAGCCGACACTGGCTTTAGACTTAAGGCTCAACTTTCAATAGTATCATTTAGTCATTGGGGTTGGTCACGAAATTCGATCGAAGAGGCGACCCCTTGAGGAAAGATGGGGGGAAAGCGAAGGGAAAGGGGAGAGCTTTGAAGGGGGTCGCTTCCGTTCAGAGTCCGGGACCAATGACCGCTGGGCTTTAATAGGCGCTGCGGCATTAATGCAGCTCCGCGAGCGCCTGCTCGGTCGGGAAAGACAGGACTTCAGACTCTTAGAAACAAGACTCTTTTCTACTTCTAGTACTGTCATTGCACAAGAAGGTGCTGCCCATGGTCTCGGGAGACAACATCAAGGAGTGCAAGTAGATGAAGGAGCTGGACGTCGAGAAGGACATCAGCACCAAGTAGATACAACTGCGGAGTCCTTTTCTGACGCTACCGAAGAGCTCGAGCTTTCCGCTGACGATGTTCCCATTGCTCGGGGAGAAGCCTCTGCACCGATCTTTCGCCGTCAATCTGGGTCTTTCGGGAGTGGAGGTAGTTCTTGGTTTCAGCCTCAATTAAAGTCCCGGTACTATGCGAGAAAGCCGGTCGATGGAGAGACAAGGGATCGACGAGATATAGTTTTACTATTACGGCCCCATCTTTTAGTCCATCTGTTAGCTGCTTGAAGGTACTTAAGTAGGTAAAGGGACACAGATGGGGGAAAAGATGCTGGATCGTAGTGCGTTCTAATACTAGCAGACGAAGTCGAACCTTTGTGGCTAAAATCGGCCCTGGAAGGGTTAGGAGCCCCACCACCGGACCCGGATCCAAGTCTATTTCAACAACTACCTAGGGAGGACAACGAGGAAAATTCTGAAGGAGAGGAACAGCGAGATCCGAGTATCGGGGGCAGAGAATCTAGTACTGGATCTCACAAATCTAGTAGTTCAGGGCTTCTATCTTCTGAAACCATTCGGACGGACTCGGATGTTGGAGAACATGACTCAGTTGGAAATACTGCTGATGTTGGCAGTAAGACTTTGCTTGGGAGTCGTTCTAACAGTCCCGATCAGAGTCCTCGCCATACTAGAGCTCCATTTGAGAGTCCTGCTCCTAGGCTGAATCCTGCTAATACTCCTCCACCTACTTGTCCTCTCAATAGTCCCTGTGGTAAAAGCCCTCCCAGTAGCCCCTTTTCTAGTAGGGTTGTTAGCAGTCCTCCTGGGAGTCCTCTTAAGAGTTGTCTTAAGAGTGGTCTCGGGGACCCGCTGGAGGCGGATAACCTGTATCTTCACGGAGGGGTGTCGCCGTCTACATTTGAGGAGCACGCGGAGGAGAATTCTTCCGCCGTCGATGTCGATCAGCAGATAAAGATAGTAGTGGAACAGGGGCAGCAAGGTCTACGTCTTCTGTATGAAAAGCAAAGGGCTGCTGCACGCGAGTATCAAAAACTGAGAGCTGCGGCTGTGCGTCACGTATACGAAAACCGACAGGCCTTGCGCAAAGTCCTAGAATTAAGCAGGCTACCGCTGAACAAGCATCCTCTATAACAATATGATCCTTGGTCCTTATTTTTTCAACTTGAAAAAGACGAGGCCCGGAAGGATGATATGACACTCGTCAAGAAAGATGCTAACGCGGTAGGTCTAATGAAGAGTGGCACTTTCCGGGACATTTTAGAAGGCCGAGAGGAACAGGAATCATCTGGCAATAATCCAAATCCTACTCCGGGTGAAGTCCGCGCGAGCTTGGGTCTACAATATGGAGAGAGCGCTTCTGGAGCAACCGTTCCCATGTATGGCAGAGTACATCCAAGACCGCTGAAAAGAGCGGACCCGAAGAGGAGGGCGATAGAGCTAAGTTGGTACCCCCGCGGGACGTACGCGAAGAAGAGAGAAAGGATCGCAACTCTGGCTTTGGAAGTCGAGGCAAACTCTTTGGTAGTGTCGGAGCGGCGACTACACGACGCGGAGGAAAAGAAGAAGGAAGATGACGCAGCTGCTAAGGCAGGCAAAAAATGGTATTTGTTAAAGGGCAGCAGCAGGCAAAGCAAAAAATCGAGATTCAATTATGAATGGTTAACATTGAATATCCGTTTACTCTGATGGCGCGTCATGCCTATACGCTTACCTTGTCGCAGGTGAGCCAACTCCTATCCATTCACATTGATGAATATCCAAATGTGTGGTCTCAGGAGCATCATCTTCTTTTTACTCTTTTGATGTTGTTCCAATTGAATTTTGAAAATCAACGTACTATCAGATCTAATTTAAGTCGAATTTTCAACAAGTTGCTATTTCGAAAGAGGATCTGAATGATCCCACGATGGCTGGTGAGATCCGGAAGAAGGCGATTGTAGAAGTCCTCTCTTGGCAACTTGGAGAAGAGGCAAATCGTTTAGAAGCGAAGTATGTGGATTTAAGGCAGTAAAGTGATAACGAATGACTATAAGTACTTAACTGTGGATTTTGGATTTTAGGCAACTTCTAAAATAAGCTGGAAACGTCTACTGAATGTTGTATTTTCACTGGTCTGGTGACTCTATCAAGGAGAGCAGCACAGAGAAGTGGAGTAATTTTTATTTTTTTGTCTCTTGGTACTACGAGTCAGAACAAGAAATAGAGTAATCGTTCTATCATGCAGCAAACGGATACAATTATTACAACTTTTTTAGTTCGCTGTACTACGATTAATTTTTCTGAGTGACAATGAGTAAAAGTACGAAGTCTTAGGATCGGTCGTCCTCTAAGGAGTGTGCAGGTGGTGGGGCGAAGAGAAGCTTCGAAGCGGTGGTGGGAGTTCGTGTATGACGAGAAGCACTACGAGGCAGAAGAGCGCTACGAGGCAGAAGAACGAGTGGCGAAAAACATGGAAGAGCTCTTATTGAAGTCGAAGTCTTCTTCCGGCTCATCTTCTTCCGCCTCCTGTGGAGCAGCAGGAGAACTCCTTGTTGATGATGCAGCAACTGCTGCTAGTGCTAGTCAAACTCAAAAGCACGCAACTTCAGGATTCAAGGTGTTTGATACAGCCACTAGAGCTACTTCTAGCCAAACAGATCGTGCGTCAAACGTGAAAGAGCCACGTTTGGAAAATGTTGGCTTGGTGTGGAGTGCTTTGCCACTCTACGGTACATCGCCCTTAGCCTGGTCAGAGTTTTTGAACGAAAAGGGAGTTGGATTTTCTGCGCTCAGTATTGCGGTGAAATCAACAGATGTTGTCTTTTACGTTAAAACTTGTGTAGTTCCTCATAGACTTTAGAAATGCACTAGAAGCGGTGAAATCAGCAGACGTTGTCTTTTATGTTAACAGGAAAATAACTAGAAATGTAGGCAAGTGTAGGAAAAAAAGAACACAATGGGTACGACCAGAAGACCAGACCAGACTTTCCTACGACCAGTAGAATTTACAGCTGTAATTTCTCGAGTAAAACAGCCGGCTAGTTTTCCCTCATAGCCTAGGTGTATCCCGTCATGCAATATAATCAGGCCATACTCTGTTTTCCACCTTTCTTCATGTCTTTGCGGGTTTCCTCACCCAAAAGGGTGCGGATGTCGATCAAAAGCCTGGAGCGACTTTCGACCACTGGGCCAACTTCGGTCCTGCAGAAGAGACATGGGACCCACTGCGGAAGGATGTTATAGTTAAGGCTAAGTACAAGAAATCCATCTTACTTCACAGGCATCTTGTTCCTCCCGTTTTCTTTAAAGGGGGCCCTAGATGCTGCTGCAGATGGATGGTTCTTAGTTCTAACATAGATAGCTTATTGAGTTCTTCGAGTACAACTTCAGAGACGAGCACAAGTTCTTTAAAGAGGTCTAGCACTGGTTGTGGTGGTAACTCTGGCATGGTAGGAGATCCAGGTGAAGCCTACGAGCCCTATCTTAAGGCTACCGCTGAAGCATCCTCAACATTCTCCTTGCTTGTTTTTCTACCTGAAAATGATCCTTTCAGGGATGCGAACGCGGGGGTAGCTCTAACTATCATTACCAATACCAGTCCTACAACCTGCATGCAAGTTTACGCCCAATCGGCCTGTTTCAAAAAGCTTCGGATGCTAGAGATAAGCAGGATATGCGGGAGCTCAACTCGGAATGCCCAATGGATTTCGTACGCAGTGAGTACGACGCTTTTAAGGGTTAGCCAATTACATCCTCCACAACCATCCCTTACTCTCTTTCTAGTAGGAAAGAGGTCTGGAGGAGGTTCTCAAGAATGTAAAAATGTGGCAGCCTTTAACGCTTTGAGTGCAGACGAATATGCACCGCGAAGTGATGGAGGGCGTAGTGAAGCGACGAGTGATCATTAAGGTGACCTCCACTCATGATAATTCATTTCAACACGATCAGTACCCATATTATTAGTCAAAGTGATTATAGTAAATGAAGAAAAAGCGACTGGTAAGCTGTTTTGATAGGTGTACATCTAGTACAGATTCAAGCACTGAGCTCTCTGCTTCATCTAGTACAGATTCAAGCACTGAGCTCTCTGCTTCGAAGCTCATCCCTACGAACTGAAGTGAAGAAATGAATTGTCCTGAGCTGTAAGATCCAGGGGAGGCGACTGCAATGTCCTCCAGTGGCGGCACGGCCTGTCCTGAGGAGGGGTCATTTCAGCACAGAAGCATCGTCACACGTTCTGGCGAGATAGACAGGGACCGAGGCGCGAGAATGACGGAGAGGCAGCAAGAATTGTGGACACTGGAAAAATTGCGTACTGTCATGACTATACGACGCCCGTTTGCTTGGGATAGCGCACAGTTAAGCCTTCGATTAATCCATCTCCAGAAGCATCTCGAACCTGTCCGTCCATAAGAGGAAATAGATATCCGAGATGAGGCTCAAGATGGATTTTTAGGGTGTGAGCAGCGCTAACGCAGGTGCTTGCTGATGGCATGAGTATGACGGAAGCACACCGGGTCATTCCGCTAGACAGTTGGAAAATAAAACGTGACCCGTTTCGAGAAGACGGCTTTGCTGGCGTCCTTGGCATGCATATGCACTTCAACGAACATCGAATGGTACCGGATTACTTGGCGGATCCAGGTCGGCTCGGTGGACCTTATAGAGGGAAAGGGTATGCAAATTTATGGCTTCAAATTATATTTCACCTTGAGAACATCAAGTATCTTTCATCTTGAGAACATCAAGTGTCTTTCACTTGTTTGGGTTGTCTTTTCTAAAGAAAAAGAAAACTCGCCAGAGGACAGAGTTCTTTGAGCTTTCCCCTCTACTAGGGAAAACAAGAAACACTGCAAGTAAGTACAAAGTTGTAGATCTGGCTTCCAACCTCCTCAAGATGAACCTAGAGACCCCAAGCTGTTCCTCTAACAAGTGCGATCGACGACCCAATGTTGTACCTAGACAATATGTCTATATGCTACAATGCAACCCAATTTTCTGAACGCAGGCACAAAAAGAACCACGAGAGATTCATGTACATTCTACACCCTCATCTGATTTGATGGAGATCAGCAACATCGTTATCTTATAGAGAAATGGAGAAAGGGAAGTAGAAAACTGGTAGAGAAGTTGAAGTTGTTGATTGAGAAGGATATTGGTGAAAGAAGAATAGTGATTCGTTACTTCTTTTCTGAGGTAGCAGGGTGTCATCCTATAGTCTTGGTGTTGGTATGCTAGCCAATGTTAGACTCAATGGAATGGAATCTGTGATAGAATGGAGAAAGGGACTCAGATTGGTAGAAGATATTGAATACTAGAAGAAGAACCTGAAGTTTACGCCATGTTGCTTATCTTTGGTCTGATTATGTGATTGGTGGTAGGGCAGCTTCGCGATGAACAACAAGAGCAATTGTTAGACACATAATTGTTAAAAAAACACATCAGAGTTGTGAATAATTCTTCTGTGATCGTCGATGAATCGATGTGCCACGAACATTCTAGATTAAATTCTAGAATAAGCTTTCATCGACTCTTCAGTGGCGATCCGACGACGCTAATTGACAGAACATTGGCTCTATCTCCACGACTCCATCGAATTGGAACAATAAGTAATACAGGCTCTACCACTTTTTAGAACAACAGTAGAAATAGCGTTCCTTTGTGTGGCATAGTTTCCTAGAGGTCCTATACATGATAATTGCATAAGACAGTTTTCTCTCCATTGCGGAGAGTGTCTTATGCTCATTATAGGAGGTGTCTTATGTTGCCTACGGGAGATGCCGACATCTTCTTGTTTCATGTGAAGACCCGTTTATTTTTTCCGTAGGTGTTTAAGTTTGGAAAGTAAGAAGGATTAGGTTCATAATATCGGCACTCACATTTTTTACTTTTTCAAGGAACTCACTCTGTTTGATTCACAGGGTGGGTTTGATCTAGTGTCGCTTTTAGGCGGAGAAAACTTGATGATTTGTTTTAGTTTGTTGTATCTGTGTACGATCTTACGGTTTCTTTCGTGAAGAATTCAAAAAATTCTATATCGCATCCTAGATCTAGCCTTCGATTTGGACCTCTAAACGTAAGCCTATGGATGTAATGAAATGTCTGATACTAGCCGATATAGTTGTTGTCATATGACGACAAGAGTGAGCACATCGTACAAGAGGAGAATACAGGTTTTCTCTGTGGACGGCAAATAACTTCCTATCCTATCGCCCTATGGCTATGGGCAATGGTCGGCGCTTGGTCACGCCAAAAGCGTGCCTAAAGACGAACGAGTGATTGCTTGTCAATTCACTACGATCTTCGTGCTCTTTATGGCCATCTCACCAGTCTGACCACTATTCGACTTGCCTATTGGACGAGTGTTTTCACCGATGGGAATAGTAAGTCAGAACCACCCTGTCTTGGGTTCTATTATAGCAAAAAAGTGCCACTGTTTCTATATAGCTCGGCTATCATAGACCGAACGAATTTTGTGGCTTATTTTGAGTCTGTAATAGAAATGAGCAAGACGAGTAAGGGCTAGAGTAGACCCCTCTTTGCCGTTGGCTCTAGTACTTAAACATTAATGGTAACTAGTACAACACGAAGATCTACTTTGATACTCTACTAGAACACAGTACAATAGGGAATCAAACATTCTACTTTTAGTACTTTACGTCACTACGCCTTTTAGTTCCTAAGTTTGATCATCATAAAGTCGACGGATCCAAGTTTTAGCGTATACTATAGAAGACGAAAAACCCCGTCCGTCGCCGGCAGCTTCTCGGATAAACATCCAAGCTCTTTGCCTCTCGGTCCTATCAGCGCCGACGCCCCCCGTCATGCAACTTCGTCGTTACGTCTCTTCAACTTTATCATCATAGAGGAAGACGATCGTGGTCAGCTTGTGAAGGAGGTGGTCTGCATAAAGGTTCAAGGGAAGAGTAATCAGTGGGCTCGTTTCCTAACAGCGCATCCGACGTGGACTGTGACTCCGAGCAGATCTGCACTATAACTCTCGCGAAGTCGGGACACATGGCATGTAAGTTTGAAATGCTCCCCCGGTATGTAAGTTGTTAAATGAGGGTTATTTAAGTAGTTGAATGGGAGGCAGCATGTAGTCCTATGGAAAAAAAAAGAAAACCTATGGAAAAAGAAAAACGCGTGGCATTCTGACGTGATCGAGGTCCCTGAGGTTGAACTTAAGCCTGGCACTACAAAAAAAAGCGTACACTTTCAATTGAATTGAAGACATTTTTACGAGGAGCATTGATGGGGAGGCGTCTTAGTGTGACAATTTTAGAACGAAAGGATTTTTCACCTGCAATTTTCACGGACTGACCTGTCTGATGGAGTCCTTTATGACAAGGAAATCGACGGAAGAGTCCGAGAACCATCGTCATCATTGTCATCAACTGGCATAGCGATGGACCTTTATTTGAACTGACTGCAACACTTTATAGACAAGAGATTTGTAAGGACAAATAATGATGACTGTGACGCCGAATAGATCTACACTATAAATCTCGTGATGTCGGTGCACGTGGCGCCCTGACTTGATCGAGGCCAATGAGCTTGAGCATTCAGATACTGTTTTCTTCTTGGCTGCCAGTGCCTGCTCTCTCTTCGGGGGGTTTCTCTTTCAGATATCAGATCCAAACTCTACAAGGTCACAGGTTTTGGGTTCTCTACGGACCATGATCTACGGACCATGATTCGGGATCCCAGCAATGACATGATCCAGGACGTTTATTGCACGATCTCGGATAGCTCCTTTACACCACGAGCTCGGATCCCAATTGGAGGATGTTGGAAAGAAAGGATGTTGGATCTCAACGGAATGAAAGGATGTTGGAATGAAAGGATGTTGGAAAGAAAGGATGTTGGATCTCAACGGAATGAAAGGATGTTGGAATGAAAGGATGTTGGATCTCAAGAGACACTGAAGTTTGTGGATAATCATGGTTTGTGGCTAAGCCCAGACCTTCTGGAGCCATGGCCCCTGCTGTCGCAAGCCAGAAACCTCTTAATCTTAATCTTATAATGTAGACATCATTGTAGCTATAGTTGGTGGCAGTCTAATATTTTCAACATTTTGATTTTCTGCAGGTTGCGCACGCAGAGGTAGAGTCGTGAGTGTGTTCTTTAAACAGTCACCAGGCCTTATGTTTTAGTATAGACTTACAGGTCGTTAGACGGAAGTTGATAGAGACTGTAAAGGTGGCTTCGTTGAGGTTGCTTTTAAACGAGGAAAAATGAAGGTCCCAAGACCTGGCGGTCCGAAGGCTGGGAAGCGCGCTCCCAAGGTGAACGACAGCACCACCGTCTCAAAATCTTCAAGCAAAATATCTGTTGCTGACAGAAAATCCGACAACTCCACGACGACAATTCCCTCAAAAACAAATGTACAGAAGAAGTCAGCAACAGCAAAGCGAAAGGAAGTATTAAACAGGCAAGACGCTCCTGTCCTCGAAACTAACAAGAAAGAGAAGTTCGATGACTCGCAACGTGGCAGTTGCTTTCAAAGTGTACGGACTATGGTCTCGGACGAATGGCAGACTTGTCGGTCAGCTTGGAAGGCAGTAGCTAGGATTCTGCTGGACTCAAGCGAGACGACATCCTCCTCTTCTAGCGCCTCTACTTCTATCGTTAGAAAAACCTCTCGCATATGGCAGCCATTTTATTACGATGGGTTGTGCCGCAAGCATTTGCTTTCTCTAGGCTTCAAGAACGTTCATCACCGACCAGGCGAGGATTTTTTCGAATTTGTCAAGAACGAAAGATTCTTACGGAATAAGGTGGATTTCATCTGGGACAATCCGCCATATACAACGCCAGAAATGAAACACCAAGTACTGAAGGCATTGGCGGATTGTGGGAAGCCTTTTTGCCTGTTGCTACCCATTGCGGTCTTGCACTCGGCCTACGCGCGGGAGTTGTTGGACATGAGTCAAGTGCAAGTGATGTTTCCTAGACGCGTGATGGTGAGGAAGAAGAATCAGAAGGCTGTGCCGTTTAAACTGCTCATTTGGTTGTGTTACAAGATGAAGTTGCCAAGGGATGTGTACTTTTTGGAGGACGAAGAAGAAGACGAGAAAGAGGATACAACTAGGCACTCTGAAGGAGCATCTGACGAAGAGGAAGCATCTGACGAAGACATGTTGTCAGATGACGAAGACATGTCGGAAGATGAAGATGGTGCCCCAGAAGGTAGTGATGGAGAATGAAGCAATCAACTGTACCCCCTTTCTTAGCGACACACGTCTTTCCTGCTGACAGACACACATCTTTCCTGCTGGCATTATTACCCGACTGATCTTGAAAATACGAGAATACGAGAAAGCGCTGTTTGATACTATCAGATCCTGTGTTCACACAATCGGTTGGCAAGAACAGAAGATACTCTTATGATCTTTCCAACGCGGTGTGGAAATCACGCACACGAAATCAGGCCTTTTGTGTAGCGACTGCATGATCTTTTGAGCTCCAGAGATGATGTCACACCGAGAAAATTTCAAGCGCATGAGCGATTGAAGGAATGGCTCATTTATCATCACAATGGTAGACAACTTGTTTATTCTTCTATGTTTGCAGGGGAGAAGAACAAGTGTTTCTCAACATTGTCTGATGGATTCTTTAGATTGTTGTTGTCCTTCTTAGTCGGAGTCGGAGCTAGTAGTGGCACTACCGCTCAGGGTTTCCCTACGTTCATCATGTGAGTGTTCATTCGGGCTGTTGGAAACTCAGTTGTAACGTATAATTGAGACTTCCTGCATTAGTGTAGTAACACTTGTATTTGTATTCATTGAAAAAATGGCTAGTGCTGACGAAGCAGCTGGTGCTGGGAGCGGCGCGCAGTTGCTGGTACCACCTGCTTTTCCACGAAAGCTATGGATATCGTCTCGCTTACCTGGAGGTCTACGCATTACTTAAGAGTCCAAAATCCATAAGCAAAATTCCTATTCCTATCCCAAAATCAGCCTCCTGCTCCGCAGAACGGCCCAGCCCAGGCAAGCAATGCCTTATCCGCCTCCGTGACCACCAAAAGAAGTCCTGGCTATGTGGGCAGCACCGCTTTGCCAGGTGCAAATAGCAAGAAAATGCTACCCTACGTGTCCTTCGGACGAGTGTCGGATTACTCAATACTTGCAGCTTGTGGCGATTCGACACCTGAATGCGACGCTATCTTTTCAAAGCTGCTGCAGGCGGCTAAGTACTATTTAAATGTATTGTAGGAGCAAACTGAAGGATGACGATTCAATTTCGACGTTGGATGAATGTGATTTCAAAGGGGACACCGGAAGCAGCTGATATTTGTAAGGTCTAGGAATGTGATTTGATAGGTGACACCGGAAGCAGCTGATATTTGTAAGGTCTAGGAATGTGGTTTGATAGGTGACACCGGAAGCAGCTGATATTTGTAAGGGGTTGCTTATCTCTATATGATGATGACTTCTACTAATTCTGGGACACTAGTAGAGAGACCTAGTACCTATACCGATTCCGATAGAAGAACCAACAACGGCAGGTGGAAGATGGCTCCCGGGAAGCGACTAAGGCTGCAATGGAGTGCAGGTGCCGTCTGTTGTCTCCTCGACGGACGAGGAGAAATTCTCTACATTCTTGTAACGGCCACGGTGGAGTATCCAGAGAGACTGGCGTTTCAGCTTTTGAACACGGTAGCTGATTTCGTACAGGATTATCTGCCTCCGGAGCAACTGAATACCCTGCCACCATTCGTTGATAACGGAGCGATTAGTTATGCAAGAAGCTATCGAGTTGTGCAAGAAGCTATAGAGTTGTGCCAGAAGCTATAGAGTTGTGCAAGAAGCTATAGAGTTGTGCAAGAAGCTATAGAGTTGTGCAAGAAGTTAGAGTGATAAGACGTCACCTCAGATACAGAGTCTTTCTTACCTTGATATAGACTCTTTCTTATAACTTTTACTTGATCTTTCCTTAAGTTACTCTTAACTCGCCTATTCACTTCTATCACAGCTAGACTGCTCCTCTCTAATCCCATCCGCTTGTCCACGACACAGTGCGTAAGATGGCCTCCCTCCTAGACGCTTACGAAAACCCGGCGAGTGCAGAGAGGTATTATCACGTGTACGAGAAGACGAAGCTTCTACAAGCAACGACAGAGCAGAGTTTGAAGAGTGTACTGAAGAATGCGAACCAAATGCACGCTCTGGAAATCCGGTCTAGAGAAATGGAGGATGCGAGTCAGTTTTTGGAAGCGTCAGCGGCGAGGTTGAAGAAGCATTACTGGTACAACCCATGTGATAGTTTGAATTTTTGTTACAATTGCCCATTTGAATTTCTCTTATGTAACAAACTTACAACAGAGTCCTTTGTCTTGTTAAAATGAACCCACCACTCGTCACCATCATCGTCAGAACATGATCGAGACTTCATCACTCTCTCATATCATTCTCAAATCAACAGGTGGAAGAATAAGCTATTGATGAGCACGATAGGCATAGTTGCCTTGATAATCCTGCTCATTGTGGTGATAAAAGTGCTACCTTCAAGTGGAGAGAATCCACCTGCGGTGCCACCTCCTGGAGGTGGCACCAATGGTGGTGACAATGGGGGAAATATCCCTTTGATGCCGTCGACTGCTGAAAACCCAGCGGGTGGAGAGGACCCCGCAATGGCAGGTACTAGGGAGCTGGATCAAGTAGTTCTCGGAAGAGAAATAGAGGTTGGAGGAGACGTGCAGCATTTACATACTACTGGCGGAACAGCAGCTCCAAGAAGCGGAGGATCTCCACGAGGATCTTCACTTCTACACCAACCGCAGCATCACCCACTTCCCCAGGAGGATCTTCACTTCTACACCAGCAGAACGTCTTCATAGGTAGTCAGCCTCGTGCGTCGCCGAAGATTCTTGATGTGCGTCCACCCTCTTCACTTCTACACCAGCAGAACGTCTTCATAGGTAGTCAGCCTCGTGCGTCGTCGGAGATTCTTCCGAAGCTACTCGCTGAACCAGATGTTGAAGACATGTAAAGATATTCAAGAGCTTCCCATGATCATACTACACATAGAAAGTGTTCGAAAGCGCCCTTTGGAGGATTGTCTTTCGACAACATGTTCCGCATGCAATCATAGGTTTGCAAGGTCACAGATCATAGCGCAGGAACACGAGTTTCCAATGGCTGATGGGGAAGTTGAAGTTGCGCTACTAGTTGCGAGAGTTGGTCTGGCTATCGGTGGATCATGTACATTATATCGTTACGGCCAAGAAGAGGGCCATTTCCAACATCCGCTTGCCTCACGATATCACGAGTACATCATAGTCAGCATACACGCTGTTGTATTCAAAGCTATAACTATCCGTGATTAGAAGTATCGCAACCTCACTCCACCTCCCTCAAAATGCCGGGTACCGTTGTTTGCGCGAGCGGGTACTTTGACCCAATCCATCCTGGACATATCGAATACCTAGAACAGTCCAAAGCCTTGGGGGATAAACTATACGTCATCATCAATTCGGACAAACAAGCGACGATGAAGAAGGGGAAGCCATTCATGAAGTGCGCTGATCGACTGAAGATCGTGCGGAGCTTGGCGTTATGAGTGCTTTTGTTTTGGTTTTTTGCAATATAAAATTCAGGACTATACTAACTTTTATGACTCGTCAAGACCTGACAAAGACCCACTACTTTTCCACTCTTCTAATGCAATGCGTAGACGCTGCCATCGAAGCCTGTGACGACGACCGCTCTGTCTGTGCCACTTTGAGGATCATAAAACCCGATATCTTCACCAACGGAGGCGATCAGAAGAATGAGGGTAGTGTGATGGAATCAATGTTAAGCTTTTAAAATAATACGAAAGTAGAAGATTATGAACAAATCGAATATCCTCCTAGTTTTTTGTTCTAAAGAACACATCATCTGATCCAAAATTCAGGTGTGCCAGAAGCGACTGTGTGCAATGAGTTGGGGATAAAGATGGTGGACGCACTTGGAGACAAAATTAATAGTAGTAGTTGGCTTATCGCTAATAACAAGGGAGAGGAAGCGAAGGTGAAAGCTGATCCGAATGAATAGATTTGGATTCCTTCGTCGAATTCGTTTCTTATTGGAGAAGATCAAGACGTCTAGAAGTTCTTGCGTGTCTGATGAGTGGATTTTGATCCACTGTTCAAAAATGCCTCTTAATGCTTCATACGTAGTTTATTCCAGCTGAACACACCCTCTAAAATGTTTCTGTTGTACACAACAATACGTGCCAACGAGGCTTCTAGCGCGGTTTTGGACCTCTACCCACCCTCCAAGAAGCAAGCAAAGCCCTGATTTTTTCCTGTCAAAATGCTAATTTCTAGGATGAAAAACTTCTACTTCATATCCGCCTCCCACCCCAGTGCGCAAAGGTTCGCCACCCTAGACGTTATCAAAAACTACTGTGAAACGTGTACACCAACAGTTCGTCGTGAGTTGTAGAAGGCCCGACTGAGTCTGTGATGAAACGACAAGGAACTGTTCGGAGAATGATCGTGTTCAACTTGTTTTTGAAAGTGGACAAAAAGCAAAGATCACGGTGGATCCAAAATGAGGTAACAAGTCTTCTGTTTTCATTCATACAGAACGCAGAGATCCCACAATGGAAGCGATAGATTTCGGAGGGTGCGGCAGAGTTTAGCTGTAGATAATTTGACTCCTTTCATTAACGGCAAAAACAGGCGACTGCGACTCTCCAATTTTATCCCATTTATTTTGTTTAGCAATTTCCTCCATTAATTTTTTTATTGGAAAAGTCTCTTCACTTACCAAGTAGCACAAGATCAACCTTTATGCTAATCATTTGTGGAGCCAAAATCTCTTGTCATGCGGACAATTAATGGAGCCAGAATCTCTTAATTGGTGCAGTACAAAATAAGAAAGCAATCTCTCTCTTAAATTTCCTCAATTGGTGCACTACAAAATAAGATCTTTCCATTATAGTTTTTTCTTACAGCAAGAGCAACAGCAAGATCAGAATGAGTGCTTCTCGCGCCGCCTCTCCTGAGGGCGAGGCCCATAGCACCGACGCAATGTCCGGCAACGAGGAAGCCGGTCGTGGTAAGCTGGAGCAGCAGCACAAGCGCGAGCTCAAGGATTTGCGCGACAAGTGCAAAGCAGAGCAGAAGCGGACCAAGGATAAACAAGGAAAACGCGAAGTCGAAGCCAAATACAAAGAGTTAGAAGACTCACTGATTGCCGCTTTCCATGACAAAGTGAAAATCACTCCTGGTACTGGTACTGGAGGTGGAAACGAGCAGGAAGGTGGTAGCAGTGGTTCGAGGTCGGGAAGTCCTCAAAAAGCAGCTACAACTTCTGCTGCGGCAAATGCGGAACCTGTCGGAGAAAAAGACAACGACAGCACGACTCCACCAGCACCTTCTGGGACTTCTTCTAAGGAGCAAGAAGCAGAATCTGCAACGCCAACAAATATCAGTGCGGATCCTGTCGGAGAGGCGCATCTTACGGAGGAGGAGAAGATAGCACGAAAGAGAGCGAAAAAGCAAAGACAAAAAGACGCTAAGGATCAAAGGAAGCAAGATGCCATTGCAGAAAGGGAGAAGATCATGGAAGGAGTGGTACTTACTATTGTCTGATATACTTAATCAATCATGTGATCACGACGTAGACGTTGTAGTTGGTACACTTTCAAGATTCTTGAGAACGATTTTTACTTACCCAAACCTGAAACCACCTCTATCTTACTTCGCCGTCACCTCTTGATCTAGTTAATAGAAATGTGTCAACCAACATAATGAATCTACACCACACAAACCATCCTCAACATCCTCGCAGGTTCCCGTCTCCGATTTAGAGAACCAGCGTATGGAGAAACAGCTAAGGCGTGAGGGCATGCGCATTGTCGACATTCCGTCTGACGGTAATTGTCTTTATCGCGCTCTCAATCATCAGCTACAACAAGAAGATTACCCGAAGAAATATACGCACGACGACTTGCGGCACCTATGCGCGGACACTTTGGATCGGTTTCGTGACGAGTACATGTGCTTTATGCCAGAGGATGCGCCTTCATGGGAAGACTATTTGCAGAAGGTGCGCGATGCATTGTGGGGTGGCGATATGGAAATCAACGCTTTATCACGTGCTTTGAAAGTACGCGTTAAGGTTTATCAAGGCGACGGAGACCCTGTCTTGGAATTTGGGAAAGATAACGCAGAATGGGAACTGAGAATCACCTATCACAAGTATTTGTTCACTAGTGCGCATTATAACTCGTTGGAGCCGGCTTTTTGAGAGGGAGGTTATGTCGATCTGCAGACGAATGCAAAGTAGTCTACTTCTCTTCCCGCAAACCTTTTCCCGAATGCAAAGTATATTCCGCAAACCTTTTAAGTACCTGCTCATGAAATCCTGAGCTTACATACTTCATCCTCCCCAAGAACCCAAGACGCCTATTAATCAAGGATTCTTTCCACAACTTTCGCATGAAATTCCATGGAACTCCTGGTAAACCCGCAGCGATTTATGTCGTGTTGTACACGGGCTTTGTAACGCTCTTGCCCTTGTTCTTCGCAGTCGATTTTAATAGTACCAGTCCGAAAGGCATGTTTATCACTGAGACAAAATGTGGTCCATGAGAACGCCTCCAAAAAACAACGAGGGCGCAAAGCGTGCACAGGAACATCGAAAAAAATAGAAGTAATAACTACAGAGAGATGGTTGTACTGCGAGAGAAGAAACCATGATGCACGCTTGATTTTCAACCTCTGGCGGGCAATCTTGCGCTAGAAAATGAGTACAAGTGAGCTATTGAGAAACGGTTGATGTTATAAATGTGGTCGTCGTGCACGTGCAGTAGTAGACAATTCCTTTTCTCCTCCTTCAGTAGTGATTTATAGTTCTGTGTTTTATAAAGTGTAATTAGTCCTTCTTCCTTTCAAACAAAATGCCGCTCGACCTCCTGGAATTAAGCGACGATGCCTGTGATAGTTTGATTGCTATCTTTATGAAAGCGCGTCCTGGTACGGCAATAGACTTCCTGGATCTCTGCGCAGAAGAACCACTGCCCGATCCAGCGCAAGGCAGATTTAGAGGAAATATCAAAAGCTGGTGGCCGGTACTTCTACTGACTTGTCTCCTGCTAGTGCTCCTCAAAAGGACTTTCGCAATTCACTTGCACTTCGAGCATTACAATATACTTAGGTTGATGTTTCATCCCACATGATTTTTTGTGCCCGTCGACATGAATTATCAAACTCCACACAGGAGAAGGGCTATGGGTTTCTCGAATGTGAAGCAACATTTGCGGTCTATGGATGCGATATTTACATCAATAGGTTAGCCATCGGCCTATTCCAAAAGGGTGATGACGTACACTTCAGCGTAGAACTCAATAAAGATTATGGTCAACATTTAGTGTCCATCTTCCTCGGCATCTTGGTCCCCTTTCGCCTTGTATTCTCATGAAATACAAGGGGAAAGGGGTCGAGATGAGGGGGCCAAGATGTGTTAAAGCTGACTCTAAAAAGAGGGAAAACCGCAAGGAAAGAACCTTTTACCGGTCTCGCAGGAAGCGAAGAGGAGGCAGTTGCTGGTACTATGCAGTGAGAAACTCTAATTCACTCAAACTCTAATCCATATTTCTTGCATCAACTACTTCATCTTATTAATTGTCCTCCTGTCAATCATTACTACACATGATCATTGTTTATCACTCGATCTTTCCTTCTACTACCTTACACGCATTAATAATCGCTTGTGGTTTATCTTATTGTCCTGTCAATTTTCTAGGCTGCCATCGATCCCTCGTTCGACCTCGATGCCTACCTGATGCAGTATGAGCTTGGGCCATATCACCCCAATTCAGAGGAGGAGAAACCGAGAGGGAAGGGGAGAACGTTATGATTTGGTGAGGATTGTAGTTGCTGAGAACATCGGCGACACTGAAGACCTGTCATTGAAATCAGATTTCCTACACCAAGAACATATGCTTTCATATCGTACATTAACAACTCACCTTACCCCCCACAACTACTACAACAACAACAACAACAACATCCCTCCATCTCACACCATCGCTCCATCAAACTCCTCACTTTTCATACCCCGAACGCGCTGCCCGCGGCCAGCAGGAGGCATGGGGAGCTACTTGGGGTTGGAAAGGCGACCCGTGGTGGCGCATGCGAGGACCGTATGAGCGCCCTTTGCCTTTTGGCGACAGACGCGGTTTTGGTTTCACGGCTTTTGGCGGAAAAGGAGAGAAAGGGGGGAAGGGTATTACTGTGGTCTCGCATTAGATGGCTTTACACCAGCGTTTGAGGTTGGTGGAAGGGTATTACTGTGGTGTCGCATTAGTTCGTTACAGCGTAGCGGTATTAGACACGTGTTACCGATGAAAGATTTTTTTTCATACCATACGATCCTAGCTACTTAAACATAGTTACCACAGCCATTTGTCAAAAATACGAAATTTACTAGTTTGACCTCCTCCTTGAGTGTTGACACATGCTGCGGAGGATGCGAATGGTGAAGCTGGTACATAATTAGACCGCATGAAAATTTCAACACATTGAGCCTTGATTTTTTGAAAGTCGCTATTATGTAGTGCTCTCCACGCTTCAGTAGAGGCTAAGTACTCTCGATGATTCTTATTGTTTGCGAGGCCTATTAGAAGTAACGATGTTCTTATTGTTGCAGTTCTTCCTCTTTGTAAAACAGTTAGAGAATAAAATGTTGACAACTTTCACACGATCAAAATCCGTTTTCACTTTCAATATCTCCTAATTGATATGGTTGAAAATGAAAACACTTTTTGGTAGAGTGACTTTACTAGCTCGTAACAGCCGGTAAACATTTTTTTCGCATTGCCTTGCTAGCTGTTTTTTTTAGCATTGCCTAGCTAGTAGTTGCTTCAACGATCAACAACCCTTTGTAATGCTATAATTGATTCCATGAAGATTATTCATTATTTTTCTCCCAGCAAATTGGGTGAACAAAGGCGGCACCGTTCGAGCGCCGACAACTATCTATTCGAAATTGTCCTCTGCTGCCGGAAGCGGCGACTTTGAAGACGTCCTGCCGCCGCCGGCCTCGAACACTGCAGCCGCTAAAACATCACCACAGGCATCACCACAGGCATCACCATAGTAGGAATCAACATAGTAAATGGTGAGTCAGCTCCATATGATTTAAATCGATTTGTACCTCCAGCAGTAGTTCTGCCAAAAAGTTTTAAAAAGTTGAACAAGTGAACGTTTTTTTTGTAAGTGGAGCTTTTTTTTTTCTGATTAGTTTGATAGTGGGATCAATACTCATCAGAGTTGCAGCAGATGCAAGCCAGTGAGCACAGTTGTGCAAGTATAAGTACTACGTTTTTTTGATGAAAAGAGTGAAGGATGATTTAATCTCTTCTTGCGTCTGTAAACAGTAGTGTTTAGATTATGAAAAAATGTGGACCGCATTGCTTGACTGACGACATGCGGTGGTACAATACGTGCACCATGTATGCATGACTACTGGTGCTATAGTTTTCCCATCATGTGCAACGAAGAAGGCAGAACAATCTAGAATGTAGTCCCCAGGAAAATGCACCTGAAGTCTCTCTGGCGAAGATACTATCTTCTGCGAGGCTACAGTTGTGTCTTATTGTTCGGCGTGTGTTGTACTTTCATCTCCAATCTGTATGACGAGTATCCATACAATCGGGTTTCATGTTATAGAGTGAGAGTGACTCTTCACATACAGAATTGATCAAAGATTCTGTTGAGCGAAGCTAGTCTCTGAAGCTAAGATTAGAACGAGGCAGATCTGCGTGAAAAAGCCGAGTTTGCATGTAAGGCAGGGTCTGTGTTTGTTCCTTCCAAGGAGCGTTGTCCATGTAGTTCATCAAGGATAGTCTCTTCTGTTGCCGAGCGAGTCTAAGAAATCTGAATGAGAGTGATTTGTCTGTAAACACTTCTGTGGTGAGTTTGCAATCTCTGTTGAGAATTCCACAGTCTCATTTTTATCTCAATTGTTGTTCTGTTTATTTCCTACTCCAGGCATTATTTCAAATTTGTAGTTTCTAACTACGTACTACTCAGCAATCCCATAAAGATTCCCATAATTAGAGAACCTCTACTCCTAGAACTCGTGAGATTTTTTTGTCTCCTCACAACAAGTACCTATAGCCTGCAACCTTTCCTTTTCGCACTTACGAACATCAATTCACGGTGTTGACTCGTTCATCTTCTAGTGTCTTTCGTTGTAGCAACCCACAACAAAATGCCGCGTACTGTGGGGAGTCCCGAAAAGCGTCCTGTGGACCCTGCACTGGCCACTTTGCTCACCACTCCAGAATCGCCAAGTAGAGAAGCTTATGCGGGGAAGAAGGTTAGTTATTTAGTGAGACGCTTTTAGCTCTTACCCTCATCAAAAGGAGCAAGAACGTAGTTCTTGTAATTGTACTTGCTTGTTGCGAAATGAAGAGTCATATTAATCATTCAGGTAGTTTACTTTCTACCCCACTTCTCCAAAAAAAGCCGCCTAAGCAATTCAAATCCAAACCTACAGGTCATCCTCGCTCGTAAGATGGACCGTCTCGAGTTTATTTCCAAAGCAAGGATGCAATTCATCAAGATTCTGCACGAAAACAACGAAAAGAAGGCAGATGCCATCACTTGCAGAGGACCGGAAAAGTTGGGAGAGGTAGAGAACTCTAGACTTCCTACATGAGGCACTTAGTATTTAACACCTGCAACAACAAGTCATAGAGCCTGCTTAATTATGCTAGAGGTTTCTCTCGGGACCATAAAGATGTCTCAAAATATTAATGTGAATTACAAATTCAACAAGCTTGTCTTAAGTACTCTTTTCACACAATAAATACTTACACCAACACCTCCAGGCATCCAGTCACGGCTCAGTCTACTTTTCACACAATAAATACACCAGGCATCCAGTCACGGCTTAGTCGAAGCCGATAAGCTGTTCGAAAACCTCCGTGACCAAAGCGTCAAGAAGAAGTCCATTCCGAAACGATTGAACGTGATTCATGACTACTGTGTGCATTTAGAGATGCAACAGTCCAAAATGGCCAAGTTGGAGGATATGGACCCGATGCCTAGGCCGGAGTTGTTTCAGGACATCGAGTTTTCCGATTTAAATCCAACCTATGCGGATTTGTTGAGCAATGAGCCGACGCCGTTCAAGGCGAAAGTTATGGCATTGGATTTTTTTAGTCGTAAGTAGTTTGGATTCTTGATGTAATTATACGAGCATAAAGTTACAGTTAGTATCTTAGATGTACTTAGATAAGGGCGAGTAGATTAACAGCTTCGTGCGCCTATCTGCAAAGCGCAATGTACTTACTACCTGACGATCCTCACTCTTTAGCTTCCTAGTCTTAGCGCCCAACAAATGCTCCTCTAATCTTCAAGGCGATGTACGAGACCCCTTGATGGCTGTCTGCCTTTTACAGCCTTACATGCCACCAGAGCCGGTTATGGAGGCGCACAGGAAGGGCAAAGCAGCCGCCAAAGAGAGGATTGCGGATGCCAAGAAATTGGAAAAATTGCGGGCCCAGAAGGAGAGGGAGAAGCTGAAGAACATGCTGGATGGGAATGCGGAATAACTGGCGACTTCTAGGGTTGTAGGCGTTTCTTCATGAAATTATAGAGGAACGACACTTCAGAAGAAGATAGCACCAGAGCATTGGACGAGCAGCCAGCCAACTGGGCTACAAAATGACATACGCAAATTCATAATCATCAAAGTCATAATATCTTCAAATGTACTCATTTTTCTTCATTCCAACATAGCATGTTGTTTACACCAATCTACCTAGCAACTTCAACTTCTAGCACACGAATCATTCAGAATTATATGCAATTTGGAAATCATAGTACCTAGGTAGAAAAATGTCTACAACTATAACACACTTATTAGCTTATTTATTGCCATTTTTACCTTATCTTTGTAAACGAATCTATGACTAGAAACTGAAAGATTAAGTGAGAGACGCATAACTCATTTTTACCTAATACTACTGATCAATATTGCTGACGAAATATACAAAATTTGACGATTCTTAGAGATAATTAGCGAACTTGGACAAGCACAGAAACAGCGAAAAAACAAGGAAATGGACCTGTACTTCAATTTGGAGACGATCAACGCGAGCAGTAAGATCAAGCTCTATGAAAAACTCGTGCTATCAAGAAAGCAAGCTCGGATCAACTGCCCACAAGAGAGGTAGCAGCCAGTCCTCTATTCTAGATCCACTTCAAGTGTTGAGTTCTACTGAAGCCTAATATCGTTGTCACTCTGAAGATCTCCTGAGTTGAATTTTTGCGAAGATCTTGATCAAGAATCTGTCTTTTTGGAAAATCAAGGTGTGAAGATCTTGTTGGCGGAATCATTCTAAAAGACTTTGCACAGATCCCACCAGACGAAGCTGAGTACAACAACGTCGCTTGAACAAGAGAGTTCAACTTTATCCTTATTTTCAACCATGAAGCTTAGCTTTCGTGAGGCCGCCACACATAGCGTCCTGGCCAAAAAGCGAAGCCCCCGGAAATCTGAAATCTGAAGTACAGCCAGTATATCCATCCATCCATCCATCCATTTTTCGCTTACTCTTCGATAGGACCAGGCGAGGGTCTTCTTGTTGAAGGTGTTTGATACAACTTCAACTTCTATTTTCAGAGCTACTTGTAGCCTGATACCTGCATGGATTATCTATCCTTTCTTTGAGTTCATATCCACTGTGTGTGACTGATTCAAGAACATAATTCTATTTATTTCGTTTACAGAGAAGGTTTAAAAAATAAGCTCGTACAGGTTGCTCGATTTTTAAAATAAAAGACTAGACAAGATGTATAAGTTCAAGGAGATCCAGACCGTCCCACCAGCGGACGCGATGATCGACATCATCCTGTCCAAGACGAACCGCAAGACCCCGACCGTCGTGCATCCGGGTTACAAGATCTCTCGTATCCGTAACTTCTACCTCCGCAAGATCAAGTTCTGTCAGACCGCTTACGGCGAAAAGTTCCAATCTATGCTGGCGGAATTCCCGCGATTGGACGACATTCATCCCTTCTACGCAGATTTGTGCAACGTCTTGTACGATCGGGATCACTACAAGTTGGCCTTGGGTCAAATCTCCACCTGCAAGAACGTGATCGACAACTGCGCGAAGGACTACGTGCGAATGATGAAGTATGCAGACTCGTTGTACCGCTGTAAGATGCTCAAAAGAGCGTGTTTGGGTCGCATGTGCACCGCGGTGAAGAAGTTGGGACCGAGTCTGAAATACCTGGAGGAAATTCGGCAGCACTTGAGCCGCTTGCCGAGTACTTAGGACTAGATTTCTATAGTTTAGTACAAACCGCAAGATGACCCGTGAAACTTCGATGATTGAAAAAAATTTCTTTTTCGTTGTTTTTTTCTTATACAACGACGGACCTCTGATGACTTTGTTCTCTCAGAAGTGCGAACTGAACTCAATGCGAAAACGGAAACATATTTTTTATCCTCTCCTCAAATACCCACTCACTCCGTCAGGCATCAACCCCACCACTCGTACGCTCATCCTAACTGGTTTCCCAAACGTGGGTAAGTCCAGTTTTATGAACACGGTTACGAACGCCAATGTTGATGTGCAGCCGTATGCGTTTACCACCAAGTCTCTCTTCTTGGGTCATATGGACTACAAGTATTCACGCTGGCAAGTGATTGATACACCGGGTATCTTGGATCACGCTCTGGAAGAACGAAACACCATCGAAATGCAAGCAATCACAGCATTGGCGCACATTCCGGCAACCATTCTTTACTTCATGGACATCTCGGAAACGTACTTGCTTCTATTTTTAGACTCGTTGCTCTTCTATGTTCGGTCCGTTGATGGAACTGTTTCCCCACTTGATACTAGGACTTAGACCCAAATTATACTTTCTTCAATAGAAAAATGAGAAAATACAAACCACTTGTTAGCTCAAATTACATCTTCTCTCAATTCAATCCAACATCTCTTCGGAACTCAAAAACAGCTGTGGCCGCAATCTCCGTGAACAAGTGAACTTGTTCAACAGCTTGAAGCCTTTGTTCCGTTCCAAGCCCCTCCTGATCGTGGTGAACAAGATCGACTTGCGCACTATGGCTGACCTCACTGAGGCCGAACAGGAACTACTGAACTCCATGGCCAAGGATATGGAGAACGAGGTGACCATTTTCCCGGTCTCTGTCCAGGAGAAGGCTGGCGTCGACTCTGTCCGCACTAAAGCTTGCGACTTGCTCTTGGCTCGTCGTATCGATACCAAGATCAACAGCTCGAAGGTGGACGCCATCAAAAACCGCATCTTCATTGCCCAGCCGACCCAACCGGAGGTTGCGAACTCGCGACCGGCGTTCATTCCGGAGAGTGTGAAGAAAGCTCATCAAGTTGGAGTACAACAACAAGTATCTGGAGATGTCAACATGGAGATGGGGGACAACTCTTCAGATGCCAAGAACAACATCAATCTGTTTTCCAAGGGCGAAGGCGACCGCTCTTCGGTTATGCCGAAGATGCGCACTCAAACGGAGCGCGATCTGCAAGAAGAACATGGTGGAGCTGGGGTGTACGTCGCAGACTGGAACAAGGAATGGCTGTTGGCGCGTGAGGACTGGAAGTACGATGAGGCACCAGAGGTCTATGATGGCATGAACGTCGCAGATTTCATCGACACCAACATCTTGGAGAAGCTGGCGAAACTAGAGGAAGAAGAACGACAGGAGTTACTAGCAGAAGGCGTTGAGGACACGGAAGAAGTGTTGCAGAGTTGGCAAGAAACCGAGAAGGAAATCGCGGTTATGCATCGCGCTATTCGAGAAAAACAGGTTGTGAACCGCGACAGAAAGGCTAGAACGCGAATGGGTCAAGGAGGAATCGAGAGGAAGCGGAATAAGAGCTTAGCAGACGTGGTGGCAAAACTGGAGGAAACGGCTGCAACGCTAGGAAAGGGAAAGAACGAAATCCCAGACGTCGAAAAGCTACGAGGACGGTCTAAGGCACGAAAGCGCCTTACCAGCGTTGACGACGAAGACCGAAGCGCGATGAAGAAGAGGAAAGCGGTACGTGTCTTATACGATTTTTTGCGCTCGTAGTGCCACTTTGATCTTTTTGCATACACCTTTCAACTTTAATAACACAGCTATTTCATGGAGATGATCTTACAATAGACACTTTCCCTGTTTCGAGAATCCTTTCATCTACTCGACAACGACCACAGGGTGACGGCACCGCAATGGATGTTGATGACGACAGTGCGAAGCGCAGCGCCAAGTCGGTTGCAAGATCTCTTCAGCGTTCCCGCACAGCAGCACGATCGCAGTCAGTCAATGTTCGCGGTCTCTCCATCCATACCGAAAGGAGTACGAGTCGTGTCGCTAGTGCTATGCGACCAGAGTTGCAGGAGAAGGCAGAGATCAAGAAGCGAAAGACGACGAAGCAGAGAAACAAGGAAGCACGCAAGGGAGAGGGCGACAGACACATTCCGGACTTCAAGCCAAAACATTTGTTCTCTGGAAAGAGAAAGGCAGGAAAAACGGATCGACGATAAGAACTGGAGATGAACAACAAGAACCTACTACTTCTGGAAGGTGTTGTGGAAGAGGAAATGGAAGTAGAAGAGGAACTTGTTCAACATCTTCATTTTCTTGTCGACGTTGTGATAGTAGAAGAACGGGCGGAAGGTTCTTGCGAGATCTTCCACAACACCTCGTATCTTGTTCGTCGCTACTATGTTATGTAACAAACTTGTGCTATTTTCCTCACCTTTATTTTGGTCTGACCTGATTCGTGTTACTGAACGTTGCATTCATATTTTTAAGCATATTGAATGACAGAAATAGAATTTTTATAGATCCCAAATGATGTTTCAGTTGTCACAGCAGAACTCAACATGTAAGAATAGGTACTTGTGAAGATGTCGTCCAAATATGTACACTTGTTGTTACAGTTGTTACCTAGTATTTGTACTAAACTAGAAGAGGAGACAATTAGACAAGGGTACTAAGAGGACCACACATTCGCCCATGCAACTCGATGAACAGTGAGCTATCCTGTCTGATCCATGCGGAAGAGCGATCGCCAGAGGTGCTCATAGAAGAAATAAGTATCGACTTGCATATGATGATAAATCTTTCCTGATGAAGATGGTACTTACAAAGAACCAAGAAAGCTGTTCTTCTAAGAAGGACCTCCAAAAGCTGTTCTTCTAGGAAGCAATTCCAGAGCATGAAGGACGTGTCTCTCCTGTTTGATGGAGCCATCCTGTTCTGGGGGTACCGCGGTTGTTTTCCCCACGAGAAATCTTTCGCTTATGACAGAATCTTCAAAGTGACAATTCATCCTAAAATCAGTATGCTTCGGTGAATTCACAGTTTTCATGCAATGAAGCTGAATCTGTTTTCAAGGAAATAAGCGAAAAAGAGAATTCGGTGCTCACTGTTTTAGGCGGTTTAAGCGAGAGTGGAAGAACTAGTTCTTTTAGTGCTTCGTTACCTAGCAATGCCATAGGGGAAGAGACGAGCCGTGGAACCAGAAGTAATGTCGTACCAGCACCAGGTGGCAATGCCAATGCAAATGCCACGACGACTTCCAAGTCTGCAGAGCCAAGAAGTACAACCTCAACCAAAGTGGTCGAGCAACAAGCCGTAGCTCCTCGTTCGTATCCGGATGATTTAGCTTCGGTGGAAGCCGAGTTCGAGGAACTTTTAGCGCCGGAAAACCAGCACAAAACTACTGCAGTCGAAGAAGAGAGTGTATGTGGAAAGCAGGAAGACAAATAACTACAACCACGACTAGAAAAAACATCAGCAACAGATGAGGAGCAAGGACCATTTTACTCCTTTGTAGACGGACGATCTCTGCGAGGAGCGAAGGGGTTCAGATATGTCAAATCTGAACACCCGGAGAAAGCTCACACGCTTGCTTACATGAAGGAGGTACTCTTCGGAGCCATCAGAGATGAGGCTGCGCAACAGCAACGTACGTATGCGGATCGAGGGAATAATTTGCCGGAGGGCGCGGATCAGCTTCCACCACAGCCTGAAGCCAAGCGTAGAGGAATCGACGGATGAAAAGAGTCTCAATCGATAAAGTACTAGATGAGTCTGCAGCCTGGGTGTGCGATAGCTTCGTCATGTGTCGCACAACGACTTCGTTCTGAGCTTTATTTGTCTGCATAAAAATTGAACAAGTACAAGAGAACAACTACAGACTTCATTTGTACTTACAGAACCCTCGTCGTCTTCATTCTCACGGCAGCAACCGTCGCAACATTATTGTCGTGGAACAAGAACCGTGCAGATGCACTGTCAGGTTGAGGAGGACGCATCGATTATTTCGATCTCCGAAGAGTGCTTCTGAAAGTCTGAAAGTTCAGGAGATTTGGGAATTAGCCGGCTGTTTCCACTCCATCATTCAAGTCGTGTTGTCACAAAGGGGAAACAGGCAAAGTGATGAGAGTGAAGAGGGGTGTGATATCTGATGTAGAGTTCACGACGAGCACGGGTGACTGAGGTAGCGTGTGAGTGTGGAAATGTCGAAATTGAAAACTTGACGCAAAAGAGCCAAAGACGAAATCTGTCAGATGTGATTGGTCAAGAAAAAGATTATTCAACTTTCGCAAACCACTCCGATCAAATACTTTAGGAATTCTAGGTTGCGTTCTTGTACAATCGAGGGTATCTTTTACCACTGTTACAACTTAGCCAAAAAGAACAAGAGACATGACTTGAAGAAACCAACTTCATCGGCAGACGTGCCTCTGGGCTTGTCGCACCAAAAGACGACACTTGGGAAGGAGTGTGACCACTTCGGTGGCCGCGCAGTGAGCGCGTGCCATTTCGCTGTGTAGCGTCCGCGGGTGTAAATTGCGTTACTAGTAGAAGATCTGGGGAGCCTGCTTGCTTACTGTTTTTCTACTTTGGGCAACTTAGTGGGGGTCAAAATGCCACTTTTGTCTGGTCTTCTCCGCTGGCATGAAAATGCGGAAAAACGTCGCCGAGAAAAGAGCGGCTTCGTTCGTGTCCCTGGACTGCTTTTAAGAGTAGAATCAGAAGCATCAGGACTTTCAGCTTTTTTTTTGTTACATGGAAATTCGGTCAAATGGTCTCCATCTATCAAAGTCAATCGCCCTTCCTTCTCAGCCTCCTCCCCCCCCTCCTCCTCATCCTCCTCACCCTTCTCCTCCTCCTCCTCCAATCGAAGCAACTGCATGCCGCCCTCTTGCCACGGTAGGAGTGCTCTCGTCGGGCTCGGTACTTTTTTCGACGCCGTCTTTGCTCGAGATTTATGTTGCTGCGAGGCATGTGCCGCACCGAAATGACACGAGTACTTATATCTGATCATTATATTTTTATTTTGATTTGGACTTACATCTGCTTAAACATATTGGTTGTAGCATTGATGCCATCACGGTGATAAACTATTAATTTTCCTACTTTTTCCTGAACCTACCTCCCTGGTCTCGATTGTAATGTTGATGTCATGTGTTCAATCTTCTCAAATTAGCTATTCCATGGAAGCGCAAACCACCAAACAATCTTCATGCTGATGGGCTGACCGACATTGATGTTGAAGAAGACGAAGATAATCTCAAGGCTTCGAGTTTGGTCGTTCTTTCAACGGGAGTTGTGGAGCAGGTCGGCACGGAGGTATACGATATATAATAGGGATAAAATGAACATAAGAAAAAAGAACTACAACCAGAACAGCAGCTTCGTTCTCCCGCAAGTATGACTGTTGGCTTCGAAGTGTTCCAGGGTTCAGGGCGGCGGAAGGCCCCCCCCGATCTAGGGAGGCGGCGGGGGGGAGGGCCTTCAGCCCGAGACCCCTTTTGCCGATGGACTGCCAGGCGGGAAGGCCCCCAAACGCCCACCTCCGCGCCCCTGCGGCTTCTTGCGTGTACCCTACAGAGCCCAAGCCCTTGAGGCCATTCAAGCACCGACGGCCGGGGGTTGAAGGCTTCCGAAGGCGGCAAAGGTGGCGAGGCTTGACCCCCTTGCAGTGGTGCACGGCCCCGACAGGCCTCCCCCCGGTGTGCGGGCTTCTCACTGGAGGAACTCTCCGGGGGATGGGAGGCCCCCGAGGGCAGCAGAAGGCAAGGCGTGACCCCCTTCGCCGTGCTGCGTGTGTCCGACAGGGCTCAGGCGGGCAGGCTTTGCCCCCACTCCTCGTCGCCTTTGGTCCTCAACCCCCCGGGCTGTCGGTGGCGGCTGACGCTGCCGCCAATGGGGGGGATGAGAGCAACGCAGCAAAAGGGGCCAGGCCTCGCGACCGTGGCCGCCTTCGGCGGCCTTCTACCCTCGGAGGCCGTCCCCCTGATAGGGTCCAAGAGGGAGGACGGCGGTGAGATAAACGCGGAGAGCCGTAAGGGGGCCCTGGCTCCGCTTTCTGAGGCCTTCGCCCCCCGGGAATTCTCACACCACCGCGCAAAAAAGGGCGCGCCGACGCCACCACAGATCCATCCACAGCGGGGGGAGGGGCATATACAGAGATAAAATGAGCGTAAGACATAAGAACTACAACTAGAGCAACTTCTTCCTCCCTCAAGCACAAGTGTGGGTTTCGAAATATTTGTGTCGAAGAAGATGAAGTCTTTCATTCTTCAGGCTCGTGCGACGGGTGGAGACAATGGCGCATCGCTGGTCAACAGAAAGCGAAAGGAACAGAAACAGAACTCTGAAGCAATAGCTGCGCGACCAACAAAGAGCCGAGGTCTCGGTCAAAAAATTGCATCGTATTTCGGACAGCAGGAAGACCAGAGGCAAGCAAGAACAACCGCAAATCCGAGCGAGACGAGCAGAGACATGGTACCTCATTCATTTAAAGTTAGGAGAACCACTACCACCTATGAGTTTCACGATGTATCACATGTTTGTTGAGTAGTACTTCTTGTCATTGCCTTTCATTCTTGTTCAGCTTGCGACGGTTGCAGGAGGAACTTTGGCCGTGATCCTGAACGAAAGACTGCAAGAACTACAACGAGGATACGTTCACTCTCTTGGTGGAACAGAGGAGGACTTAGCAAAGCAGATAGAATACCTGGGATTTGTGCAAGCGGCAAACAGTGAGGCGCACGCTGTCATCAAAACGCAGGCGGAGGACCTGGAAAGAAACCTCCGTACAAGCATTGCCGGTATGGATAATCTTCAAGGAAGCTTCGCTGGCTTCAGTGCAAGCCTTCTTGCGGCCCTGGATGGACTAAAGGCACTTATTTCATACATAGAATGAGGAGAACTATCAATATGAATATTGATATATTTCACAAGGTAGATTACTTGGAAGATGAGCGCGAGTTCACGTCTTCATAGGACCACCTGCCGAAAATAGTTCCGTTCTTGTTGCAACAAAGATACAACAGGAAGAAGAAGATACTTCAGGCAAAAAAGATCAGTTTGATCATGTTTTTCTGCAACTCGTGTGACACTCCTTGTCCTCCCCCATTCTTCAGGCTTTGAACGGCGCTAAACTCTACAGAAGCACGGACGGCCCCACTTCGAACATACGTATTGTGCCAATTGAATGGAAAGATATTGGCGGAGACGAGGTCAACTGGGAGTTCCCATTTCAGCAAGGAGGCAGCGCGATGAAAACAAGTGCAGCACTAAAGACTGTTCAGTACGTGCAAATCCCAAAAAATAGGCTCGATGCTGCGCGGCCTTGGCGCAGTTACTATCGCGTCGCCATGGACGTTTCGGAGGCAGGTGTTCAAGAGCAGGTTGACACTGAATGGGAGCGACAAGTCAGTTTGGTCAATGACCGTGCACTTTTTGATGCGATGTGCCGCCATGGGTTGGACGTCAGCGCGTCTCTCGGACTCGATGTGACGAATAAAAAAATCGCATCTGGTGGAAAATCGCATCCGTGGAATGCGGTCTTCAACGACGAGGCGGAGTTTGAAGCCCTATTCGGCGCGGAGAATGAGTTTGCAGAGCAGATTCAGAATCACGGCACGGAAATCAGAATTCCACTAATCACCAAATGCACCCCACACCACGCAAATCAAAAGGTCGATCCGTGCAACCATCACTTACTCTCTAGGAGACAAGTAGCATGGCCTGTAGCAGATGTGAGCGATGCGCTGAAAGACGAACGGGAAAGGGATATACTTTTCAAGACGTCCATAAAGAAACCGCAGGTCAGTGAAGGCCGGCGTATCCAGGTGCAATGTGCCGCACCGACGCAAGATGAGGTCAGCGAGTTTCAGGTGTTTCGCAGGGTATTTGTTGAGTTCTGGCGGAGGGATCCTTAGGCACGCATAGGTAGCCAGACTGATTTTTCTTGAAGAACTCTACTCAGTCTTCTAGATGATGACCAATGCGGTCGACCTTGTGGACGCCTACGATTTTGCAATGTGCAGGTGTGGCGAATGAATTGTTGATACTACAGATAATTCTGAGAACTACAGCACCAACAAACCTGAAGATTAGTGTGCTTTGTACCATTGATTTTACGACGATGATTAAGAACAAGAACATGATGCAGCCGACATTTTTACGATTTTTAGACTTCTACACTCAGACGCTGGATGCCGAAAGCAATCGCACATGTCTATCTAGTCCTCGGCGGATGCATTGCAAAATGCGATGTCTGTCGAAACCGTCTCGGTTTTCGTGTTGTAGGCAAAGTGGAGTTGTAGTGAGCGAAGGTCATGATCACTATCAGAACGAGTTCCTGCGGTTGCTAAAGCATCATCAGGGACGCACACGTGACTATGTACGATCAGTCTTTGGTAGTCGGCGCAACTCAATGATTGAAGGGAAAATGAATTCTTGAGAGCTGTTTTTCTTCAAGTCGATCCAGCGGGATCGTTCTCCTACAACAAGCGCAGTGGATACTTGTGAATATTTGATATTTTTGATACCTATGTAGATGTATCCCTTCAAGTAACCTATGTAATGAAACAAGAGTGCCTTGAATATTAATTAAATCGATTTCATATCACGATCTACAAGAAGAGGAAGAACTGTTACGATGGAGTCATGTTTTTTAGAGTGATTGAGTAAGTGTATCAACTACCAAGGACGAAGACCATGTCGCCTTCGTTTGCCTCGTCGAGAATGCTTTCCCTGCAGTTGCTGATTGTTGCATGATCTCATTCTGAGCCAAGCTCAAGAAGCCCGAGCAGGTGGATGGGATAGTTGCCTTTACGTGTATGGAATAGTTGCGGTTCAGCATCAGCCGGTGCGTAGGGGCGACATCGCTAATGTGGTTCTCATTCTTGGCGTCACTGGTTATCCAGCTCACACTCTCTCAGTTCTTATCTTTTTACCGTGAGAATTACGCAAATTCAATATGTTCAGACTGAAGTGAAGGAATCTATTGGAACATTCAGTGCGTCTAGTTACGGAAATTGTTCATCCTTCTCGCCAATGGGCGATGATATTCACAGAGAACATCAACTTTCTCATACATGGAAAGATAGAAACAGGAGCAAGAATTGCATCCTCGTTTTCGGGCGGTCGCTTTTCTCTACGTGGTGAAACAACGACTAGGACTGAGTGGACCACCTTTCGTTCTTGAGAACACGAATAGCGATTTTGAAACACCCGATTGGCCCAAGATCTCTGTTTATAGAGTGAATGGACACGTCTGTTACTTCTGAGCGACTCTTGTGCAAGGAAAGATATTTTTCCCTTCCGATTTTCTGTTGAGAGAAGTGGGCATTTGAGAAGCCTTTCTGCAAGTCTCTGTCGTGAGAAGGCTTTCTTCTCGGTGATGTCTGTCTTCTCTCTGAGTGATTTTTCCGTTTAGACATCGGCTTTTCCCTTTTATTTTGGTGCAAAAAAGACAATTTTGACGGAAATAACCTTTTCTCTTTTTGACTGCAGGAACCCAAAGGATTTGTGTCCATTTTCGCTGCCGCTCATAGATTCATTAGAGAACATCTTCGTTTTGTTCATAACTGAGAGCTAAATGAATCCTGCGAATCCCTTTGCAGGAAAGAGTGTTGCTATCAATTCTATTGCTCTAAGGTGGCAGAAATCTAATTGTTATTGTATCGAATTGAACAAGACCCACACGCTTTGTTCATAACTGAGAACTAAATAACACGCCTAGTACGTAGTCACCTCCACTACATAGACCTTCACATACACCCGTAGATCGAAAAGATGTCAGATCTTGCCTTAGTGAGCAACGTAAAGAAGAGTCCCGTCTTCTCTTTTGGGAGCAAAGGACGTAATCTAGCAAATACAGAGGCCCTCCGAACACCGGGTCCCGGGTCATATGCCATAGACCAGGCCAAAGATGGAAGGAAAGCAAGACCGCAAGCGTATTTACCAATAGACTTAATGATAGTCTCTTCTGTACTACTAAAAAAGGCTCATTTATTTTCCACTGATGGAATAAACTCAAATACAAATAATGCTTTCCAGGCACTCTTACTTTCCAACAAAAAAATTTTCACCTAGGTATTGTTTTCCAACCAAAACTCTCGTCAGGTATTCTTTCCGACCCAAGCTGAGGAGCGAAAAGCTGTCTGACGTGCCTGGTCCAGGCAGTTACGATCAGGACAGCAAATTCAATAGGCCAGGGTCATCGTACTACTTTTTGATACTTGTTTACGATTAAAAACATTATTTATCATAGGCAATGCTTCATTATTATTGACGATGCTTCATTAAATTTATCATAGGCTATCTCTATCTGATCCTCCTCTTGTTCCCAGCGCTTTTTTGGATCTCCTACATCAGGCGTTCTAAAACGAGATGCACGACTTTACAGTATCCTGGTATATTCTGATGTTTGATCATCACTCCTGGTCTATTCTGATAAATTAAAGATGCTACACCCCATGAGTGGGTACATCAATCAATCACTCAATCAATCACTCAATCACTCAATCAGCTCAATCAACTCAATCAACTCAATCAGCTCAATCAGCTCAATCAACTCAATCAACTCAATCAACACAATCAGCTCAATCAACTCAATCAACTCAATCAACTCAATCAACTCAATCGGCCCAATCAACTCAATCATCTCAATCAACTCAATCAGCCCAATCAGCTCAATCAACTCAATCGTCCCAACCCCCAGCCGCGGCGCCATGTCCCAGTCGCAGCGTCATTCGCGTGTAGGCGGTAGCTTTATTCCGGGCCCAGGAGCTTACGATATTCCTAATTCCATCGGCAAATCGAAGAGCGGATTCAGTATGCGTCCTCGAACGGGAGCAGGAATAAAATCTGACAGTGTGCCAGGTCCAGGAACATACGAGACAAATGATGCAACGTATATTTATGCTTACAAATTTTTTTATAGTTAATACTGTCCTGTTTTCGGGGTTGTTTCGTCTCATGTGGAACTTATTTGACTATCTAAGGTTTACCCGCTTAATGCTTTTTGACTTTGTTGTTGGCAAATTACAGTACAAGAAAAACAGTGTTGTACCAGTTGTAATGCAACGTATATTAGAAATTTTTAATGCTTTTTGTTGTTGGCAAATGATAGTACAAGAAAATCATCAATGTACGAGTTGGAAGACCGCCCTCTAAATGAGAATGTTCTATTTTTCTGCGAAGAATATACTCGAGCAAGTAGATTTTTCATCGCAACAGAGTTCCTTTTTCTCTAAGCAGCTCTCAGACTATGCCTCTCATCTCTCGAACGTCTCAGTGTCTCAAACCATCTCCCCCTCAGATGTAGCAAAAGAGGACTCCATGGTGTGTCAAAGCACGCAAATAAAGCCTTCCGCTTTGCACAGGAGCATCGGAGTTTGAAGTACTTACTTACTACTTTTGGAGGCAACTAAGTATCACGTGTTTTTATTTTCGGAGGCAACTAAGTATCACGTGTTGTTATTTTCAAGATTCGACCTCGCGATCTTCAATAATCTTCTGTCTCATGAGAAATTTTATCACCATATCATCATCAAGGTACGGGGATTCCTCCACTCCTGGACCGGGTAGCTACGATTGCGCCAACAAGTCACAAAATGTCAAGACCGCAGCACCAAAATTCTCGATGAAAGGTGGCGGTCGCCCAATTCTGCGTATGGCTGATACCCCAGGACCTGGAAGCCATAACGTCGGTTCCTTATTTGGCTCTTCTTATGGATACTACAACAAATGAGATGGTCCAACAAAATGAACAACTTCTACAATTTTCCATTGTGCTGTAAGCCTATGCAGGTCAACGATCACTTTTCTGGTTACAAGGTTACAGTCGTTTCAGTCGTCCGCATATTATCAAGAGGGAAATAAAATGTACTTTATAGAAATTGGATAGGAGGACGGCTGAAAAGGGAAATGAATTGCAAATGATAGTTACAGAATATCCACAAGCTAAGACTGAAAAGACTAAACACACTTACAAAATATGAAACACCAATGCCATTGTAGTTTTCTCAATTATCAACTTAGTTTTCTCAATTATCAACTATGAGTATGAATGAGGTCGTTCAACACAGAGAAGGGAAATAGATTTGTATTAAGCTTTTGGGATGGGTTGATGCGCATATTACGGCGTAGAGACTTGAAAGGTGGCGCGATCAAACATAGGGAGAAGATCATTCTTTCTGGAAAATGAAAAGAAAAACAAATCTTTCTGGAAAATGAAAAGAAAAACAAATCTGCTAGCCCTCGTGGGCACACTTACAGGTGTCCAGAGGACAAGTCTATTTGTCAGGTGTTCTACTACGTACTGTCTTCTAGTTTTTTGGTCTGAAATATGAATACGAAAAATTTTGCTTGTGTGGATTGAAGAGGCTAGCCTTCCTTGAGTAATCAAATAAGAATTGCCAGAATGAACTAGCCTCTTCCTCTCTCTCTCCCCCTACCTACTATAGAAGTTCATCTCAGACATGAAGATTAGAAAAAATGACAAAGACCTGCAGCGTGTTCACCTCTCGTTTTCGATGCGACACCACGATTTACAGAACATGCATGACGACCAGGATGTTCCCGACTCTCCTGATGGCGCTTCATCTTCTCCCAGCCTCACTAGTCCAACTGGTTCCAGGAACCACTACCACAAGTCCAAGCTCAGCACCAACAACCTCTCCTCCTCCTCCTCCTCCCCGGTTGAACCGCAACATCACGACTCAAGTGTTACAGCAGATAGAGCGGCCATTGAACCGCAACATCACGACTCAAGTACTACAGCAGATAGAGGAGGTGTACTACCTCGGATCGCTGTCGTGTCCGATATGGCGAGGTGAGCCGCGTCTCAAATGTTCCGTTCCTGGCAGTAATCGCGTAGAGTACTACCTCACCACGGTAGCAGATCGACCTAACAAGATCCTTAAGTTTTCACACCTTAAAAAGATGAAAAAGTATAGCTTAATAATAGATTGTCGTGCAACACTCACTTTCTTTCTACTGGATCGCCTCGCAAGTAGACGACTCTAATAGCTACATGATAAGAGGCACCATGACCTGACAGGTCTGCGTCCTGGCGTAAGAATAGTCTCTGTACTCATGATGAGATGAAAGCTATCACATATCATTCGCGATTAGTAACGACGTACACTATTGGAGAATCATTTCTAATAATTAGATTTCCTCGCCCTCTCATGGGTATTCTACCATACCCCACGAATGGGTCGACTGCTGCTGCTTCTAATTAGACATCAGTCATCATCTAACAAGATCCTGGATCCCAACGAGATGAAGGCACAAATGCACCAGGTCCGAAAGGGGATAGAAAAAGCACCAGATGCGGACAACAACGTACCGCACGGTGTCCTAGGGAGTCTTCTACATCGCGCGTATCCAGTTCCGAAACACCTTCAAGAATATGATCAAAACGGGTCAAGCTCAAGAAGCAAGCCGGATGCTGCAAGAAGAAGAACATCCCCTTCACTCTACTCGTACGCGCAGCATCCTTTCCTGTCCCAGAAGCGCGTCAAAGTGAGAGTTGGAGCAGGCATCTTCAGTGTGGACGATGTACAACGTTATGATGTGGAGCTCGGACCGGTCAGTCTTGATCCCTGGGAAGGACTGGAGGAAGCTTCTAAACAGGGTACAGAAAACATAAGCCAGAATGAACTAGAGTTCTGGATTGAATTCGAGCCACAACGGAACAAGATAATACTGACGCCAAGATACCTAACGCTGCCTTTGATAATCGTGCCGAGTGGAAGCACGGCAGCTAGGCTGGGATTTACGCGGTGGCTCGAAAATGCGAAGGCGCCAAGCTGCTCGTCGATTCTGTGGGGACGTGAAAGAGATGATGATGCTGAAGATGTTGATAGGGAGCAGATCTATACGAAGCGTTGTACGGGAAGCATAGAAAATGAGGATCCTACTTCCAGTCGGAGGCAGCAAGATTTAAGGCTCAGCTTTCAATGGTCATTGGGGTTGGTCACTGAGATCCCTCTTGAGAGAACAGGGGAAAATGAAGGAAAAGCAAAGGGAGAGGCATGGGGCCTATTTCTTTCAGAGTCAGTGACCATTGAATGCTGAGCTTTAAAAGATGCAGCTGCCTCTCCGTCTACGGAAGCGACTTCCCCTACCGCAACAGACTCGAGCACCTCCTCTCTTTCTCGCAAAAACCTTTTTGATGGCGTTTCTAAGGAACAAATCGACAGGCTTGAGCAGTTTGAAATCGGCAGCTGCAGAGCTTGTAGTGATAGAGGTGAATACATGATGGCCGATAGACGGTATCCCGCTATTGGCGTAGCAGAACTGTTGCAGGACTTGTTATCGAGCGGTGCTGAGAAAATAGCTCTACTGGAGACGGATGCACAAGGTCTTGATGCGGCTTTGGTATTTTCTCTACCTGTGGCAATGTTGCGGCATCAAATTGAGGAGATAGCAGTGGAGTGCCAGACAGAGGGTCCGTGGATCTACGAAAAAGCACGAGAGGCTGGAGGAATTGAAAATGTTAAGATGAGTTCTGACTGTTACCCTTTTCTCTTTTCTATCTTCCTCTGGTCTGTCTTTTTTCTAGTTAGGTCGGCTCCGCCACAAGTATTACACTCGCTGTCATCTACTCCATCTCACAGTACAGGATCCTCGAATAGTCTTAGCTTGGAGGTATTGATTTTTTCATCTGCACGAGCATCGTATGTCTCAACGTGGTCGTCACCACTTCTAATAGCAACTGCATTGCGATTCAGAGCTACTTGGAAAACAACGGGTTCCAACTGACCCATCGGGAGTTCAACAATTGTGCATGCAGAGAATGGAATTACAAATTCAGAAATGCGAATTTGTCGAGAGTCGACATGTCTTCTGCGAAAATAGGCGATGAGGAATTATAGTTATGGTCAGCTTTTTTCCATCATTCTCGGCATCTTGGTCCCCTTTTCCCTTGTATTCTCGTGAAATACAAGGTGAAAGGGGTCAAGATGAGGGGGCCGAGATGCAATCTAGCAGACCCTAATATAGGTGACATAGCAGCCGATTCTGGTCATGAGGGATGCGAAAGACAGAACATATCATGTTGAAGTTGAACTAGGCCGTGAAGAAGGAAGGCGACACATCTCGTCCCGTAGCTTGTTTCCTCCTTATTTAGCGCGAAAAGAAACTTGCATAAATCATAACACTAAGTACTACATTAGGTGGCTGCGACTGCATAATTTATTGCATAAGTATTCACTGATGAAAGATTTTGATTTTTTTTGAAAGATCATAGGATCCTCCCGCTTGTAACTATAGAAGGGCAAAAAGTAAACTTCATTTATCTGCAACTGCGTCTTTGATACGAAGGCAGATGCATTTAAAAATTTTGTCCAAAACCGATCATGATGTCACTTTCTTTTAGGTTGCGCAATAGGTGCAACCTTCCAGAACTGCGCTCAAGATGATGTAGTAGCTCTTTGATTGAGAAGATTTAAGTTCTTTGCATGCTCCCGATCTCTTCGACTTGGTTCTTTTTGACGACGGACGAGACCAGATGGCGATGCTCGAATTGAAGGACTATCCAGTCAACTACGCTGTTCAACCGTTGAGACGTACAATACTTGTCATCATTTTATTCAACTGGTTGGCCTCACGAGTAGACACTAATAGCTACATAAGATGAGGTACCACGACATGACATGACGACATTCGCATGCCTGAAGAAACCTGAAAACGATGGATGCCAAAAAAAAAGCTCTTATTTCACGAAGTTCATGGCCTAGAATTTTGATCAACAGTGTAGACGGAAGTATGTTCATCAATTCAATTGATTCCTGTAAGTTGTAATGAAGCAATTACGTTGTATCATGTTTTTCATTTCTATTGTGTCTATATCTATCGGTAAAACTACACCAGTGTACAGCTAGTGCAGCAAAAATGTCGTCGACGCGAGGAAATGGCGGTAAAGAGGTTGCGCCAAAAGCGAAACAAGGCGACCTCCAAATGGAGCGGATGCATGAATTGGATCGCCAGGTAGCTGTGAAAAAGGCAAAAACTTTAGAGGACACCGTGAAGGCGCTGTACACTCAATGTCCGTGGACCCAAACCAAACGGCCTTACGAATTGGTGAAGTACTGCAAGGAAGAAGTCGGAGAAGTGGCGGAGGAGATAGAGAAATTGTGTGAAGTCGAAACGAAGATACACAACAAGTTGCGCGAAGTCGAAGCAAAGCAGCAGTGTGAAATTGAAACGGACGATCATGATAGTACCACCCGTACTAGTGCTGCTGGTTGTTCGTCTAAAGATAAAGGCGACATCTTGGAGAAGGATCTGCACAGGACAGAGACCTTGCGAAGTCTCGAGGGTGAGGTTGGGGATGCCTTTTTCACTCTTTACATGCTGGCATCGAGTTTGGAGCGACACGTTGACGGGTTTTCCACCGAACGGGCAAAGCTTGCCTGCGCCAAAAAGATTCGCGAACGCTGCGCCTACATCTGGGGAGACGAAGAAGCCAACACCCCGGAGGAGGCGGAGGCCATTTTCAAGAAACAAAAAGCGAAACAGAAAGAGAGGGAGAGGATGAAGATGGAGGAAGGGGAGAAAGAAGAGCAGGAACAAAAGAAAAGGAAAAAAGAAGGGACGGATGATCAAAATGCTTGAGACTTCACTACAGTGTACTAGTCATAGCCACAGATGGACACTTATTTCTGAGAAGATTCTAACTTGGTTTTGTCCGGCAAGGTCTAAAGAAAACTGCACGTAGTCGCGTGATTTTTTCAACCGTGTTGTTCGTTGATGAGAATAGAGAACTGCACTTCTTCTGTCAACACGAAGTGTGCACCTGTACGTGCCTACTAAGCCCTTCATCGTTTAAGTGAACTTCGGCGCATGAAAAATCGGATGGTTTTGTTTATCGGTTCGATACAAAGTCGGAGTTTCCTCCCTTCGTTTTGAGTGAATCCTTGTACCCTCCAAGAAAAAGCGCTAAATGGACCCGACCCAACGAAGAGTGAGTACCTAATGCCCCTCCAATAACCCACCGCGCGTGAAGATTATGACTGTACTCCACGCTCTCCATACTTATAATCCTGTTCGAATCGTGTCTGGTAAACGCCAATTTTTGATTCACCTCCTGATACTAGACAAAACATTCTAAGCATCTAAGAATCGTTCGTAATTCTCTCTCTCTAGTTCTTATTTGTTTAAATTTTGAAACTACAGAAGATGTCAGGCGGCGGAGGGCCGCCAGAGGCGGCGTCAGATACGGAGATTCTGTTGACGAAAATTCGAGGTCTCCTTTACGAAACACGCTCAATCGGCTTTCGATCCTTGCGCATCGCCTGTGCCAAGTCCCTCAATAAAGCGAACCCAACGACAGGAGAGTTGTTACGGCTACAAGAACATGACTTGATGAAGATGATGCTAGTAGTTGGAGCAAGAAGCTGCAAGTGCAGTGTGGTTGTGTAGGTAGTTTGATTGATATGTGTACAACTCGCCACAGGCAGAGAGAATACTAAAGCTACATCGATCAAGACCTTGCGCATCTGTACACTAAACCACTAAGCCAACTGCTTCGGTTTCCTTGCTCTTCTGATTAGAAGGCACTGCTGGGAGACTGAAAGGCCTCAAGAACGTGAGTTAGGACGTTTAATATCTTTTTCTAATCTACGCTCTGCGTCATGCAGATGATACCTTTCGGGAAGCCAGTGTTTTTCTGTCTGAGAAGGAGCTTCTAGTTTTGTCAAGAGCCTATGGAAATGGGAGGCTCGTGGATCGGACGATTTCGTGCAAAAAAGTGCTCGAAGCTCTTATCCCGACCGAGGAAGCAATGCCGGAGAGAAGTTTTTTGTTATGTTGACTGGGGGACTAGCGTTTCATCTGTTTCAGTATCTATACATAGTTATATTTACAAAGTCTACTAAGTTGTAGTGTTTATAAAGATTGCTGTACAGTGCCGAGTGACTACCGAACCTCGCGAAACAAGCAACAGATTCGCACCATCATTTTTCATCACCATCTTCAAACCATCAAACGATCTACTATCTACTTATCAATCAAATCAATCTATTCCCATTTTGAGCGTCTAATCCCCGCCGACAAAGTTTGGGCTGAATGCGCCAAAGCAATGGGCGCCGAGATCGACCTGATCGATTTTGTGGAGGCGAGCAATCCAAAAAACTACCCACATTGCAAAGCGGGTCGTGTCACCTATGACGAGTGCAAGCGACTTCTTATGGGAGAACTGGAAAGCATCATGGGGCCATTGGGGAAGGCTGCGGTAATATCTCCTCTATAACAGGTTTATAGGATTTTCATGGGACCATTGGGGAAGGCTGCGGTATAATTTTGGGTTTATTTTCTTTCTCTAGAACAAGAACTCATGGGATGTCAAATTTTTTTCATAGCTATGCTTTCTAGGTAGACTTCCAGCTGGTCAAGACCTATTATAAGCTATTCAATCCTAGCTACGTTATCTCAACATGCTATCTGATCCTAACAAAAAGTAACCCTAAACCCTAAACCCCACATAGGTCGACGCTGAAGTTTTCCGATTATATGCGATGCAGACCTCTTGCCTCTGCTCTCTTGACGCCCAATTCGAATACATGATGGGGATGTTCACTACAAATCCGAATCTGATCGATAATACTTTGTCATTATGGAAGATTGAACCAGAGTTGGATACGGACTTAATCATATTACATTGATTCATGTACTGAGGACCGTCAACAACGTACTGAATAAATTTCACCACAATTTGGTTTTCCTGGTTGTTCCTCACGTACCAAGAGTGATCTTCCTATTCCATCAGAATCTACCCTCTAATCGGAAGACAGCTCAAACTCGTTGACATGTTTGTGACGAAGTTTAACGAAATGAAGAGCACGCGAAGTGTCCTGCAACTCTTCCAGTACTACGACACTAGCAAGAATTTTGCCCTCTCCTTCGCGGATTTTCGAAAACTTTCAATCGGAGTAGGCGTGAACATCTCTGAGCTGGAAAAGAGACTAGTATTCGACTTCTTCGGACCGACTGGAGTCATCGTGTGCGGACCGTTTTTGAAGTACTGTATGTATTCGGCCTTTTTAGGTGGAGTATCCTTCTTCAGCTACTTCGTGCACTTTCTTGTAGAATATTCAGCCTTACTTATAGTGCGATTCTTCAGCCTTACTTCGTGCACTGAGTATTATAACTACTGGCGCACACTTGTTACTACAACAGCAGTTGTGGCGTTTTCATTCTGCATCCACACGAAAGGTACGTCTTCTACCTCATGGAGTACGAGACACAAAAAATTGGCCGACCCGCCGAGTATCGGGCGATCCGCGAGCACGGTCCGCTAGCCCACGATCCTGATGCAGAACCACGCGGACTCTGTGCCAAGATCAAGAAGCATTTGATGAAGAACCACCCTCGTGGCCTCAGTGTCATCTTCAATGTGCTTCACTTGCTGAATCGCGTAGGCAGCAAAATCCTAAGGGACGACTTTCAGTGGGGATTGGAGACATGTGGTATTTAAGATCATAATTGGGTGATTGGCGTGACTTTCAGTGGGGATTGGAGACATGTGGTATAAGATCATAGTTTTAATTAGCGAGATCGACATGTGGTATAAGATCATCATTGCACTGTATTTCTCTTTGAAGTTACATGTCGAGATCAACAATAAAGAACTAATGGTTGTTCCTTTTCATTGGTGTCGTGATTTTTACTTGTAGTCCACTGAAAATAACCGAGTTAGTAAGTTCCTGAAATAAGGGAGGTAGGTAGGTTTGACAGGGCCACTGTTCCTTGTTCAGGCTTGATTGTGCTTATTTCAAGTAGTTACTCGGTTACCTATTTCAGTTTTTCGAATACTTGTAGTCCACTGATCAAACCTGTCATCAAAATGATGTACTACTCAAACCAACATTTTTGCTGTTAGAGGGATGACGATTAACGAACCTCCTTTCAACCGAATAATCGTTGTGTTAAGCGGGGATGGTATCCTGGACCCCGATATCTACCATCTGTATCTTCGCATTAACAATGACATCGTCAACATGTAGGTCTCCGACTCGGAACAGCAGAAAGCGAGTATTTGAAGCAGTATTTTTCAGGCGGGACTGAAGAAGTGGACCGAGACGAATTCTTAGACTACCTGAGATGTACCAAGGACGACGGTGACTTGTCGGACTATCACGCACGAATGAAAGAAGCAGAGGCGAGGATAGAACAGGTAAAACTTCACTCTGTTTTTAGAATGTTCTAATGATCTTACTCATACATTGCGGCTTGGATGAGATTGTAGTAGTTCGTAAACATGGGAACGAACAAGTCGGTTCCCTTAAAATCGTAACTAACCAAGTCATTCAACTTGAATCAGTACTTACGTCATTTACATACCCCTTACCCAACTGAAGGTTGCACCGGGCCCTAATGAGTATGTTAGCGCCGACTACACGATGAAGAAATGGGAGCCAGCGTTTGGTGGATCCAAATTCATCGCTGCACAGTTTATCCTCGATATGTACGATGTTAGCGGCCATCCTTACCTGGAGGCGGTCGGTGCAAAGGCGCTCACAGACGAGTTCTTTGTTATGAAAAAGGAACAGACTGAGGACAGTAATTCTTAACTCTGTATAATTCCTACAAGCCGAAGCCTGTAGAAGTTTTCGTTTCGTTTACAAGATGTCGCATGAACTCTTCCTGTTTCTCAAGGGACATCGATCATCTACAACTTCCTGCAAGCTCTAACATCAAGTACCTCGGCGAGAGTTTGGCGATCGGCCGTGCGAGCAAGGCCAAAGTGGTGAAATACATCGTGGATGAGGGTCTCTGCCAGAAAGACGAGGTGTGGCGCAAGTACCTCTACACCTGCCTGCCTTCGCGCAATCCGGATGAGAACGTCCTTCCTACAGGGGAAGGAGCGTAGAGAAAAGAAAAAACAATTACATTGACCGATACTAAAACTTACTATGATTTCCAATTCCAGTCGATGTCGACCAAATTTTAACAAATAGAAAGGCTCCTGTTTACGACAAGTTTGAGTTACAAGAAAAACGTTAGGTTACGTCATGTTACAATTCGCTGTATCTTCAAAGTAAAAACGCTGATGATGTACTTCCTTACAACTGTTACCTCCATTCAAAGATATGACGTTGATCAACACTAGCTCGTTCTCGGGCTACAACGGGAAAATGGGATCCTGAAAATGTATTGAGCCCTGAAATCTTAATCTTGTCTTTCTTCAACATGTAGAAATAGAAAGGTGTAATTCATTGTATTATTTGCATATCATAACATTCTTGATGGATAAGTTGGATCTTTGTCGAAATTGCGCAAAGGAACAGAACGCTCATGATCATAGATGGTACAACAACGCTTTCTAGATGAGTCCAAAATTAGCGATCTTTCAACATGATTACAGCGATCCCATTCCGGGAGGCTGTGCCTTCACGAAAAAGTTCCATCGAAGGATGACATCTCCAATCCAAGGATCCAAGATCATTGAGTTGTGAGATTCTCTTCTCCTGAGATGCCGTATGATGACTTCTCTTGAGACCCCATCATATTAACGCTCTTGAGATCCTACCATATTAACGTGATTTACCTTGAGATCCCAGTGCGTGAATGATCCTTCACGTCAGACCGATCCTGCAAGGGTTACTGTAGATTCAGCTCCTTTATCGGAAAGCATGGTTCCTGTATATTGCGCTGCTGTGAGATCAAAGCTCAATTGGAGGTCTGTGAGATCTTGGAGGTGATGACAACTTCTTAAAGGGGTTCTTCATCATGTTTATTCAGAAACTTGACATTCATTCAGAACGACCTCAAAACTACTTGACCACGTAGTATCCGAGGTAACATGACATGACATGACAATCAGGCTGTGGCTGTAGTATTATGCATCAAAGAAGTGAGCATAGGTTACTTTCAGGTAGCGTTTCGAAGTAGAAATATTTAGTATCATGCATAAGAATTATGATTGGTAGCAGACTACCCATGCACACTACTAAGACTTCAAGATTTGTTTCTTGCTTCTTGTTTTATTTCTACTAACATAAGAAAGTCACTTGATGCTGCTGAAGGATCATTTGCGTGTCTGAATAAGCAACTGAAGAAAATGACGACGACATGGATTCCTGGCCTGTACTACCGGCACACGCCGGCTTTCACGATTGCCGATCCGGAGACATGGTAAGATTTTTGCACTACAAGGATTTTATGGCACTTTCTCTCTTTCAACAGTAGATTACTTATTTGATAGTAAAATCCGTTGATCGATTTCGCTATTGAAAAATCCTACCCGACATGATTTTTCTTCTATTTTTCTCTACAGTTACATCGCTGCCGGTCGATTCGTTCTCGGCATGAACGTGACTAATGGGAAGATAAGTGAGCGATTCGATGCCGGATCCGACATCCTCTGCATTGCCGGAACTCGCGACCACGTAGCACTGAGTCTCGCTGATGGTCGTTTGGTCTTGCATAAACCTAAGCGGGGACAATGGTCAGAAGTCGCTTGTAAGAAGAAGGATGAAAATTCTGAAGGAGGGGTAGTTTCGAAGTTGCACTTTCAACAGAGAAGTGCAGTGGGTGCAGGTCCCGATGTACTGTTTGCGGTTGTACAGAAAGCCACTGAAGAAGAAGGACTTCTTGCAGCTACTGTTTCCGCATTATGCCCAACGACGTTGGAGGTGATGCAAAACGAAGTGGTGCCACTGATTCTTCCTGCTGGTTTTGCAGATGCAGACGTCAAAAAAGAAGGAGTTCAAAAGACGAAGAAGAACCTGCTTTTTTCCGCAAGTACAAACTGTTTGGCCATTGTTCTGCCGCAGTTGCCGAGACACTTGTTTTTTCGTCGTCGTGGAGGTGAGAGTGGCAATACTGGTGAAAAGCATCAAGCAGACAACTCTTGGCGTTGTTTCGTACACAGTCGAAAGGTCACAGCAGTAAGCATCGATCCTGCGGAAAAGCACATTGCTGTTGGTGACGCTAGAGGTATGGTCTATACTTGTTTTACGCCTTTCTCTGTTGCAACCCTAGGGGAAGCTGGCGCAGTCCAGCCAATGCAGAAGCGCCAACGACGACTACAAGCAGGCCAAAAGCAGGTACGGGGAGAGGAGTCGGATTCCACTGCTTCTGCAGATTCAGACGAGGACGACAGTGAAGACGAAGACGACGCTTCTCCAAAGAGTAGCAAAACGACGACCATAATATCCATGGAAGATGATTCCACCGCAACAAATAAACAGCAAGCTATCCTCAATGCTGAGCCGCTCACTTTCGGCGCGGGTGTCCACCACTGGCACGCCAAGGGAGTTTCCGCTTTGGGTCATATTGGTTTCCTCGGCAACGAAATCTATTCCGGTTCTAAAGAAAGCGTCCTAGTCCTCCGGAACCTGGAGTTGGAGAACAAGAAGTTCTTTCCACGTATATCCGGACCGATCGTCCACTTAACACCGAGTCCTGATCAAAGATTTATGTGCGTCAGCATGTCCGACAACTGCATCGCCTTTGTGGATCTGCATCAGACGAATAAGGTACTTACTTACTACTGGAGTACCCTTTCTTGTTTCATCAGGCAAGATGTTAACTGAGTAGTGTTGAGCCCGAGTAGATCTTCAAGTTTGAATTTTAAATCCTGAAAGAATGAAGCTGTAACTGTATCTCCTTTGTCCAACCACTTAACGTAGGTATCGCGAGTTCGTGGGTTGGAAGCTCCTAAGGAGCTGACGCAGAAGTCGCGCCGAGGACTCAAAACTGCTGTTGAAACAAGTACAACTTGTGCGCACATGTCTTGGACCCCTCTTCCTTCTTCCGCAGTCGGAGCAGCATCCACCAAAAGAAGCAAGAAGTTGCTCGCTGTGCACAGTGGAGTGAGTGAGATTCAGTTTTTCCATCCGAATCCGCAAAAGGAGATCGACGCCCTGCAACCGGTGGCTCGACTGGCAGTCCAGCCTCGCAACATGCAGACTGCGGCTGAAGCATTGACGCGAGTCCAGTACACTGGCGCAGACGGATTGACGCGCTACGCGAAAGCGACAAACGCCAATGGTGTCGACAATCCTTGGCGGCTGACGCATTTCTCTTTCGTCGGTTCAGAATGGCTGTGCACTGCGGAGGCGAAGAACTTGTCATCTTCTAGCTCCACCAACGAAGTTGGAGGAGACGTAGAAGTCGAAGGAAAAGGAGAAGGGACTATTTCCACAACTTCTGCTTTGCTGAAATGGTGGAAACGGAACGAGAAAAACCCGAAACTATGGGACTTGGACACTTGCGTCTACGACGCTCATTGGAAGCCGATTTCTAGTCTGCTTTCGACAAAGGATGTGACCTTCACCGCTTCGAAAGACGGCTATGTAAAGCGATGGGCGTACGCCAAAGCTGCTGATGGCCGTAGCGTTTGGCAAACTGTGGGGGTGGCTAAATGGCGCAACGAAGAAGCCGTCGACGCACTCGCTTTGGCTGAAGATGGCTCAGTGTTGGCGCTCGCATCTGGAGAAAGCCTGTTCTTGTGGGACCCAGTAAACCTGACCCAAATCGGCGACGTCATGCTGCACTGTTCGCACCTAAAATTCAATCCCGAGTTGGTTCACGTTGTCGACAAGAATGCTGCTGAAGAATCTTCTACTTCAACCTCCGAAAAATCTTCCACGGCTTCATCCGCCTACTTCCAAAAAACGTCCCAATGCTCGCAGGTGGAGCTAGCAGTGATGGGGGGAAAATTCTGCTTGCTTTCTCTAGGATTTGGTCGGCTTAACATCTGGGATCTGAGCACACAGAAGATAGTGCAGAGACTGCAATGCAACGCGAGTGGGTCTAACATCTCCAAATTCGCCTACAATCAGCGGACGCAACAACTAGCACTTGCTCTGGATACGATAAAGGGAAGCGAAGTTCAGGTAGTGCTAATACTTAATGCTACTTTATTTTGGTGGTTACATTGTTTTTCTTACGAGTGACTTCAATTTTTGTGGTACTTTGTGCCGCAGAGGCAGATACAATTGTTTTGCATATTGCTCTGATCTCTCACTTGTTTACTTATCCCCAAATCTAATCAACGAACAGGTTTTCCGCAAAGCAGACGACGCCAAGACTTCCACGTCTTTGCCTCTCGTTTTTCAAGATAGAATCGAACTCGGCACCTCTGGCGCTTTGGCTCTGGAGTTCAGTGAGGTGGATGAGTCTCTTTGCGTCTTGCGTCGTGGCACCTATGAACTAGCCTCGTATCCGACTAACGGAGGCGAAGGAGATGGACTCATCTCCTCTAGAAACGAGAGAGCGAAGACACTATCTTCCACGCATGCGGGGGAACCATCTCCAAGGAAAACTGCAGGAGACGAGGAGGAGGGAGAAGATGCAGAGCTGGTTGATGGTGTTGTTGGTTCTTCTGGAGGGGATAAGATTTCTACTTTCGCTCGTCTCTTTGGGGGTGAGTCGTCTACTTCTACTTCCTGCCTATCAAAAGAAGAGGCGGCTGAAACCGATTATGAAAGAGCACTGAGGGCTTGCGTAGTTGGCGGTGTCAACATGAAAGCTGAGAGCTCATCATCATCGTCTTCTTCCTCGAGCACTCAGAAGAAGTTTGTAGCGTTACCAAATAAGCAGTTTGTGGAGCAGGTCGTGGATCCGCGAACCTCGAGTCACGTTTTGCCAACCGCAGAGCACTTGTTGCATCGATTTTTCTCACTCTTATTGCCAACCGAAGGAGAGCAACGAAGCAGAAGCACGCAGGGATATGATCTTGTTCCGAGTGCTAGTTCCAGTACTAATATTGACATTACATCAGCGGGACGACCAGCGAGATTAGCATCATCAAGCAGTCAAAAGAAGAAATCGGGAATATCAAAGAGCACAACTAGTACTAGAGATGGTGCATCATCCGAACAGTCTGACGCTTGGTCAGAAGGAGATAGCTGGTTCAGTGATGATGGTGACATAGCACCGACAGAGTTTTTCAGTAAACTCAAGCTATGTTAAAATTTGCAAACGTTTTTTTTTTACCTCAGAAGTTATTTTTCCTTACATACTACAAAAGAGTTATCGACCATGATCTAGTATACAAATACATAACGTAATTCATGATCTAAACCTCCTCACAATTTATTACATACAGTGAACCTTCTTTCTACCCTTCGGATTGTTTAAGAAAGTTGCACTTGGGAAGAGATGTCTCTTAAAACGCACAAAGCGCACACGCAAATAGCGCACTGTCACCACATACTCCTTGGTAATAAACTTGGAAAAACGATGGTGTTCTCGCGTTACGCCTTCGAAGTGCCCATCTGTTGACGATTTTTCAGAAACGGCCAGGATCCCGGTTTGGCGAAAGAGAGAAAGCACGACCGTTAATTTCAGTGAAGCGGCATGAGATCATTGCATCTGTCACTTAGTACGCGAGATTAGATGGCATTTGAAAAGTCGTCGAACTGTTGCTAGAGTGAACAGAGGTTTTTAGACGCATAAGAGTTCTTCAGTTCAAGTAAAAAGAAATTGAAATGAATGAGGTAATCAAAAAGATGAAGGCTTCTGGTTCTGAGGCAAAGTGCAGCAATTATTCCGGTGGCGAATGGACAAATTATCACGCTAGAATGATTTCGATGCCACGTAGAAACCTGGCAGCATCTATCTCGCTACTGCTTTGCACGAATCTTTTTTCATTTTTTGCACCAGCGGGAGTACTGGGAATCAAGATTTCAAAAGCGCCATCTTCATCAAAGAAGAGGAGCAGCGCCAGCAGCGCGGAAGGAGCGAGACAGCAGCATTCAGCGTGTAATGATTCGTCGTGTTTTGCTTTTCTGTCTCAGCCACCACGAACGAGTCGAAGGTTGCAAATAGGTTTGGTCGATGGTTCATCCTTTCAAAAGACTTATGACCGAAGTGGCATTATCTTATGACTGAAGTGGCATTAATATAATAATAATGCTAACGTAGATCCTCGGCCGTGAGATTCGTCTCTCATGTTGGGCAGTGTTTAGTACGTGAATGCAATCTCAAGCGACACTCTCGTCCCTCCCTCTAACTCAAGCGCCAAAGTACTGGTAGCCTAAGCAGGCAGAAAAGCAGAGGCAGAGGAGAGGACGGTAGTACGGAACATCTAGGCCTCTACCAGGCTTTGCCAGTTTTGCCTCCTCCGGCACAAGTCACGACCGCAGATTCTGGCACAAGTCACGACCACAAGCTGGTAGAGACCACAAGCGGCAGACAATATCATCACAGTCTCACACAAGAAGATGATCATCCTGGTGTACAAGGTGCTGGTGTTAAAAAAGCATCCTCATCAAGTGGTGCATTTATCGGAAAATTAGAGGCGAGTCATTGCTTTATCGAGGGGAATGGCAGTGGAGATGGAGGGCAGCGAAGGTTTCACAGTCCGCCAAAAGAGTACATGTGGAATGCAACAATCGGGATGGCGCACGAAGCAGCATAGAAATTCTCGTCTGCAACCTCTTTTTATGTCATAAGCAGGGATGAATAATAGATTTAAGATGTAGAAGTTCTTGTTCACATACTTACACATTTGATTCTGCTTGTACATTGCATGAACTTTGCATAGGATACTTAATACAGGTAACAACCTGAAGAGCAAAAACGCAATGAAATCCTCAACTGCTTGCGAAACGAATCTGAGGCTGCATTCTAGCTCTAGGAATCGCATTCAGCGAATTTCGACGCTGTTTGTTTGATGAGAATACGGAAACTAGTTGATCCTTTTTTTTAGGATGGCACGGTTCTTTTGTTGTTCTTCGTGAAACTACGCTTTCCAAAACAGGCTTTGCCTGATAGAACTGTGGGATCTAGGAGGACCTATCCGTGTTCCAGTAGGAGGATTACTTGAGACGCAAATGAGTGGAACCTGGCTGAGAGAACAGCGCTCACTCTGCATACAGTGAGTGCGTCTCTTCCTTGAGAGAGAAGTAGTGCGAGGGTGTCACTCAAATGCTAACAGTAACTAAACAAAGGGTTAAAAAAGACAGCTCAAAGGAAAACAAAAAGAAAATGGCTTCCTTGATCATGATGGTGAAGGGGGGAACAAGAGAGGCAAATATGATGGTGAGGAGGTGATAAGAACTGAGTCAAGGAAATGCGCGCTACATCGCGTGGTAGTTGATTTTTCTACCGAAAAATCCATGAGCATATCATCAACATGAAGCGACTTGAAAAGAAGGCGTATTCGTCGCTCTTCGAAGGTGCTCTTCGACGAAGTAGAGTTGCAAGTACGGTGAGCAGGGCGACTCGATGTAGTGTGCAGGCTCTCTCGCGGATACCACGTAGTATTCAGCTCCAAGGAAGACGACATGGACAAGAGCGAAGATTTGTTACCTTCTTCAGAATATCTCGTCGAAATTTCGCTGCAGCATCTGCACATGCCGAGACTCCACCATATAATTCCAGCACTCCACCATATTCCACTCGAGTGGCAACCTACTACGATGTCCTGGGTATCTCTGACCGTGGATGCGACCGGACAGTGATCAAAAAGCAGTTTCGGGAATTGGCGAAGAAGTATCACCCGGATCATAGCGAGGAACCTGATGCAGATCTCCGGTTTCGGGAGGTCAGGGAAGCCTACGAGGTACTCGGATCCAAATGGAAGCGGTCGTTGTATTATGATTCTCGATCCGATCGCTCCTAGTAAAGTACTTAGAAACTATTAAGGGTAGGTTAAAGGTGCTTTTCTTACCGCTTTTTATGCCTCTCCTAAGGGAGAAAGGCATAACAAGCGGGGTAAGCGAGCACCAAAAACCTACCTCTAAAACTACACAAACAGGCTCGACTTCGAGAGCTCTCTCTGCCTCGTCACTAAATGAACAGCATAGACTAAATGTTGAACTATTAGAATCACACATGGTCGTGTTCATTTGTGTGACTCTACTCGAGCCTGTTTCGTCCCGGACGGCGCGGCCTGGCCGCAGAGCCGCGGACCTTTATAACCTCCTTGAACCTTATAAAAAAAATCTCGATCAAGACCTGAGAAACGTGACCATATAAAATGACTCACAACGACCTTATAATGACTCACAACCTCCTATAATATCTCGATCAAGACCTGAGGAACATAACAGACTTGTCTGAAGACGTGGAAGAAGAGTCTTGGACTGAGCACTGGAATACGGAGACGGACCGTGAAAAGGAGAGCCGAAGAGAAAGTTAAGTCTTCTCAAGTGTTGTAGGTCTATAAGGTAACTTCTCAAATGCTCTTTTCTATCTTCTTCTGGTCTTTCTGTTTTCTAGTCAGGTCGGCTCCACTACAATTCTAAACTTGTGTTGTCTTCGGCAAGTTAGTTGATCATGAGTAAAATGAAGAGTGTAGGCGATATCAGGGGCACAAACATGACATGACATGTCTTAACCTGCATGTTGTCTTTGTTCGTAAAGTCATAGGGACGTACTAGTGCTGCTGGCCATTTCTATCACAAAAAATTCACGTTGCCTTGGTGTGTACACAACACAAAACTTGTTTACAGCATGTAGAACCTAGTACTACTCATCAAATAGGGGTACTACTCATCAGATCGGGGAGCCGCAACCTTCTCATTTTCTAATAAGAGTATCAACGCTATGTGAATCGCGAGCGGACGGATATCCCTCCGCCTTCTCACAGCGCTCCCCTCTTCACTGCGACGCTCGTTGGAGCTGTCGGGGTTATGAAGAGAAGAAACAGTCAATTTTGATTTTCCTTTTTCTTGAGAAGTTCTAGAATCAAGAATTGTCTAAACCTGATGACAAGGCACAGACAGGAGGCAGTTTTCTCTCTCTCTTTTTTTTTGGTTCCCTCTTCGTCCAATCTTACTCGTCTCTCTCCATTGAACTAATTTGAACTAATTCGAATTAATTTTTGGTCGGTTAATTAATGTGTTAAGTTGGAGTATCTACGGCCTTTCTTGTCTTTAACGTCCAAGAGGACGCTCTACTTTGTTTTCGTGCTTCCCTCCTTCATCCACTCCTTCGGAATATGGCGAGCATGCGTTGCAGTGCCTGAAGTGGAGGGCTATAAGCAGGAAGAGTCTTTCTCTGATCCCGAAATCGACATGATGGAGTCGTCTCTCGTTTTTGCGTACTACAACCCCTGTGAAGCGTGCTGGGAACGCATTATTGATTAAGGCTCACGATAATTCATATCGATCCCCATATCTCTTTAATTAGTCCTATTAATAATCAATGCGGTTTCCATATCCCTTCTCCTTTTATTTTCCTTCTTGGAGTCGGATACTGTGTGCGTAAGATATGAATCACTGTGAGCTCTAAATTGACCCCTCATCAGGGGATTCCGTTCCGGTTAGTCCAGCTCTACTGGCGAGACGAGAAGCCGGAGGAAGAACTGGAGACGAAACCAGCGACACAAACCATCTGCAGAAACTGGACAATTACCTTACTGCACAAGATCTTAGTCGCATGCGATCGTACGTGCCCGAGCCACGATCGCTCTACGCGCTCTACAATGTCCATTTAAAAGACGAGGGTGACGAAAAGCCGGAAAAAATCGTGAACTACCCGCTGAAACCGAAAATTAAGGCAAGAGGCCAACATATTCTAACATTTGCTACATTCTATTTTTGATTTTAATATGTCTTCCTCTCAACTACAACTACATTGAAAAATGCGCTCTAGTACAAAAATAAGTTAGCAGACTACGACCCCCTCTAATTCTTGGAGACTCGACGACGAAAGTCGTGGCGGACAGCCAGATGCGAGTGTGGCAAAACTTTGGCCACGGCAAGAACTTCCAGTCTTGTTAATGTCCCGATGTCGAGTACGCTATTGGCCACCATTGAGATTTGATGCTGAGAAATTAGGCTGGGTGAGGCAGTGATATTTTCTTTTCTTGATGCATTTGCAAGCCACATGAAGAAATTACAAGTGAAAACAAGAATCAAAGTTCGGATGGATGGGCTACAGCTATTGAATGAAAGCTTCTTGTGTAGTTGCGAATTGTGACTGGTCTTTGGACTAGACAAAGAAGAACTCACGTGCCCCTGACACGCGATATGTTCGAAAATCGGAGACCAGGGGATGCTTTCGAGTGGAGGATGCCGCACCGATCAAGAAGGTCTCATCACTCGCAATCCTCACCACAAGTACTGGTCTTTTGGAAGAGAATCCTAAATTTGGAAGCGTGAAATTGTACCATGAAATAGGATACGATGTTGATTATACCATGATCTTCCTGATAAAGCAAGCAGTACAGCTATCTTCAAATGAAAGAAAATGGCCGAAGGATCGGGTCTGCCTTTCTTGCGCATAACCGTTCTAGGACTCGGCAACAGTGGGAAAACGTCGCTCATCAACAGCTACATCAATAAGCACTGTCCCACTGTGTATCAGGAGACTGCAGATCCAGTGCTTTATTACTTATGATTGGTTTTGGTGCACCATCCATTCTTGGCCTTACCAAGTCTAGCTACGTGTTGAAACCGATCATGAGACAGAGTAAGCATCTCGGTTATTCTGATCAGTTACTTGCTTATTTCAGTTTTTCGAATGCAACTAAGCTGAGTGCTAAGCTCAAGACAGTAGAGGAGGCAATCTCATCATCCACGGAGCCATCGTACAAATCCATCCTCCTCACTTTCATATCCGAAGAGTATCCGCATTCAAAGTGAAGACGATGAGGATGCGAAAGCGGCTTTTCGCGCGTTGCTTGAAATTGAGGACACCTACTCCAGTTTCCGTGGCGATGGCAAGTCCTACGGAATCCCAAGAGACATCAATTATGAACCAAGAACTGCTCGAACTGTTCTGAGTTTACAGTTCAAGCTAGATCAGGAGGAAAGCGTGATTCCGAATCTGATTGGTTGATTACGGCATGATCCCAAAGAAGGGCATCTTCAATGGCGAACTACTACTGTAGCTTACGCCATTTTTAAGGTCTCAGCTCTTCAAGCGCTGCACTTTCCCTATTGATTCTCTTACCTCACTGTTACTGTTAACATATTACTGGTTGTTCCCTCTATCGTCTAATCTCCGCACTTCCTTGACATGACACGGCAGGAGGACTCATCGTTGAAAAAGCAGCTTACTGCGCTGAACGTAGCGAAAGCAGGTGGTGGCGGCGTGAGGCCCTTTAGCAACTTCGTCTGTCCAAGGTCAGACCAATACAGGCCATTGACGAAGTTAAGAATCAGTTGGGTTCACTACTACTACTACTACTAGCTAAACGCAGTATAGCAGAGGACCTGTTTTCTTTTCATAGAAGATTGATTCGGTCCTTGTAGTTTATCTTTATCTATCACTTACCCCAAATTTTTTTTTTCAGGACCTATGGACTCCACCTCTCGCACCATCTACAGCGTCCTCAAGCTCAAATTTCTTCACTCAGAACCTATGGACTTCACTTCTCGCACTATCTCTAGTATTCTACGCCAGCTCTTCTAAAACCCGGCCGTATGGGTTTCCTCATCGTTTTTGACGCCAACGACACGAAGAGCTACGAGGAAGCTTTGAATCTCCACGTCTTATTGCAGGACGATCTAAAGCGGAAAAAGATAAAGCTGGAACCTGTGGTTTACCTTGTCGCAAACAAAATCGACAAGGACCCACAAAGCGAGACATATTGTCAAATCATCTTATGAAAAAATTCTTAAAATCATGTCGAAGAAGAATATGAATACTGTGAATGAAAGGTTGATTACAGAGTCTTCTAGTAAAGGAACTACAACAGCAAGGCCCAATTAAATCTTCTAGGAATCCTTTACCTAGCTAATTATCTTCTAGTAAAGGAACTAGATTTTTGAGTTTAGATTGCATTGCCCTACATTAAGACTAGTAAAGGATTGCCCAACCTAATCTTCTAGTAAAGGAACTACTACGAACTGTTTTTGACAAAAGTAAAAGCATTGATTGTTCCACAAGTACTAGAGCCTGCCACCACCTACCACTGCCCCGTGGAGCACCCTTTCATCCTCTGCCTCAGCCGAGCTTTATTCGAAGGAGAAAATGATTCGTTTTTGGCAGGTTTCGGCTCTGGAGAGCATCAGGGTGAAAAAGATGTTCCGAGAAATGGTAGCGAAAATTCGTAGTAATCAAATGCTGTGGTTAGAAGACAGTGGACCGCCACCGGCTGATGATGCTGACGGCGCAGAAGATCCACAGAAAGACTGCTGTGTGCAATGACGACATTGAAGATTTACGTTGTTTGTTGAACAGAATCATTCAGAGACGAAGGAGATCTCATAGAGAGACCTCATGAAGCTTCATGATGAAAAAGAGTTACTTAAGGACACAGGCTTCATGATGAAAAAGAGTTACTTTTAAGTACACAGAGAGTCCCTCGCAGCGACAACCTGTCATATTGTGATTTGTGAAAGATTCAGATTTTTGTACTGTCATTTTTTCCAGTTGTGGACCCGATGGGACCTATTATGACAATGATAGCCTGAAGGGCTGTTTTTCTGTTCCGAATCTGATGTTGAGAAGAACTAACCATTTCTCTCCATCGATCTGCCTCGCACGCACAAAAATGATGAACCTTTTAACTATCATCTTTCGGGTCTGATACCGAATGAGGATATGTTACATCTTACTTTCGTTCTACTGATGTGTGTGACGAAGGCAGATCGGATCGACAGGAAATTGGAAGTTGTCTCAAGGATCCACGGGAAGTTGGAAGTTGTCTCGAGGACAGAGATCAATTGGAATAACGGATTCGATCTTTCAGGCTCCTAACTGGGAGCACGAGCGACTATGTTTGACAAAGGGCGATCTCCAAAGGGGATCCTCCAGCGTTGAGGTAGCCCGTTTGAGAAGAGGTTACGAGGAGGATGAGAGCTTGTACTAGATCACAGAATGAGAGGAGATTGTAGTCGACGAGATACACTACTAACTACGACTACTACGCTCATTCATCTGCAACTACTCTCATTCATAACAAGAAGCACTACTAGCTACTCTCATTCATAACAAGAAGCTCACTCCATACACTACTAGCTACGACTACTACGCTCATTCATCTGTAACTAGATGTAATCGTCCAACAAGAAGATCACCCACAGAAGATTTGAACAAGATGCTGTACATCTCGTTGCCTGCGCGTGGTTGGATGTGCTCCACGAAGCACATTACAAAAGACGCGAGGTCACGGGGACAGAAAATCTGGTATCGGAAATTCAAGAGCAACAACCGGCAATGGAGAATGATGAAATGGCACTTGAATGTTATGGTGTTCAAGTGCTCTTGCTGAGGAGGCTAGAAGTAGGGGGACAAAGATTTTAGTCTTGAATGTTCTCGTGCTCTTGCTGAGGAGGCTAGAAGAAGGGGGACAAAGATTTTAGTTAGAAGAGGAGGATGATTAATTCTGGCTGTACTTCTAGGGCTCATTTGAGGTGGGGTGGATAACATTTACAAGAATAGAGACACGACTAGCTACTAGTCAGAAGAAGTAGGAGACTAGAATCAAAAGAAAACCGTTTTTATAGCTGCAACTTCTTTCTTCTAACCTCCACCTGATCCTGAAGCAGCGCTTACACCTCACGTTACCTTGGTGTAAAGAGTTGCAGCAGTATGCAGAAGAGCTCATTTACCTGGCGAAGAAAAACACTCCACACTACAACGGCTTGGTGGAATCGATGCTCATTTCGAGTGCGGCGAGGGATATATTGTAAATACTTGATGACTACTGAAAAGATAACAGGTTATGACACTCACATTTTCCCTTTAACGCGTGCTGTTTATGAGGCCTTTCGCAGGTTCCTCTCTACAATGCTTGCGTGCGTGGAAGGAGTACGTCCAAGCAATAACATGAACAGAACGAAATTTGAACCGAAATTGGTCGAGAATGGAACAAAGTTCTTCAGAAGGGCTGATACAACTTGTGATAAAAACAACAAGTGCTTCTCTATTGGAGAACGACTATTATGAATGCAGTGCATTCATATTCGAGATCATACAGGTACGAAAAACTCGTTCCGCGCTACTTCGATCGCCCTTTTTTCTGCACGCGAGTGATGAACAAGTGGCAATTTCGAGAGAGGGACGCGGCACCAATGGGCTTCATAGAATTTGTGGATAGGCCTGGAGAATCGCAGCCTGCACGTCCGGTGGGAACCCAAAAAATACGCTACATCGAGCACATGCTAGCCAACGGCTCTAGACGAGAGAGACGCATCTTTGCAGGGAAGGCAAGGAAAGAAGTCGCAACACAGCAGGGAGACGGTGCTGTTGAGAAAGACGTGGTAATGAGTCAAAAAAGAGGAGAGGCACCGCGTAGACGAGTAAGGGCTTCGCGGATAGGGCAAGCATTGGGTGGATTAGCGATGTCGAAGGATGGCGCTTCAAATAATAGCTTACTACTACCACTGGCGAACAACGTGAATACAACCATGGATTTCAGTCACAGAATGTCTCAAGTGACACAATTCTTAAAAACTCAAGGATGCTTGCCAAGTGCTGGATCATAGTATCTATTCGAAATTTCCACTGTACGTCATGACAAAAACGGCTGTCAACATGATTTGTCGCGACGCCTTTCTTCGGAGTTCACGGATTCAGTATGATCTGTATCTGGCTGGGTTCAGCGTCATGATAGATAGGGAATTACAGTTCGTTTTGTTCGGTCAGCGATCAAGATGACGTCTCAAAAAGAGCAAGGACGTCTCAAAAAGAGTTCCTTGTGTATTCCATTACAAGTTAACCCTTTTACGTATACAACTAGATAACTCCTCGGAGTCGAGCAGGTGCCGGGATTGCTCGATGCATGTGCAGGATCCATAACCTAGCCTAACCTAGAACTACAAAGGAGACAGCAAACTCCTACTAGAAATACACTCAACCGAAAAGAAGAGCAATAAGATGGCAGAATTTTTTAACGGTGAAAAGACACCTGAGCTGGTGATGCCAGGGTACGTGAGAGACGTGCTTGTCTCTGCCCGGTCAGGGTATCCAAGGGCACTGATGTTGCCTTTCCTGCTGATTCAGATGAGGAGGTTCGCTGCTGAAAATGGAAACGCTCAAAGCAAGACTCTCCCGACGCGTGGTCTACCTGGATGTTAAGGCTTTTTCGGTGGAGTAGATTCAGCTTCAAGCACAGGTTGTTCGTCGCCGGAATGTTTCGAAGACAAAACAACAACACGGCTCCCCACTTGCCTGCAATTGAGTCCCCCGCACTCTAGACAACACCTCGAGAACAGGTAAATGAATGAATGAATCAGGGATGTTTGTGTTTCTTCATCTTTAGGTTAATCATGTCTCATACGACCTCTAAGAGTAGCTTGCACGTTTTGCGCTATCCCTAGTGTGCTATGCGTATCCAGGAGGGATTGTGGTGGAAAGCCTACTCTTCGCTCGAACGCCAGCTGTTCTGCAGAACCCAGACGTAGTAGCGATTTGGGCCGTCTTCTTCGTCTTGAGCCAGTTCGCGGATTCCTTTTTCCTCTTCCGCTTGCTTTGGAGTATCCTGAATCTTACGCCAATAGTGGCACTAGCGAAAGTGATATTTATTGCAGACTTGACGAGGCTTGGCATCTTATTTCTGGAAAAAGCGGAACAATACGCGGTTGACAAACTAAGCGCAGATGTTAGTAAATGGGAGAAGCAAGCCACCTTAGTTTATGGTCAACATTTTTTTGTGTTCATCTCGCTCTCAGTCTCAGCATCTCTCTCGTACTCTTTTCTTTGTTCTCTACTTTCTCAGCATTATCTTTTTGGTAATATCCTTTTCTTGAAGAATACAAATACAAGGGTAAACGTACTAAAGTGTCACACTAGACTGGGAAGGTGACAGACTGGGCTGGATTCGACTTCGAGAAGACTCTAATTAGTCTTCTGGGCAGGGGTAACATTTTGCGTAGCGCCAGGAGTATTGAAGGGTATATTTTTCGGAAAGGCAACTCCTTGGCGTGCGGTGGCAGACGAACAAGATAGCGCTAGCGGAGATAGCGGCTTTTCGATAAAAAAGACGTTTGATTATGGAATGGAGTAGGATTAGACTTTTCTTGACAGGTCTTGCGCTGTCGTCACGTCTCTACGGTTATTTATCACGAACGATGAGGATGACAACAATCAGGGACTTGTACACCATATTTAATATACTATAAAGAAAAATCATGATCATCTCTAGACAACAGCATGCATCTAATTGCCAACGTTTCACGCATTTGTGGCGGCAAATTGGGTTCCGCTGTTGCAGAGTGGTGGCATGCTTCTGTACTGCGCGCACATTCTTCGCTATCGATGTCGACAATTATCGTCTGCGATTGAGGCTGCAGCTGACGAACTGCCTCGTCCGCGTTCCTTCGCGCGCTGTCTTGAGGCTGGTCCTGATCCCTACGTTGAGGTCATCGTCATGTTGACACTCGTGACTACGGTGTGCGATATCGTAACCGTCATACTAACCGGAGTGGAGCAACGGCGAAAGGCAGAGTTGGCGGCGATTAATAGTCCAGTGACGATTCCAAGTACTTCTGGTACAGCTGGTGGAAATAGAATAGAAGGGAAAAAACGGCAATAGCATAGTAGAAGTGTTGTCAGCTGGTAGTAGGACTATGGACAGCTGGGCATCAAGTTCATGTTTTTTTAGCTACTCGTGGAGATTATAAGGGAGGCGTGGAGAAGATTGGTGGATACACCCCCGGGATGTGTATCGAGGATGTTCATGTTTATCTTATAAGGGAGTCACTTCGTGGTCTTATACGTGGGCCAGCACCATCATGAATATCTCACATCATAAGAAGTGCATCCGGTCAGTGCCTTGACCTTGACTGAGTCAACCTGGAGCGTGGTTGATTCTTTCTGGATGGATCTGAACGACGAAAAAAGCAGATCATACTGCTAGTAAATAATGAACGTAGCATCAAAGTTGTTGGGGTAGAAAATTTTGTGATGATTTTACCCCGGATGTACTTGAAAAAATCAAAAACAATTGTTACAGTTCTTTACCTTTAATATGTTTTCTCTTAATTCCGCAAATCTGCTATCCTCCATTTTTAGCCAACCTGTCGTTCGCTGTACAAAAATGTCAAAAGAAGTACCGTTTGCCGTGACCAGTGTCTTTGCGACGATCACTGGTTCGGTTCTTTTTTTGCTGATTCGGCATGCGGTGATTTTCTGTCCCTGCACGCAGCTTCCACAAGGAGGTAAATGTCGCGTGTACACGACAAATCAACGTAGTGGGGAGGAGGGTCGCGCCAGCAATTTTGATCTGGGTCGCACACAACCTGTGCAGCAAATAACGACAAATGCGCAGTCTCTTTCATCGACATCGACCTCAAGTGATCCTACTTCTTCAAGCAGCGTAGCACAAGCACTAAATCTGGTCCCTCTGAGTTTTGCCGAAGCCCGAAAAACGTTCCAACCATGTACGCGGAATAGCCAAGAACAGAGCTCTCGACCCGGCGTCGCGTGCCTACCCCCAGCGATGCACTATCCATACGATTATGCTTGCAAGTTCATTTCATTTGATGAATATGTTTGCATGTAACCATGCAGTGAGCAGCGTCCATGTCATTAACATACCGTACGTGCATAGTGCTTCTTGTTCTGTGATTTTGAAGCTCTAACATAAGCATGAAACGCGATGGCGTGTACAGTTGGGAGAAAGGGTGCGTTCCGCTGTCTCTCCAACGTCGGAGAGAGAGGCGACCTGGTTAAAGCAACAATGTGGAGGATTTCTTATGTCAGATACAACTGATCCTTTTTCTTAATCTTCAGGTGATACGCAATTATAGACCATCTTCTAAGTACTCGTTGCATCTGGCAAGTACTTTGATCGTGAACTACCTCATCTTCACATAAAGATTTAAATATGTCACAAGATTTCATTCCGCTTTCATACCTCGCCTTTTCGGAGATAGCTCCTGGTGTAAAAGAGCGCTACCAGTTGTACCCGCGTCGAAGACGAGGAAAGTCGTGGGTTTATCCTTCGGTATTGAAGAGCGGGATCTTTGGAGCGAGAAAATGAGTAACTGGTTTCACGTGCCGACAATGCTTTTCGATTGTTACCAGAATCCAGCACAGTCTCCAGCTTTACGGGGTTCTGCGCCTAATGCGACAGGTCAGCATGGGTGCAAAGAAGACGGTCCCCACTGCTACGAAGCGGCCTATTGGCCGCACCAAATTTGTCTCGGGGTTTCTGGCGATAGAACCACAGGGAACAATAACGGAAATGGACTAGAGGCTGAGACAACAACTGAATCGAGTGGAGGTGCTACCGGAGCCTCTTCTAGCCAGGCTGGATCGTCAGCAGGTTCTTCTTTGAGCAAGTTGACGTCCGCAACCTTGCCGACATTCAGATACGGATCTGAGGGACGAAAATTTTCTACGCTGGAAGGGATCATGACTTCGGGTTACATTCCTGCTACTCTGGGGTATGCGAATCATGACCTTGGAGAATTGTCCATATATCTCAAGATAGACATTGAGGGCAGCGAATGGGGGATATTGGAGAATCTTGTGAGGAACCGAAAGATTATGATTTCAGGTTGTCATCTACATCTTTTTCACTCGTTTGGTTGCCTGGAGTAGAAGCAAACTCGTTTTGCGAGATTCATTTCTCCCCTCTGAGAACGAAGGAACACGAGCAGGAAGTTCTTGGTTTCCATCCTTTTGAAATGAAGGTCCATACGTACTGGCTGCCTGCAGCTTCTTCTAACTTTTTGCACAGAAAAATCCGCACGCTTGATATGGAGATTCATTTTGGCCTGTCACGGGATCCTGGGTCAGCTCGATTGGGCGAAAAACGACGCGTAGAAAGGGAGATCGCTATACTTTTAAGGCGCCTAGCTCTATAATATGAGGATAGGCACTATCGTAGTTCTAGAAGCCTTGCACTATGACTATCCCTTAATATGAGGATAGGTACTATCGTAGTTCTAGAAGCCTTGCACTATGACTATCCCTTGATATGAGGATAGGTACTATCGTAGTTCTAGAAGCCTTGCACTATGACTATCCGTTGATATGAGGATAGGGACGGGACTATCGTAGTTCTAGAAGCCCAAGCCTCGCACTAGGACTATCCCTTTGTCTCGTGGATTCTAATACCAGAATCGCTGCGTCAAGTCTTTTATGTTACCGGGAGTACCTTGGAGGTCTACCGCGAAGGCTGGCATCCCGCTAAGGATTGCCAGGCACGCAATTGTCCAGAGCCTTTGGTCCATTTAGCTGGCGGTATGTCAGTTGGCGCACTTGCAGTTTCATATGTTAATAAACGGTTACTCGATCATGGAGATTCTTAAGATAGAGAAGAAGTCAACATTGTACATATTTATTCGCATATTTTCTAGCATTCGCAAGTGCATTGGCAGATGTTTGTGCTTGTGTTATAGCAATTTTGTTGGGTTCATTTTTCAAGAAGAACTTCAGTTTGAAGAAAGAAAAACTTCTGATTTGTACAAGAATCCATTTTTTAACTAGAAGTACTGGAGAATTGATGTTTATTTGCGCATTGAAATGTACAAGTGTTGATGTGAGATCCGAGTGTAGGGCATCTAGTTGAGAGGTGTTGAGAACATGGTTGTAGGATCGGTTAAGTAAGAGAGTTACTTTGTGCAATCATTACAATTCCTTGCAGAAGATTCATTCTGTGACACCAGTATATTTTCATGCTCTATTTATTTGCAGAGAATCATCCGCCTTAGCCTTCAACAGTAAAGAGCGTAGAAATATATCAGGACTTTACTACCACCGCAAGCAACGAAAAATCATCAAACCAACCAAGATGCCTCTGTCTCTGGAATGCCGATTCAATTTCGTCGACGCAAAGGCTTCATCTCAGGTTGTCCAACGTGGTAATCTTCCTGCTTCTTACACTTTGAAACTTGACGACGAAGTGGGTGATGTAGAGGGGCTCACTGAGCAACTGGAAGATGGGTTTCTTATCCCGGAGCATAGTTTGGAATGTGTGCGGATTCGAACGAAGAGCGGCAATGAAGAACGCATATGTTATGGTAATGAGGAGCGTACTATGATAGAACATGTTCTGTTGAAACAGAAGATGTCGGGTGGAGGCGATGAATAACAAATTCTACTTCGAAGTTCTAGACGAGGTATAATACTAGGCTGATTTCTATTGACTATTATACATAGTTCGTTCCTCGTCATCCATAAAAAAGTACAGAGGTGGCTGTGGTTATTCAGGGCCAGTCTTCTCCTGCTTCAGTGGTAGAGAAGGCTGTCGTCGTACTTACTGCTTAAGGTTTGGGGAGGCTGTTTTTGTCTTGGCTTTGCTGTGATCAATTGCAGACTGAAGCCCTAGTACGGTCGTCGCGAAAGGCGACATCAGGGACACAAACATGACATACTCTTAAAGAACTTCCACTTCTGAATTGTAGGTTTTCGGAAATATTCTTGCCTACTAAGTCCGTCTAAATTGCGCTCAGTTTTTTCGCAGTATCCGAGGTTGCAGCGCACAGTACTGTGCTTGACGTCGACGTGACTGAGTTGTCCGCGGAGAAGAGACAAGAATATGAGGCTAAAACTGCTACTGCCTCCACGACCTCCACTGCATCAACATCCACCGACGATAACAACGACGCCAAAAACAAGATGAATGCCTTGAAAAACAGTCCTTTGGGCCGTATGCTAACGGAAAACATGCCTCAAATTATGGGAACTTTCATGCCGCAACTTCAGGAAGTCGCAGAAGACCCTGAGAAACTGCGTTCTTTGATGGCAAATCATCCCATGCTGAGGCATATGCTTCCGAAGGGGGACGCTGATGGTTCTGGTGAAGGTGACGGTGATACTGGGTGTGGTGATCAAGGTAACAATAAAGCCAATGAGCTATTAGCTAAGATGCAAGCCAGAATGCAACAACGACTGGCAGAAATGGGCGGAGCGCCGTCGGGTGGGGGTGCATGATCGGCGTCGGTTTAACTGGTGTAAAGATTATTACAACACACAGTGGAGTACTATGAGTGAAGTTCTTCTTCCTTTATCATGAGGTTCTTTCATCCTCGTGACTTCACGAAGATCATAAAAATCGTAACAAAATTTTTAACGGGGCAGTATGGATACAGTCAGTCCAGGTTGCCGGTTGTGCTCGCTTCCCTCTTCGTTCTGTATCGCTGATACGCCTGAGCGCGAAGACAGCACCAACACGAGAGGTCCAATCTGTAATTGTATCCGTTCGTATCTGTACTTTACGGTGTCGAGATAAATGAAGAGCGAAATAATTGTCGGTTAAGAAGGTCTCCTACTTGAGCCCTATTGACCTAAGAAGTAGAATTGTAAGTTGATGGTATCTGTGTTGTAGAGAGCCCTTTTAGCAATGAATGTCTAGTATGATGTGATAATCACGAGAACAGACTGCGTTCTGCTTCTGTTGCGAGTCCACTTACGGCACGGTCTTGAGGAGAGCCACACGTGTAAGAGAATTTGCGTAGGTCTGTCCTTGGAAGGTGAGTTCTGGTGCGAAATTCAATTACCAAGAGAGAGCCCTAATATGTACAGAGAGCAAGAGAACAATATCAATAGGTAGGCCTTGTAGTTCTCAAGCCCCGTCCTATCTGAAGAGGAAGAGTGTTTCCCTGCTTGCTATGGAGATTCTGTCAGAAATTATTCCCATCTAGTTGATGGAGCATCCAGTATCTAAACCTCTTTCTTTCAATCTCATGCAGCACCATGGTGATGTAGAAAGGTAAAGTGTAGGCTCAGAATTATTCATCTCTCTCGACTGATCATGCCTACCACGTTAAGGTTGCATGTTGTCATCATAGTATGTTCTTCTAGCCAACATTCTCAAGCAATTCATAATCCACACCCATTAGGTAAGCAAAGCTGAAAGAATTCAGTTCTAGCCATTTAGATGAAGAAATCGCATTTTTCCTCGTCTCATCTCTTCCGTGAGTAACAAGTCGTGAGAAAAATGTCGTCTCTTTCAAATAATCGCTTTGACGGCTCTGAGGACGTGAGCACAGTATGCTCTACGGCCTCTTCGCAGCGTCACAGCCGGTCCTCGCAAGGAGCCTCAACTTCTTCGGGAACTCTATCTTGGCACACTGATATGAAGATAGAGGGCTCCTCTTTGATGTACGCGAAAAAAGTGTATCCTGGTTATAATGACACGAAGAAAAACCAAAACGCTGGTAGAGGTAAAGGAGGTTGGTTTTCACCATTACAGCAGGCTGGAGAGCAAGAAGCAAATACTCTTCTTGAAGACACGGCTCTTACGCCGTCTCTCACACGTGGGACAGGGTTTAACTTGCATAGTACAAGGAATCTGCTTTCAGACGAAGAACAATTGGTCTCTGAGCTCTTAGAGCAGCAACCTCCGTTGTCCAGTGAACAGCGCAGTGTCATTCGGAGTCATGCATTTGGACAGTTGGCGAAAGCCGATGTAAGTAGCAGTAAGAATGGTCCTCGTATGCAGCACGTGAGGAAGAAGCAGAACGCAGTTTCTGCGCTGTTATTCAATACTTGCCTAGGATCCAGCTACAGCACCATCTCCCGAACAGATCTCCTTCGCTCGCTTTCCATTTGTGCCTACATCATCTACCTAGCGCAAAGATTCGAGAACCGCTTGGAACATGTGCCGTTAGTCGTGGTCATAGTTGAGATTTTCAATCTCTGTTGTTTCCTGTTGGATCGGGTGATTTTAGGGGTCTTGTATTCTTGTGCTGTCGGAGCTCAAGATGAGGCAGGGAGAAGGTCTTGGAGTTCTTGGAGTTCTGTATTAGTAGAGCCAAATGCGAGGGAGCTGCGTCGAGCAGCTCTTCTTTCTTCGATTCTACATGGTCTCGAAACGTTGGTATTGACTGGATCAAGTTTGGTGCAGATTTACTTCCTCCAAGGAGCAACAGCAAGCGGAGAAGCAGACACATTCTGGCTTCGAGTGATCGCTCTCCTGTGGCTTGTGCGGGTGCGTATACCGATTCAGGCCCTATTTTTTCCGGATAGCGAACTGGAAAAACAGAGGAGGAAGAAGGTTGGAACAGTTCTTTGGAGCCTTCTCTTTTACCTGATACTTACTTGGATGATCTCCCTGTTGGTTGCGATGGAGTACAAGAAGCATTTTGCGGCTTTCCAAAAGCAGCAGAAAATATCAGGTCAAGACGCTCATTCCAAACTCGGCTCCGTTTTCCGGTGCTTTACGCAGCTAGCGCGCGTGTCTTTGTTGGATTCGTACGTTTTTCCAGACCTAATCCGACCGACATTTGAGGTGCATCCGGGACTAGCGTATATTTTACTCTTCGCAGGGTTCTTCGTTACTGGTTTGGGGTTACTCAATGTCGTGCGCGCGACGGTGATCAGTCGACCAGTGGGTGCCGCATTGGCGGCAAGGTTCAAACGGACGGAAGCGGAGAAAAAAAGGCTGTTGCTACTGCAGAACCGAGTGATGACATTGTACGAGGCGTTTACAGACGAAATTGCAGCAGAACAGTCTCAAACAAGAAAGTCTACTAGGACTTCATCTGGTCCTCTGGAAGCCAAGTCGAGAAATCCCTTCTCTCACCTTCTGATTGACGTTTTTGGTTCAACAGGTACAAGTGCTTCTCGTCGAGGTGCTATCAAAGGATGCCTCTTATATGAGAAGGTGAGAGGAACGTCACCTTTAGCTTGTTCTCAAGAACATCAAGGGACTGAAAATGATAAAGTGCTGGTAAAGCGGGCTCCCTTTGAAGCACTCTTACAGAGACAAGGACTGCTTGATGAGACGGTCGTGCGCGACTCGCTTACCGCGATGACGAGTTGTTTGGTGGTGCCGCACAACAATACAGGAGATCGTGGTGCGAACGAGGAAATGAAGTTGACAAGTCTACTGGTTCCAGTCCGTTACGGTTTACTCGACGAGGACAGTGTGAAAGAAGGAGCATCTTCCCAAGCTCGAGCACTGCTCATGCGATCCTTACTGCAGGAAATCAAAGGGCGCTTGGCAGTACGAAGACACCAACTACTACTAGGAGATGAAGATTATAGCTCTCGTAATAATACTGATCTTCCTGAGCAGCTCTTGTTGAAGAAGCATCAGAAATTGGAGTATCACGACGTTTTCGCAGACGTCGATGCATTGTTTGGCGCCTTGATTAAGATATTCGCAGCACGGATTTCTGCTCAAGATAGTCGCGGGCCGGCTGCTGTAGATGAGGCGCAAGGGAAAGACGCTTCTTCAGTGGGCAAAGGCTGTTCCCACGCGTCCGACCGATTGGACAAAATAGAACAGGAGATGCGGCTGATGCACCGCCAACTGGAGGATTCGGACAGCGTGTGTTCGAGGATAGGTAGAGGCACAGGGGGACGAGGTGGAGCTGGAGGAAGAATGGTGTTGAAAAATGGTGGTGGGAATAATGTAACAACGGTAAGGCACGGTTCGAGTTCGCGCAGTTCTGGAGGAAGACTACGCTATCTGGACGATCCTGTGACCAAAGTCGACGATGTGAGAACCTCTCGTCGCAGGAGTAGAAGTTGTGCTGATGATCATGAAACAGGTTCTGGCTCATCTCCTGATGGTCACAACGATTTTCATCATAGACGTACTAAAAATCGTAGGACGACGGAACCAGGAATAGAAGAGCCTCCTACCAGCCTAGTGGGTCGCATAGATTTGGGAAGAAGCCTACAGCTACCTCCTTTTAGTCCTAACATGTTATACGCAGCTTCTGGTGGTTCTAGAAATAAAGATGGCCACGCTTATGACAGAAAGACTGTGTTATCACGAAGCTGGCCACAGAAACGCAGAACGAAATGCTGATGGAGATCTTCGTTGGAAGAAGATTTGTTGGAAGCAAAAGATAATCATAACTGTGAGAGTGTGTCTGATGAAGAAAATGATGCATGAAAATGACGAGTTCAAATAATTCACACATAGTGTATTCAACATCAAAGCTACGCGTGCAGCCAACATCAAAGCTGTCATTCTTTCATTGTTCTCATTTTTTGATTACGAGAACGGGTTCAACGAGTGGAGTTTATATGTGTGATGAACCTAATCCTCATATGTGTGATGAACGAGGAGTTTTGTTTGCTCTCGAAAACATGCGTCCTGGTAGCTTTGAAAAACGAGGTGAAACAAGAGAGATGGATTTTGTAGTTTGCATGCAACAACATCACGAGCATCTTGTTCTTTGAAAAACAACATCACATCAGCAGCATCGCTTTTATCTACTCCAGTGAAAGAAAAGTAATTCACCGTCAAACAACCTTTCCCCCGTTCTTTGCTTTCATAATTTACATCCTATAAATTCATTTTGAACCGACACGACAGAGTTAGAGTGGGAGTTCTAGTTTGAGTTGAGTTGGAGTTCACCTGTCTTGAATCTATCATCGAAACATACATCGATTTAAGTCTCGCAACAACTCACTACCGATTGTGTTTCCGCCTCTTGTCGAAAGTGTTTCATCTTCGTCTTGTCAAGAACCTTAGTGTGCAGATTATCAGACAAGATTCCGCGTTTTTTGTCCGTTTTGGCTGCTGCCTGGCGCAGGCTGCCGCTATCTACGGTATTGACAACTTTAGTAGGAGGAGTTCAACACGAACAGCTTCACGTGATTGGCGCTGACGGAAAGAGTTATCAACTTCACCATCACAACATCACTACGAAGAATCACAACCAGAAGATCCGAGACTACACGAAGATGGTCGTGAAAACATCCCAAAACGAGAATTTTGCTGAGGTAGACGTGGATGTGGGTGAAGTCGCCACCCCTCACTCCTTTACTGGTCGTATGTGCGCGGGCAGTCGTTGGGAAGAACATGTGCGCAAGGATCGTTTGTTCACGGATCCTCTGTTATGGCTATCGATAATTCATTCATCTTCAACACAGAGGATGCGCTTTTTTTAGAAATTTCCTTGTTCTTGAATTCAGATAGCACTACGACCTTATAATAGTATAGATAATTGCCCTTTTCTCTTTTCTATCTTCCTTTGGTCTTTCTTTTTTCTAGTTAGGACGGCTCCGCCACAAAAAAAAAAGTATAGAAACAAAAGAGCAACATGAATTACCAGTTACGATTACAACTTGTTTTAGCGCTTCTAATTCTGGCATTCAGTCTAGCAGGTCCTTCTGGCCGTCGCCAGCCTATGGGAGCTTGGATTTTGGTACCTCGTACTCGTTTCGGCGACGACTTGCTCTATGACCGCTACGAAAATCACGGTGCCCGTCAATTGGTTCTGCTTGGAGCAGGATTTGACTCGCGTGCGTATCGAATGCCGGGGTTGGAGGAATTGAAGTTATGAACAAGTCAGTATCATTTTTCTAATGAAAATGAATGGAGTATCATGGAGTGCATGGAGCGCAGACCCATATGAGACGCAAGAAGCGCCCCCTTTAGCTCCATGCAGCTCCATGCGATCCATGCACTCCATTCCAGGCGAGCTGCGAAACCTTAGAAATTATTCTGATATGAATTAACAGAACAAGGCAATCCTCATACACTCATCAATCTCATCTCTATTGTCTCTCACAATCCCCCTCGTCTTCTAATCTCCGTGTTCGAGGTCGATCAGAAAACGACTTTCGACGTGAAAGAGCGCATCCTCAAGGGTGGCAAGGCTGGCACACCTGCGCTCTTGACTCAGAGTCGTCATGTCGTGGCCACGGAGTTCGACCAGTCTGGACGCGATTGGTGTAAGGATTTGCTCGATTCCGGCTTTGATCCTGCTGTGCCTACCGTGTGGCTCCTAGAGGGTCTGATGATGTACTTGACGCCATCGGATGGACGCCGTTTGATGCGTGATGTTGGAAAATTGTCGTTATGTTGATGGAAAATTGTCGTTTTATACTTTAATCGGTAGCATTCAAATTGTCCTCACACGAATTGAAATTCTTCGGATCGATGGCCACCTCTCATCTACTCGCAGGCGTTGTCTTTCTGGCCATCATGAACGATGGGAAAAGGGACAGTAGAAGTCTGCATCTACTTACTACACTTATAGTACCCAAGAAGTTTCTTTTGACTAGACTTCATTTGAGATTGAGAAGCACTTCTCTATCTAGCCAAGTCCATTTTTCTAACCAAAGCCCCCAAAAGTGTGGTCTTCCACGACGGTTGTTCCCATGCCTACATCGCTGAAGGCGTTCGCGTTGCGGGTGCCCCCTTCGTGGGTGGAAGTGATAACTACGCGGCAGAGTGGAAGAATGTTAAGGCAGAAGTGACAACGACCGCTGAAACATCTCCTGAATTATATATCATGATCCTTGGAGTTGGATCTTCTTTTTCTACTGGAAAAGCGGACCGCCAAGGATATGCCGCTCGTCTTCAAGGAAGATGCTAACGCGGTAGCTCTAAGAAAGAAGGCGGATTCGATCAGGGAGTGCAGGTCTACGATTTCTCCAGAGATATCAAGGTGGATCGAAAGTTATGATTTCAAGAAGGATGAAAGTCTGAGACTGTAACTGTTGTATCGCTACTAGCTCTTTGTTCTTCCCATTCGTTCCGAGATGGATTCCACGACGCGAATTATCAATCTATAAGTTGATCTTGACGGCCGTCGAGGAGGCTGTCAGAAATGACATCAGAAAAGTGACAACAGTCCGGTAACCACATACTTAGGCAGCTGGTACAGGACCTTCGTCTCTTTTCAACATCGACCTGAAACATTATATGAACGCGGTGATCCAATTGGCAAAGCGCTGCGTCCTCTAATCACAGCCCAGAAATTGCATGTGTCGCAGAGAGGAGGCGCTACGCCGCAGCGCTGCCAAGGGAATTTGCTGGTCCTCTTCGTAGTAGCAGAAAAATAGAGAAATCCGAATCTCTTGGTGGAAAATAAATATCATGATAACGAGTTCAAGTACTTGTTTTGAAAATGGGGGTTGGAGTTCAAGGACAATGGGTGGCCGTTTAGTAAGTAGTTCAAATCTATGAAAAATTCTTTGTGAAGATTGTTCGCGTAAAATCTAGAAGTTGTTCTATCGGAAAATTTGAGCACGAGCGGACCAACTACCTCTTAAAAAATGATAAATAATAATGTGTGACTTGTTGTAGATTATTCTCGGAGCCTGTAATTGTCATGATTCAGCTTATCAAATTATTTGCTATCTGAATTTCGACGAGGACTAGGATTGTGAGGGACATCATGGATGCAGGAGCACGTGCTTGACTCCATTAATAGCTATATCAATCAATCAACTAATATCGAAGATCATAGTGCTACCAGCATCGTCTATTGTCAGGTAATAGGCTGCTTCACGACGCACTTGGCTTCAATTTGTTTCACATTTTTAGATCTCAACATCCTTGAGGGATCATCGTTCCATGAGGGTCAGGAACAACAACATTCTGGGATGGTAGAGAAGTAAAAAAATCCACAGTGATGCGCTAACGTAATTCCCGAGAATTTACAAGGTCTCGCGAACAGCTTCTTTTCTACAGGAGTACTTCCTCATCGTGTGCAGTTTTGAAGAGGAAGGGAGAATGTCCAAGATGTGAATGAGAAATGAAATGACTGCTTCAGAAGGGCGGTCAATGTTTTCCATCCTAGACCCGACTGCTGGCATGAAAGACGTCGAAGATGTGAATGCATTCGATGAGCTGGCCCCGGTTGCTGAAATGACGCAGCTCCTTGCAACTACAAATGATAGAGATAGAGTGAGTAGGACTTGTTGGCTGCCTTCTCGGTTGCCTCTTCTGTGTTAATTCGAGCGGTGCCAGTCTGTCCGATTCGAGCGGTGCCAGTCTGTCCGATTCGAGCGGTGCCAGTCTGTCCGTGTGGATGATGTTTTCAATATTTCGCGTTCTAGTGCCTCGTAACCTATGCGAGCGGGGCTACGACTGACCTACAGAGAATCAATCTGGATGAAGAAAATCTCACTCGAAAAAAATCGTGCACATTTCGGCTTTTGCGTATGATCGCCTTCAGCTTGAACAGCGACCCCACGTGTGGTATGGGGTTATTCCCTTTTTTGCATTTGATTGCCATTTTGATCACTGGACTCGATCGCCTTAAGCTTGAAAAATGACTTCCCCAATTACAGGACTGGAGCATGCTCAATTTGCCTTCTTTGCGCATGAGTGTTTATCTGCAAAAATAAGAGCCCCAAATACAGGGCGGGAGTATGCGCAATTTAATTTTTCCGCATATAAATGTCATTTGCATCACTACGGTTCTTATCTTCTGTGATCGAAAATAGTAGCCCTCTGTTCGATTTGGGCGGTTGCTGTGAGATCTTATTTTTGGGTCCATATGCACAACTTGCCTTTTCCGCATATAAAGCTACAAAAATAAGAGCCCCATATACAGGACGGGAGTATGCGCAATTTAATTTTTCCGCATATAAATGTCATTTGCATCACTACGGCTGTTCCGCATATAAAGCTACAAAAATAAGAGCCCCAAATACAGGGCGGGAGTATGCGCAATTTAATTTTTCCGCATATAAATGTCATTTGCATCACTACGGTTCTTATCTTCTGTGATCGAAAATAGTAGCCCTCTGTTCGATTTGGGCGGTTGCTGTGAGATCTTATTTTTGGGTCCATATGCACAACTTGCCTTTTCCGCATATAAAGCTACAAAAATAAGAGCCCCATATACAGGACGGGAGTATGCGCAATTTAATTTTTCCGCATATAAATGTCATTTGCATCACTACGGCTGTTCCGCATATAAAGCTACAAAAAATAGAGCCCCAAATGTAGGACGGGAGTGTGCGCAATTTAATTTTTCGGCAGATCAATGTCATTTGCGTCACTACGGTTCTTATCTTCTGTGATCGAAAATAGTAGCCCTTTGTTCGATTTGGGCGGTTGCTGTGAGATCGTATTTTTGGGTCCAAAAAGATCTAGGATGAGTGAAACTACAACAGAAAACTGATCTGGCTACTTATTGCGAGGATCACACTCAAGATTGATCTACGCTATCACTCCTGTACAATGACCAAAAGATCCAAGGCCAAGAACGAGCAAAAGATCAAGCTCTATCAAATTCTGAGGGGGTACTGTACTCATGGAGAATTTGAAAGAGATCTAAAAAGAAAAGACTAAGAGATCTCTCAAATCGATTTGAGAGAAAAGGCTAACACTAAGATACTCAACTTCTGGACCACCTCCAACATCCATGTGCTGGACAACCTCCAATTTTTGGACCACCTTGAACCTTGAACCTCCAACATCCAATACCAAAGTCAGCGCCGCAATAATTTGTTTTTTTTCGCAACAAGTTGAGCTTTGTTTTTCGAAATATTGTTTGGTATAGAGACTTACGCGCACTTCCCACAAGAATTTTTCGGGAAAATAGTCATCTGGAATAGAATCAAGAGGCCACTCCCTAATCTACTAACTTTCTTGGATACATTTTTTGGAGGTAGGTTATAATCTAAGTAAGTCTTTGTAGAGAATTAATCTACCCGTTCTGGTTGTAAAGAATCAATTAATCTACCCGTTGCAAAGAATTCATCAGCCGTTTCTTCACATCGTGGCCCCATATCAACTGTTGTATACGTCTTTTTATATATGTCAATCATCTTCATAAACGTACCTGAGCTAAGAACTTGAGTTTATAACCCACAACCTCGCACGACACGTCGGAAGAAATTTGCAATATTGTATAGTTGTAAGATCAAACCAAATATTGGCCTGATTGTACCACCCCGCACTTGTTATCGTTGTAGCAGCACACGCAAGCGTAACTTTGTTTTGTCCACTAGTAGCAACAATAGAAATATAGAAGTATCGATGTACTAAGCGTCCGCATAATTTTTCTCTGTTAAGAGATAATTGAAATCCAGCACATAACTTTTCGCCTTCGCAGGCAGCTGAAATTTCTTAAAGAAAATGAGAGCTGTTTCCCTTTTTTTTTCCTTGACAGTGGCTACACTGTCAACCGATCTGCAAATGGCTATGGGTGCTAATCTTGGAGGCTCTCAGATTCGTGGAGGTGGCCGGCGAGGTACGAGGAGAGGTGTCCGTCACCGTGGTGGACAAGGTCCTGGTCACCGTGGTATACAATCACCTAATATAAGAGGTGGCGTTACTGTTACACCTGGCGACGGCGGGCGCACGATGTGGGCAGACGTAGAAGATAACCCTGTCGGTGTAGCCGAGATCCATAGAGGGCTCTATAAAGCGCCAGGGAGCATGCGGCCAGTGAGCGAGGTGGAAGCAGAGCTCGAAGCCACGGCAGCGGCAGCGCTGAGGAAAGAACCAAGGACAGTACTACGAAGACGCGAAGAACCTTCTCAACCGCAAGCAAGCAGCTCTTCGTCTTCGACACCAGCACCTAAAGCTACTTCAGTAGCTGCTTCTCCAACGGATCCTTCGAGAGCTCAAGAACAAAATGGCCGCTCCTCTCCCGTTGTTGAGGAGGCGTTTTCTCAACACGAGGAACTGCCTGCACAACAAGAATCTGTTACAACAAGTACAACAGCCGCCACTTCCTCTTCCGAAGCTTCCAATGCGTTCGCTTACGCTACTGCCGCCTACATCCATGAAGACCTCTCCAACTTCGCTGCAGACCCTGACACAGCGGCAAGGATGCAGCAGGTTTTAAGGGATCTGCAAGAGTGGCAGAGGTTGGCGTCTGAAACCATGTGCGGCACACCAGACCAACTCCGGGGGCTGCTAAAAGTTAATACGCATCTCACTTCTCTTCAAGCGGAGGAAAGACAGGTAAACGCTCTTTGGGATCCTTTACTATTTGAAGCGTGGAATACGGAATCGGGAAAGCTCTTCATTCAAAAGTGGGCACATTACTATACAACGGAAAGATATTCAAGCGAGCTGCCAAAGGCTAAGATTCTCGAAGACATCAAGGTCCTCCTCAGCAAAGATGGGCTTAAAGGCGTGCCAACGCATGAGGATGCTCCCTGGGCAAAGTGGGTGTCTGCCCTCCTAGCGAAAATATCTACTCGAAGAAGCGCAAGCGGCGCACCACGACAGATTCCATATAGTGTCAACTCTACAAACAAGTGGCCACGATTTAGAGAAGTCTGGCCCAGATGGGGGTTCGGCCAGGCAGCAGATGTAACCCTGGACTTATGGTGGGCCTCGAAAAAAGCACCCCACCTGTCCGAAGATGACTTCAACAAGACAGCAGACCAACCTATTCAGCAACTCGTTGCCCTTGACCAGCTGCAACACGAGCAATTGACGAAGGAAGACATTCAGGAGTTTATCAATCAGGTGAGTCGCACGGCTTACGAAAAAAAATGGCAACGGAGGGAGCCTGGCGGTCTACAGCAAATGAGAAACCAGCTTCCAGCATGGACAAATGCTATTACAAGTCGCCTTTGTGGGAGCTACATGGTTCTAAAAGAAGAAATTAAGAGACACATGGTTCTAAAAGAAGAAAGGAGCACAGGAGCGGGACAACAACATGCCGAAACTGAACAAACGGGCTCCACGGTCACGGTGCCGTCAGCGCCAGCTACATGGTTTCAGCGGAATAATGTGGACGAGAACGTTGTGCGCCACCTAAGTCAGGTTCTAGGAGTTGTCGTGGGAGAAACAGAAACTTCGCGAGGAACTTCTACGGTCGATGTGCACGAACAGACCGCGTCGGAAGGCGGCCACTTTGGCGGTGGAGCTGCACGAGGAGATGCGTCTGCAGCACGAAGAGAAGTTGCGTCCTCTGCTTCCGATCATATTAACGCTGGCGCAGCACCGCAAACGGGATTATACGATTCGCCACGTGCAAATAGTGGCGGCAATGGTCAAGGCTATGAGACGCCATCTGGAGCTACGCAGAATCAGCCAGCTGAAGAGCCTCCTCAGACACCCCAAGCTGGGAATCAGCCAGCTGAAGAGCCTCCTCAGACACCCCAAGCTGGGACGCCGTGGGATGATTTTCGTCAGTGGTTATCACCAGACTTGTGGGGTGATGGTTCACCCCAAGCTGGGACGCTGGATAATGATTTTTCTCCGTGGAGATCACCAGACCTGTGGGGTGATTCACCCCCACGTGTGACGCAGCAAGCTGGAGCGCTGGGCTCGGGACAACAGACACCTTCGTGTTGGGGTACGCCACCCCCGCCAAGAGGGGAAGCAGCAGTGCCAACGTTTCCTTCTTGGCTTCAAAATGTAAGCGGGCCACCACCTCCACTTCCCAGCATAGTTGCTTCTGTGCCGGTGCGCGCCTCCGCCCCTGATGGGGTTGTTCCTGCGCCTCATGATAGTACGGGAGCACCAGAGGAACCAGAACAAGTAGAACAAGCTGATGAGCGACACGGAGCAAGAGCAGCAGCTCCAGTGGTCGTCGGAGAAGGCTCCGGCGACAGCATATCAGCTGGCTCGTTGGTGCAAGTGGAAGTTCCAAACTACATCACGCCTGTGATGCATATGCCAGAGCCGGTGCCTGCCGATACAACTACGGAACTTGCGGCAACTATGTCACAAGCGGCCGACCTTAGGGAACTTGCGGCAACTAATCAAAGGACGAGACGGGACCTGGACAATCTTATGGCAAAATGGCAAGACTTGAGGATACAAGCAATCGCTCAGGCTGAGACTCATCGGACGATGAAGATTAACACGCTCAAGCAGGAGTATGAGGAGATCACTAGAAACGTCGCAAGTGGAGGGATTTCCGCGGACCGAGTTCGCAAATATGAACTGGATGTGGAGTGGTGGCCGAGAATTTTCAAGCAGGAAGATGAGGTCTGGGCCAGCGTCAGACTATACCTATTAAACAATTTCGCCAAGCTGCAGGAAAAATGGGAACAATACTCTACCTCGGTGCCAGTAGTATCACCGTTCTTAGTGTCCTCTACTGAGCAGATAAGACTGTCTGAAGAACAGATGCAAAGGGATGCCCTAATAAGAGCAACCACGCTGAGGTCAGACTTGGGCCAGCTTCGGCGAGGTATGCAGGAGGAAGCCGAGAGCAATTTAAAAAAAATGACTGACGAAAGAATGGGTCACGGCTATGGGTATCAACCAGGCACTCGCGTTTACACCTGGTGGAAGATGGTGTGTGACGACCTTCGTGAGGGTGTGATAAGAGTGCCTTAATTACCTGGCGAACAGCCCTTCACTCAGTGAATCATCTGGAGAAGAACAAGAACAACCGCGTTGAAGATGTCGAGCCTCGCAATTACAATTACGAGTCAATGCATAGCATTGCCCTCGTGCTATAGAATAGAAGTGCCACCAACAAAGCTACTTTAATTTGAGACATGCCAGCAAAGTAGAAAAAATAGGAAGGATACCAATACGAATATCAGAGGATAGTTGTAGGAGGATCGTTGAAATCGCTTGGGAGTGTCTTCTAGGTCTAGGTGACAGTGGTAAGGTCGGTCCAGAAGTCGGCTATCTTCAGAACATAGAGCGCTCGGGCGGCGGGTCGGTTATCTTCTGAACACAACGCTGCTCAACGCGGTTGGTATAATGAGTTCTGCTGAGCAGGTAGTCTTCTGTTGCAGGCTGATGAGCCAGGTCTCTATGAGAGCTGCTGAGTAGATGGCCCTCTTCAGAAAGCATGAGGGTAGACAGAGAGGTTAGAATTGTAGGCAGAGAGGGATTAAAATTGAGAGTGATTAAAACTGAGAGGTTATAAAGAAACGCTAGCTGAGCGTTTATAAGAGGTTTGTTTTAAAGAGAAAAATTTCAAAACAAGACAGCACTAAAAGAAGATGTGCGCGGTCCTTCAGAAACGGCGATCGGTCCAGTATAGCTTAGAGACTAGGACTTAGCTTAGCGCTACCAGCTCTCGGACGTAGCTTTGTTTTTGGCTCTTCAGTAGCCATTCATGTCTGCCAGTTTTCCTGGTAGGCCCACACCTAACCTAACCTGCAAGACGATCATGAACGAAGATCAGATATTCAAGATCCACCTCATTGAAAAATTGTTGATCCACCACGCCAGACGAAGAGACGAAGGTCCTCGTCCTTGAGGATACATGGACGTAACTAAAAGACTGAGATCCTGTAATTTTGATCTTGATCATGGTAGTCGTCGCGGCAGTGATCATCTTTAGATTCTCCACGAAGATCATGAAGAAGCTGATCCTCATATGCCTGATCCTCAACATAGTATATTGAGCAACCTGATCCTTTCTAAAATATATAGAGTGAGCGACATCTTGCATATCTTCGTCAAACACCAGCCAGGAAACAACTTGAAGTCGCTTTCTCTTCGATCGGACGACTAACTGAAGACTATTTCTGGGCTTTGCCTGTTATCAGAAACTACTCAGCAGCAACATCAAGGAAGAAGTAAGAATCTATATAAACAATTTACCTTCTAGACTAGGGGAAGGGGTTACTAATGTTGTGACACATCTCACTCCTGCTAGGACTCGCTTGCGCTTTCCTCGAGAATCGTTTTCTTGTTGCGTATTTTGATTCCACACCCATAGTGCTTGCGTAACGGATAACCTCCTCGACAACGAACTTTTTTCCTGAAAGAAGCAAACGCAACCTCCTTAATATCATAGGTATTGATATACGAACAGAAAAAAAAGAGGCAAGACGATGCCGTCGCGTCTTTTTCCAAAAGAGATGCTCTCCCACCGAGCTGGCGTTGGGACGCTTGGTCGCGGTTGCGTGATCTTCTTGCTTGCCAGCATGATCAGTGGAGGGGAAGCGTCCTCCATTATCCGCGGTCTTCGCAACATGCGCCGCGGTTACCAAGAATTGGAGCAAGAACTATTGTCAGAGGACTTTGTAGAGGACACTGTAAATGAAATCCTTGAAAAAAAGAAAGGCTATTCCTGGAACACGACATTTGTGTACTTGGATCTTGTGGACGGCGCAGGTGTAAGTGCAGGAGCAGCTGGAAGTGCAGGGTCTGGAAGCTCTGCGCAACAACCTGCTGAAACCGTTTCAGATTCTATGGACAGACAAACTTCTTTTTCTATGAAGATTCTCGAAAAGTTGGTGCCAGCATTGCAAAGCCTTACCCGACCGCTACCTGCGGAGCAGGACAAGTGGAGCAACGTAGTTTTTCTTGTCGGAGGCGAGCATCCAATTAAAGTCGAGAAGTACGCCGATGGTGAATTGAAGCCGCGAGCTTTTAGTCTCCACTATGTCCACCGCCCGAGCGAGACCGGGGCTGTGACCTATAACTCGCATATTGGTGATTTTTTTTGGGCCTATGGCAAGGTTCTCGACAGACGATATCGGGACTTTGCCGAACCTTTAGAAAATACGCCTGATTCGACTTCGAGGCAGCTATCTTCGGGCGAAATTAAAGATATTGCAACCAGAGTGAGCGATGTCATCGTGAAGGTCGATTACAAGGACGGTGACAAGGCTCGCGCGGTTTTCCATGTCGCGCCTCAGCAGGATCCGCAAGGTCAAGAGCAGGGTGGCAGGGCCACTCCAAAAACTGTGAGATTTGATGTGCCGAAAGATTTAGACGCTACTAGCGCAGCCGGAGATGTGGCGCCGCACCTACAGACGATTATACTGAACGCGCAAGAGGAGGTGACTAGTAAAAAGCGGTGGACGCGGTTGCGTACCCTAGTATTGGAGGTCGGGAGCGTCGTGGGTAAAATTACTCAGGAGTAGGTAGACTTATGAGAAGGTTATCGAGATGATACTAAGTGCCGGGTGGTAGTAATATTACTAACCAGAAAGATTTCGAAAAAAGTCTTTTTGGCGTTGTGGGCGATGTTTGCTCTTGGCGTGTTGGACGATGGCGGGTGCCAGGAAGCTGGCGAATGTGCTACTCCTTATTCTACTACTATTTGAGTTTGAGAATGTATTAAGACCGGGCATCGTCGATCTCGAGTGGTGCGTTCATTCTTCAGGCCGTTGAAGATGTCGAGCCTCGCAATGACAATGACGAGTCAATGCATAGCATTGCCCTCGTGCTATAGAACAGAAGTGCCACCAACAAAGCTACTTTAATTTGAGACATGCCAGCAAAGTAGAAAAAATAGGAAGGATACCAATACGAATACCAGAGAATAGTTGTAGGAGGATCGTTGAAATCGCTTGGATGTATCTTCTAGGTCTAGGTGGCAGTGGTAAGGTCGGTCCAGAAGTCGGCTATCTTCAAAAAATAGAGCGCTCGGGCGGCGGGTCGGTTATCTTCTGAACACAACGCTGCTCAACGCGGTTGGTATAGTGAGTTCTGCTGAGCAGGTAGGCTTCTGTTGCAGGCTGATACGCCAGGTCTCTATGAGAGCTGCTGATTAGATGGCCCTCTTCAGAGAGCATGAGGGTAGACGGAGAGGTTAGAATTGTAGGCAGAGAGGGATTAAAATTGAGAGTGATTAAAACTGAGAGGTTATAAAGAAACGCTAGCTGAGCGTTTATAAGAGGGTTGTTTTAAAGAGAAAAATTTCAAAACAAGACAGTATCGCAAAATGGTGGAGCAGAAGAAATACGATTCGGATGATCTTAGTAAGGTACAAGCATAGCAAGGACCTCGTCCACTATATTTAGCCTTTTTCTGCTACTGAGAAAGAGAAAGATGTACTAAAAGCATAGCCTCTATTGGCAACCTCCTCCAGTAGTTCCAATAGAAGATAAGGACACAAATTCACATTTTCAAGTACTTACTTTCATGTTAGTTAGATTTCTGAGGAAGAGCGACCTATTTGAGTTTCATTGTCATTTCATATAAAAATGTCGGACGCCGGTGCGGACCGTTCGATGACGTATCGTCGGGTCGGCATTTGTATCATGTTGCTATGTTTCGTCTTACACGCTCAAGGATACCGAATGCTCCATCCGAAAAATGTAAGGGCGGCGCTTACAACTACAGCAAAAGGGAAGACCATTTTTCTTTCCCTGGCGTTGTCTATGGCTTTACTTTCTCTGGTCTAGGTATACAAAAAAAAACACAACACAAAAGAAGAAGTTGGTTGAAAGTCTGATCCTCAACACGAGTATTTTTATATGCGCATTTTGATTTTGCCGGTAGTTTCAGAGAAAGAGGTAGCATTACCCATCAAACAATTTTAGTCTGTAGGTTAAATGTGTAGCTAAGTGTGTGTACAAAACGTTTCGCGATTGGATTCTAAGTTACTTGGAGCCTGGCTGTCCCGCAATATCGCATCCGCAGTTCTTCTGCAACGTGTAAGGATTACGGCCTCACCTAATCCATCTTTTAGCTCATTTTATAAGCTGTTTACAAGTAGAAAATGGACACAGATGAGGCAAAACGTTAGGTTTAGGATGACTACTTGTGAGACGCAGTGAAGATGATGATGGATTGTCGTGAGTTCTAAAAGACGGGAGCAAGTCGCTAATGCAAGACTCGCAGGAAAAACGGTCTTAATCACTGGCGCCGGTGGTGGTTTAGGACGTCTCTTGGCGCTACAACTGGCGAAATTCAACCTCATCCGCCGCTTTGTCCTCTTTGACATTTCGGAGCAAGGGCTTCAGGAGACAAAAAGGGCTTTACTCGACGAGTCGAGCCAAAGCGGTGGTCAAAAATGTGAGGCAGATTTATGTTGACAAGATTCTAACTTCGTTGTAGAGAATCCTTAGAAATGAATGATGCTATGAAGATGAGGCCTCTCTCGATAAGATTTAGATATTGAAAGTAGGCAGCAATTCCTTTCGCCTTTCATTTCCTCACTCATTACAATTTTCTTCTAATATCGAGCTACGTCGTGGACGTGGGTGACCGCAAGGCGGTATTTTCTGCGATTGAGGAGTACTCGTCAGCAAGCCCTGATCATAACGCCCCAGACTTGATGGTGCTCAACGCTGGCATAGTACGCGGCGCCGACTATGTAGATTATGGTCTCTAGATGTTTCATTTCATCGAACTGGTAGAGCAATATTATTTATCGCAGGGTTCTTCGTTATCGTGAACCGCTTGCGTGATGACGGAGTGTCCAGTCGCATGATCAAATATGGTCAGCTTTTTTCCATCTTTCTCGGCATCTTGGTCCCCTTTTGCCTTGTATTCTCATGAAATACAAGGGGAAGGGGGTCGAGATGAGGGCACCAAGACGCAATCTAGCAGACTTCAAATCAATGTGGCAATGAGGAAGAGTAATGGCACTGCGGGGGGTACACTAATGATCGATTTTATTTTTGGTCAAGACCAAGTACTGCTGTGTCACTCAAGCTGTGTGATCATGAATCATCCTCCTTACAGAACGCATGAGCTTTGATTTGCCCCTCATGGCCAAAAATCAAACTATCAGGGACTTTCTTTACATGCATCCTTGGAGCACTTTCTTTATATGTTCTAGGACTGCACGGTACCCCCCCTGCAACAGAAACTGCAGGCAGCCCAGACTATCTTGGAGCACTTTCTTTACATACATCCTTACAGAAGTTGGACTTACTCTAAGTAAAAGACAAAAGCCCACGAAGTATCCGCCAGACCTTCGATGTGAACGTGTTTCACCTCTTTTGGTTCGTTCAAGCGCTGTTGCCAAGAATGTTGGTTATGATTGAATATGCAGACCATAGGATAAAAATGGTTCTCCATCTCCTACAGAAAGAAATGAATATTGATTTCTTCCAAGTAAAGCAAACCTAGCTGGAACCGCGTGGTAATTATCGCTTCAAGTGCTGGACTTAGCGGAGCTCGACGCTTGACGGATTACTGTGCGAGTAAGGCGGCGGCCGTTGGCTTCCACGACTCTCTGGCACACGAATTGGCTGCACGAAAGATCGAAGATGTTAGCATTTACGAAAGGAAAGTTCATCTAACTGCCTTTCAAGAAACGTCTTCTCCTCACATGACCATGTTTTTGTTATAAGATTCCTGACTCTCGTACTCACCGACTAAATATTCCTCACAACTCTGGTGCCAGTCGAACTTGTCTGTCACTGCCAAGAAATGAAATTCCCCAAAATATTTTTAAAGTCTTAAAACTAAACAAATCTCAATCTACCTCTAAAAATCGAAAAAGCACCAAACCTCTACCAGTGTGGTGAATCCGTTTATGGTGGGAACTGGGATGTTTGGTGGCGCGAAGACCTCCTCAATTCTGCCTGAACTGACGCCAGACCGCGTTGTCCGCGACATTATTGACCATACCATTCTCGGTGATGTGGAAGTGCTGAATTTATGTGGAAGGGCATGAATACGCTGAAGCAGCAAGCTGCTTAGATAAAATCACAAGAACCTACCACCCAACCTGTTTCCTCAGCGGAAAAGAACTCTTTTTCCTGTACAAGTGACAGCACTTGCATCCATGATTCTAAGGGTCAATTAAATGTACAAGTACTCACATTTTCTTCTTGAGCTTCTACGCTTTTGTACTTTCTTCCTCACTTCTAACCAAAATCCCTTCGATCCTCTACGCTGTGCCTCTAGCGAAACAGGTATTGCCACGTTTCATCCAGTTCTGGCTTGGACGCTTCACACTGGATGTGAGGGGCATGAGTATTAAAGATGGAGGAGGGGAGATGAAATAGAAGGTGGCATTAGAGATGAACTATTTTCACCTAGAAGGCGATGTAGAGGATAGCGATACTCTTGGAAAAGAAGATACCCATACGGAGCAAATGCTTAAAAAATGCGTAGTTGATGGCTCATCATCGTTAGTAGTTACAAAGATCTACCCTTGAAGAGGTCGCCAGAAGTCCCTGCGATGAACTTCCTGCCTTGACTGAAGGGGGCCCACCCGGCCCAGCGGCGTCGTCTATTGGTTTCAGACGAAACCACAAGGCGTGCACTGTCACGAAAAGGCGCCAGACCTTTGACATGCCCCAAGATACCCAAACGGCAAGCTGCATTTGTTATGACTCATACCTAAACGATAGTTGATGACTCATCATTGTTAGGATCTATCCTAACAGTCGTGAGCAATGACGATGATGCCCTCAGAGAAGCAGTTCTAATTTATACTCACTTTATTTGAGTCAAGAACAGCCATTTTTATAGTACTTAGAAAAGGAGTGCGAAACTAAGGACTACTCAGTTTTTGACCACATTTTTTTCTATGTTGTTGAAGGACTTATCTGCTACTTGCGTAAGTAAGTCGTGTTCTTGAAGGACTTAATATGTCTCGTAGTACTAGTGTAGAACAAGAAAGAGCATCTGAGGCCAACGCTAAGCGAACTACGACTCAGTCTTACTGTAGCTAGGTTAATAGTTTGCCTTCCTGAGCAGCCTGGTTTGCTTACATTTTCCGTCTACAGACACTTTTTCAATTGATGCCAGCGGTCCATGTCCAACGTCTTGCATCTACACCTTTACCTAGTATAGCAACGCACAGCTTGACGCCGTACCTAGCATGGTCTCCTTTCGTTCAAGGAAGTAAACGACTGATCCTTTGGCTACCTCTGCTTTTTTGTAGTACCGTCCTTCGGTGTCGGTGACAGACGACAATATTTATTAGATTCTGTACCAGAGGAATATCAACGATTTTCCAGGAGAATGGACTACTATTACTCCTCAATATTTGCTGAAGTGCGCGCGAGGAGACCTTCTTCACGCATTTTGGGGAATGGGTGTTGTTGTTCGTTTGGTGAGTAATCTGTTCTTAGCCAAGATGACCAAGTTCCTCTGTCGGTCGCTCAGAAGATTCACAGTGTTGTTATACCAATAAGTGGCGGTTCGTTGTATAAATCTCCATGTTTTTGTCAGACAGTTGAAATGGAAATATATTAAAAAGCCTTGTTCTATTTCACTGACTGCTGACAGATCATTCGAAAATAAGTACCTAGAGTAACTGTTGTACTAGCACTTGTTCCCAAGCTGTTCGACCAAAAAAATGCAGGCAGTTGCATCCGGAGGCCTCGACGGATCTCAGGATGCCCAAGGTGTTGCGAATACCAAGGAGGAAACCGCAATAGCAGCAGGCGCTTACGGCACAGAAAATCAACTAAAATGATGTTCGTAGGACTCTACTTGCTCAATGAATGTGTAGCCCACTCGTTCTCTAATAGGCAACAACCGGCGCTCCACTCTCAGAAAAAAACGCTGCCACCAGTGCCACAACCACTACCGCCTCTTCTGCGTGGAACAATAAGCTTTATTAAGGCTGTAGCTAATGCATCTTTGACTGCATCCTTGAAAGAACGTATGGGGGAGTATGTATGCCAGTGCGATACTCTGGCATACTTTTCAAGGATGCAGCTGGAAGATGAATTACGGAGAGCGTTAACTTTATCCTGTGGTTCTACCATACTTGCGAGAAGCGTTGCAGTGGCTGCTAGAAGCAAGAGTGGCAAATCCACTTTTGTTTTTAGGACTGTATTTCCAGTTCACTGCTGTGCCTGGAGGGGGTGGTGTTACGCAAGCTTTCATTAAGGTTAGAGTAAAGGCGTTCCTGTTACCGTTTGTTTTGACGCTTCTACGGGGTAAAGGCAGAACAAACGGGGAGCAGAAACACCAAAACCCTGCCTCTAATGCCAGGCTTTTGCGATGGAAAAGCTATCAGGATGCACCAGATAGCTTGAATTTATGATATGAGGTAGATTTTAACATTTGTAAAGAAGAAGTCTCCTATTCCATCTACATTTGTCAGGAATTATGGATTGAGCTGTCATTTTCATTTTTTCGAGTTCTCCTGTCAGGAATGATGGGAAATTGGTTTTTCAGCTCTCTAGGTACACAAGAGTACAACTTCTAGGTATCTTTTTCTATCATTTTCAGAGTCCGGGAGGACTCTACTCTAATTTGTGGGCAAATATACGACGCCTATCTGAGGCTGAAGCGTGAAGACAGTGGCGAGGCTGAGCGAAGCGATGTCAAGCTCTTGGTGAATCTTTTGCTTTTTTCTGTGCCCTTCACTTTGCGAGAGAAGGTTGTAGAATTACTGAAGGACACGGAGAGCACTATGCCCTTTCACCGCTTTGCAGTAGTGATGCATGCGACCTATGGCATGCGGTCGTTTTTTCTACATGCGAAACGGTTGTTCGAGCTCGCGTCAGGCCCGATTAGCGTAGCTGCCTTACTCAAGGATGGGGCGGAACATCATTATGAGATAGTGGTGACAAGATGTTGTTCTTCAGCGTACAACTTTAGCATACGTCTTATAAATATTGTGAGTAAAAATTTTGTTACTAGGAAGATGTTGAAGATGGTGTACTTCGCTCATGTCTGACATCTCCAAAATACAAGACAAGTGTCAATTTTGGTCGTCTCATTGGATACCTTGGTATATTGGATGGTGTCTGTGTCTTTCGTGCTTAATGTCCAAGAATTCGACAACACCAGCATGCTGACTGGCGACGGCGAAGAGACGCAAGAGCCACCTGTTTGTGATGTGGAGGAGGTATAGCGCTCGAAATTCTGCAATTATACATAGGAAATTTTGATTACAAGGCAACGAGGAGATCGCTTGACTAAAACCAGAACTTACTCAAGGAAAGTTTCAACTTGTGTGCCCTTAAGGCAGTCTGCACTGTACTTTGTGCGAGATTAATTGTATTGTCTCGTATTGTATTGTAACATGTTCCGTGCTCTCGTCTTTCGCCCTCAGATTGTTCGCCTTTATAAGGAGGAGATAGATGCGGAAAATGGTATGGGTGGACCTAGGACACCTTCTGCAACCGCAATACGAGCGGCATCGGACCAGATTCACCAGAGGGAGCTCGAACGATACGAGTACCTCGTCAGCCAGCGAGACCACAGAGCTTGCATTTATGAAATTGGTTGTTGAGTTTCTTATTCCTATGGCTTTGAGTCTTTATATTTCCTATCTATGGTTTATGTTGCTAGAACCAGGCAGAGGGCGCTGCCTCATTCATCGTGTGCGTGTGCGTTCAATCGGTCTGTCCGCGGACGTTCTCCCTACCAAACAAAGCCCCTCGCAGGCGCTTGCGCCTTGATCATTGATATCTATCCTCCTTCATCTCTCCGGCGGTGTGTACATAGTGAAGACAGCTACGATCGCGAACGAGGCGCCACTCGAACGACCAGTGGCTGGTCGGGTTACGTTTTCCAAGTGGTGCGACCTTTTGTGGGAGGCATGCCATGTGCATGAGAAACAGTTAAGGAATGCCGATAGAATTTCAATACAGTACCGACACTTGAGTTCTAGCTTTTGCAGAGTTTGTTTCTAATGTGAAGGAAGCCAAGATGGAAATAATAGTACTTGTTGTGATCTATGATCACGTACAACTATTTCTACTAGAACCAAACATTCCAACTAGTTTCAATAAAAATGGAGAGTCATAAGCCCTGTGCGTGCTAAGAAAAGAGGAGGAATCGAAGCAGCAGGAAGAGGACGCAGCCACTGACGCAGTAGCGACCAGCAGCGCAGGGGAGGACGACTAATTTCAAAAATAAACTTCTGAATCTCTTGCCAAGATTCGATCTAATAGTTCTTTTTCATACTTCTATCTTCGACAGACGAGGTTCACGCAAGTAGTCTAAAGCGCCAAGACTTTTCTAGAGAACTACAATAATCAACCCTTATTAAATAGCAGGAACAAGAGGAGTGGTCGTCAGGTGAAGGATGCCCAGATATGATTTCACATGCGTGTGTTCCTACCCATGCTGTCCTCCGTGGTCACTTGTGCAGCTGACGGAGAAGAAGTGGAGGCATGATCAAGCTTGGTATCCCAAGAACCAATACTATCTTCCATCGGTGGACAAAGTAAATTCTGTAGCCTTGTTCTACCTACCTTTACAGATATTTATAGAAAAGTCCCCCTCTCCTGCACCCCCCTTCAAGAGAAAAAGACAGTATCATCGTAAGGACTACTTTCGTAAGTTCCGATCACCTTGGGTAGCTGCTTTCTTCAAAGGTGCGAGACTCATTTCGCAGATATTTCTTCTGCGACTTTTAGCATATTCGTTCCATTGCTTCCCATGTTTGCAGACTCAGTCCATTCTCTGAGTAAAATCAGAATCAAGTCGTGCGATTGCAGCGATGAGTCCCAAACACGAGAAAGTCCTTTGAGAAAACACTTCTTGTTGATGAAGTCCTCGTAGTGAAATTTTGGCAAACGGATTGATTGCCATCTTGAACCAAAAAAAATTTAAGAGGGATACAGCATGACCATGACGTATCCATCTTGTTCTGGGGAGCTCGTGGCTTCGGCTAGTCGCTTCCAATTTCCATTCATCCCTCGCGAGACCTTGGAAATGCTACTGGAGGGACTGAACGAAAGTGAAACATCTCACAAGCATGTTATCGACGACGTTCTTTTCGCGACATTGTGTTAAGGCTTTTGTTGTCAATGTGCAGTACTCTATCATTCTAGCAAGCATTCCTCTGTCACAGACAAGACATTGTTTCGACGTGTCGGACGTCCACCTCCATTTGTAGACGCTACTTATACCAGAATTTCTGACCATTTATCAATCTATAGTATTTCACTTAGGCTATGCCTTGTCCTTAATCAGTCAAAAATCTAATCCATTCACAACTATTTCCCTCTAATTTTGCGAGTTGGATGAGGAAGGGCGTGAGCAGAGGTATGGCAAGCTGCAAACAGAAGCCGCGAGTCATAGGATAGCTTTGGGAGCGAAAAGCGATACAGCGGATGGAGACCACAAGCTTACCTTTGCTCCCGAATCACGGGTAGTGGCGAAGAAGACATCGGAAGAAGAGAATGCTGCCGTTGCTCGTGTAGAAGATGACAAAAAGCCAACCGGAGTAGATCAAGGAGATTCCAACAGGACTGGTCGCATTCTCGATTGCGATGGACGTGTTGAACTTTTTATGCCAGTTGTGGTGGAAGGTCAAGTCCTTCCAAAAGTTTGGGTCTCCAGTCCCGCAAATCCGTCTGACCGTACAGCGCTATTGGTCAGTGCTTCCGGCATCTGCCGACTCGTGCCCCGTTGGTGTGGAGTGTATGAAGTTGGGTGTAAAAATCATCCTGGCAAGAGTAGAGACACCACAGAGGTAGAGACAACAGCCTTCACTTCAACCTCAACATTTCTAGTCAGATCAAGATTACAACGCGTGTCCTTTGCATTAGAAGAGTACATGGACGTGTATTCTTGGGCTTATCACGGAAAGTGGAGTGATGCGCTAGAATCGACGGCGATTGAGCTTCTTTCTGCAGTCGACGACTGCCTGGAAACTTGCATCCGAACATTGAAGCCGATGTTGTTATGAGGATGAGGATACTGATACTGGTGTTGAAGATGTTAATCTTGCGAAAGAGTTGGCAAATGTGAGTAACTTCGAGAAAATTTACACTTCGAGTGAATTTAGTCCTTTGGAGAGCCACCGTCGGGTCGGATGGACAGCACGCTCTAATCTCTGATTTGATGGCGCATACCTCTCTAGGCCTCCATGGCCGCAGTAGCTTGGAACAACAGAAGGAAAACCTAGAGAGCGCGATGGCTAAGGCTATTCACGAACGAGATGCTACCAGCATCGGCAGAATGTCAGAGGCTGTCAGGGTATGAAAGGAGGAATATGCATAGGCTTGAGGATAACAAAGTACCCACTATCACTAAGACCATTCAACTAAGTACATCGTAGCACTTCGGCTATGCTTTATCCTTACAACTGGACTCCGAATGATCATTCAGTACTATTGCACTCTCATCCAAAGACCTCCTGAACAGTGCGAATTTGATGGTGGCGATAGGTGCTCCAGCAACGATACGTGAGGAGTTGGTGCGCGCTGCCTTAGCCTTCGATAGAGAACGTATCGGTGCCGACGATTCCAGAAATGCGCCGTTCCTGTATGGGCTTTGTTGAGGTAATGTAGAAGTTAGTAAAGAAGAACTTGAGAAAAACAGAACCTGAAACTTTCAGTCAGTAGTGGGGAATGCTTATAACACATCTACATTTAAATATAATAGACGTCATGATTTTACGTACGATCTTTCAACTAGACAGAAGTTTTACTCTGTAGACTCACCTCTTCTTCTTTTTCTTCATACTCCCGACCGCCTAGAGCTGGCACGTGCACGACTCGTTTCCGAGCTCCGAGAGTGGGCGAGGTTACGGCCGTACTCGCGACTAGGCAAGCTGTGCAATGAGCGCGATTGGGACACGACACCCGTAACCGATTTCGTCTCCTATTCGAAGTTGGAGCCTTTGCCGTCTTTGAGAGGACAGCTGACGATGCCTGGCGGGAGTAGTGGTAGTAGTTTTGGGCAGCATGGAAACGGAAAGACGAGTACACAGCATGGAACTACAGAGCCTCCAGCGTTATCCGACGACTTAGAACGCGCACCTGCTCTATCTTCAGGCAACGTAGTCCAAGCTTCAGAAAACGACCTAGGTCTTGAGCTTCTCTCCCTCGCGAATGGTCTCTACAGTTCTGCTATCATGCTAACGGACGACTCCAGAGGAATGAACAACAGTGCACCTGCACTGGGCATAGACCTGTTGACACCTCAGTTCTTGAAGCCAGGCAGTGTCTGTGCCAAAGTCGTACTGCAACGTTTGCTGAGACAGGGTTGCGGCTACGTGACGCAAGGGAGCAAGGATGAATACTTGGTGACAACACTCGACGAAAAAAGTTGTTGGTGTGATCTACAGGGACACCATTTGGCAGAGGCAAACGCAAATAGTAGAAAAAAGTCATTAACGCCGGTTGTGACAGAGGAGCAACGACGGAGGACGAAATTATGGTCAGCTCAATACCACTGTCACTCCTTTCACTAGTAAGATCCTTTTTTCAGCATGCGAAGTGTGTTATACCTTTCAATTTGGAAACACTTCCAACCTCTAATTTGTCGCATAAAAGATCTGTCTCGTCTCTTGCGAATGGCTGAGCGTGAAGGATTTTTCTTTCAATTCGCCATCAACGTCGATGTCCCAGCGTCCATCGAGACCCTCCGCGCTTATCACACGGCATCGAATGGGAGCAGTTGGGTCGGTGACAATCTAGAAAAAATGTGGCTAGATCTATTGTCGGATGGATTGTTTTTTGTGTTGCAGTTGTTCATATTGGTTCCTAGTAAAGCTGCTGCTGGAACTGGCACTGGTGGTGCTGGTCCACCAGGAGGAGCGCCGAAGAAAAAGACAGAGGGGAAACAGAACACTCCTGGTACGACTGGTAATGCGAAGATTGCAGATCCTGATAACCCCAGGAGTCCATTTGTGCGTTTTAGTACGTCTCAAGCCCAACAAGCATCTTCTACTTGTGCGGGAGACGAAACGTCATTGCTCCGATCAACAGTAATGTCATTCTCAGACGAGAAATCTGAACAGAAAGATGGAGTAGCAGTTCCAGAAAAGATAGAAGAAGATGAAAAAACATCTTCGTCTGCTGCTACTGGTGCACATTACACACGGTACCTTGTCGCTGCGGACTTCTGTCATTTGGCGGCGCCTCGGTCAAGAACATCTTCATCATCCTCAACATCATCATCCGCCTCCTCTTCTTGTTCCTCTCTGGGTTCTGTCTACGTCGCAACTCGCTATTCCAGTTCGGAATACAAAAAGTACCAACCTGGCTTCCTCCTCGCCTTCTTGAGTCACAATTTCCTGCGTAGACAGGGATTTCGATACTGGGACCTAGGTGGTGCGAACCTTTCACCGATGATGAGCTACAAATTCGTCGTCGCGACACCCGTTTCCTGGCATGAGAAACAATTCCGCGCACACCAAGCGAGATCCATTGTCGTGGGGAGTGCTGTTGTAGACGAGAAGAAGGAAGTCGGAGAAGCAGGAGAAACTACTGCTATGACAAGAACCTCAACATCGACAAATATTGCTGCAACAACAACAACAACAACAACCGAACAAAAGCATGAAACGATGATGGACCAAATGATCAAGTCTGATAGTTTTCGGTTCGATCCGCAGTTCAGTGCCTTCATTGAGGAAGCCGATTTGACCGACACAAGACCGGTTGCTATGGGTAAAGACGCTTTAGGATTAGCATATCGAGAACTTTTCTCGGATATCATAGCCAAGCAAAATGTCGAAGAAATGAAAGTGGGGAAGATGAAGACGGCGAAACGGCAGAAAGCTGAGCAGAAAAATGACGCAACAACTGCGGCAGAGGGAGCCAAAAATGTTGTAGATGTAGATCGAAATGCTGCTGCAGTGCAAGCTATGCAAGCACTGAAATCGTGTACAGCACGGGCGCCAGGACTGTTTGTGCAGACAAAACTGAGTCAATAAAAGCGGATGTCCATTCCTCGCTCTCAACTCTACTTGTAACTTGAGAATACAGAAGATGTCTTGTTTTTTGTTGGGGATACAACGGAGGACGCTAATTTTTCCCATAGTGAGTGGTGGCCATGATGGAACACTTTTTTTTAAGTATCTCTTGGACGCAGTTGAGTCTGTTGACGCATCTGCAAATTGGATCTTGACGCATCCATAACACCTTCTGCATGTGCAAATGCATCGGCAAAGATGATGTTCTCAGACGAACACTCATCTGTGCTGTCGTTCTCACACCCGACATGAAGTTCTTGCTAAGCGCAGTGCAGAATCTCACAGAAGTATTGAAAAAACAAGAGAGAACTCTCACGACGACGAGGGACGAAGGAAACTGTGAGTAAATACCTCTTGATTAGAGTTTTCGAAGAGCCGCGCTACCTCAAATACATGTCGATCGTTTATCTGCACTAGCTACCCGTTTTCGTCCTTAAGAACAACATGCAATCCTTTTCGGAAGACGAGCTGAGGGAGCTCGACGGCGAAAGCGGTCTGCAGATCGCCATAGCCTTCCTTGGAACAGTGTATGCTATGTATGAAATAAGAGGAGGTCTCTAGGATCGATTTACTACGACCATGGTGTGAAAATAGGTCCGTACCACCGTATCTATGATGTAGTAGTAGTCGGATGCATTGTCACAGGAGATGGAGTATGATCTATCTTGAGAAAAACAACCCCATCTTCAAACTCAAAACGTGACGTAAATTTACACTCCTACGACCTCTACTTTCATACTCCACGTCTCCTCGCGACAAGACCTATATGGCTTTGGGGGTGGATATCACCGCTTCGCAGGCCGTGTGGTCACACGGTCGTTTGCGAAAACAGCTCTGGATGAGGAGCATATTGGGCGAAGCGATTTAGCAGATCTTGGTGTGGAGAATTTCGTCGCCTTACGAGAATGGGAAGCCAGGTTCCAGACCAAATACAGGATTCTTGGCCAACTAGAGGAGTCGCATCCGGACGTTCGTAGCCCTGAAGAGTTGGAGAGGCTGGAGAGGGAACATGGTATTTCTAGAACGTTGCAGGGGAGGAATAACAATACTAGAGGAGATGAACGAGAACGAGGGGAGCAGAGCGTACTAAATCCAAACATCAACGAGGCTGCAGATGAAAACGACCAGAATTGTGGTCCCAGTATATTAATTGGAACACCCGCTAGTCCTAGTTATCAAGAGAACAACTCATCTGCATCTACAACGGCAAGAAGAGCTAGTAGAATCCTAAGTCTCGAAAGCCCCTCAGCTTTTGTTCTAGAAAATTTTCTCAGCGCTGAGGAATGTCGAGCGTTGCAATCTGTGATGTTGAAGAGCTACGAAGGCAAGACGTTTAGTACCAAGCTGCGATTGGGCTTGGCCCCAGATGGCTTTCCAGAGGGGTCTGAAACTTAAGAAGACTGGTGCAGTGTAACTAGAAGGTTGTCACAATGTATACTGCTATAGTCTCGTTTATTTGTAGTGTGTTCGCTCAAGAAGTTGGTAGTTGTAAAAGTGGGTCGGAACAGCAATAAGTCGTAAATTCACTTTTATTGCTGTTCCGCCCCACTTTTACAACTACCAAGAGGAACAGCAACATTCAACTGTATTTTTACGATCTGCTTCTTCTCTAATAGATTCGCGCCCTGCTACAAACCATCGAAGATCGATTAGGTGCATTACTCGCTTGTCCTCCGCATGAAGGTGAGAATCCCTTGATGGCTATGCTGACGACGCCGTCCAAAGGAGGCGCTGAGAACTACCCCAAACAGCCTGAACTGCACATTGGCGTTCACCTAGACGTGAATCGAAGGAAGTATCGTTTCGCTACTGGCATCATTTACCTGTCAGATGTCGCGGAAGGTGGTGAAACGGTGTTTATCAAAAAGGGTGAGGAGACCAAATTGCTGCACGACTCTGGGGTATTGCACACAGACTTAATACCAGAGGAAGACGAAGAAGTACAGAACTCACAAAGTGCTAGACCTACGAAATTTCCTGTACGGTTGCCACCTGAAAATGAGCAAACCTCTTCAGCGACGAGTATTGGAACAAGCACATCAACCTCTCTTCTCCTCGACGCCACAACTCCACCACTGCTGTCAGACGAACAATACCTCGAGAAGTGGAGACCACTGCAGAAGGCAAAACGGGCTGTGTTGCGTGATCCCAATCTGGTAGAATTCAAGGTTGCCCCTAAAGCAGGATCTCTTCTAGTGTTTTTCACAAGGAAACCAGATTTATCAATCTGCACAGCGAGCTATCATGGAGGTGCAGCTGTGCGGAAAGGGTTCAAATTTACTTTGCAGAAGTTCAAAGAGCTTCCAAGGACCACAGAGGAAGACGTATTCAATGTAGCAAATGAATGGAAGAGGATTATTGAAAGAGCGTTGGAAAATTGTGGAAGGGAATGTAGGAGTGCTGAAAGAATTTAATTTTCTGAGACAACTCCGCTTTTGTATGTGCGGTATTTGGGCGTTGATTATCGCTTTTGCCGATTCCACTGCGGACGGGTTTTTCGCTTGTTCATCTATTCACGAGCTACACCTGGCGTATCATCAAAACGACCGAGCTTTTCGAGTCTTGTACGGACGATCCTGAGACGAGAACAAGAAGATCAGCTAGTACCTACTTAACATTAATAGTTACAAGTACTTAGGCGGTCAAAAAAGCACCATGATGATGTTTCCATTGATGTAAGAGAGCCTCTAGAAGTTTTACTTCTAATCCTAGGTAAAAATCCAATATGCAGTCCAACCTGCTACTGGATCATCCGGATCCACTGGAACGTAAGCCTCGCAGCGAAATCCTAGACTTAGTCGTCCAGGGCTACGCGCATTGTACGTTTTTAACCGAGACCGATGAGAGCGGCGGCCATCTGTTGTTTCCGACGGGGGCGAAGGAGGGTGGAGGAGGAGCTCAGACGAGGGGTTCTGCAGATAGCAAAAACAAGAAACCATCATCCTCAAGAACTGGTGAAGGACAAAATGTTGGTGATGATCATGATAATGAACACGATCCTGCCTCTCTTGGTACAGCTGGTAGTCTTCATCTTGGCGATGAGTACGATGATAATGCGGATGACGGCACTGGTGTGTTTGGAGAAATGCCTGCAGAGGGTTCTACTCGTGAAGGAGCTGGTGAAGATCGGTTAGTGGACTACTTGAAAATCGAGGAGCTAGCCGAACAATTTCCACCAGATGGCCTGTCGGCAGTGGAATTCGTGAGTTAAGAGTTTGTTTGTCTTGTTGTGGATACTTATGTGATCTAAGAGTAGTGTTCGCCTGGTTGTGGATATGTTGTGCTAGATTAGAACTACGAGCATACGTCTTCTAAGTCAGAATGATGCGTTGCCATCTGAACATCGAGAGTTGGGCTGACCCACGGCTCCTACGCTTGGTAGAACTGCATCGATCAGCCTTAGAGTGTAGTGCAGGCGGCAACCAGCAAGGGAATGGAGATAGGGATAGCGGTGGAGGTGGACTTCTTTTGTTTAAGGCCAGGGTACAACTATGGAACTAGTAATTTCTTTGATACTATCATGGAACCAAGAATTATACTTTATTCATCTCGGCAACAGGTCCTTTTATTTAGCGTCTTATATAGTCTAAGTAGGTACGATTTTTTTACCACCAGCAGTACTAAACTGCTTTTCTTCCTTCTCTAATCCTCGGGAAGACTTCGTCGATTTCTTAGTCGAGCAAAAGCTCTCGGCAGGCATGCAGAGTAATGAGCACCATATCACGATGTTTGCGCCGAGCACTGAGGTTGCTGAGTTGCATCAAAATTTAGCGCACGGACGTGGCACCAGTAGTCTTGTTGGTCGGGGTGCGGATCGATCTCAGCACAGCAGTTCTTCAGCTGGTTCTTCTGACAATGCCTATGGCGGAAGTGGTCATAGTATTGGAGCAGCGGCTTCGCAGCAACGAAGATTGCGAAAAAAACAACTGAATCTGATGAAGGCCGTCATGTCCACTACTGCGAGCGGTGGAGGGACGTCGAGCCGGCTTGAAGTTGCATCTTCACTACTGCAAAGCCACATCCACGACTTGAAATTTGCACAAGGTGTTGTTTTTTACCGTGACCGGAAAGCGCCAGCTTTGCTGCACTTCTGTGGACCTGATTTAGGCGAATTAAACCACGCGGCTAGCGGAAGTACAAGTAAGGCCGCAGGGCAAGGGTTTCATTTAGATATAGATTAGAGACTTTTTGTGTTGTGATTTCGAACAACTGTATCTACTTCTAGTAGTTGTAGACATGTGATGCGCAGCGACTGCGACACCATCCACCAGCACATAACTGTAGTTCTAATACACGCCGTCGACGCCAGGTTGCACAGGCAGCAAGCTACTCATCAGTAGAGGGCAAGGTAGATACGAACAACAACCGAGGCCGTGGAAGTTTCGACGTACGTCACCAGGGAGGACGGACCATAGTAGACCGCGTAGAAACCGCATTTGAGCGGAGAGACCAGGCTGAAATCGGAAGGAAAAACTTGAATTGTGGCGCAACAGTGCTCGCGTACAAACCGTTTCTTTTATGGCACTTCTCGGTCATTGTCATACTTTCTACTGGGTACGCTTCTACTAAGTCCCTTAATCATCTTATGTGACAGAGGAAAACTGAAACTGATAGTTTCACTCTCTCTTCGATGTGGAAAAACTGATAGATATGCTTCTAATTCCTCTTGAAAAACGCGGCTACATTGCTGTCTCGTGCGCGGATTGGAGTATCATTTTCTATGATGCCAGCACTTTGAAACTGTTAAAGCCACGCGTCGTTCTGCAGAAGAGCGCGACGTCTGAGCGGTCGTCGAGTAAGGTTATGACTGCTGGATCTGCTCCTGCTGGTCCAAGCTCTCCTGCTACGTTGTTGTGCTTCTGCCGCGGAGTTCCTGGCACTGCTGGCCTGCTGTCAGTCGACCGGGATGGAACAATATTTAAGCTTATATCTCTTGGCTTTCTCCTCTTGAAGATGGGCCAATTTTATCACGATTCGGGAAGTACTAGTCTTTATTCTATGTATAACCATATCCATAGATCCTGACTCGTTGCTGGTCCAAAGCAGATACCTAATTAGGGATAGGGACACCGTCAATATGCTGAGTCAGGTGATAGTAGATCGCTGTCTCTCTGTTCTCTAAAGTGTGTGCTTTTAACCTGCGGAAAGTGCTGCTAGAGCCTTACAGAGGAGAGGAATCCTGGCAGGCCTTCCTGTTTCCAGAGCAAAAGCGGATGAACCATTTAGACGCAGTGGGGCAAACACGGGCCACAGGTAGATATAGACTTTGGCTGATTGGGTTGATTACTGTTGAGGCCGTGGCGTCTTTCTTCTTGCCGGGGAGGCTTTCAGAGTTGCGCAAGCGCTGCAGCCTCGAGCGGGGTAGCCGGGTGCGGGTTTGGGGGGGCTGTGCCCGTTTCGGTTTCGCCGTGGCCGGGCTTGCTTGGTGTGATACTGGCGCCGCGCGCCGCTTTTGCGAGTTGGTCGAAAATGAACAGCGGGGGCGCCCCCTGGCTTGATAATGTGCGGCCTGGCGGTCGCTGTTTCGCGTTGGTGCAACAAGTTGCCGGCCAGGCACGGGCGGCGGGGTGGATTGGTAGCGCCACGCCGACGCCACAGATTGGCTTGCTTATGGTGACGGGGCTGGTGGAAAAGAGCCTAAGCCCAAAGGCGCGCGGCAGCGGCGCGGCCTTGCCTTGGTCATGGTGGAGGCAGAAAGGGCGAAGAGCGGAGCTAGCGCAACACGCGGCAGGCGGGCGTAGTGAAGCGCGGAAGGAGTGGGGCAAGGGCGTCCAGCTTTTTCGACTGTGGGCAGACCGAGGAAACGGGGCGCGACCAGAACGCTTTCGAATCCGTTGGATGGATATCGCCGGCAACCTTGGACCAACACCCGAAACGCCGCCACAGGCTTCGTGGATTCTAGTGCGTCCAAAGTGATGGCGCCTGCAGCAGGCTGCCAGCGTTTTCCGCCTTCCGGGTCAGCGCTACTGCAAGCGCTTGCCATCCCCTCTCCGAGTAGGTCTGTCACGAGCGGAGCCGCGCCAGAACAGAAGGCCCAGGTGGTGACGGGGATGCCTTGCCAGGCGGTGACGAGATCGGCAACTTCTCGCGCTCAGCTTTCAAAGAGCTAGCAACTTTGACTGAGTCCAGCCCATGCATCGGGCTCCGAATCCATAAGCGCCTGCTACTTACGCAACAGGCTCCCCGTAAGTATCCGCGTGGCGGTGGCGGACTGCCATGCTTTCGCGCCTCTTGCTGCTTGTGCAAGGGCCAAGAAGTGCGCAGCTTGTGGGGTTTTGGGTGATTCGGTGGAAAGTGCAGAACTTGCTGGAACTGATGGCGCACCTGATGGGGGCACGTGCTGCGATGGACACGGATCGCCTTACTGCTGAGGCTCTGGCCATTCGCGCGCAAACGTCACGCATGCGCGCAGAAAGTTCAATTATAGACTGCCCCCGACATGATAGGGGCGGAGCTTCTGCGCGCCGCTGTCAGTTTAGTCTTGGAGGGTGTTGCGGCTGCCCGGCGGTGGCCACCCAGGCCCGCCCCAAGTCTAATACTGCTAAGGGGGCAGACAGAGGCACTGTGGTGGCAACAAGGGCACGGAGACAGGTAAGGAAAAAGAGGAAGAGGGCAGCCCGAAAGGGTTCCGCTCGTGCGGCGGTTGTTTCAAAGAAAAAGGAACCCTAAGCAGGGGCGTGCTTTGTGATCGCGGCACTATCTGCGCGCGCCACGGTTGGGGCTTGAAATGTGACGACAGCAGTACTGCCGTGAAGACTTCACGCGTGTGCGTGCGTGATTTCCATCGCGGCGAACTATTACGCAAAGCGTCGCCGATGCGAATATTAGGCAGCTTGCGGCGTGTTTCTGACAGGGTCAGCATCATCGACGAAACTGCGACTCGCATGCACCTAGGAAGCCAGGGCATCCAGAGAGTCAAAAAGACGAGCGGAGCACTTAGCGGATTCATTTCTTACATGGGCGAGTGGCTAAGTGGAAGAGAATGACCAGCCAGAGCGTGCGCGAAATATAGGAGGAAGGCTGGCAAAATACTCGAAGCATGGGCATCGCCGGCGGTGGTATTACTTGCTGAAAACAATCAAGGACGTGCGGCACGTGGAAGATTGGCACGCACATGAAAAGCAGCGAACGTTTAGAGAACCTCGCGAAAGAGGCGGCGCAACTCGTGGACGAAACAACTGCGGCGCACTTTGTTTGGGTTTGCATGCTGCACCAGCTGCCAAGTGTTAGGCGCTTCGGGCTGTGTGGCGGTGGGAGCGCCGTGGGCGTACATCCTGACGGGGCCAGCGCTTCGCTGTCTGTGCGTGTCTCCCTTCGTCGGAGGGCGTGAGCTATTTCGCGAAGCAGGAGACGTGGCTAGCAGACCTCGCTGAACTAGCATCGCCACGAGGTGGCGGCGCCGATATGGGTGTGGATGGTGAAACTCTGCTACGCCTTATTCTAAAGCGCCAGCCCCTTCATTGGCAGACGACAACTTTCGCAAGCTGGGAGGCTGAACCTGGCCAAAAAGTAACGCGGCCTCGCAGAGTGAGTCGCCCGAAAAAAAAGGCCGAGAATGAAACAAAGCACGGCGGAGCGCTTCGCCAAGCGTTTGGCTTGCTGGCTGGTGTGTCGCGCACTGTGTGATATTGATAGGCATGGCGGCGAAGTACTTGCTGGCGATACTTGGCGTGGCGTATCGGGTCGCGCATGATGCGCCTCGCAAGTTAGACGCGGAGCAGTGAAGTCATTGCCACCTGTGTCAGCCCTCACGATGCGGCAGCACGCTAAAACTACAGAAAGAGGAGAATCCACACACGCCTGAACCTCATCGAGGCCTGTTTGGGCTCGGGTTATGGCAGAACGAAGGCGCAAATCATGGCCAGCAGTGAGCTGGCGGCCAGAGTCAGTGTCTACGGACCTGGGCAAGGAGGTGGTGGGGATGTGTTTAAAATCGGGGCCCGCTGAACCTGAAAGAAGGCGGCGGCACAACAGTCGACCAGCGCAGAGACTGGGCCAGGCACTGACGTGGTGAACGACGTGAATGGAGGCGGCTGCTCTTGTCTTTCGCCAGATAAAGAGGCTGGCGCAGCGTTTGGACCCATGCACGTCTTTGGGCTGGTTTGGCTTAGTTGTCGGTAGTTAGTGAACAACACTGAAAAAGCGTTTCTGGTATTTAAGTTGCGGGCGTTTCTTATTTCGCTCTCTCATCTTCTCTTGGTGACCTGCTGTCGCCGAGAAGACTCCCGCGGGCTGACATTTGCCCCGCCTTGGGGCCTCGAGGTCGAGGCGTTTGATTCAGCTAGCAGTAGCAAAGGGGGGTCGCTGCTCTCTTGCGGTTTGTCGCGCTTTGTTTCGAGTGTGTAGGGCTGGGCTTGGGCATGTTTTCGCTTTGTCACTCCTCGCCCCGCGCCGTTGGTGTCTTTGCTTGGTTGCGCAGTCAGATAGAATGAAAATACTTAAACAGGGAGGCCAGAGAGTGGGTGAACTGTTGGGACAGTCGCATGCTCGAGGCTGGGCATAAGGCTGGTGGCTTTGCTTTTATTGTGCAGCGGGTTGGCTGAGCCGCTCTCTCATTTGGCCGCCCATTGTGCTCAGCGTTTGCGCCTGCTTGAATAGATGCCCGCAGCCGCAGCAGCAGGCACGCGCCCGGGGGAGTGTCGTCAGACTCAGCCATAGGAGCCGCTGAGGCAGGGGCACGAACGCCGACGAGGGGGGCAGAGATGGTGGGGGTGGCATGAAGGTAGAGAGTGCCCTCTATAGAGGCCTACGGGAAAACCTATGGGGGGCCGTGTTCCACCCCCATCAGCTTCCCTGGCCCTCTCGGCCTTGCCTCCTTGGCCTCCTGTGGGGTCTCCACTGTTTCCTCCATTAAACCTTCTGGCACTTATCTCACGCAGACACATACTCCGTTATTTACTTCCTCACCCTTAGCAGCTTTAGTTCCTCTTTATTCAAACATCGCCAGGCACAGCCGGCCATGGCTTTTCTCCTCGAGGTCTTGGCCACAACAACGGGATACAGCAGCAGGACCTTTTTGCCCATTCTGGCTCTAGTGATACTATCGGAACCGTAACCGCCCTTGTTGATTTGGGGGAGAGGATGAAGCAGTTTGCGTCTGCGGGTTTCGAAGGACAAATTGCGGTTTGGGATGCACAGACTGGGAGCTGCAAGCGGATCTTGAATAAAACTCATCTTAAGACCGGCCATCTTACTTATGTTTCGTGGTGATTGAATGGCAAGACATACCGCCTTTCAAAATATGAATCAAAGCGCTTCTTGGTTCATATTCTCTCAGGCACTACAGCAGCCCCCCGTAATCAACTACACATCACTTCCTAGAACAACTGCCGCCCACTAGGCGGCTTCGAAATTGAATGCAGGAGTCATATCCACTTAGGTCCACCTTCGTTGTGACATGTCTCCCATTCTGCTCTAAGCCTTGCCTTGGCGTCTCCTGTCTCGTCTTTGCCGAAGCGGCACGAAAGGTGATATCTGGCGGATTCGACAATCAGCTCCTTGTCTGGAATCCCTATACGGGGAATAGTAGGGCCGTCGCGGACAAAAGGCATCACACATCTGCAATCGTAGATGTTGTACTGGTGACACCACGCCAATTCCTCTCTGCAGACCAAGGAGGAGCAGTGAAGACATGGGATTTGTTTAGTTTCACCTGTCTACAATCCTGGACTATTGGGGGAGACTTGTTTCCTGTTAGTAGTGTTTGTTCCCTCCCCGAGAATCGTCGCGTAATTGTCGCCGCCAGCCGTTTTTACGCCTACGACTATGAGCAGAGCCTCGCAGCAGAGCAAACGGATGAGTGGCCGCTTTGCAGAGCAGTCTACAGTCCTGGAGGCCATATTCTTACCGGCGCGGGACCCTGTGTTCGCATTTGGAATGCAGAGCGGGGAACCTTGTTGGAGAGGACGCTGCGTCTACCAGCGCGAGGCGGCTTCGTGCGCGATTTAGTTTCTCAAGAAACTAACTCTTCAGATGCAACAAGTTCTATCTTTTCACGTTATTTGCCGAGTAAGCGAGAACGACCAGAGCATGAATCTGCGGGAGAACGAACTACCTCAGAAGGACGAGGGACCTCAGAACGACCAGTCGAGAATAGCAGTAACAACGTTCATCTAGATGAAGACCGACATCAAGCCGATGACTCAACTTCAAGATCAACAAGAACTACAGCTAGTACAGCCTATCAAGAACGCCTTCAAACGCGTCATTTTGGAGCTGATGATAGCATTATATCGGATTTCTGCGTTGATACATTCGCTCGCCGCGTCTACGTTGCGGATCAGGTGGGAAGGATACTACGGCTTTTTTAAGAATGTGATAAAAACGAACTTTTGAAAGACGAGATGGGAGTGTGTGTACATATGGTCATCATTGTCGTCCGAAAAAGAATCATTGTGCTCATATTCTGAATTGATTAAGTATACCTTTTTCAGCTACTTACTTCTTCTAGCACCTTCCCCTTCTAAGTCGAGGAGTCTTCAATGCCCTTACCGGTTCTTTTCTAGGATGGCTCCGACCTCATTTGGCCGAAGTTTCGCAGCTCTTGTTTGTCCCCGAGCGCAGCAGCGTCATAAGTGTTGGATGGGATCGGGCTATCCATGTACACGCTGCGGAAGTGGTAAATAACATAGCTCTCGGCACTCGGCGACTCGCGAATGCGCATGATGGGGACGTCTTGTGTGTTGCTTACTGTCCAGCATTGAACGTCTTCGCCACTGGAGGTGGAGACCGAGTCATCGCACTGCGGGAATTGGAAAAACTAAGGTTTTTAGGTGCGCTCCTGGGTCATCCAGGTCGAATCACAGCGTTGGCGTTTGTGGGTCTGGGTCTACTCAGTGGCGACAGCGAAGGAAATGTACTAATTTGGAGGCTAGATGCGGAATCTCTGAAAGGTGGGGACTCAACGCGAGGAGAGCTATCAGAAGTTGCTTTGGTGTCGCGATTTTTGAACGTTCGATCGCCTCTGGACGTCAAGCATGCCATTTCCAGTTTCGCAGTGTATGGTGAGAGATTTGATGACAATGATGGTGGTGGTGCTAGTGCGCAAGCGCATTCTCAGTCAACAAATAGAGGAGCAGCAAGTAGGTCGAGCAAAGACAAGAATCTGAACCAGGGCCATCAGAGGACTTCTGCTTTAGATCACGATGAAGACCCTGCTGACTTCTTCGAGGACGTCGAAGACGATGAAACAACTACTGGCATCATTCAACTCTACATCGCTGACGATGTTGGACGCGTGCGGTGTTGGGACCTAAGCTTATTGACTGCGATCGAGCCCAACTTGTTTCCGCCTGGGTCGATGCCTCACTCCAGGACTAGCGATAGGGGACCTTCTGCGAATAAAGCGGCCTCAGGATCAGCAGCACTTCATGAATCATCGTCCTCATCAAACACAGCCACGGCCTCAGGATCAGCAGCACTTCATGAATCATCATCGAACACAGCCACGATGAAAAATGCAACAGCTGAGATAGATGGGAGTATGCAAGCGAAGATAGCTGTCGCTCAGTCTCAACAGTACAGACGTAGACTCTCGAAATTGACGCAAAACAGCTCCTTGCCTGCTGTGGCGGAATACATTACTGAATTTTCTGCACATGCTTCGGCGGGACCTGACTCTACGAGCTGTGTCTCCTTGCAGTTGATTCCGAAACAGCGGAACAGGAACACTGTAGACCTTCAGACCTCTGAGTCCGAATCTGACGTACAGGAGTTAGTCCTCTTAACCGCAGGCACAGACCAAATGGCACGGGTTTGGCAGCACGTTGTGGCAGACGATATTCGTGGACTTGGAAGTGAGAAGAACCCTAGTACAACTGGAGAGGGGGCTGTGGAGGAGCAGGAGGGTGAAGAAGGTATGAAGATAAATGGCACTTTTACTTCAGGCAAAAAACATGACCACGAGCATCCTCCATCTTCGACATCGGCGACGACAAGGAACAGTGCAGCAAACAACTCTCTTGCACCAAAAGCTAAGCCTTCTCTTCTAGAGGTGAAGCAGATAAGTCATTTACGTGCATTTGGTCGAAGTCGTTGGCGATTTCCCCTAGAAACTCAAGTTTTTGGTACTGAAGTTGTAGAACAAGCTAGATTGATGGAGGCACCGCGGATGTTGCATGATCAGAATGGACGTGGGGGTTGGAACAACTACAGTAGGGGGGGTGTGCAACATGGTGGGGATGGATATGAACAGTATCTATGAGGATTATTATTACGGGTAGTCAAAGAAAATGAAAATGAAGTTCATCAAAACAAATTTATCTTGGGTGATGTTGCTATGAATGTAAGTATCTATTACTATTGGGTTTCAATTTTGTGGATGTTATATTCCTCGGGGTTTGTTGGCTTCTAAGTAGTTTCCTAGTTCCATTTGTTTTTGTACCGGAGTACTGCAAGTTTATTTGCATGCAGAGAACAATCAGAAATACTAATACAACGTTCGGTGAAATAAATAGTGAATTCATCTCCTAGTAGGGGAAAAACAAGAAGGAGTTAAAAGTTGCACAGGAAACGCTTGATAGCGAAGATAAGCAGCTGCAACTATGTAACTTGGAGGTGGTTGTATGCAAGAATTCTCTACGACAACAGTCACTGTTACTGTTTTACTGGATGCAAGAATTCTCTTGGCTTTCGTCAGTGTTACTGTTTTACTGGGTGCATACAGCTAGTATGCTCTTGATGAGAGACGAGGAACAGAGTGTAGGAAAAAGCGAATATTTTCGGAAACAAGTAGTTGTATTCATTTGTGGCAAAAAAAGTGGGAAGTGAACTTCACTCTAGTAGGATCCCCTCTGTCATTGAAAAAATGCAGAATCTTCTTGATCAACTAAAAAACAGTTGCAGCGTCGAGTTCTATATTTTTTTAAAATAATATTTAATTTTTATGGTAAATTAACTCTTGTCTTGTACTCTCTCACTATTTTATTTTAAACAAGAATATCAACATCATGGTCCTCTCTACGCGGTGTTCTTCTCTACCGCGGGTGGTGTCGCGAACGGTATGCGAAACCACGGTCGTGGCGCCTCTGCAGCGAAGACCGGTTATAACGCTAGTAGAGCAGCCGGTAGGTTCAGTTACTAGCGGTCTAGGATCAGCAACGGCATCATCTTCCTCATCATCATCGCTACGACGAGAGACGACGGTCGGGCCAGCATTCGCATCAAGGATTCGTTATAGCACATCGGCTTCACCCGCGATAGCACAGGCGACTTCTTATTCATCTTCAACGTCTTCAACGTCCTCTTCTCCTTCAACCATCACCCATAGTGCGACTAAATTAGCAAGCAACTATCGTGACTTAAGCGCTGTTGTTCTCACCAAAGAAGATGAGGCAGTCGCACTGGAGTTAGTGCAGAAATATGCAGCGATGGAGTTGAGGCCAGTGACACTGGCACAGATAGCCCAAAACGGTATCGACACAGAATTTTTGCAACGGGAATGGCTTATCCGTCTATCGCATCGCATTCAGGACTTTAGAGCGCTGTCTTACGCCGTGACGAGTTCGGCCAAGTTCTTCGAGACGTATCAGTTGTATTTGAAAACGCTGCTGTGCTTGTTAAGGCTTGGATTTCTTGAACATGAGACTATAATTGTGATAAATCCATGCAAGAAAATCGGTCCCGCTGTGGGGAAAGAAGTGATCAGAAATCCGAAGTTGTCGATCGTACATCATCGCAAAATTAATTAAGTGCCACCTCTTCTATTTCTAATAGCCGAAGGCATGTCTCCTGCTTTTTTAGAGAAGAGCAGCGGTGTCACAGGGACCCTGATGCAGCAACACAGTGTGGTGCCGGAAGCTCTGCAAGTAGAGTACTCAAACTTCCGAGATTCACACGATTTAACGGACTTCTTCGATAAGATTTTCATCACCCGAATAGGAAATCGTGTATTGGGAGAATCGTTTCAAAGGGGACGCACATTAGTAACCGAGCAATGCAGTGTCGCAGATGTAGTTCGTGAAGTGACGCCTTTGGTACGCGATTTATGCAGACAAGCGTATGGGAGCAAAACGTTGGGAGAAGTACTAAATTCTTGTGTCACTTCGTTATAGTTGACTTATATACTTTAAATTTGAGTCAGGCCGCTTGGATCGCATCTTCATCTTGGGTTACCACAAAAATGGAAGTGCAGCAGTCACTACAGCCTCATATCAACTTATCAACAACACCTGTCTCGAATGGCGGTCATTGATCAATCAGGTTCCTGACATCGAGCTCACAGGGGATTTGGATGTTCGGTTCAGCTTTATACATGAGCATTTGGGGTTTATTTTGCAGGAGCTGCTAAAGAATTCGCTCCGGGCTGTAGTGGAGAATAGTATCATTATGGCGATGATGTATTCTTGTAGAGCATGAAGGCCTTTAGGCTCTCTTTTCCTGTTTCATTCTTCTACTACTCAGTCTTTTTCTAGTAGCCCCTAGTACTACTTGATCTTGGAGGGCGGATGTACTCATCTGAAAGCAAATTCAGTAGTATCCCTCACTCCTCTAATACCATGCGTCGCAAACGTACTGCGGGTCTGCAGGGAGATTCTGCAGTGTCAGCGATTGCGGAGCGAGCCAAAAATGCAGCGAAAGAACAAGCTGGACAAGGTGGAAAATCTTCGAAACCGACACCGAAAGATACTACCTCCTCATCTACCTCGTCCTTGCCGGGAGCTTTTCCCCCAGTGATTGTCGAAATACAAAAAGGTGACTTCGATGTCATTATCAAGGTTAGCGATCAAGGCGGCGGCATCCCGCGTACCAATATTGAGGATGTTTGGCGATACGGCTTCACGACTGTTGATTTAGTTGCATCAAATGGAACAAGAGGTGGAAATGGGAACGGCGTTTCTACACCAGGGTGTGCATCAGAACCAGGTCCGACCACACATCACCATAGTTCGGGTGCTTTCCGCGCTAGGACGCATCATGTGCGGAAAGTGGCAGGCTATGGGTTCGGTCTGCCGCTTGCGCGTCTTTACGCTAGGTATTTTGGAGGAGATATCCATCTTCAAAGCATGTTTGGGTTCGGCACTGATGCGTACATAAGTCTGAATCATTTGGGGAACGTACGCGAGGCAGAAGGTACTGCGGATTTTATGACATTGGAGAGCACGATGGCCGGGGTGTAGTTGTGAAGTTTTGTGACCACAATCGTGTTGCTCCTCTTAGCCATTAGTTAACTGATGGTTGTTCCTTAATTATGCATTAAGATTAATTTGTACACCCAGTCCCACATAATTTATTTACGGAAGAAAAGTATTTCGGAGAAGAAACTTTTTGCTGCATAATGCATGACTGCAGACAACTTTATCTGTTGACTGTCCTCACTAGCACGTACCATTTTGCCTTGTTTTTGTGCTCAAACAACCCTCTTATAATGAGTCAATCAGGGGCGCCCTCCACTTTTTCACGATGAAAATGTGACAGATGTGGCCCTGTGATTTTTGAATTTCTGGAGTACAACAAGAGTAACAAGATTTTACTGATCTTTTGCAAATTGCATTGATTCAATCTTGATATTGTTGTTGTGCTGGTTTCCTTGTACAACCTGGTGGACGTGGGTGATCCGACGTGAAATTTGAATATGTGATGACGCTATCTGCAAGTGAAAGGATAAACAGCAGAATGATAGTACACCGCATGTTCTTGCCGGGATCTATTTCCGCTTTGAAAGCCTGATTTGTCTGTCTTCTCGAGAATTACATCTCGCGTGCGAAATGAAGGCTCCGATCTTGCAGATTCCGGCTGAAAATCTGTGTCCATGCTTGAATATCTGTGAAATATATCTGCAAGAAAAACAAGCATCTCTGTATCGGTCGAAAACCAGTCAGTAGTACTTGACCGTCGTACTTGTATCGTCAGAGCACGTTGTACTTGTATCGGTATTGGTCTGTGGTCTCGAAAAAAACTCGGTATTAGAGACCATTAATCAGGATTCCCGCGCCCCCATCAACACTTCTTAGGTATGTGCTATGCACCCCGAAAGCTCGACATAGGGAAGTTCTTCAATTCGTCTTGAACATCTTCAAAAGATAAGCAGGAAGATCAAGAAGACTGTCCTCTCCTCCTGGTCGTTCATCTTCAAAAGATAAGCAGGAAGATCAAGAAGACTGTCCTCTCCTCCTGGTCGTTCATCTTCAAAAGATAAGCAGGAAGATCAAGAAGACTGTCCTCTCCTCCTGGTCGTTCATCTTCAAAAGATAAGCAGGAAGATCAAGAAGACTACTTTTCATCTAAGTCCCACAGACTTTCCTCAAAGCACAAAGCACAATCGAAAGGATGGTAGCTCCACAGCATGCGCCTACTTCCGATGTCAAGGAGGCAGATGAGGAGAAGTTCCAACGCCTCCTCAGGCGTATGGAGCATTGCGCGAAAGCTAGGGAGGCTTCCACTCGAGTCCTATCCCTCCGTTTTGCAGAGAGGGATTGTGTACGATCGTCGTTGCAGAGGGAGAGCATGGTACTTGCTCTGCTCTTAAAATTGTGAAGGTGTTTTGCTATTACTCTGGTCCAGATATAGTTCTCTGAAAAAAAAGAACATCCCCATATTCTTGAGAAGATTACTCTTCCAAGTTAATAGAAATAGTTCTATCTTCCCCAAGAAATCCCCACCACAGGCCGTGAAAGATGCTCTCATCGCAGCACGTAAGGATTCCGATATGAGATGGCGAGCCAAGATGTCTAACAGTCCGTACTTGTCGAACCTCGCTGCCGAGTCGGAGAAAATCGCTGAAGAGCAGAGGATACGGAACAAGATCAACGACCGAAAACAACAAATCATGAAACAGAGGAAATTAGAAGCGGAGACGGCGGTATTTTGTTGACACAAACTAGCATCAAAAATTTCACTAAAAACTAATACAACACTTCTGAATTGTAATCTATCTACTAGCACAACAATTGCACCAACTTCAACTTTATTGCCTCACAAAAGTAAACCACTAAGACCACTTACTCCGACTAGTCCAGGTAATCCAACGTGTCCTAAACGAAGGCGACGAGTTGGAGGATTTGCGCCATCAGAAGAAGGCCTTGTGGGCAAGGGAGAGGGAACTGCAATGCATGCGTGACTTGGAGAAAACGAAGGCGAGATGCGCCAGAGTCGACGCCGAAAGACGACACCAGCAACTCGAACGCGAGCACCAACTGTTGCAGAGGAAACTGAAGGGAGGTGCGGAGATGGAGTGAAGAGCAGGAGTGGTCTGTCTGCAGTAGGTGGAGACGAAGGACGGGGGAGGCAGAGGACAATGTCTTCTCACAGATCAGAACTTCTACATTTCAACATATTATAAATCTTTGCATTATTTTTTTCTTCTTTGAAGATGAACATGATTCAATACAATCAATATATTCTACTTGGTCTTGGCGGGAGGAGCAGGATTGCGTGCGTGCAACCAATGATATTTATGTCATACTAAGATACTACAAATGCGGCATTCCACACACTATTCATACAAAGCCAATCCAATTTGAAGTCTCTTCAACATGTGACTTCAGATCGATGCAGGTTTGAAGACGCTGATTGAGATCGCAGGAGATTCGCTGTAGTTTGTAATACCCGTTTGGTCTTCTCGTGAGCACATTGTGAAGTTTCTGAAATTCAGCGGTCTTTATTAATGGGTTAGTTTGCTTGTGGTTGAGGCGTGCTCCCACAGACAAAGAGATGGACTAGCTTCTGCAAGCATGTCTGAATGAAGTGGTGATTCCGAGTTGAATGAGAGAAATGAAAGTCGAGCAGGAGAGCGTAAGACTGGTCGTTTATTCAAGAATCTAAAAAGAGGTAGCAGGCGAGAAGAGTAGCAATGATGCAAAATAATGACGAGTCTTCATAACAAAGGAGAATGCTACAAGAAGATGATGAGTTTTTGGAGACTTGAATTTTTGATTGCCATACAAACATACTAGATAGTTCTTATTTCATCTCCTTCACAAGAAAATAAGAAAAATGGGTGACAGTTCGGCGAGCGAAGTGGAGACGGTCCAGTGGGACTCAGCTTGCAGTGAAGCGGAGGCTAGTTTGAGCACTCTAAGGTCGTCTCATTACGCTCGGAATGAAGCCGGCGAAGACGAAGGCCTGGAGGATGTTCCAGGTCTTGCTGTTGAAGATTATTATGCTGTTGAAGATTGTTGTGTGCAGGATGATGATATTCCACAACGCAGGGGTGACGTCGGGTTCGAGGGAGATGCCGATAAGAAGAGTTGTGTACTTGTTGTGGGAGCACCAGGAGCGTCTTCTTCTACATCAGGAAGGAGAAATGACAGTAAGTCCAAAGAAGCATCTCCGTCTCCGAGTAGCCAGATGAAGAACAACAACAACAAAGTAGTGGACGAAAAGAACAAGAACATGTCCTCTTCGAAGACTTCAACTACCTCCACCGCAGGATCTACAAGCAAAACTTCGACCTCAACGACTCTTCCTGTGATGCCATGGACTGTGAAGCGGAAGCCGTCCTCCCGACGTGGTTTGTTCTGCTTTCGAGGAGTATTCGGTTCAAAGCACGAGGACGATGAAGAGAATGGGATAGGGCCGATCCCTTTGATGTCCGACGACATCGCTAGTGCGCAGTTTCGCTATGGCCCAATCATAGAGTCAGCATGGGAAAAGAAACCGGTGGCAACTGGGTCCTCCTCAGCAGGGGGAGAGACAAGCAATAGAATGGACGACGGCCAAAGTCTCGTTGGTGGTGACCCTAGCACTGCAAATAGAGCAAACGGAGTTCTTCTTGAGGGCAATATCAAAACAACGAGCGCACCAGATGCAGGAGGAGCTTCTTCTCCCTTAGCATTAGAAGATGGTCGTGCTGGCGCGGCTAGAGCAGAGTTGCGACACAGTAACGGGACCACTATAATCAAGAAGACGGTGAATCTTCAAGTCGACACAGGTCAAGAAGAAGCGCCAGAGATGAAGAGTGCTGATGAAGACAATACCGAGGAAGAGCCTGGCAGCCGAGCCTTTGTGGATGTAAGACGGTCTCTCGGTGTCAAATTTGGCCACGTTTCGCCTTATGCCATAGCAGCCAGGACTAAGAATAACGACAAGCAGAAGGAGAGTTCAACATCGTCATCTCCAGAATTCACTTGGCTCTACTCATCGGCTCAGCCAACAACAAGCATATTATCGGGGACAACATCAGCAGCAGCAGCAGCAGCAGCTTCTTCTACCACTCTTCCTCCTAGTACATCAACATCCTCCACTTCTGCTTTAGCAAGGCCTCAATCTTCAGCAACTGCTTCCACCTCCAGTCCACCTCGTAGTTTGCAGAATACAGCTGGTACTAGCGATAGTAGTCTACATAGGATCAGGAGCTCTTCCAGCGACGGCACCAATGAAGGAGGAGGCTCTAGCTCTGCGTCGGCCACCAGTGGGACGAGCAGTACCGCTGCACCAGAGTCAAGCGTAACAACAGGGTCGCCACGTCCAGGCTCGGGGATGACATCGAATGCGAACTCATTTTTAAGGGTAGGTTAAAGGTGCTTTTGTTACCGTTTGTTATGGCTCTCTCCCTTAGCTGGGGGCAGCCATAACAAGCGGGAGAACCCACGAACACCAAAAACCTACCTCTAACATTTAACATAAGTGCTGGTGGTGGGGCGAGTATTGGAGGAACTTCCTTGTTGGGCAAAAGTGGAGGCAATACTAGAGGTACTGCAGTACAACAAGGTGAAGCTACAACTTCGACACTGGGTTTATTCCCCGCTAGTGTTTCCTCAGCAGCAGCAGCAATCCTGAAGGATGTTGAGATAGAATTTCCATCAGGAATTGCTGATCAAAAGGGAGCGACTAAAGATTCTAGTGACACCAGTAGTACTGATCCTGTAGCAGCTTCGTTTTCAGCCAGTAAAAAGAATATCAAGATCGACTCCGGTAGCAGTACCAACAGCCTTCAAGCACTCGAAGATACTAACCGACCTCCTACAGCATCTGGAGCCTCAAATAAAGCTAAGCGCAAGAAGACAAATCGTCCATCTAGACGCCAAGCGAAACGAGAAGAGCTTCTTGGTGACGGCAGCATGATCACAGAGGTGTTTGGAACGGTGTTCAGTCTACGGAAACCTCGAGATGTGATGGCTGGAACTAGTAGCGGCCTAAAAACGTTGTCACGCGGTGCGGCAGTTGGCCTAGGCTCGCTGGTGCTTCATGGTTCATCAAATTCTTTCGCAACTGTTGTCAAATGATAGACTCTCCCGCGAGTGAATTTCAATTTTCAGGTGCAACTAGCGACACCAAATAAGTTAGAATTGAATTTTTATACCTCTGCGACGTCCTGGTCCTTTCAAAATCATGACCAGCCTATACAACTCCAGATTGGTTCCCCTATAGTCGGTTTGCGTGATGCGGGGTTTTCTGGCTTGGTAAAAGGTGTGGGCTTCGGTATCTGTGGTTTCGCAGCTGCAACTGGTGCGGGAGCACTTGTCGGTTCCTTCCAGATAGCTCGTGGGCTCTACTACACACCTTCTGCGCTCTTTTTTGCTTCCTCCACCTCTAGACACTGGAACTCCGACGAAAAGCGATGGGAATTGTACTCTTTGCAGAGAGAGAAGATTATGGCTCCTGTAGTGAATTGGAGGACTAGAAGAATTTGCAAATAATTCTTTTATCTGCCTCGAACGGAAGAGTAGTGGATTGCTGTTCCTTATTAGCTCTCCCTTTTGCAGCTATTCTCTTTGTCAGCGGAGCAGGGCCACGACTGGTAGTTGGAAGTTTTGAAGGTACTGCGGGCTGTTGCGGTAGTTGTTGTTGTTGCGGTAGTGAAGATGCAGGTCTAGCTACAAATGAAGTTGTTCCTGCAGTTGGAGTTGCCGCTTCTTGAGCAGTATGAATTGCAGGTACAGCCTGTACTTGCGCTAATTGCTGTTCCTTATTCGCTCTTCCTCTTGCAGCTATTCTCTTCTTTGTTCCCACCTCTTTGTCTCTCTAATACCAAGCGCCTCATCAAGCAGAGGCGGCGAGCTTTTCAACCGATGGCTGGCGGGATCTTTGGGCCTGGTCAGCAATCACCATCTGGCGTTTCAAATGAGATTTTCTCGTCGTCCAGTTCTTCCGGTAGCGACGGTGATGGAGATGATTACGAAGAAGGGCAGAACAATTTATCACTGAAGTACTTATGTTGCACCTGATCATAATTGAACTGCTAGTTTTAACTGAACAATCATAGCGAGCCTCTAATCCCGCAGTTCCGACAGTGCTTGCGGCGATAAGGAATCGCAGGGATCCTCACGACGGTCTAAGCCTTCTATGCGACGATCTCAAGACTCGAGCATTCGTTTTAAGGCTCAGCAGCTTTCATTGGTCACCATTTAGATTGGAGTCACTGAAATCGAAGAGGAAAACTAAGGGAATGAGAGGAAAACTAATGAATTGGTAACTGAAATCGAATGAGAGAACTGACTGCTGACCTTTAATTGTTCCTTCCGCTTGAGCTCCGGAGCAAGAAGCGACTCTTCGTTTTCAGATGCTGGTAGTAGTTATAACGAAGAAGCGAAGGCAAGAACACGGAGAAGTAGGGGACCACGTAGTTCTACTTCGAGGAGTGCTGCTGGAGGTCAACAAGAACAGAGAAGTGCGGAGGAAAATGTTGTGTCCCTTTACACTGTTCTGGGCTTGTCCGCGAATGCGAACAGCAATACCATCCGGAAAGCATACTACAAGAAGAGTTTAGCCTGTCATCCGGATAAGAACCCCAACGATCCTGAGGCGGTGAAAAAGTTTCACCAAATCACGGAGGCCTACCAAGTCCTGAGCGACCCTCATCGTAGGAGAATATACGACGAATCCGGGGAGAATTTAGCGGCAGCGACAGACGCGATGACAAAGATAGATCCCAGTGTCTTCTTCGCAGTGCTGTTCGGAAGCCATCACTTCGAGCCCTACGTCGGCAAGCTGCACTTGGCCCAATATGCAGAGGCGGAAGCAGCTTTACAAGAAGAGTTAGATCGCCAGTTGTTTCTCATGTCCTGTATTCATCAGGGACCAACTGAGAACGCGAACTTCAATCCCGCGTACAACAATGCAAATACCAGTGGCAATGCTGGAGGTTGTTCTTCGAATGTTGCTAACACCAGTAATATTACTCATGATCACTCGTCTACTAGTGCCGGACTCTCGAACAATGGCGGAACAACTGGAGCAGCTGGAGGTAGTTCAGCGTCGTCTCGCATCAACAGCGGCAACAGCACTCCACAGCTGCGTTCTGCCGAACCTCTAAGTGGTTTGCCGCGTTTGTTTTCAGGCAATACAAGTCGTATGGGGTCGAAGATGAGCTCTGGAGCACAAACAGGTTCATCTGGCACGGGCCCAACAGCATCTTCACCCAGAGAGCCCTATAATCATGCGACGCCTTCTGAGCAGAAACGTGTCCGAGACCCGATGGTGAACAAGAGCGTGTTGGAGGCTCTGAAAATTCGGAAATTGGAGAAACGGTTGAGGTTTTACCAGCGACGCCGAGAAGTAGATTGTGCTTTGAATCTGGAGAAGAAATTCCGTCCATTCGTGAACGGTGAAGTGTCGAATGAGGAGTTTGAAAAACAGATCACCGAGGAAGCTAGGAAGCTGAAAAAAGCAGCGAATGGAAGGGAAATGCTGAAGGCGATTGGCTGGGTGTATAGGAATCAAGCGAGGCAGCAAGATAGCGGTTTGTTTTACGGCAAACAATATGGAGGAGTCAACTTTTACAAAAACAATGTCATTCCCATTCATCTTTACTACAGCTACAGCTGCTACCCTCTATCAGCTCTAATCATAGCGCACAGCCTGGTCGCGTTTTCGAGATCAAGCTCACTTCCTGAAGGCGCGCGCGAAGACAGTGGGCACTGTCTTCTTCGCGCAAAGTGTCGTCTTCGTAAGAGGTGGCAGCGATCTGGGAGCACCCTCATCACCGCAGGAAACATCTGCTGCAGCACGAGATGAAGGAGATGACAAAACGACTGACCAAAACCAGAAAAATGGCAGTACTGACAGCCAACAAGGTGCCGATGCCAACCTAAAGGGACGTGGTAGGAACACCAGCTCCACCCCTTCGAGTCTAAACCCTCGAGCCCTGCGCGTCGGCGCCTACGTGAGGATCAACAATGCGGAGGAACCGGAGTATCACTTATCGATTGGTCGGGTGACACGAATATTAGCTGACGACGTGGAGGTCGATATGACGAGTTTCACGGTGACGGAACGTCGTAAAAACGTTGAAGTAGTGGATATACGAGAGGCGCAGCAACAAAACTTACCGGTCTTCATTTATGGCCTATGTAAGTATATTTTGGCTTGTAGTATCGGTTTACACGGTTCTACTCGAACCCACTTCGTCCCAGCAGGTGCGGCTTGGCCGCGAAGCAGTGGACCCTCAACCTTAACCTTAAGAACGTACTATATTTGAAGATTCTGTTCTTGAGAAATGGACTTGAGAAGTCTTCTCTTGCTACTGAGGATCGAAAAGCATCCGCTCTCCTACTCTAACTACCGGACGTTCTCTGGCAAGTAACCCTATTAGACATCCAATCTACGAGTCGGCAGGTCTGTCGCAAGCTTCATCGGGACACTGGCGCGTCGAAACAGGAACGAGCGAAACGCATAGAAGCGTTGGCTAGAGTGGGCAAAATTTTTCTTCAAGTGGCAGCAACCAGGGACTCGGAAGAGGACAGGAGTGGAGGGAAATTATGATCATCTTTCGGTTTTGTTTCTTGTAGTACAATATTGTTAATACAAGCATTAAAGCTACTAGAATTGAATAACTCGTCGTCACTTCCTCTTCTTCTAACCACAGACAAACACAAAAGGAAACATGCAAGCGGCAGACGGTCGTCATCGTCAAAAGGGGACGGTGCTGGTGACAAGAGGACGAGCAATCAGAGGAGTGGCCAGAAGTCTCAGCGGATGGAAACGGCAATTCGTGTGATGATGACAGGTGCGAAACAGGAGGAGATAGAATAGGAAAAAAACAGCAGGAAATAGAGTAAAGGTGTGTAACGCTTCTACAACAGAGTATAGGAAAGTAGAAGTGCTTGATATACAGTTCAACAGTCTAACGTTTCTATTTTTACCATGGTTGTATCATTCTCATTACACCTCAGTCTAGTAGTCTAACGGTTCTTTTGGAGCACTCATAACAAATGTCGATAGAATCCTTGATTTTTCACGAATCCCTTATTTCACTACACCATTTTCCCTCGCTATGGACAGATAATCCAAACATAATAAATGTCCGACCGGAAAAATGCTTCCATCTTCATGCCACACGACTCACGTACTACTGCTACAATAAACCTTAACCTCTTGCTTTCCTACAACGACACCTTTTCGTAGTCACACACACACACACACACACTGGAAACCAGGACCTCAGGCAGGGCGATTGTCTTCCATCCAGTAAGACAGGAATTGCGCTTGTCTCCGTTGAACACACAAAATGCAGAGTGGATGTCGAGATGGATCGCAGTAAAGACGGACTATTGGTGTCATTTTTATCAGGAGCGCAAAAGAGACTGTCAAAATCGTGACACCATTCCAAATAGCATTTCGTGGTCCACTTCAGTACCCCCAAGCAAGTAAGTGCAGAGGAGCCTTGAATCTCAGGTGCATGAGCATCATACCGAAAAAGAACCATGCTAGGTAGATTTCGGTATCATCACCTGTGTTGTATCTTCGTCAAGCGTTAACGAATCCAGCCAAAACAAGACATGAATCCTTCCTCCACTCTCCTACCGGGTGATCAGCAAACCCAATACAATGCCACGGAGACGGCTAAACAGCGCGTCGACAGACATCTACAGAACCAAGGCTCAGGACCGAAAAGCAGAGTGCTGGGATTGACATTGATGTTATGCTGATGGAATACGAATAACACGATGAAGGGATTTGGATTCTAGTCTGTAATATTAAGGCTACCGCTGGACCATCCTCAACATCATCCTTGGCCCATTTTTCAAGGAGAAAAAGGGACCAGGGAGGTTCTCGGGGATGCGAGCGCGGTAGCTCTAATAATAGGACAAAACATATAGAAAGAGCACTCAACATGATTTACCCCGATCATGAATTTCAAATTTGGACAGTCATAACAAAGTTTCTCTTTCCACCAATCTGGGACCTTCTAACCCCCGTCCTAGTACCATGGGGCTTTTTTGCCGGAGTGAGCATGCTATTTTCATTCGCCTATCACTGGTACCCTGGGCTCACTGGCTTGCTCACAGGGGCCCTCGCTTTTGTTGCGATGCTGCTAGTCATGGTTGACTACCGAAACAAAGCAGTTGGAGGCAGATGGTGCTTGATCTGTACTAGACGTGATTTAAAGTTCTTCAAGAGAACTTCTACAACAAGCATTCATAATTCTCCAACACTTTAATACAGTTCAACATGGACGATGGAATTGTCCGTTTACAGTTCAACAAGGGGAACTTAGAGTACTTCTATGGACGAGTGATTGTTCTACATATGATGTCCGCCTACCTCGACATGCCATTCCTCTCACCCCATCCTCATCCACCCCATCTAATTAAGTTCTGGACTTACACCTCGTGCTAGGTAAATGAGTGAATGAATGAAAGGTACATACCCCATCCCCATTCCATCCTTATCCCCCACCAGGTACATGAAACTCGGGCTTTTGAGTTTTGCGTCGCTTCTTCTGGGCATATTCGCGTCTCTATACACGTACCATTACTACTTCGGCAACTACTGGTCGTACAAGGAAAACGCAGAGTACATCAACGTGCTGCCAAGCGAAGCCGCCAGTGCCCACGCAGATGCGGGAAAGATCCTATTTACAGTGGATACCAAGGTATATGAGAGAGTCTTAGTAGTTGCGAGTATGCTTATGATCTTGGTTACAGTGGATACCAAGGTATATGTGAGTCTTAGTTGCGAGTACTTATGCTCATCTCAGATTTGTCTCTTAGATAGTATGCACTAAACGTAGTTTCTTCTCTACTGCTGGTGGGTGCTTCCCGAATGGAAGATTACTACTGTTAGATTGATGAAATTCCCAACATCAACATAGGTAGCCACGGAGAAAACCTTGGGCTACCGGATAAAAGACATGTATTGCGTGGCGCCTATCATGGACTACGCAACGACAACAATACAGTATTGTTATGGCAAGTTGTCTTGTTCTATATTTTCGCACGAATGCCACTGCTAAAAGTAACGTACAGTAGTAGATTTTACCCTCCACATCTCTGCCTTCCCTTTTCTAACCTCCGGCAGTCGGCACCAACTGTTGCCACGCTAGATCAAATTTCGCATGCGACGACGTTTGGAACCCAAGAGCCCGAAGTGCCGTAGTGGTGTTGGATAATCGAGGGTTCTTCCCATCCGTACACTCAATATACAAGAAAGCAGCGGAACAGGCATGTGCGGAGTACTTTTGTTTAGATCATGTGTTGTATGTAGTTCATGGAGTCGCTTGTATGCTCACGTGTTTTTTGCTTTGCTCAAGTTAGAAGCTGGTAGTCTTTTAAGAAAGAAGACAAGAATTTTGATAGCTGCAACTGACAACACTGCTACGGCAAGCATGATACATAAAAGCAATTGCTCCACCTTGACTCACAGATCCACCTTGTTCCAATCCTAACGCACCAGATGGGGCCTAGTCCAAGCGAAAGACCCACTCTTTGTGCACTGGGTAGCAGACGCCACAGGAGAACAAAACGGCTACTGGAGTGCGGGTCTGGGATACCTGATAACGTTCATTTTATGGCAAAAAAGCTCATACTCAATGATCCATACTGTAATATTTATCATACAAGCTTGGAATACCTCGAACTAAGTCTGTTAGGATGCTAGCAAACTTTTATGATCAAATATTGCATACACATGAAGATGAACGCTTCATCTCTAATCCTCGCAGTATACGCCGTTTGGTCCCTCCTCGTAGGCGGCATAGTGCAGATGTCAGCTAGGAAAGCGTCAGCGGCAGCCACCGCTGGCCAAGGTGATGGAAAAGGAGTACGATTGCCTCCAGCTTTGTGAAAATCATGTTAATATCCGGCTTGATGCGGACAGGACCAGGAGTGAAATTAGCTAAATGATGTTGACTTCTGCAGCTGTAACTCATCTGATTATTCCTTTGTACTTCTATTTCATCAACACAAACTAACTGTCAAACACATAGGTGGGCTCACACAGGATCCCAAGTAGGCCATGTAAAGAAACTGTAGGTACTCACAGATTATTCATCTATCATGTAAAAGGCATGAATGTTTATGGGAGATTTTGTTTTGCATGGAGATGCACCTTGAAAGAAACTTGTGAACAGCAATGCGTGACGAGGTTGAATCGAGTGTGAAACGCAACGTGAGTTGGTTCATTACACATTTGCATACTTTGTTCAACAAACTGCAAGTAAAGGTCTGCCGGTGTTGATGTACTTACAACAAGAGACAAAGTGTTCACCATTATCGTGGTGTTCGAGTCGATAAACTGATTTCTGAGATGAACGAGAGATGGCCACTGAGAGAGCATTACCAAGAATTTCCAAGTGTTCAGAAGACAGCAAACCTCGCATTACCGTTCGTTCGTTCGTACTTATTCGATGATCGTTAGTGAGAAGTCGAACTCACTTATTTAAAGCTAATATCCTCACAGGAGAGAAGATGGACGCGAACGGGTGCATGGGGATGAGTTTCGCGTTTAGTCGCGGTAACCCCGCGATCCCTATGTCACAAAGTAGGTTGGTGTTTCTTACTGAGAAGTGACTGAAAAAATAGTTACGTAGTAACAGTAAGTTTACGTTGTGCATAGAGCAGCAGACTTGATACTCAGTTCTACTTTGCTCGTGCAAGATGGAGTAATCTCTCGTCGCAAATTTAAATTTATATATGTTTTCTAGATTTTCGTCAATCATTACAGTAGTTAGCTTTTTGGTTAGTTACATTTTTGGCTAGTATGATCATTCCCCATCGAAAATCATTGCGTTCATTTATTAGGCATCAAATCAAAAATAGGGGAGAATGAATTTCAATGGAGTTTGTAGAGCATTCAATATCAAGAAAAAGCAGAGCTAATTGATCCATTTCTCAATTTTTGAACAGAACTGTGTTTACACGAAGCAACAAAAGACTCGCTTAAAGAGTTCTTCTACTCAAGCGATATTAAAGTTTGCGCTTCTTCATCTACTTGGCCTAGGAATCTTCAAATACGCAAGGAAAAATGTTCGCTCCTCCACTCGATCCGAACTTGTATTACCCCAATGGGGTCCCACGACGCCAAGCTCCTCCTCAGGGAGGACCCTATTCGGGAGGAAATAGCGGGACTTCCTCCCCCGGAGGTAACCGTTACCTATCGCCAGAGGAAATCCAGCAAGAGTCGATGCGCAGGACGGCGTCCGCCTCTGGATCGAGTAACCCTTTACTTGGTGGGATTCCGGAAATCCGTTTACCCACATTTAATTTCGACCAGCTCCTACAGGGGTTGTTACGAATGTTAGGTCTGTCGCATACGATGCTAAGGGATATGCTGATTCAGTTTCTGCTTCTGGTTTGCGGTTTGGTGTTTCTCTTCTGTCAAGAGCCGGGGATGGCGGGATTGTGCCTGATTTTATACTATACATGGTACTGCTACTACTTTTTTAACCTATTTTGCCTTCAGACGCTCATTAATCAGCTACGGATCAGTTGGATTTCAGATGCTGGATATTCAGATATATGAGATTATTCATCGACCGCTAAATCATATCCAAAATCCATTGATTCACTACCACATAATAATTTCTTCTTTGTGCTTCAATACACAGGTACCTCTACCTCCAGCTAACGTATGGACTTGCGTCCCATCTTTTCAACGATAATGTGGACAATGGCCCATCAGAACTACGGGGTAGTAGTGCAGGAGATGTAGAAGCTGCTTCTATCGACGGAAACGAAGGTACTACTCGAGAAGAAGGAGCTTTTCCGACTGTTGATGCAGCTGGTGCTGCCAGCTCTTCCTCTACGACGGTGATGACGAATCCACAGGGTGATCTATCGATTCCGTTGCTAGGTGGCGATGTAGATCTGGAACGCGGCTTATCGAATACGTCGTCCAACGCGGCTTATGCGGCTGAGGGATTCTTCGTTTATCAACGACATCAACAACAGCCACATCTTGCGCACAGTCACAGTGCTGGCAGCAGCATCGACGAAATGGGTCGGACGTCTTCTTCGCGACCTTTTGGCCTTTCTTCAAGTTCAACCGCACATCTTCAAGGACCTAATGGTAGCCGTGGTAGCAGTGGTACCGCCTCACAGTGGTCCGGCGGTCAGAGTCCACGTTCCATCGCGTCTGAGCAGGAATTGGAATCCGGGTATGCCTCTCCGCCTGATGAGTTCTTTTCAGGCGCTTCGGGACGTGCATCCGCAAAATACAGCAAGAGTAAAGCAAACGGGGTTGCTCTCGACACCGACGGCGTGAACGCGAATGATGAAGAGGTGAACGATGACGTGCGCATCACTGTAGATCTGGAAGGCAACAAGATTCTTCTCAACGCTGACAACCTGCCCAAAGCGAAGCAGAAAATTCAGCGTGCTGGAGCAGGTAAGGGCAACTCCAGTAAGAGATCAAAAAACACGTCACATCAAGGAGGCTCATCTTCTTCTACTTCTACCGGTTATGTTCTCGGAAGTGGCGCAAGAGGATCGAGTGGCGTTTCGCACCTGATTGGCTCGTTTTCAACGTCGCCACGCGGCGACCCAGAGTTCGATCTGAAAGTCGAAGAAGTCTGAGGTGATAGAAGGGTGATCTTGTTATAGAGTCTTGATATCAAATAATTTCGAAGAAATACCTCTAGAAATTTAACAAGCTTTTCAGATTTAGGGAATAATTCTTAGTTTCGCATTTGATATTGTTGAAGCCGATGGGTTTAGATTTAGTCAGTATTTCAGAAAGCTCTAGCATTATTATAGAAAGTTCAAGTGATTTAGAATTTGAAGACAATTAAGGCAATCGTGGTAGTGTGTGAATTTTGGTAGATTATTCTTGAGCTTACTAGAGTGGAAGAAGCATCCTTTCTAGTTTATCGAATTTAGCTGATTCCTTTTTTTTGTATACCCATTCAACCTTTCTAGTATCCCCAACCAAAGAGTCCAAGTGTTTAGTTCTAGTTTTTTTCTTTCGCAGCTAAGCCTTCTTCTCGTGGGGAAGGAATACTGCCTACAAATACGAGAATATTGCAGTGAAGTTCTAGACATTTATTTAGTAAAAGGTGAGACCTTTTAGTAAAAGGCAGCGAGAACAAGTAGAAGGAAATCTGTAACATGTATAAGTAGTCGATATTCCCGGACTGGTGTGAGTGTGAGTATATAGTTTCGCATAGAGTTTCAAGTATAGTAGCGTTTTTGTTCGTGTTGTTCATCAGGGCCAAAGCTTACATCTGAGAGAAATATCCCACCTGATCAATCTAACTTTGTGAACTGTACTCGGCTTGCCGTGATCATCCTAGGCAGCGAGCACACTTTGAACTTCAGATCTATGTTTCGCTCTTATCAGGCTTGAGCTATTCCCTTTGTTGATCTTCTTTTGGGTTCTATTTATTAGAAGCACGTGCTCGTCGTAAATTACTGGTGGTGGTGGACGAGCTAGACACTTCCTAATAACAGAGCAATTTATAAGGTGATCCATTTTTGGGTTCTATTAAGACTAGGACTTAGCGTAGCGCCACCAGCTCTAGGACGTAGTTTTGTTTTTGGCTCTTCAGCAGCCACTCATGTCTGCCAGGTTTCCCGGTAGGCCCACACCTAACCTAACCTCTATTTATTAGGAAGTGTCTAGCTCGTCCACCACTGAGACACTCTTAGAACTTACATTAGACTATAGTCGGAAAATTTTTTTTGTTGTTGAAGAAGAAGTCATGATTTCTTTGTGCAAGTAGTTGGTAATTGCAAACTGACAAAGATTGAAGTAGCCGTACTCTATCTATGCACGACTGCAAAAATTGCTACTCCTACTACTATCTTCCCAATAAGGATAGTTAGTTCTCAGTTCAAGTTGAATGTTTGCTTGTCGCTTGTCAAAATGTGACGACTAGTGACGAAAACAGTTCTTGATGTTGAATGAATGAAGATCTTTGACGCTTTTTTTTGTTGAAAAAGTATTAAGCATCGTTTGTGGAGGTTTGCTATGCAAAAACGACTACTTACATGTTCACTTGACAAATTGTCACGTGTGAACGGGGCAGCAAGACGCGCCCACTTTCTTTAGAACACGGAGTTCTTACTTTAGTTGTCACGTGTGAACAAGGCAACAGACTTTCTCTAGAAGACGGAGTTCTTACTTTAGTTGTCTTTCCGAGAGAGAAGAGACGAAGCTGTTGGAACCCTTTGTAGTGAGTCGTGGTAAGGATGTATGGAAGAAACGAAGTTGAGATGGGTAGAATTTGAGAGAGAGGGCATCATGGGCTGAACATGTCTCATGTATAGAACCGAAGATGGAGCCTTTTTGCTTTCCTTTTAGCACAATCTTTTAAGGAGAAGAATGCAGGCGATGGCGAACAGCGTGCAGCGCAGTGGTAGTTACGTTTCTCGTGTAATATCGAGACACAGGAGCAGGAGTAGCACTGCCACGTCAACAAGCTCAATTTCCAACGTAGCAGCAGCGGAATGCGAAAGAAACGGAGCCGAACTGCAGATGCTCGTGGAGTATGGCTAGGAGTCTGAGGGAGCTCGATGTGAAGGATCCCAAACCTAACCCAACGATAAGATAACAGATAAGATAGATCTGCTCTTGATGCATTACAACATCCTACCTTACTGTCCTACCACAAGAGAGACAAAAGATCTCTTGATGCATTACAACATCCTACCTTACTGTCCTACCACAAGTACCAAGACTTCCGTTCTTTAATCACGAATTCCTTTTTCTTCATATTCCCAGACAAGCAGCAGCGGATGACTACGTGAAACTCTGGTCCTTTAGAAGACACACACGTGAAAAAGTGGCCGAAAGAGACGATCACTTTGATCGAGCTCACGGAGACCCTGACTGGTTCGGATCCACACACTATTTGCCAAAACTTCTCACCCGCATGAAGATCAACAGGGGTGGTCGCGGGGGTTGGGGTGCGAGATACGGTAGTGCAGGTGGCCAATTCACAAAGTGGGTAAGGACACAAGTAAGACCAGAGGGGGCGAAAAGATAGGCGTTGCTGTTGTTGTTGTTGTTGTTGTAGTAAATACGCGAAGACGTGATCATCTTCATAGGCCATTCACACATTCATCGCTTTTCCTACTTTTGGGATGAACCAGTACAACTACAAGCTTGTGTTGAGAACGTCAACATACAAAGTTTCTGATTGCGTAGAAGCTTATGGTCCTGTTTTGAGTAGGTTCTTGATCAACATGATCGGTGACGTCCGTCCGGTACCTATTTTTATCCCGAACGAATTGCAGAGATGAGAGAAGTTGGATCTTTCAACATGTTGCTTAATCGCTTCAACATAAGAATAGGATGGCAGCGAAGTAGTTGACCTTTTGCGCTGAAAGGAATGGGCGCTGAGAGATAAATAATGCCGAGACCACTCCTAGAAAGAAGTGAACACTATTTAGTCGAATAAGTAGTAGAAACAAAAAATCAAATGCCATGGCGCGACGGTCAACTCCCGCACGTTCTTCATCTGGCTTCAGAAGGAGTGGCCTGCTCCACTTGTCATCTCCAAGACTGCAGAATAACGATGGAAAGGGGAATCCGCAATTTTTGTTGGATCGTTTCTTCAAGCGGTACAACAACTCAAAGTTCCTGGCTGCTGGCGCCTTGCACATTCGGAAAATGCCAAAGGTAGGGATGACGTACGATGCGACGCTGGGAAGATTGCGTGACATTAAGGCTGTACCTAATACATCTTTGGACGTATCCTTGGGACTATGTATGGAGGAGTATCCGAAGCGAATACTCCCCCATACTTTTCAAGGATGCACTTGAAAGATGAATTACGGACAGCTCTAATGACACAGGTCAAACCGAAATGGAGATTGGTCTTGGTCGACATCGCGTCTGGATGCTGTGTGAGAATTATCCGCCTAGGGCATGGGTCGAGCTCATTGTTGCCTCCCGAGCCACGCATCACCGGCACCACACCGACCGAGAGAGTTTTGATGTGGGACTCTTCGTGCGCAGAATCATGAAGCCAGGTCCATATGGCGTAGCAGAGGAGGATGAGGATAGATGGTGCGAGCATACAGGGGAATGCACAGGTTGCCAGTTTTCCAGTGTTCGATACGCACGACAGCTCGTAGAAAAACGCTCGTGGCTGCTGAGGGCCTTTCCCTGCGGAAAGGTCGGTAATATATTTTCCTACGATGTTTGTTTGATAGGGTTTAATACAGCGAGTGATGACGCGCGGGGCTTTGGTACAGTTGTGGTGCCTCTGTCCGATAAAGGTGGAACCGATCACGGCAAACGCGCTGCGGGAGAATTGGAGCCGGGTGGAGGGCGTTGCGCTTCGGGTTGTGGCCGTGTCGTGTGTACGCGCTTGCGGCCTGCTCACTCCATGACAAAGCAACAAAGGGGCCGCGCTATCATTCGCCTCCCATTGCCCGGCGCTTCTCGCTGCTCTGAATTATACACGACAGGGCCCCCGCAGGCTTTTGCTCGAACCCCTTTCGCGTTTTCGAGGCATGCGGATGCGGGCGCTGGGAGACAGGGCGCGGCGTAATGCCTTAGGCCGTCTGGATCTGCCGCCCGTCCGGTGTCCGGGGTGCGTAGGCTTCTGCTGAATCTTTTGCCCAAACTGAAAGGCTTAGAGAGCCGGCATCTCTACGCACCTTGTTTGATGACAATCATCACCGCCAACGGATCAGGCTCCGGCCCTCGCTCCAGAAGGACCTACCTCGCCATCTGACTCGCCCGCTTTTCGTTTTTCTGTCTTCCTCTCTATTATGTTCCCCAGCAGGGAGCAGGGGCGAAGGATGCTGATAGATCTCACCGGAAAAGCCTCGCGCATTCATATCGCCAAATCGAGCGAATGCCTACAAACGGAAACGCGAGGGGAAGTAGCTGGCAGTGGGTGGATATTATTGGCACCGGGTCGCGCGACAGTGTGGACGACAATAGCGCACTTTTTACAGCTCTCGAGCTCTCTGAACTGGAGGCAGATGGGGCGCGGAGAGATGAGGAGCACGCAAAGAACGCGCAACGGCACGCGCAAAGTTGTTGACATTGAGGGCGCCGGGGCGCAGCGCCGCGGAGTTACAAAATTACATAAAAGCAGGGCACTCAACAGAGAAAGAAGCAGACAACACAAACGGCAGGCAGGAGCAGAGGGCTCGCCTGGATGCATTTGGGGCGGCAGCTGCAAAGGCTCCGACGGTCTTGCTGCCAAAGGATGGGGGTGAAGGCTGCTGGTCGCCGTGTGCGCTCACTCTGAGGCGTGTGGGGCCAGCTCTTCGCGCTTCGGTCGGCCCAGACGGCGACGGCGCTCTCGCTACCGGCTTAGAACTTGGTTGCGCAATTCGCTGGCACGGATGGGCATCGCCTTCGTAACCCGACCGGAGCGAGTATCGACCTGACTCCAGGAGAAAAGCGCCGGGTCTTTATACTAAGCGGCGCGCTGTGCGGTCCGTCGGTTTCGGCACGTTGTGCCATTTCCGCTAGTCAGAGCGTTCGTCGGCTTTTGGTAATTTTTCGGTAGCGGGGGCTCGACGATCGGAATCAAGGCCGAAAGGTGCGAAGCAGGTAGCAGGATCCCTCTCAGGTTGGTCCCCTGGCGTAGGTGAAAGAATACTCTGGTGCCTTTGATAGTTTTCGCCCACCGTTTGGGGGCAAGATATGGCCAAGACCCCTCCGCTTTGATGGATCCCTTGGCTCGTAGTTTCTTCGGCTCCTGTAATTGTGAAAGGGGTGCCAGCGTGATAAAGAGTAAAAACAAGAAAGGCAAACGCAAAGGCGTGGCGGGGTGAATATGCTCCGAGCAGGTGGGCGGCAGGTGGGGGGGGCTCGCTGCGGGCATTGACATGAGCCAGGGCAGGGACGCGCGTGGAGGTGTCATGGTGGGGGCTGTGTGTTTGGGCTTACTCTATAGCCCGTTGGGTGCGCCGGCGCCGTATACTAGTTGCCATTGTCGCGGGTGTCTGAGTGCGCTCGAAGGTATGCCGCGCTCGCGGTACCTCATGAATTCAGAATGGGCTCGGGCTGTGCTTCGTGTGATTAATTATCCAGGTGAATAAGCTTATCTTGTCTTCGCGCTTAGGTTTCGTTCGGGGTTAGTAGGCTCTTTCAATAGCATCTTACAATGAATATTGCACTTCATTTTAGCAGGCGGGCAGCAAAATTGATGGAAGCAACGCGACACCACCACTTTCTTATGCATAGGTATCGCGGTGCTTGCCTGCGATTCATGGGCACACCGAGTTCGAATACAGCGCTGAATGGGGTTACGGATATTCGGTAGGCCGTGGGCCAGCTGGATTTGCCAGTGACGTGGAATCTAGTCCCAACATGTGTCGCAGATTGCCGAAGCGGTTATTTCTTAGGGAGTATGACTTGTTTGATCAAATTATTGCGCGTCTATCTTCATCTTGTCGCCAGTGGAAGTGCTCCGTGAAAGATGTAAATCATTGACTGAAGAAGCAAACATTACTGGGATGAATTCACCGATAGAAGCACAAGCTCTAGTTACAAAAAGAACAACATCGTCGATTTGGTACTAGTAAATAAATAGTTCTAACCGGAGAGCTATGCGGGAAGCCTCGGAGACATTTGAAGATCGCTACGCGCCCAAGATCAAGGGCATTTGCGGGCGTGGAAAGGATGGCAACTTCGAAGTTCTACTGGACGTGCGTGGTGGATCACTCGGCTACTTCCTGGACGAATTGGATGTGCAGGTCTTCAAGGAACGAAACCCCTACGTGAAAGCCCTCACCCACCACAGAGGCAGAGTCTTAGTCTTCGGCGAGACGAAAACAGTGAGACAGCATGTACGACTCGAAGTAGTTGCGAAACTGATGAAGGATCGAAAATTGCCAATACTAGAACACGGAAATAGTGCTCTGGATAAGCCCATTTTCGTCAACGTGGAGCAATCTATTCGACACGGCCCATTGTGGAGTGTGGAAGAGGATGAAACTGCGGAAAGGAGTCTGCCAGAGGCTTCAGTGTGTTCTGGCAGTCCTCGTGAAGAGGAGCCACCTGCAGTTGTTACGGTAGCGAATGAAGAGATGGCGAGGACTGGTTCATCCAGCCCTGAGCAAGAAGATGCAAGTCAACATCATCGAAATGAAATCAACAGTGACATCAACAAGGACGAATTTGGTGGAGTGAATACATCGCCCTCAACCACAAAGGACCAGATGCATAGCTTGGAACAAGCAGACAAGCATATTATGGACGCGGTGGACACCGGCAGCACGTCTTCAAGCAGGACCAATAAAGAAGAGCATCAAGAAGAATATCCAAAGACGGCTTCAGGTAAGAACCCTGTGCGTGGCGACTTGGATGCACAGACCCACACAAAAAGGAAGGCGGAAGAAATCGCATATCGAGGTCCAATGTGTCCACGAGAGTTTTTCTCGAGAGACTATGTCGATCATGGTCTTCTAGAACATCAAGATAGAAGTGATGGTGCAGAAGCACCTCCAGTTGTTAACAAAGGTGCCAAAAACCTCGATCCCTCTCTCTTAATCGATTTGGAGTTCGATCTCAGCCTATGGCCTGTTCCCTGTCGTGCGGACCTAGGAACCCTAGCGGACGTGATCGCAGAACGCTTCCTGATTCCTGTTTTGGACCGCATCCGTACGAAAAAACGTCGCATCACCATCTGGGAGTTCGGAGGCTGTTGGCCTCTGGCAACAAGTCTGGCGGCGATTTTCGATTATGGGTTGGAGGTTGACCTCTGTCTGACCTTTTCAAGCAGGAAAGGGATAGATATGCGACCCACTAGATGGGGGTCAACTTGCAACCCCTAATCTGAAAGGCTGAAAACATCAAAAGAGATGTGTGTCGTTTCTCTCCAACATCCGCATGACGTGTATCAGCGTCAAGAAGCACTCAGAAAGCGGATAGAGGAACAAAGGGAAGCGTCATCTATGAGTGCAGTAGAAGATGGTTCATCATGTCAGGAGTATTCGTATTGCTCGTATGACAAAGTAGAAGGTGCAGGCGGAAACAAGAACAGTTACTGCGAAGTAGAACCTGGGACAGTAACGAACGAGCATAAACAAGAAGTAAATGATGGGAAGATTACGCCGGTTGAGAACAACGAGACGAAGGTCGAAGAAGACACAACTCTTAATAATCAACACGAAGACGAACAATCAACCTGCACTACTTTCACAACGCACGACAAGGAAGAGGCGCGCAAAATAGGTAGCAAGCTAGAGGAACGTCGAAAGCGCAAAGATGTTCTCTATTTGCCTGGACCCAGTGCCGATGAAACGGCAGACGCAATGTTCGGACCCAATGTGACGTTTGGAGGTCCTGAGACAAAGAATGAACTTGACGAGGATCAAGATACAACTGTAGCGGACGATCGTGCTGACGATGCTAGAGACTCTCTTCGGGGTACAACTGCTTCCGCATTAACAACGACCCTGCCTGAAGACGCTAGTACGGCTTCTCTGAGTCCAACTGAGACTGACCACATCAGTGCAACAACTACAGCAGGTAGTAGTTCCTCTGAGGAAGAGAAACCAGATTTTTACCTGGCAGTAACATCAACATCTGAAGCTCGTCAAGACCTGGAGGCAGCTCCATCAACATCTGAAGTATTCCTGCAACAGACAGGATCAGGAGCCGCATCTTCATCATCGGTAGCTGCTACTCCCCAGAGCGAAAATCGCGATCTTCAAACACATACCGAGCAAGACGATGAAGAGGACCAACTGAGCGAGGAGGACCGCACTTATTTCCCACTCCTCACTCACGTCGTCGCCGATATCGGTCGCGAGTCTGTCCTAGAACGTCTTCTAGTGCTTACCCAACGCGAAGACGCGTTTGACTTTGGTGTATCGCGTCAACCGGATGGCTTCGGAGAAACTTTGGATCGGATGGACGCCTTTCAAATATCGAAAAACATCTCGAGGAACGCAAATTTGAACAGTACGGGAGGTGCATTTGCCGATGTGGACCCTATGCTGGGCGCTTTGATACCAGTTCCGAAGCCAGGGGACTATCAAGAAGAGGATGGTCCTAGACCAGATTTATGAAGACTAGAAAAAAAATAATTACTTTTTATCCTTAGGCGAACACGAGAACACGAACACTCACCAGTATCTATAGGTATACTTCTTTTTCCGCATCCACTGTAAAACCTTATTCTATCCTTTATCACTATGTGAATTGTTTTGAGTTGTTGTTCACAAAGTTACCACAAATAGAGCAAACTGCTTTTTTTCGCATCTAGAAGATCTAATACACGAAGTCGACGATCGGTGGAAAGCCAGATTGAAAGCGACATTTAGGGCACTTGCCAAGAAATGGCATCCGGACAAATCCAGGGACACGTGGCTCACCGCAAAGTTTCAGGAAGCTGCTAAAGCCTATGCTCAGCTAGTCAAAGGTGCTCCAAACGATGATGATGATAAGCACCCATTCGAAGACGGAGAAGATGGAAGTGCTAGAGTTAAGGCTACCGCCAAAACCACCTCGTCAACATCGATCTTCATTCTTAGGACGAGCGGAGCTCTTTCTCTACTTGAAAAAGAAGCGCCAAGGATATGATTCTCAAGGAAGACGCGAAAGCGGTACCTCTGTCTAAGGTACTAGGTGGTAAAGACGACCCTGGCGACCCTGAAGACCAAGTGTTGTTTGTCAACGATGTCGTGACTGGAGTTTACAACAATTATCCTACGTATTTGCCCAGTCCAGATATTGGCATTTTCAGCTACCAAGACTGCGAAAATTCCACTTGTCGACGGTTCATCCGGTTTCACCTGCAGCTGAAGTTATGGCTTCGTCGCGAGTTGTAACTTTTCGAAAATATGGTTCTCTTACGCTTCTTGATTCGGTCGAAGAGTGCTTTTTCTAAAAAATATTTCAAAAATTGTATGTAGCATGCAAAGAAGATTTTTGAACCCCTAAGGCTTCAAAGGAAAGGCTGTATCTTCGGACTCTAATCTCCTACGTCGTCCTGATCATTGATGGTGACATCTCGCATATGAAGAAGCCCTTGTTTCACTTCGCGCGATTGAACTACGTAATCGACCACATCCAGCCGATCGACACCTGTCCGCATAGAAACCGACTGTGTGCGATTTTTCAGTTGAGGTTGGTGGAGACGCGTAAAAAACGTTTAGCGCAAGAACGACACATGGCATTGATCGAAGGAGGAAACACAACGGAACGCCGGTTGTTAGACGCAAAGGAACGACTCATGCAGATCTCTGGATCAGGGGATGCACAACTAGGATTGCCTCCAGGAAAGTCCAATAAAAGGCTGCTCAGCGGAGCAGGAGAACACCAGCAGCAGCTTTTGGGTCGTGGCAGTGCTGAATCGTCGGTTTCAGGTGTGCCATTGCTGCCAGAAGGACAACGAGGTGTGCGTAGATTGATCTTGGAAACGGCGGGCGCCGTAACAGCTGTCGCGCCAGATACGTTGGCGGAACGCGTTGAAAACGAAAGTGTGTATCGATATGGGCCGCCGAAACTGGATGAGAGTGGAGAGGAAAGCGATAAAAGTAAGGTTACGGACGACCCTTCAGCATCGTCGTCTAGTGCACAACGAGCGCAACAAGCAAAAATTGCTTTAGGAGGCAGTATCAAGAGCATCACTAGTGGCAGTGCGCCAGTGCTGAAGCTGACATCTAGCGAGGATAGTACAGCCGGTACAGCAGCACCTCGTCCTTCTTCAAGAACATCCACATCTTCGCAAAGCAGGACTAGTCCTCAGCTTTTCAACGTTTTAGGGGGAGTTGGGAACGACAAGCGTGGTGGCAATATATCTAGTGGCAAGGAGCACAGCAATGGAGCTACTCCGTCTAGTATGAGGAGCAGGAATTCGAATACCAGAGATTCATCTTTTTCTGGCAACGTTCGCGCATCTACGAAGAAACATAGCGACAACAACACCAGCTCGGCTGCGGACTTCCTTGAGAACGATGAAGTGGCGCGAAAACTAGTGAAAGTCCTCCAGGGGCAAGTGCTTAAGCGCAAGGATCTGGCGACGCTAGCCGATCGCGCAAGGGGGAAGTGCACTAAAGTAGACGCACCATCGAACAAAAAGAAGAGAAGGGTTTGGATCAATAAATGATCTAGATGTTTTGCCATGTTGTACTTTTTGTGACAAAGATAAAGAACATCAAAATGAACATGAAAAGACCTTGCTGCTGCGATTTGGGAAAGTGTCTTTGTGTTCTTGGCTCTGCGGTAAGCAAATCGTCCAGCTTTGTTGCATACTGCACTCCAGGTATGCAAATGTGTTTGATGTGGACGAAGGGCGAACAGATTAAAAAATAGAATCCATAACTAAATCTTTGAGATAGTGTAAGCTCTCTTCCTGAAACCAAAAAGATGGTCACGTCTGGCGGTCCGTCTTCCACAAAACCCTCAGGGTCCTCTGTCGGAGGTAAAAAACCTCAGCAGCAAGGAGGAGGCTCAGCAAATGCCTCTTCCTCTTCTGCCAAAGTTTACGTAGATGCAGTTTCGCGTGCTTTTAAAGGAGGTTGGATACGGCGTAGTGCTTTGCGCGTCATCCGGTATGCAATGCGGGGCTCTCCTCCGCGTCTATGTCCTGAGGTCGAACAACTCGTGCACGAACTACGCGTGATGCCCAAGCATATAAATCGCATATATGGAGTCTTCTGCGATCTGCGAGACCGCAGCAAGGACCTTGGGGTACGGGCAGGCGCTGGAGCACTGGCCACGGACGAAGCAGCAATATGGTCATTGCCGTCGTTGGTGCAATATCGTTATGAGTGATCCTCCGACACGTTGTTTGTGACGTTAGACATTTGCGCTCATCCAGATCTAGTTCGCTTTCTTGCTATTTGCACACTTGTGTAGAAAATGGAATGTCTCTAAGGTGACCATCTGCGTGAGGATAAGCGGAGCAACTTCGTTTCTTGTTTGTTGTATCTTACAAGGGTTAGTACAGTAGTCAGCTGAAAAATGGAGTCTGTTTCTAATAGATACGAGCGCAAGTGTTTTCTTGACTGAACCTGAAACCACCTCTAAAGCAGGCGGAAATGGGTCACAGAGAAGTGCCTCATGCGGCTCCTCGAGTTTGCCGGTTGCTATCAACGTATAAGCTGGAGCCAGTTCCTCTACCTTTTTCTGCGGTTCAATACGCTCTCGAAGGTACTAGTTGGGCACCCGGTATGCATTTATAGTGGTACAGCTGTGCAATTTGAAATGATAAGAAAACCGGAGCAATCGCCTTGGAACCACCTGAGATTTCGAGTTCTATGCCCTCTGCGATTTTGTTCGTGAGATTAGCGGCCGGCGCTTCGTTATCCTCGATCAAGTTCCGTGGGATGTCGCTGATAGTCGACGAGGAAGAAGATTCTGCGCTAGCAGTGCGATGGCCTTCCGATTTGCCGGATGGCGTCGGCGGGTGCAGTCGTGAGGCATCTCCAAGCTGGGAAGATCCTTTTCGCAAACTTTAAATTATCTCCAGGCATCAGCCAAACTGTTGCTGCACCCGCTAACGCGGTTCCGACAGTTCTGGAATCGCCATGAGGAGGCTCTCCAGAAGAAGCCCGCCATGGTTGAGGCGCGCAAGCTTGTCGACAAACTGGCGAAGCTTTACCAGGCGAAAGGGCTGAGCTTCACGGGTCAGCAAATTTGCAAGATTCTGCGTTAGCAGTGCGATGGCCTTCCGATTTGCCGGGTGACGTCGGCGGGTGCAGTCGTGAGGCAGTCGACAAACTGGCGAAGCTTTACCAGGCGAAAGGGCTGGGCTTCACGGGCCAGCAAATTTACAGGTGAAGCCCTGGCGGGGTCCGGTCGACCTTACCACCCAAGGACGTGCGCAGCTTGTCGGCCTCCTCGCTTAAGTGATTCGCCTGCGTAGCTGCTTGGGCGAAGCGCTTCGCTTGCCGCTCATTGTTGTGGCCTGTATAGAAAGGCGGCCGGCTGGTGCTCGAGGTCGCGCGGGCGCCCAGGTTTGGCGCTGCTTCTATGTCCGAGCATTGTGCCACGCCTCTGAAGCTGCTAACGATTTCCAGAGAAGCGCGCCCGGGAGTGGCTTGCCGGTTTTGTCATGCGTGGCGGACTTTCGAGCTGCAAAGCCTATCCGCCGTCTCTTGTCACAACAACAGAAACCCACTGGAGAAGTGTCAGCGAACCTGCTGGCCGGTGAAGCTGGCTTGAATGTGGAACAGGCTGGGCGGTGCAATGATGTGACTTGTCTACGCGGCCAATGCTTTGCGTGCTTGCATATTTATGCTGAAGAAGAAAGCGCACGGCCTGGAGATAGTGGGCGCATGTATCTGGGCGATGGTGAAAAGCATGCGGGACCTTTTAAATCTGGTGAGGGAGAGGGAGCTGCGGCCGGGTGCCATCTTCTAACGAGATGCCCACCCGCCTAGCGAGCCGCCACCTGCGCCCATGCGACCAAGCTAGGGGCATGCCCTTGAGATGAGCGCAGGGGAAGCTGCTGGGCTTTACATTTACAAGCACAACGCAGAAGCCGGGCGCCGCTTACTGCGCGGCGCTGTGCCTTTGGGCTTGCGAAGGTGGAGGCGGCTGGAGTGGTCAGGCCTTCGCTTGCTTGCTTCTTGCCGCGGCTACGACGGCGTCGGCTTGCGTCAGCTCGCTCCATCTTGAGGCATGAGGATTCAGGGAACTGCGGCGGGGGTCGATGTAGGCAGCAGCATCTTATCAGGGGTGGAAGCCATCCGCCAGGTTGTGGGCGTTGTGGGGCTGGTCGCCTAACTAAGTAGAACGTTCGCCTTCGCAGAAGGCGCGCACCGCGCACCCGGCGGGCGTGCATGGCTGCACTTTGGCAGCAGTCAGCCGCCATCTCGCACACAGCCAAGGCGTTGCCTGTATGTCTTCCGGGGCGCTGCTCGCTCGCATGCGGTTGAGCGTCGGGGGTATAGGCTTAAAGAGTGGGTGAGGCAGTGAATGGCGCGTGGGGGGCTGGTGGGGTGCATGTGCGTGATGTGGCGACACAGATGCGAACTGAGCAAGAGCGAACGCAGGGGGGCTGGCCTGGTAGGTTTTTGGGATGCCTTTGCGCTTTGCTGGCTGGGCTCATTTGTCGTCGAATAAAATGCTTGCACCACCTCCACGCAGCTCTGCTCTGTATCCTTTCACTTCCCCGCTGTGATGTCGTCTGAAGTACAGCCTTCGGCAGTGCTGGGACGGTCTAGTCTAGTAATTGATCGCCGCCTAGAACACACACAGACTCACTCAGACACCCGCTAGCCATTTCATTCGAAGGAGTGGACAATACAACAACTGAGAGAAGGAATGTAGATCCCTCGCAACGAAATATATTTATAAAAACTCTTACACTTACTTCCAGGTCGAATTGGCCCAAGTCCTCTACTTCCTGATAATCCGAGACGTCAAAGCTTGGACGATACACTATCTGACGTGTACGCAGCTGTACGAGTATTTCTCTTTCTTCGAAGACTGTCCAGTTGACAGTTTCCGAACGTCCTCGGTCAATTTTGCCACCTTACCCTTAAGGCGTTACACGATCGCCGACTTTGTTGGCCTGTGTATACAGCATCCGATTTTGTTGGGGCCGATCTTGTACTTGCAAAGGGAGATGCAGAAGGCTTTGCCGAGTACACAGTTTTGGGACGATAGTGATCGATTTATTGTGCCAGATCCAAGAAGTGAAGCGGGGAACGAAAATCAACCCGAAAACGCCAACGCCGGATCCTCCACTAGTGCTCCTGCTTCAGCCTCCACCAAACACGGCACGCGGAAAATCGATCTACAATTTTTCCGCGTGCGGCAGATGAATCTTCTTCTACGAGTAGATATGCTGAAAGACAAACTGGAAGAGATTGGGAATGTTGGAGAAAAAAGCATGATCACGATCACGAACAATTATAATGGCGAAATAACAACTACAAATTCAAACGCGCAGCTTGGGCATCTCGATTCCTCTGGTACAACTAGCATTAAGGGTTTCCACATTACATCCTCCACTGACATCCTTGACATTTATTTTCCAAGTGGAAAGTAGGTCCGGGAGGGGCTGAAGAATGTAATTTTTGTGCAACCTCTAATAGTTGTACTTCTGGTCCGTTACAACGAAAAATACCCGCTTCTGACCCAGTAATCGACGGCACGTGGCCAGATTTTACGCTCGACGCGATCCAAAGAAGCGCAAAACAAAGACGCATTCGTCTGGCACATTTGTACAGAAAGCATGCCCACGAGTTCGCAACTCTATCTGCTGAGGATCTGCAACTGCTCGAACCTACGACCAATACCACGAGCTTGATAGAACAGGAAGATGCTGGAGGTGCGTCTTTTGGTGGAAAAAAGAGCTTAGATTAAGGTTTCCACATTACATCCTCCACTAGCATCGCTGGCCTCTACTTTTCCAGTAGGAAAGAGGTCGGGGATGTTCTGAAGAATGCAATAGCGCAACCTTTAACGAGAAGAGGTCGACGAAGTATTGAAAAAACAGTGGCTGCCAGGCGCGGTTGGTCATCCAAGTGTGATGAATCCTAGGGCTAGTACCATTGCGAAGATAATGGCAGGAGGAACTACCACTATGATGCGGGATCCGGATGGGAATCCTGTTGGTGCTTTGCCGACATTGCTGACAACCAAATCTACCACAACTTCTGACGATCATACTTGTTCCTCTCTGAGTAAAGCAGGCAATGCGTCTGGATTCACGGGTCCTTCCTCACTATGGGGGAACAAGAAACAAGCGAGGAATGCGAATGGAGGAGGAAAAGCATCATCTTCTAGTACACGAGATACATCAAGAACAGGGTTGATACCAACGGGTCAACCGTTAGCGAAGATGCAAAATAGGCAGAACTCTGGGAGGACTGCACCTTCCCTAAATAGTAGCAGCAGATCGAACTACATGAGCCAGCGTTACGACAGGGTGAAGCGTGACGTTGATAACATCGATGAAGTACCTGAGTGGATGTTCCCATTCCTGGTCACCAACATCGCTTTGCGACAAGAATATGGCGAGTTGTCACGGCGTTTCTGTGACGCTTTTCGTGAGCATCGTAAACAACGAAGATTCCAACGGTTTGCGGAGATCGATTTTATCCGCAGTATCAGGAAGAGCTCTGACACGGCAGATGGTGCTGCGAAAGTGGGTGGTCAGGGCCAAACCGGCGGCGGAGATGGAGCAGATGATTATGGCCTAGAAATATGTTCTGCATTAAGGCTCAGCTTTCATTGGTCATTGACGTTGGTCACTGACGCGGAAGAGTAGACCCCTTGAGGGGAAAACTCAAGGGGGAAAACTAAGGCAAGATGGGGAAAACTAAGGCAAAAAGGGGAAAACTAAGGCAAGATGGGGAAAACTAAGGCTGTAAGGGGCCGCGTCCCTCTAACTGGAGGAATTGTAGTACATTGATCAGAACCCTTGGATACAGGGTTCTGATGAACTATAATGTCTACTCTGTGAAGAACAGTCCTTCTAGTTCTTCTAACCACACCCTTCCTCGCACAAGAAATTTTCCATTGTTGCCTACCTGGAAACCGTGAACGAAGTGCCGCTCGTGCCTCGTGGAGTCTACCACGATTTCAAGTTGAATCCAAAGTATCGTCCAGAAGAGGGTCCCGCAGTTTTGCCAATGCTTACCACAGAGTAGGTGGCAGTTTGATGAATGGAAATCAGTCTCTAAAGAATGATGTTTCGAGGAGTTGTGTCTGTATTTTGAAGGACGAAGTACATACTCATGATTTTAAGATTTTCAGTTTTTTTCAACAGTAACATGGATCGATTATGAGCACAACGTCAGATTTTGCAGCACTAGCATAGATACTTGGGTTGTGACACATGTAGTACTTGTAGTACAGGAAAATGAACAGAGGTCATGTCTCCAGTTCCTAGAACGTACATGGAAAAGATTCAGGTGATGAAACACGAATGAAGACACTATTTGCACACACAGACGCATGAAGCATTTCATTTTCGACAACACGTCACAAAAGAGAAAGCACAGAACCACGACAGGAAAAGAAGCTGTTGAAATAGGCTTGTGACGCTTTGAAGATGGTGATCGAATCTGAGTACTCTTGTTGTGTGTTTCATGAGGTTGATGTTACCGCATGCTGTAGTAAGCGATCGCTATCCCAAAGACGAATTAGGCATCTCCCAATCCCAAATGAGGCATGCCTTTCTCGGAATGATACTCATCGATGTGGTAGAAGGAGTCTCCTGGTCAGCAAAAAGTAGCGTGACCCTCTCCAGTCTTGAACTTGATATGCTCCTGTACTCACGGCTGCTCTTTCCTATGCATGAGATTGAATGTCTCCGGTATTTGGTAACCTGAATTTGATGACAAGGATTCTCTGCTTATTTTCTCTTAATTATGATAAAAACCAGGCTACCGACCACCAGAACAGTACAGAGATGAATGATCTTCAAGACATCTGCAGGACTTGAATTCCTCTTCTTGCTGATATTCATATTTGCATCGAGTAAAACTCACACTTACTTACAACTACTAGAACTACATTGATTCTTTATTTGCTTCTTCTGTTACTTTAACTTTTTAAAGAGATCATTCAATTTCTATTGCAATTTTTTTAAATAGCGACTCTCTCTCCTACTCGTCATTATTACTGCAAACAGGTTCACCTTCAACTAAATCTTCAAATTTTTAAATTTGTTGCTGGATACAGACATATTTGCTTGCATACTCGTACTGATAGCGGAATACACTAGGATTTAGTATATGCCGATTCGCAACAGATACTTACTAGCGCTTTTGGTATACACATACTGACCTTCGCAATCACACTCTATCTGGTACATTTAGTAACTATTACAAAACCCTCACTCCGTACGTACGTTCGTAGGAATATCACTAATGCAAAACCCTCATTCCGTACGTATTTTGTGAGGAATATGAAATAACTGAACGGCCAGATCACGTAGCTGCAGTGTAACATAGTACTAATAGCAAAAGAGAAGTGCAAGTAAAACAATTAAATGTATTCCTGCAAATTAAATTATTCCTCCTACATAATTTGATATTTGTACTAGACGTAGACAAGAATGCATGATCTCAAAAAATGGCCTGTCGACGTGTAAAAAATTTACTTTTCTTGACGAGGGGATGCGTGCTCTTCTCGTTCGCAACAACACTAGCAGAGGGAGCGGCAGGTTCTGGTTCCAATGATCCTGCTATTAGCAAAACCAAAAGAGCGCCTAGGGACCAAGCACCACCATGGCGAAAGAATAAAGAAAAAGAACACGTGGCTCTTGATGTTCGAGAAGTAGATGAAGGACAAGATCATGGCCATCCTGAAAAAACATCTTGTTCTTCAAAACAAGCTTCTTCAGCACATGGAAAAAGTCGCAATCGAGCCGTTGAGCAGGGGCTGGGATGGCATAATTATCGTGGTGGCTGGTCGTCCTCGTCATGGACTGGAGAAGGCAGCAGAGAGGATCGTAGGAGAAGATTAGTAGAGTCCGATTCTGCTACGAGTAAATTAAGGATTTCCGATTTGCATTCCTCACTACCATCCTTGGCCTTTTTTTTCTAGAAGATGAGAGTATTTAGAAGCCAAGGGAGAGCTTCTGAGGAATGTAATTCCGTAACGTCTAAGTAAAAGATCTTCTCCCAAAGGTGGCTGGGGCTTTTCTCCTAATTCCGGCATTGCCGCGTGCACCTCTCCTACTAGTTCGTCGCCAGGAATATTAGCACCAAGGCGTTATGTTAATCAGGAACAGGATGAGCTATACTCGGTGTCTTCTGCCTCACACCACACATCCGTTGACGTAGAGCGTACAAAGAAATTCGGGAATTTGGACGTAAGCAAAGACTGTTATGGAGGACGTGTGAAGAGTTTTCGTTTATTTGTTTTCAGTTTTTTTTCATACCATTCATTGCTTTTTACTGTTTTTCATTTCGCTAAGTATTTCAATGGTGGTGCTTCACACTAGCTAAGCACTTACTATCTAATTTAAGCGATAAGAGAATCTTCTGCATGCCTATCCTAATCTGAAGTCCTCCTTTCGTTGTACGACAGAGAATCTTCTGCATGCCTATCCTAATCTTAAGTCCTCCTTTCGTTGTACGGCTACGACATTTGATAGATCATGACACAGCAACGTCTTAAACTCTAAGCAAGGCTCGAAGAATCACGCGTTGCAGGATATGTTGGAGGTGTTCGGACTTTCACAGGAGGAGAGGCCACTCCCACAGAGGTAGCAGCAAACGCGCATACGGGCCTGTGGGTCGGGACGCCTCAGTATTACGCCGTAATAGAAGATGAGCAGGAAGGACATTAAGGATATCCGATATTATTTAATGTCAACTACCCAACATCTTTCACGTTACATCTTTCAGCCAGTTTCTAGTACTTAGAACGAGCTCATCAAAGATATTGATATTCTAAAAGATGTTGGCTTCATCTTGTTAGTACCTCTAAGAAAAAGCGAGACGGACAAGGCCGTTGGAACAACATGCCGCGTCGGGAGCACGACGCACAGCAATAGAGCGTGCAGAAGCAATGGATCGTCGGAGGTTACACGACTTCATGGATGTGGTGGGACGGCTTTCATCCGAAGGCAGACGAAGGTACCAAAATATGGTTGCACGTTTACGATGCGTTCTTCTTGTGATTGTGTATTGACTTTTCTTATTCAGCTATCCCTGGCCTCCTTGTGCCTCTATGTTTTTTCAGTTTTGTTTCGCTCTTCTCTACCCCTTCACCCCTGTTTTTTTCTGATAGTACATGATGGACGCCTGCAGATCAGGCACTTTACAGTTAGAAGATTTTGACATCTTCCAGCACTGTTCTCTTTGCTTCAAGGCGTATTTTGTTAGCAGATCTTTGGTTGCATGCGTCCCTCTTGTGCTTGTGTATAGACTTCAGGTAAACAAGGAGTTGGGTATAATAAATATACTGTATAGAAGGAGGTACCTAGTAGTAGCTGTACACGTTTTGCCCCGCTCAAAGACTATGTCATTGAAGTAGGAGCTAGTAGTAAAGTATTCCATGAAAAGGATAATGAATGAAAATGAAATAGGTACGAAGATGTACTAGTTAGTGAAAAGCAGGCGGACATTCGTGGCCAAGACACTACGTGTTCTACGAACACCTCCTAGGTAGAAGAAGTATTTGCTCTTAGACTTTCCTTTATGTTGCAAAGCTCTAAATTACAGGGCCGACACTGAGAAGTGGCGCGAGGAAAAGCGTATTTGCAGCCAACAACAGTTTTCTTCCAGATTTGATGAGAATGGTGCACCGTGGTCTACTGGAGCCGCGCCAGCATGGTCCCCTGGCTACTACAGTCAGCACCAAGGTCAACAACAGCAGAGAGCAGAGGCTAGCAATGCTAGAGTTCCGTGCTTACTGTCATTGGATAACACCGTGCTTTCTTCATGTGCACCGCCGATCCCAGCATCCGCGTCAGTAGTAGGAACATCATCAAGTGCGAGTGTTCCTCCACCACCGCCGCCTTTCGCGCCATCATCTTCACCGGTCACAGTTCATAATGTAGAGGAGTTTGAACGTCAACTCCTATTGCAACACAGACAAGAAGGGGGACCAGGATCGACATCTTCAAGTGAACAAGATGTGGACATGCAGGATATGCCTTCCCCTCTAGGACCTCCGATCGATATGAGTCCTCCGATCGATTCAGTAGGGATGCAGATGCCTCATTCTCCAGCACCTCTAATGGTGACCAAAGGCCCAATGTTCCCAACACGGAACAGCAGGAGACGAAGAAAAGCCACTACAGGATCTGAGGGGCAAGAGCCCCTTGCAATGAATGAAAGACGGAATGCGTACTACTTGTACTTATAATATAGATAGAAGTACTTAATAAATTATCCAAACATAATTTTGAACAATGACGAGGATTTTTAATAGAAGTGAATCTAATTCTAACTGCTCCATCCTTCTCAAAGTCAAAACTGTATGTGTTCGAAGTACAGAGATATGTGAGGTCTAAGTACAACAGTATCATAATCGTCCTCGTCCATCACCTCCATCTATTTCACGCACCTCGTTGAGTACAACTCTATCATAATCGTCCTCCATCCTACCTCCATTTTTTTTACAGCTTATATCTCCGCGGAGCTTTACCGGAACCAGACGGCGTACCTTATCATGCTTATAGGGCAGGCTTACTAGGTTTAGGTGGACCGCCGCCGACAATCCAAATGCAAGAATGGATCCGTGAAAATCCAGAAGCTGCTGCCCAATATTAAGAGAGAAAATGAAATAGTTTTACTTTCTTTCATAGTGAATACTATTACAACTTATTAGTGAGTTGTTGCTTATTACTCAATTACTTATTAGTGGGTTGTTACTTATTAGTGGGTTGTTACTTATTAGTGGGTTGTCACTTATTAGTGGGTTGTTGCTTATTTTTGGTCTCTCAATACCAATAGCGGCCCCACAAGAGTAACTAAGTACTAGAATTCGCCGTGTTTCAATTTCCTTCTAAAAAGTCCGCGCCTGGTTACAGCAGCAGTATTGCCAATATTTTTATCCGGGGGCGGGGGGTTGGGAGTATGAAGGAGCCGCACATCGCGAAGAGGAGGACGATGCTGCATCTTCCAGGAGTAGTTCTTGTTCCGAGAGTAACCACCGGAGGAGTAGACCACGAGGAGCAGCTGCTGCCTCATCTTCTACACCAGGCTACACTAGGCATGAAGAAGACCTCGGACCCCACTATTTTTTACCTCCCTCTCGAGGTCTCAAAATCCACAAGGGAAAGATTCCAGATTGTTGGACGGACGAGCAAAGAGAGTATGAGCAAAAACTACGTGCCTTTGACACGTTTATGATAAGCGTAAGGCGAGATGCATCTAGAGAATGCGTGACAGATACCGAAGCGGAGGCACAATTGTCGAAGCAACCACAGAGGAGAGATGCTTATGACTGGTTATTAGAAGAGGAATCAAATTTTACTTTTATGTCAGTAGATTTTAGCTCTAGATCATCTAGGATCGTCCTTCACAGTGCTGGCCACAACTCTGGTATGAATACTTACAATGGAGATCTTCATCCACCATTATACTTGTTCTTGAGCCCTTTGGTGCGTAGCAGTACTACATCTACTGCGTAAAAATACACTCTCTAATTCACGATGCGATCGTTTCTCCTGGGACCTCGGAAAAGGTTTGACGTAAAGGATGCTGACGGTGACACTTCGGATGACACACCAGGAGGTGATGGAGGGGAACCAGGAGGCGGGGTTGCATCAAGATCAAGAGGGGGACCAGGAGGTGATGGAGGGGGACCAGGAGGCGGGGTTGCATCAAGATCAAGAGGGGGACCAGGAGGTGATGGAGGGGGATCAGGAGGCGGACATCAAGGCAAAGGAGCTCTTGGGAGTCGGGCCCTTAAGCCTAACCCGCCTTTTTTACGACGACGCGTTTCGCCAACTGGTGCCTCGTCTTCTTCGGGTGGGAAAAATGCACCTACGACTCCTGGAAGTGAGACTGGTGCAGCATCTTCGTCAGGTCTGGCACCGACTGAGAGACAAGCACCGACTGGTCCAGCACCTGCAGAGCCATGGGCGGACGAAGCACTGTTATGCATTATAATTTCTAGAGCGAAACTCAATGAAAACTGATCGATGTTGTACCTGACAGGAAGGTATCTTGGATCTTCTTCGAGTGTAATCAATTTCGTAGGTGTATAACCAAACAGATAGTGTCACTATAGATATCACTGTGATATATACGTTGTCTTTCACTTTGTTTCCTCTTCATTTTGGTTCTCTAATAAACCCGGGGCAAATGGGTGATCCTAACAGGCGAGTGGTCCCGTTTCCTAGTGACGATGTAAAAATTCCTCTTGCGATAGCGATGGCGATTCAAGGGTATAGAGCGCGAACCTATAGCCTTGCCAATCCTGCGCCGGCGGTGCAACAACAATTGGAGCCATTACAAACACAGACGCAACAGGAGCAAGCTGGACAGACTGCACAGGGATTAGTCACAGTACAGGCACCTGCTATTCAATTACACCCCTACGTGACCGGTGCCACAGTTCAGAATGCGGATCAGCAACTTCAAATGGCTCACCAGCAAGCTGCCCAGCAGCAGGCACTAGTGCAGCAGCAGCAGCAGCAGGCAATAGTCGCGCAGCAGCAAGTACAAGCAACTGCAGCTCAACAGCACGCAGCTGCAGCACAACACCTTGCAGCTCAACAGCAGGCGACCGCCCAGCAGCAAGCAGCTCAGCAACTCGCGATGCAACAGCACGCAGCTGCAGCTCAACAGCTTTCAGCTCAACAGTACGCAGCGGCGGCTCAACAGCAGGCGGCTCAACAGCACGCAGCTGCAGCACAACAGCTTGCAGCTCAGCAGCACGCAGCTGCAGCTCAGCAGCACGCTGCTGCAGCACAACAGCTTGCAGCTCAGCAGCACGCAGCGGCGGCTCAACAGCAGGCGGCGGCTCAACAGCACGCAGCTGCAGCACAACAGCACGCAGCTGCAGCACAACAGCTTTCAGTTCAACAGCACGCAGCTGCAGCACAACAGCTTCCAGCACAACAGCTTCCAGCACAACAGCTTCCAGCACAACAGCTTCCAGCACAACAGCTTCCAGCACAACAGCTTCCAGCACAACAGCTTCCAGCACAACAGCTTCCAGCACAACAGCTTCCAGCACAACAGCTTCCAGCACAACAGCTTGCAGCACAACAGCTTGCAGCTCAACAGCACGCAGCTGCAGCACAACAGCTTGCAGCTCAACAGCACGCAGCTGCAGCACAACAGCTTGCAGCTCAGCAGCAGGCGACCGCCCAACAGCAAGCAGCTCAGCAACTCGCGATGCAACAGCACGCAGCTGCAGCTCAACAGCAGGTGGCTCAGCAGCATGCAGCGGCGGCTCAACAGCAGGCGGCTCAACAGCACGCAGCTGCAGCTCAACAGCAGTTCCTTCAACAGCAGAGTCAGCAACAACAAGTAGAATCTCAATCTTCTCAGCAAGGCAGGTTTCTCATGAGTGTCAGGTACGATGACGTTAAGCCTCCCACGAGCGCGACTCCCACCCCGCAGGGGCCGGGCGTAGTGCGTCTGGCACCGGCCATGAGCTCTGGCGCCGCTTCCTCTAGCCATCAACCAGTAGTGCCGCAACATGATCCGATGCCTACCATAGCACCGCAACACGATCCGTCACCTCCTTTTATAAATTGTGTGGCTGTACTAAGGGGAACACCAGTACACGATCCGCCACCTCCCGTTGGAAATTGTGTGGCTGTAAATCCATCAGCGTCAGCAGCTGCTACAGGGCCAGGGGCTTCATCTTCTGTTCTGGCACAAGATGTTACTGCAGGAGCTCAACATGTACATGCGCCAGCTCCTCGTGCTACATTGAACCATGCTAAAATGCCCTCATCCTCTTCAGATGGAGTCAGTGGAACTTCGGTTACAACTGCAGCACCCCAGCTAGCACCAAGTCATGACAACAGTATGGCGTCTATTTCGTCTGCAGGTGAAGGAAACCCTGAGGGCTTCTATCATCAACATGAACTACCTGATCCTAGTACAAGCCCAACAAGCTGGACCATGGGAGAAACTGGGGATGCAAGTGCTATGGCTTGGATGAACATGGTAGGAGGCGCAGTAGATCCAAGTACAACTATCTCTTGGATGAACATGGTAGGACAGGAACAGGATCAGAGTACCGGAGATGGTATGGGAGATCCGAACTGGATGGGAGCTGCAGTGTCCGAACATGGAGATCAAGACGGAGCACCAGTTCAAACAGGAGCGGTGTCCGAACATGGAGATCAAGACGGAGCACCAGTTCAAACAGGAGCAGTGTCCGAACATGGAGATGAAAACTTTCAGTTGTTTCCAGAAGAAACCTTCCACTCTGATGAGGATCAGGAGATGCAAGACGCACATCAAATGCAGCAGCCTCTCTCACCTACATCAAGGGGACTAGAGCTGTTGGCGACAACAGCACCGGCGACCGTGGAACTATTGAGAGCAGGTGCAAATGACCCAGAGGCCTTCCCTGATCCGAAGTAAAAATCCGATTCGAAGTATCAAGTAAGATAACGCTTTTTTACCTATCTTCTAACTGATACAACAAGTATACCAGTGATTAATTGTGATGGTCAACATGGTCAACTTTCACTTGTTCGCTCACAAGAAAGACAAATGCGAGTACTGTTTTTCTGTTCTTCAATCTGACATACTATTGAGAGCAGGTGCAAATGACCCGGAGGCCTTTCCTGATCTTTTTGTGCCTGTAGTTGTACATACCATAAGTCTAGCATTGATTTAAGTCCAGACGGCTCTATGTATGCGCGAAACGACAACTGTGAGTAAATTAGTGTAACAAAATAGATTGTCTATAGACGAGAGCGATTCTTCACAACAACGTGCGGTGAAAGATTAGAAATAGGGAAACTTCTGAGCCTCAAAACAGAGGAGTTCTAAGCAAACCTCTCGGACTTTGTAGGCTGCTCATGAGGTGGTGTCATCCATTGGGATATGGATTATTCAATAATGGATAGGATTACACGACATTATTCAATAATCGATTGGATATGGATTATTCAATAATGAATAGGATTACTCCGCAAAACGAACCCAAAAACTCGCCGGTCACCGCTGATGCTTAACAAATGCTTATGAAATCGAATTGTAAATTTATTTTTATTAAGATTAACAATAAACATCACACATGAGACGTAGGTTAACATGCAACACACGCTCATATTAGTCTTAGTCGCATGAAACTTAAGTGACTTCTCAGGGATTCTGTAAACGAAGGAGAGAAATAAAGATGACTTTTCCAATAAGATTGATAAAATTCCTTTCAAAACCAAGAGAACAATCACTTTCCATCGTCGAGCAGTTACAAAGCCAAAGCAGCTTTTATACTGCAGACCATGATCATAACAATCTTTCATGGACCAGCTATGATGAACATTCTTTCATAGTGAAGGCTGCAGAAGTATCAACACTTCTGGTCCGATGGCGATCGTATGTATGCTACTTGAACGAATTGTTTATGGATATTTCTTTGACATCATCGATTCTCTGCATCTGCTTCACTTGTTGTAGCCATTATTTTCTCGACAGTTCGAAGCAGGTAAAAATCATGTATGCATTTATGTAAATGAAGATAACCGGCGGAGGGAACGAGTCAGAAGAAACACAAAGACTCACGTACTAAACTGATCAATTTATCTACATTGTGCGCAACCGTTGGACTTTGTAAGCATGAATATATTGTTTGATCACTCTTTTGTGTCCTGATGTGTGTGGATCGATCCTCAGGTGAAAAGAAGTGATCTTCTATAACTTTTCCCCACTACATGCCGCAAATTAACAATCCGCAAAATTTGACACTACAAGACGATAAACAAGTACACGACTTGAAGATCATGACGTAATGCTGCGAGAAGATGTCTGATCTAACTGTTAAGCGGGCTGAGCAGTCGCTTCTCTGATCACGTCTGGAGGATAGCCGCAATATGAGATATAGCGTTGTGGGTGTCTGTGTACAACCTGTGCTTCATGGTCATTAAATCAGATAATGAACGCCGATTCTGTATGAAATTTGACCAGGGTGACAAGACCTTGAGCTTTGACCCTTGAGCTTTGACTCTCGGTTGCTGATCAAAAAAATGATCGTATCAAGAATCAGCTTGTTAGTTTGTGGCAACATACCTCGAAGAGGGTGTCGTGGACAGCCTGACTCTCCACATAACCAACATGATTTCAGCCGATCATGATCTGTCATAACGAAAGACAAAACTACTCTACCCCAACAGGTTACGTCGATATAATAGTTTCTTTTCAATTACTATTACCTCACCCTCAGACAAGTGAAAGTGTCTCTACCTGGATCCACTACGTTTCTATGCCTAGTGCGGGCTCGCTGTGTACACTAGTAGCTACAATCGCCATTTATGACTTTGACTGCTTTTACTCAAGAGGAATCTTCGAGAAATGCATGTATGGTGGAGAATTAAAATTATGCAGGAGCATGCTCTATCTTAGCCTACATCATCTCATCATATTTCTCCATCCTTCATCTTCGAAGAAACTACCTTCATTGAAACAACAGCAAAGATGACACCAGGTTTTGTCTTGTCGATTTGCTCTTTACTGAGCCTCGACGTTGTGAGCAGTGTCCTCGTGAAGCAGATGGACCACGGAGCAGGTGAAGGCGCAACTTCTTCAGCTGCATCTGCAGCTGAACTAACAACTGCCGTCACAATCGCACGGGCCGTGGGCCCGACTGTTCCACACGCCGGTGAAGAGGGGGAAGCGCTGCCTCCAGCTACAGCTGTTCCACCTAAGCATTCACCAATACTAGGAGGTAAAGCAAAAGCAAGTGCAAGTCCGAGTCGTGCTTCTTCTACCCTGGCGTCTCGCGCGTTCGTCCACCTCAGTTGGAACATCCTCTCGGAGAGCATGAGAAGGCAGACTGACTTGCCCAGAGAAGAACGATTCGAACGGATATTGCAGAAAATTGTCGCGTTCGAACCAGAAATTGTTACCTTGCAGGAGGTACCTACTTGTTGTACTTTTTCTCTGTACTAAGTAGTCTGTTTGTCTTTAGAAGTTGTAGACTGCATCGTCGAAAAGAATGGAAAACAGAACAGTTACGAAACTTCTTACCCTGAATAATTTCAATCTCATGTTGTATGCTGAGATTTCTCTATTTAGAAGGTACAATATGTTGACTGAACGACCTCATAACTACTTGACCACGTGGTAAAAGAGGGCACATGACATGACACGACATGACATGTGCACTACTCGCAGGTTGACGAGCAGCACTGGAGCTCTTACTGGCGTGCACGCATGTTAGAGCATGGTTACCAAGGAGTCTTTTATGGACGGCCCTATGTTCTCGGTGTCCATGTTCTGCCGGATGGTTCGAGAACAAGAGTGCAAGGCTGCGCTACGTTTTTCAAGAAAGACGGGCGGTTTCGACCTCTGCGAGTGCAAAAACTCGATTTCCAAAGAATTGCATTCGAGGAGACACAAGAGCAGTGGCCATCAAGTTTATGGTTTGGTTGGTTATTATCATGATTGCGAATGATTATCTGACGAGGTTCCCCTTATAGTATGATGATTTGAATCTATTCGGCGAGCTGCCCTTATAATATATTAGTCTTAGTCAGTCTTCACGACCTTTGTCAGTCTAGAGAATGATTTTTAACATCATCCTCTTCTAAGATTGAGGAAAAGCCGGAAGAGCAAAAGTGAAGGTGTGACCGAAGAGACTTGGGCAGCCTTCGAGCAAGCAGACGAAGCTCATGAAGCGGAGCGTCTACGACGTATTGAAGCAAGGGCACCTTCCCGCTCGTCTCTTTCACCGAGCATAGTAGAGCAACTTGTTGTGGTAGAGCAGCCATTGGTCTCGTCTTTGCCCCCTCTTGTGCCTCATGAGGATTATGAGCTACCCGAAAGTGTTGCACCACAACTGCAGGCGTCCCATGACGCTCCTGGGGACGAGGTTGTCAACGTTGATGGACAAGAGCAACAGTCAGTGTCTTCAGAAGACAAATTGTCAGATGTTGTTATGGAGCAAGAATCCGCTGCAGAAGATGCAGAAGATATCAGTGTAGTGAAGTGTACGCGGAAAGACGATTGGCAAGAGTGGGAAGCGCAAGGGTGGGAGTCGGAATGGCAACAAGAGCAAGAATGGCAGGATGACGATAATAGAGAACGTTTGGACAGCCCTCATCGTGTCACGCGTAGTCAGAAACGACGAGAAGCCAGGTACAGAGCAAAAGAGCGATTCAGAGAAATGATGCAAGCACGCAAACAGCGTGCTTATGATCGGGTACAGGAACGCAAAAAGTTTGCTCAAGAAGTTAAACAAGAACAGGCGAATGCTTGCTTAGTTTGGAGAAAGAAGCGGGATGGCGAAACTGTCAGTATGCCTGTGGAAAAGCAAGTGGAAAAGGAACAATCCAAGACGTGCAGTGAGGATAACAAAGCTGTTGAAGACGTTTCCGCCCACAAAGCAGGGGTGGACTTTCCTCGTGCTGCAAGGCCAGGAAGAAAGTGGATGTGGATGCCAAAGAAAGTCGGTAATGGAGCTTCGCAGCAGGGTTCAAAGGATGATAAAGTTGCTCCCGCAGCCCAACGACCAGCGCCCTCAACATCGAGCATGGAAACCTCCTCGTCGAGCACGAGTAGCGTACAACATCCTAGCGAAACCTTCCAGCGCCTCCATGTAAACTACAATGAAAAACGCAGCGAAAAACAAAGAATAGCGCCTTCGCCTGTGCACAGCTACAGTGTGGCTTTAGTCCTCGAGTTCGAAGACAACAGTAATGCTGAGCGAGTTCTTGTCGCAAACACGCACTTAACGTGGGGCAGCGAGAATCATCAACTTGTTCGTCTCTGGCAAGCAGAACGATTACTGCATTACGCTGTGGAACGACGCAACGCAGTCAGTGTGCCAGCAAAGCCACGTGGACTAGTACAACAGCATCAAAGTGCCAGCAGCAAACCAGGCGGTCTTCCTGCAGGCAGGAGTAGATTGGGTCGTGCTTCCTCTATACTATCATCTGGCTCTAGTTCCTCATCTTCTGCAGCCTCTGCTACTTCTACGCCAGCAACGCCATCACTGAAGAATGATCATCCTGCCGTGATCATCGCAGGTGACTTGAACGAGGGACCAGAGTCGCCTGTCTATGAGCTTTTCGAGAAGGGAAGTGTTCAGAAGAAGAATTTTCCTTTTCCAGTAGTGCCATCTGAGGACTGGATAGCAATATCTGAGAGTCTGAGTCGTCACTTCTCGTGGGAAGTGGAATTAGCGGAACGCGTTGTCCGAGAACAGAATCGTCGTCCATTGGACAGTCAGGAGATCATGTCCTGGACGATGGGACAACATTTCGGTATTACTCAGATGGCTCTAGCGGGTCTTGCGCCTGTGAGTCTGGCAACGCGTAAGCCGCTTCGTAGTGTCTTCAGTGTGTGGCAAAACCGTGAACCAAAGTATACACAGAGGAACTTTCTTCCTAGTACTATGGGAACACCAAGTATTAAGGCTCAGCTTTCAATGGTCATTGGGGTTGGTCACTGAGGTCCCTCTTGAGAGAACAGGGGAAAATGAAGGAAAAGCAAAGGGAGAGGCATGGGGCCCATTTCTTTCAGAGTCAGTGACCATTGAATGCTGAGCTTTAAAAGTAGCACAGTTTCTACTTCGAGTGGAGATGAGGCGAGCTCCACCAGCATTGGATCTAGAAATCAACATCTGCATGTTGTACAAACAGAACAAACTACATCGCAAGAAGGACAAGCAAAAACAGCAGCAGCAGCAGCAGTAGTACCAGGAGAACATCATGATCAAGGAAACGAAAAACCACGGGAACAGATTTTAGATTACATCTGGATTGACACTACGAAATGGGCCGTTTCATTGGCATTTTGCTTGCCGATTGAGGAGGAATTATCAGACCACGCTCCCTTGGTTGCGACTTTGCGTCGTGCGGAGCCTCCGGAGACGTTTATCTATGACCGGTTTATAGGTGCTGGTGGTGTAACTGTAAATCAGGGTACGACCAGCACCGGAGATGGAAATCAATGGAAAGAGTTGCGTGATCTCTTGGGGTTTTTACACGTGCATTTAACGTTAGAAGATTCACGTAGATTCTGGCAACTCAGTGTCGAGAACAATCATGATCGTGCATACTCTACATCCACTCAGAGTTCTTCGTCTACGTCATCTTCTAGCAAAGCAGCTGCTCTCCAGATGATGCGTACGATTCTGGCGCAGGAGAAGCAACGTGTAGACAATTTCAATTCCACTGGGTTGATATGAAACGAAAAAGTGTACTCATCCTCAAGAACGTAGGCACTTTCTAAGTAGGAAAAAACCTCCTTTCTTGAGTATGAGTACACTTTTTTCTGTCATAGTTGAAGGAAAAACTTCTGGATTTCATTCCGTTGACTCCAGAAGCGTTGCTAAGTGCACCGGCGACACAACCGCTGCATGGTCGCACGCACATGCCGTCCTTCAGCGTGGACGCGCAGCACCCAGAAAGGGGCTCTCTGCTCTTCGCAGCAGCAAAACAGGGTCTACTCGGTGTTGTGCGGACTTTGTTGGAAGATTTCTTCGCTACGCCGGATCTTCGACATCCTGTCACGAACGAAACGCCTTTGTACGTGGCCGCTCGGAATGGGCACACCGAAGTCTACGGGCTGCTGGTGAAGCACGGCGCCGACCCCTTTCTACCCGTGAAACAAACGCAGAGCACCATGAGGAGTCAGCACCAGAACAGGAGTGTCGGACTTGGACCTACTCAACACACATATAATCTGCAAGCGGCAAGTGCGGTGGCATCGTATTCGTATTTCACGGAAGAGAAAGCGCCCTATCTAGTGCACCACGTCGAGCGGGAATATGCGAGACTCTTGAGTCTACAACTCGCGAGTCTGCAAATATCGTCTCCACCGCCTGTAGGGAGTACGCAGACGCAGACGACTGGGCAATTATATGGTGCGGCTGCAACTCAAGCAGGGCTGTCACTGACACGACCAGAAACGCAGTCCCAAACGACAGCAACAACAACATACAGCAGCATCAACATACAGCGTCCAGTGGAACAAGCAGCACGTGGCCAACAAGCGGCGTCGACTGCATCTGCGTTTGCGCCAGTGATTATGGGTGCAGACGGCTGTTTTAGACCGAATCCAGCATGGGAGCAACAGAATATGGCACAAGTAGAAGTACCTCCGGTCGTGGTACACGACCCACAAGTACAGGCCACACCACTCGTGCAGCAGGGCTCACAAGCGGTGCAGCGGGCGCCACAGCCACAAGAAGTTGGACGAGAGCAGGTACAGGAGCGTGCTCTTGTGGCGCAGCAGTCTTTATTAAGTTCAAGTGGAATTATGGTGGGAAGCAGTTCACCGTCTCCCGTAAGAGGTCACAACCGTAGTAGACGAGTTCGTCTGGCGGTATCGAACTCCTTCCACAGTCGTCGAAAGAAAGCTAAGAGAGCCCAAAACGCAGCAGCGGGAGAGCTGAAGAGGAATTCGAAGGCCCAATCAGAAGAGCCTTCTCCTGTCCTACCTCCGCTGAGCCTTGAGACCGAAGGTTTAGAATCAGAAGGCGAAGGTTGTAGCCGCGAATTGTACAACCGGTACAAGGAAAGAACGCCCGAACTAGGAGCAGAACAAAGTTCCCTTCACTTACTTGCAGTGAAAAGGTTGGGGGAGACGGATGCGGCGATGGCTAAGCGCTACCTGGAATTTGTCCCACCTTTTCGTCGTCATAGTGAATCCTCTAGTTGTACAAGAAAGCGAGCTTCGTCTTCGTCTGCTAGTGCTGTACGGGCGACAAGGCCTTCCTCTGCTGGACCACGAGGTGGTACAAGAACAGGCACAACCTTGAGAACGACCTCCCTGTCCCTATCATCTTCAGAAGCTTCTAGTAGTAATGATAGAAGCACCAGCTTGAGGCTCAGGTCTGGATCAGAATTTGATGGATCAACGGTAACCCCAGTAAACTCCTCAGGTTCAGCTGTCTCAGGCTCAGCGTCATCCCATAGCCAACAAGAATCACCTTCATTTCCAGATCCACCCTCAAGAACCTCATCAGTCACAACTGATGCTAATACTACGCCTCCCGCAATGTCTGCAGCCTCTGCTGGCGCTTCATCGATACCTACCGATCATAGGAATGCAGGAGGAGCACCAGATGTCACCTTTACTGTGGCACAGCCGACACAGCAGATGACACAAGTTTCTCACGCAGAACTGATGCAGCAGTCGGCATCTGCGGGATCCCTGTTCCAGCAATTGGGGGATATTTTTTCCGGTCTTGCAGCAGATATGTACCAAGCAGCTACTTCTCGTCTGGCTCCTGACACTGGAGGGACGCCTCAAGTTCCACTTGATGGGAGGAGTGACATGGAACAAGAAACCCAAAGCACGAGGAGTAATGTTATTCGGATTTAGGAGATGACTGCAGCTTATTGTGCTATCTATGAGTATCAACACTATTCATGTTTATTCTCAATTTTTGCTATCTTCATCTCATATGGTACTACGGTTGTTGTGATGCGCTGTCCGCATGCGCAGTTACCGACACCTAACTTAGTAAGTAGCTAGATGATAAACTTAAATAGGTACTTATTTTCATTTTTTAAAGAAAAGAGTCGAGGCATTTTATTCTATTCTGTCCTACATATTTTTCTGGTGCCTGTGCGCATATTAACCAATCGTTTTTAAAGAGTTTGAGTATTGCAAATTCATGATCTCCGAGATGTGAAAATTGGATGTGAAGAAATACATCTACAAGAGTTCTAGTGCTGTATTAAGAAGTATGCTTTTGCCGGTTTCGGAAGTAGTTTGTCGTAAGAAAGTGCAAAATCTATCACACTTAAAGATCTGAGGCTGTCCTTATTTCCCGCACTATCTCAAGTGCTACTAGTACTGCCACTTATAGAAGGATAACAAGGAAAAAGATGACTGTCACTCGCTCCTGTTGTACTAGTCTATCAAAATATATTAAGCATTAACCCATGCAAAACGTCGATGTCGTTACATCATTAATTAATCTACTGCTTGAGCAGCCTATACTGAAACCTAGGTAGTAGAAAGGTGTAGAAGGTTGACTCTTGTACTTGTTGTCTTGTAGACTGGTTTTTTCGAGTTTGTGGGTATGCTGGACTGAGTTCTTAGGGCACTGCGGAACCTGAATGATTCACCAACCAACTACATGCATCCTTTGCCTTAACCACTACATGCATCCACCTACTTTCTTGTTCTATTTGAACTGTTACTTATTTTCATGTCTCCGAACGAGAAGAGGTTGGAGGTTCTCAAGAAATCAGGGTGTCTGTATAAATATGTAAGAAGCTCATAGCGTAAGACGCAGAACACCTGGAGGATGATCCGTGGGCATTCCTGTGTTCGTCGAGTGTGGAGCCGAGCAGGTGGATTTCCGTGTAACGGAGTGCGGAGGAGGACGGAGTGAGGAGTATGGAAACAGAGAACAGCAAGTGAGACGGCGGAAGGAAAAAAGGAGTGAAGAAATGTAGGAGGCATGCATATGAAAGCTGTATAGGTACTCAGGGGTGGTTGGGACACAGTGTTCAACGCCACACTCGTCAAATAGATGCATGACATTCTCGTTCTCTGAATCAACGGAGACGCGTGAATTCCCAAGATGCCTTCCGCGGTTACAGCTTCGACTCTTGCAGCTGCTACTGCTGGACGAAACAAAATAGAAGGAGAAGGAGACGCAACTACTAACGGCGACGATGGTCGTACAAGGGAGAAGCTGTGTAATGACGTGTTGAACACAAGTGTCATGGCTGCGATTATCGGCGGGTTTGCTCTCAGTAATTTACAACAAAGTGGTTACGACTACGAAGACAGCCTGCACCTGGCGATTTATGTTTGCTCTTATGGCGTTTGCTTTCGTACACTTCTAGGAGATGAAGTGTGTGCGTGAATGTGACTATCCTTCAGAGGACATGTTCTTGAGTCCACCTCTATCTCTAACATCTTTTCATCGCAGTCCACGCCTGCACTTGTTCGGCATTGACGAGCGCGTTTGTCTATAGAAGTGTCAACAATATGCCGGAAGCACGACTCGAAGATTGGGCGGTAAGGAATATTAAGGGTAGGTTAAATATTAAGGGTAGGTGTCAGCTACCGTTCGTTTTGCCTCTCCTAAGAGAGAAAGGTAGAACAAACGGGAAACAGAAACACCAAAACGAAAACCCTACCTCTAAGAAAAAGTGGCTACCATACCTACCCCTCGGGAAGTTCGCAATGGGCTGCTTGAGCTACATTTAGGGAGAATAGAAGACTTGAGGTGTTTCATCTTGTGAGTGTTTGATGTTACAGCTTAGTAGAACAAGGAGGTTATCGCGTTTGCGACATCATTTAGATACATGTTCAGGTTGTGTAGAATTTTACACTAAAACATACAGTATTGACAACTGTTTTTGACTGAAGGACTGAGCGGAACGGAGCAGCAAACAGGTAGTATGCACATAGTGCTGGGGGCGGTAGGTGTGACGGGGGATATCGACGAAGAACTCCTTTTATGTAGGAGCATGAAGTAAAAGCAAGGAGAAGGAAGTGGCTTCATCAAAGAGGAGTCTTCTAATCTGCGCTGAGCGTGATTCTGATATCGTACCGAGATTTGGATGGGAAAACTACGTGGCAAATGGTTACTCTTCTGGTGGGGTTGATGAGCATGAGCATGGTCTTTGCTACTGTTGGGTTTTTGAATCGGCATGGCTAGCCACTGTTGGGTTTTTGAATAGGCATGGCTAGTAAAAATATTGGACCTGGAGTGGGGGGGCGGGACTTGAGTGACTGTTGTAGCAGGGTGTAGTACGACCGCGTGGAGCATGAGCGTGAGCCTTATGACGTGTATGATACATCATCTTCAGCATTGGAGTCTTGAGAATTCGCGTGGCACGCTTGTACTCTTGGCATTCATCGCGATCGTGTGATAGAAGATAATGGAAAAGGAGAGAAGAAGAAGGAAAACTGGGGCAGAAGATGAAAGGGAACACGAGTCGCGATTGAGTGTTGTTGCGAGGCTCGAAGACACACACTTCATGAGCAGCACATCCACTTGATGGCGTGAAGTCGTAGAATACAGGGCACGAGTTATGATATAATATGAAGAAAGAGGAAGAGAGGCAAGTCGCCGCTGGCTCGTTGTAGTGGCATCGTTCAAATCACAGTGACGATTTCCGGTAGATACGTCCTCGTGTTCGCATGCTTTCCGGTAGATACGTCTGCGTCTGACGAAGTACTTGTTTCTATTGCCATTGGCGCTAGCCCATGGGAGCTATCGTTGCCAGAATATCGCATGATTCGAGCCAGCGCAATTACCGTCTGATGTTGTTAACAAAAAGTCCACTGTAGAACGGCAATCTTCTTCATAGTGCCGAAAAAGTTACTCATACTGTTTGACCTTTCACTGTCACAAAATTCAAGTCTCCCACTGAGTCGTGATCTGCTCTTGTTCACAGTAACTCGTCAGTGCTCTCCTGCACTGGATTAAAGGAGCCCCTCTCGAGTAATCATCTGCTTTACACAGCATGCACTTGACTTCTTCATCTTCTGCTGTTCACCTTCACACCAGTCGCTGCTTTTTGCTTCTGGACTCTCCTTCTATTTTCAACTGCTTCGCGACTTTTGTTCACAAGGAAGTGGAGCAAGCTGAAGCCTATACTCACAAGACCCCCTTGTCGTGCTTCTTCCATCACTGCTCGCTCTGCAAGAGCCATTCCGCTTCCTCCGACATACAATTACAAACTTTCAATCGTATCAATTTGAAGCGCAGGAAGAATGCAATACTCGTTTTACTGATACTATGCAAATGCAATACTTAGACGACAAAAGATCTTCAAGACATTACCTCCAAGGCTCTACTAGTTGTAAATCTTGATCTTACTACTGTTTCTACAACGAAGACGAACAGTGTCGCGACTTTTTCTTAGAACTACTTCATCCGAATCGGAAGTACTGTCTTCTGGACTGCCTCTCCGAGAATTCTCCAAAGCCCTTTTTCGTGCTGCCGCTTCTTGCTGTGCTTTCACTAGCGCTCAACCAAGTTAGAAAAAGCGAGGCCTATCTTAGTAGCAGCAACGGTGTACCCAATACCCATTCTTTTTCATGCGTACTAAAGATATCCTCACTTGTCCTGTCTATGCATCTTCCTGGTGCTCTTTCCGTTGGAAAGCCTCCCATTTCCACCAGGATGAGTGACTCTCCTGAACATTGATTAATAGAATTAGGGAAAGCCTTAACTTGATCAGCTCTACGGCAATGAGGAGTCGTCCGCCATCATAGCCCCGGGTTGCTGTTGTTGCATCATCATAGGTTGCTGCTGCTGTTGCGCCATCATAGCCCCGGGTTGTTGTTGTTGCATCATCATAGATTGCCGTTGCATCGCCATGCCCATATCTGGCTGTTGTGGTTGCATCATTGGCTGTTGCATCACCACCCCGGGCTCTTATTGTTGCATTATAGGCTGCTGCTGTTGATTCATACATCCCCTGCTTCATAATTATACCTGGCTGCTGCGGTTGAGCACCCGGGCTGTAGGGGAATTGAACGGTGGGCGCCGGTGTGGGCTGTTGCTACGCCATCCCCATATCTCGTGGCTGCTGTTGCATCATGGGCTGTTGCATTCCCATGTCTGGCGGCTGCTGTTGCATCATAGGCTGTTGCTGCTCCATCCCTACAGGTCCTGGCTGTTGCTGCATAGCCATACCTGCCTGTTGCTGCTCCATACCCATAGCTCCTGGCTGTTGCTGCATAGCCGTGCCCTCTTCAGGCCTAGCCATATCTTGTGGGCCACTGACTGCATCGACAGGATCCCTTTTGCGTGCCACAAGTATTTACAACACCAACTTTGCTCGGATCCTACACTAAGAAGATTCGTAGAACACCAGTCAGCGACTACGCTGGAGATGACGGAACAGTCACCGACTACGCTAGAGAACGATTTTTACTTTGACTTTGTAGAGGACTCCTGTACCTGTTGACATTCATTCTCTTTGTACTACAATTGACAAGAGGACTCGTGTTGACATTCCTCTCTTGTGCTTCTTCTTCTTCTTCATCCCATACTCGAGATAACTAAGAACTAGTCGAGAAAGACCTTTCCTATAAGGAGGACCGATACATCATAATTGCTTCACTCAAGAGATGAAGTTTCGCCCTGTAACGCAGAGGCCCTTTCAGTACCACTCGGATGCATGACTGTCAATTAAATTTTTGTGTTGATGCTTGCATCCATGGTGGTTCTGGATTGTAAAAACTTAAACGTGTCTAGTGGAAGCGGTGACCCTGCTCCTCATCTGAATGACCTAGTCTCTCCCTGTATCATCTAGTACGCTTCTCGTTCTTTCTGCAGGATTTACCTCCTCTTTCTGCATGATCAAGCTCCTCTTTCTGCATGATCAAGCTCCTCTTTCTGCATGATCATACCGATTTCACGCGCCCCGTGTTGGTTCTCCTTCTCCTAAATGTCAAGCCCAATCTTGAGTCGACCACGACTTGCTTGCAGCAGGACCGATTGTCACCCTCTAGTCCACCAGGACTTGCTTGCAGCAGGACCGATTGTCACCCTCTTTCTTGTCCGATTGCATCTCAGTGAATGCCGACTTTCCTTGTTGTGTGAACTGATACATTTTCATCTTCTTCTTGACGCTCCTTACCGACTTCACCGTCATGCCAACATCCGGCTGCATTCAGCGACGCCTTGGCCTCACACACAATCCACTGACATTTTTCCAACCCTTTGAATTGCAGAAAAAAAACTAGCATGCTATGCTTTTTCGGGTTTCTGCATCAGGAATGTGAATTTCATCGACAATTAGTAGTTTTTTTCTCTTCTAGTCCTAGGAGGTTACGCAAGATCTGCGACTTACTGTCATGATAAGTTGTATGGGACATTCAAAGCCACACGTCAAATTTTGCGGAAAACAGAAGGCATTCTTTCTTGGTGTAATGCGACACAAAAAACAACAATTGAAATTACTACCTCGGTGGTTGTTTCTACATATATATTCCGCATGCTATTGCTACGTTCTTTAATTAGTCGTCGTGGTGCGTTGAAGAATACTTTCCTCTTTCGTTAACTGCTTACTTACTCATCAGCCTCTTCATGTGCATACGATAACTTGTTGATACTATCAACGACCACAAAGTGCACTTGAAGCCGATCGAACTGTCTATCTGTGTATTGTGATGGACTATTCAAAAGAATTGCAATTAGCATATTAGATCTACAAAGTAAGCAGGATTTTCTACACATAATCACAGGTACTAGATTTGCTACACACTGCTTACCCGTAAATTGAATGAACAAGATTCACGAGAAGTACTACAACTTACCTCGCACTATCCTCATGCCGCTTCTTTGCTATTGGTATTGTTATTCATTATTTTCTTTTAGTGTCGGTTCGCTAATAGGCTTTGAAGCGGAGAAAACAGTGCTGGAAGGTAAGAGTAAACATCTTGAGGTTGAATACCTGAAGCGCGGTTCGCTAATAAATGATGAAGAAGAAGGACCCAAATGCAAATTTATCATTTAGACTACATCAACTGCTGCATATTTATACTCTTTCTACACAGCCATCAGATACATGATACAACAACATCAATATTTCTTCACTCTCGCTCTTACTATAAATGTGCTTATGCTATCCACTACTAGAAGTACTACTTGTATTTGCGAAAAGGCCCTGTCCTTCTTCCTTTTCTTCTTCCCCTCTAATCTTCTCTTCTCCACACCCAGACATTTATACATCCAATCTATGCCGCTGCCGCCACGACTGCTTTCTCCTTCGAGTCGTTACTCGCGCGTTCCTTGCTGGTTTGCCTGATGTCTTCGATCACAGCGTCTGTCAGCGATTTTCGTCGCGTCACCAAAGCCGCCTGATGCTTCTCGGGCACAAGTTTCACAGCCAACTCATCCAACAGACCCAATAAACCAGGGACAAGCAAAAAACCCGTCATACCGGATTCAGATTAGAAAAGGAAGGGGTTGGTTCATAGACACACCAGTAAAATATTTTTCTTTTGTCAACATAGGAATTATGCTGGTTCTGAGATTCCCATTCCGATCTCCTGATCAGTGATGATACTAGTACTGTTTGATACAACATCGGTCATGCTAGACCACCACAATTACGACCTCCAAGCACCCATTCTCATAATTGATAATCACAAGCATCATCATCGACGAGTAGGTTTCGAAGACCAGTGATTTGCCCATGATGAGAAGCACAATCTGCTGGACCGCCGTTGACAGAAACGCGGAGAAAACTGTGAGACCCATTTCTTCTTGCGCATTCTGAGTACGTTCCAAACCACGCCCGTTGCAATGCGAAGATTAGAGGGTTGGGACCAGGGATTGTCACCTTCTTGTAGTTCTATTCATACATATGAAGAGGTTAGTTTTCATTTTTCAATGTCTTCTTGTAGTTCTATTCATACTTTTTCATTTTTCAATATTCTTTTCTAGAAGAAACGGCACTGACGATACGTCGAAATGAAAATAAACCTTAGTAAGAAGTTGCAAAAAAGTAAAAGAACTATCTTACTAACATCTTGAACCGGAAAGAAGAACTCAAGAACTTCCCTCCTCTAACATTCAGATTCACGGCGCCTTAAAGAAAAGCATGCGCGATGTGGACCACGTATTCGATCGCGAAGCCCATTGCCATCACCAGCACAGCGAAGGAACAGATATCCAGGTTGATGTCCATCAATCGCATCAGTCCCTGGATCTGCACCATACAAATCATGAGGAATACAGCCGTCATGAGACCGTAGAACGGATGCATGAAGATCATGCAACTGATGACCGTCGCGAGGTAGACAAAGAGCAAGTGATGTTGCAAATAGTCGTTCATGTGCTCATCACGATCCGCGTTCGGGAAGAATCGCGCCACGACGAACGAGTCATCAGCTTTTCCTTCGTCGTCTGTGGGGTTGTTGGATTGATATTGATTGTTTTACTTTTTTCTAAGACTTACGTTGTCAAAAAGCATTGCAAAATGGCAATCATGTATGAAGATGGTAGCACGTAGTTCTTTCCAGGTAGGCAAACACAGACTCAGACAATATAGAATATATCTAGTAAGTTCTAAAAGTACTAGAAATAAAAGTTACTTATATATAAGTAATACCAAGTTTTCCCCATCGATCTGGGTACATGGTGCGATGCTTTTCCAACAAGTCCTGGAGCTTATGCATGATGTCAATTCGGGCTTGGGATTCCGAGATCTTGTACGTGATATAAAAGGCCACGATGGAGGATTGGATGCCGGTGATCGATTTGCCGCTCGTAGACCAACTGAGACGTCCAGTACGGGTCTCCAACTTTGAAAAAACGTTGGTGTTGGCCTGTTGTGTTGGGTTGAAAAGAGGACCAAAATAGACTACTAGGACAGATGCAGATCCATTACGGTATTAGCTACACTAATTTTTCCTACAGTAGAAGATCCATTATACAGTATTAGCTATACCAATTTTTCCTACAGTAGAAGATGACGTCCCTGTCTTGAAGAAAACTTGACTTCGAGGAGTATCTGTGTTTCAAGATATCAGTTGTTTCAAGTATCAGGTGTATCTGTGTTTCAAGTAGTTGCAGTACCTGATTAGCGGCTCCATTCGGCTTATCCAGCAAAGTATGCGGTTGCAAAATGGTACTGCAGCAGGGTCGATCCGAGTTCCAGTTCTCATAGAAGTCGTGGACGAATTCGTAGAAATAGGGTGCGCCCTCATCCGTAGCCCAAAAGGGTTCGCGACTGGTGATGTACGACGTACGGTTATTGCATGCGGCATAGTCGCCACCAAATGTGCTATCCATAGTGAAACGACCATCCAACAAGGAACGGAAACGGACCTCGAGTGGGCCTTAGAAGTGGGGTGGATTGACTCAGGGCTTAGGGTAGACCAACGGACGGGGTTGGTGTCACAAAAAAAAAGACTTTCTACACTTGGACTGCCACTTGCACTTGGCCTTAATTTTCTCCGCTCGCAAGACTTGAGACTTCGTGTTGCAGCCACATCTTGAAGCCTGCAACGGACGTATGGTTAGCCCATCGCTGAGCCGCGTTGGTTGGGTTGACAGTCAGCAAGACTGTACCACATTGATCCGCTGCTGGTGCCACTTTGACGACAGCCGCGACTTGAAACCCGTCGGAAGCCATAGAGTTCTGAAACGCACCTTCCATGGCCGAATGGCTCGCGACTGCAACGGCAGCCTGGCCACTGTGATCGTAGATCTCGAAGCCAGAGCCAGCGTTGTGGTTCAGTCCGCGGACAGTAAACATACTGGTCGAGGGCTCCTGACTCAAGGTGTCGGCATTTCCGCTGTCCTTGAACAGGTTGTCCACGATGCTTGCGCCAGCAGTATCGTCGAAGCGGACGGCGCGAGGGTAGTAGGCACTACGGATCACACGAGGACAAGCGGTGCAACCTGGTTTATGGGTTGCATAGTTGGGCATACGTCGAGGGCGAGGTTCAGTTTACGGCACTGTCTTAGGGATTCAGATTCTGCCCTCGTGGTCTCCTGCATCACGTCACCATGATCTATCTTCATACTCATTTCTCATATAATAATCCTCTTAACACTCGTCTGACATCAAGAACAAACCTGTCTAAGAATAAGACAACTAAGTCTAAAACTTATACAACTATGGTTAAGAACAAGTACCTTTATGCGCGAAGTCACTGGCGTATGCGTGGGCGACGCGCTGTTCACCCGCCGTTGGGTCGTAGTCTGCCTCATAACTAGCGGAGACATTCATGCCCTGAGTGCCGCGTAGCTGAGCCTCATACTCGTGCAACCAGGAGAAGAGAGACGGGAGACCACTCTGGACCGCGTTGACTTCAGGAATAGCACGCATCTGATCGATCACTGTCATGTAGTACCTTAGATGTAGTGTAGTTGGTGTAAAGATCACTTCTGCTGAAATTGAAGAAATCTACATGTATGTATTCTATTAAGTCTAAGTCTAACAACTTCTTAGAGTAAGTGAGTACTTTCGTCGTTCTGGGAGGTGGTATTTTCCGATGCTGCTTGGTGGGAGCCAGACAGACACAACATCCGGAAAGCCTGCGGACGCATCGACTTTGTCCGCAAATAGGCGCACCTTGGAATCCGGCAGCAGGTAGCGCGAACCCTCAAATTCTGCCTTCAGGGGTTCACCAAAGATGGCAATTCCAATAAAGACCAGCTCGAAAACGATGACAGCGCCAATCACGAAGGGGTGAGACAAGGCCCTTGCGAACTTCAAATCCCATTCGTTTAGGAGTTAGAGCGTAAGAGAGGGGGTGGGATAATAACTAGTAAGGTGTCTTCCAGTCATAATCATAGACTATGCTAGAAAGCGTAGATACTGGGGTTTCGGACGATCGAAAGCAAATAGATGTAAGCGTCAAGAATATCAGAAGAAGTTATTATCTCTAATGATTACTGAACCCAGATTGCAAAACTATTTAACAAGTCCAAAACCAAATTCTTCATAATTGATCACCAATCGCGGAAAGTCACTCTCGGCACTGAGGCCTTCATCGTTTTCCTCTTCTGCGTTGGCTGGATCCGTTTTTTCCAGTGCGGCCATTGATCCCAAGAAGAACGAAAACATGCCAATGTACAGACCCACCATACATACCGCAGACTGCCAACAGAAATACGTCAGCACCGGCAAATCAACCACACTACCCAAGGCGAAGGCACAGATGCCGACCTGGTTGTTGTGGTAGATATCTTGTGTGAGGCAGAGGGGTCAAGGTAGTGCATTAGGCCGAGCTGTTGGGCCTTCTCAAGGCACCTATCTCTGCCCAGTCAATGCATGTCATGATGTTAGATATCCGCCGAAAGCCTAAGAAAGCCGATGACAGCGTGGCGCAGCCGGCTCCATGCCCCTGATGGCGCTCGCAGTTTCCTCAAACCGCGCAACTCATGACATACCTCCCCTACCCCTACCGCTGTGCACACGCGGGACCAGCCGCCGGGCCTTCGCCATTATTTCTTCCACAGAAACAAAAACCGAGGCCAGCTATAACGATAAACCCTGCAACCTCGCGCCCGTATCAGGCGTCTGTTTTCTCCAAGTGTAGCGCCAGCAGTCCTCCCGCGCAGGGCAGTGTCCTCCCCAGCGCACGCCCACCCCTTGCCCAAGCTTGCCAGGCACTCCCTACCCTCCTGCAGCGGGCCCACCCTGGTGCGACAAAGCACCTACGCCCGCCCCCAGGGTTCGACCCTGATCCCCCTACGCGCACTCCTCGATTGCCTCGCCGGCCTCCCTTTGAAATTCTTCAAAGGCACGGCCCTCGCTGTGCTTCGATGGGTTCCCGCGCCTAGTTATGCGCCGGCGGCGTCTTCAGTGACCGGGGCGAGACGCAGCAGCGGCGCCCCCTTCTCCTGCGTCCCCCGAAGCCTAACCCGCGGGCCGGCAGCGGGTTTCGCCCGCTTTTCATACACACACACAAAACCCGATAACCCCGGTCGCCGCGCGAAGATGATCCGCCCGCGCCCGGAGTCTATCTACTGTCCCAGACGCACCAAGGAGCTCACCAAGAAGATTCTACTGCTAGCATGGCTAAACTAAAAACGCATAATTATTCGAATACCAGCATCGACACAGAAATCGTTCGATGCGCATACCCTGCGGCGACTGCGATACGATCGGAGTAGGGAATCTTCTTCGTGATTCGGTCCAAAGCGCGAACCATGATGATATCGTAATCGACAATGACTGCAAGCATCAAGTGCAAACCCAAGGCCGTGAGCACCGTGGAAGGGATCACGTTGTCCTCTTCGCCATCGTGATCCAAGTCACCAGGAACCCAGGCCAAAGATTAGCGGAAGAGGCCTTCATAACAAGCCAGTACTATGGATTCCCGAATATATAAGCTAAACTAAAAAGATCACTTATTTGTAACATATGAAAAACATCAGCAACTACCACAAGTACAACAAGAACCCTGCATTACAGATAATTTAGAAAATTTAGATTACAACTAATATCAAAATTCCAGCATCCTCGTAACAGATCGGAATCGAGCAAATCCCCAGAGTCATCAACAGAGCGATGATCGGTTGGACCAAGACCAGGATAGACAGCACCCAGCGTCGCCATTGCATAGGACCAATCGCAGAGACCAGGAAGAAGTACATCAAGACGAAGGTAAGGCCCAAACCCAGGATCTCTTCCGTGATCAGCTCCGTCATCTCGTCTCCCAGGAAGTAGGTATGGAAAATGGTCACACCTGGGTATTGTGCATCGCGTGGAAAAAGAAACTCAATCACTCATTCATTTACCTGTTCTGGAGGTATCTTTTGACGCCTGAGCGACACGTAGATACATACTGTAGGTGTGGAAAATAGTCGTAAAACCTGGGGTTGAGTAAGTACGTTTGATGGAGGGTGCTGGAACTTCTTCTAGGTATTTGCGTGCTAGGGTATAACATAAACATGTGTTGTCAACCCCAAGAGCTAAGCGTGGCTGATGAAAAGCAACTCAGAAACTCCAATAAGAACTTTAGTACCAATCCCACTATCATGGAGAGCACGCCACGGACTTGGGACACCTTGCAAGTTCTGAGCTTTAGGTGCTTCCACTTTCTCTCCAGAGTCCTTGTCGTGCTTGTAGTTATCCGTGTACTCATCGATCACCTCGCGCACCCAGTCTTCTCTTGCGACAAGGATTAGAGGATTAAAACTCGGTGTAAGTACCTCCTGCATTTTTAATATCTTGTCATGGTTCAGATTGGTTGTGGGGTACAACTAACAATGCGTAATTATTCCAGATTTGCTCAACACTCACCTTATACTCAAGAAATCATTCAACTTCTACTGCGACTACTCAGTTATGGGAGCTTGCTCAACACTCCCCTTAATATACTCAGGAAATCATTCAACTACTAAAAAAAAATGGAAGAAAGCCTTAACAGATCCGGCGCTTTGAAATTGTTTGCGATTCGGCGCCAATCCGGATGGTTCAACTCGCATTCTGGCCGCAAGCGAATGACCATTAGATAAGCCTTGCACTCGTTCACTTCGTATGGCGCCGTCATGGTGTCCATGGTCAGAGACCCATCGTTGTCGAGACCTGTGAGTTTTTGATTGTTTAGGATGTGGTTAATGTAGTGGTTATCTACTGTGTAAGAACCTGTAATAGAAAAGTAGATTTAAGGATAGTACATAGATTTCAGTGGAATAAAGACACAAAGTCAGAACACATACACAAGGAGCAGGATTTCCTCAACTACCCTTAGAAAATAGACGTAGTACTTGTTCTGTTTTTTGCATCGCCGAAAGTAACGTATTGTTCGCATAGAGTGCACTGATCCGCAGTTGCTGTTCCCTCTGCACTAGCAAGTTTACGGGCTTCCGCATTTGCGAAGGGATTCTCAGCTGCTTTCATGTTGCGCTTTGGTGCCTGTGCAGGTGTCGGAGTGGACGTCGGAAGCTTTTCTTTGCGTACAGGTAATGGTAAAGAGAAGACTGCATGAAAGCTGAAGGAAGCTGTACAGAACAGTCGAAAACAAGAACGTTGATGTCAAGCTTGGCCAGAGAGAAGTCATACTCATCTTGCAGCTATTTAATATGTTCCATAAAAGATACCTGTGCTTCAGGAGCCGGCTCATCCGTTGGCTCAGACGGGTAGATTCCTTGCTCTGCAAATTTCGCGAGCATGTAAGTTCGCATCTCTTCTGGTGTGACGCGCACCTTGGTGCCATCTGGCTGCTCGATGAAGTTGGTGTTGTGCGCCTCCGGATCTTCTCCTAATTTACGGCGACCATCGGGGTCAACGCCAGAGTTGGTGCACATGCGACTGTTGTACGCATCCGCACTACCTGCGCGCATGCCGCATCCATGGGGACAGAACTCGCCACCACCTGTGTTGAAAACCGAAGGCATGTAGCAGCCACCTGCGTTTTTACCGCATTGACAGACTTGAGGTCGGTCGAAGCAACCGGCTACACCATTAGAGTTTCCCTGTGTTCATCTTGAAGCGCATCTTTGATCATTTTTCCATTGCAAATATGTCAACGATGCTTCTTCAGGTGAATTTGTGGAAGCCGTAAGACCAACGGCAGAGTGCCAGAACATACCGAAGTTGTTATCGTAGCACGGTTTACAGATTCCATTCGCGTAGGCATCGGTCTTCCAAGGCGTGTAGTACTGAAGTTGATCACCGGGTCCGCCATTGTAGTTCATACTGGCTAATGAGCTCTCGCGAATCCACTGGCAACCATTGAGCGATTAGAAGAAGACCTTTCAACTCTAGAAATCTAAATTTTAGGAGTTGGAATTGTGTTTGAAGCATTGACGGAGAAGTCAAGTGGTGTCAACTATGTGTAGTTGTAGAAAAGAGAGATATAGTGGTTACAAAAAAAGGGCAAAAACCTCCTAATTCAAGGAGCTAATCGGAGACGCTGCTTCTTGCCAGTGACATCATGCTGTAGCTTGTACGGGGAACCATGGCCATGATTAGCTTCTTCTAGACGACACATCTAAATAATCATGTACCTTGTAGTATTCGACACATCTAATGATCATGTACCTTGTATTAAGTAGAGACTTTTACATATTATCAGGGATAATTATACTTAATTCCAGAACAATTTCGGGCATAATTATAGCAGTCAGCGCTTGTGCTGTATGCCTCGCACTGTGCGATGTTTTGGTTTCCTGGAAGAGAGGCGTCAAGATTGTGGAAGGCGTACCAGGGATCCGCACCCGCAGGGATCGCTCCGCCACCCACGTTGCTGCAACCAACGCAAGCCTCATCACCTCCAACGAGACAATCGGATTAGAGAAACAAGTGATGGTCTTTTATGCCGAAGTCACTACTTCCTCTAATCAATTGATTAATAGAGGAAGTCACTAAGTGTTGTAAGTATCTATTTTCCGTAGAAGAACTACATTCTTGGCCGTGCCTTGTTTTGGTCTCTAGATTCATCTACTTATTTGGAAAAAAAGCCACTTCTTAATTGGAGCATTGTGGCGCTGGAGCAACGAAGGACCCATTATTGCGATCCACGTCCTGCACGAACTCGGCTTTCAAGACGCTACGGCACTGTGCGCAAGTTCCATTTCTAACGAGATCGAGACGCCGATCCACATGCTTGCCGGTCAAAGCGACGTTGGCCGGACATTAGAGGATTTAGGGACAATGTTGTCAAAGAGGAACACCATGGCAAAGAGAGAGAGAGAGAGAGAGAGAGAGGAACAGGAGTAAAGCGATAATGCAATGGGGTTGTCAATGTTGTGGAATTAAGGCCGTGCAGAATGATCACAGGGAAAAGCCCAAAACTAGAGGACTATCGACTACGCAGAAGTAGATGCTCATGCTGCACGTGCACAGCACGAATAGGTGAAATACAACAAGATGTAAACAGGAGCAAGAAAAAGTAGAATTTTGACAGCACCCCAGACGCAGTAGACTCAGTCCATAAATGTACGTGCTCATCTGCGCTCGGAATCCAAACTCCTTCATCAGACCGATTCGGGTCTTACCGAAATGGTCAGGGTTCAGCGGATTCCCGTAGGGCGTAGTGCGTGTGTCCGGAGCCGAGGGATTGGCACTGTTCATCGAGGGACGAGACATCAAGCTCCAATGAAGCGCGTTATCCACCGAAGCATCAAAGTTGTAGGCGATCGCGTTCATGAGACCCAGTGGCGAGACCACAGAGAATTTGTCGCACCAAAAAGGCGGAGGCATTTGATCACTGTTGAACCCGCGACGCATGTCTGCGGCACACGTTCCGGGAGTACTGCCTTCACCCATCTGAGCTTTGGTTAGAAGCAACAAGTTGTTTCAGAAATTTTCCACCATCACTTCTATCGCATCTCTTCTTGATGAAGATGATGTGGTGCAGCTCTAGTATAGAACAAGTAGAAGATGCCTTTCACGACGTCAATAAGAACTTTCTGTGGTTAAAGAATGAAGAAAAAAACCCTGAGGAGCGTAACTTGCCTGCAGGAGCAGCGGAATCGTAGAAGGGGCAACGAACGCAGGCCTCTGCAGACTTGCCATTCTTTTGGTCGTAACAATCGCTGTCACCAGTGACCGTGCACGTGACAACGGACGGTCGAGATGCGCCTCCGAACGTCGCATCCCTATGATAGTATGAGGAGAATGTTGTAGTTGTATGTAAGAAATTGTGACTACTGGTGCAGATCAGTGCTAAAAGGGTCAATGACCCCTATTAAATTTGACTCCTAGTACTTTGTGGTATCTACCATGCTAGCTGGTCTAGAATGGCAATAGGAGTACCTCCTAGAGAAGTACAAGAAAAGGTACCATCCACATCTAAGAAAAAATTTTCTAAAGATAAAGAATGAGTACACTGCACAAGTGGTTCTGTCAACGCATTCGCATTTCACGGTGCTCGCAGCAGATGCTTCGACGCAGGCCTTGTGTTCGTGGTAACCTGGGTGGCCAGCTTCCTTGTAGTTTCCACACGGCTCCATGTGGCCTTGTTGCTGCCACAAGATGTTCGCGCCCTCTCCGTTCCAGCCTGTACCGTTGGTCTTGATCTGGCGGTCGTTGGTAATTAGAGCAATAAAACGTTGTAAGTAGGAGTAGGAGTAGGGTGGTACTCACACGTTTGGTGTAGGGAGAGAACGTTGTAAGAAGTGGGGGTACAACCATTTCATTTCTGTTATGCTGCTCTTGGGGAAGTCTGCACAGATCTACTTTTGTGCGAAGCTTATTGTATTGTATCGATTGTTTTATTACTTTCACCTGTTGGAGGTGTTCATAAGATGAACAGATCCGGGTTCAATGGGCAAAAATCCGGTGCGTAGGCGTATCCCTTGCCTTCCTTGGTCGCGCGCTTCTTCAAGTACTGTTCGAAATTCCAGACTTTTTCGATGTTGTCGGTTTTACAAAGATCCACACCATTTCCATTGGCATCGGGCTCCGTCTTCGAGTATACGAGGACGTAGAAACGCTCTTCTGGGGATTAGAGGATGAGGATGAACATCTACATGTACAACGACTAGGACTAGGTGCTCAGGATGATTGTAGTATATCAAAAATGTGTGTCACGAGATACTAGACAATGTCAACCGCCTTTTTCTTTCACAAAGAAGCACGGACAATGCAGCTGTCACTGGTTGATAAAGAATCTTTAGCTTTTCTTCAGCCAGCATCATGAAGATATCATAATTTCCCTTTTCCAAGTTCATGCACTGCTGATTCAATTCGGTGGCGATGTCAGGGTTCTTCGTGTAACCGATGACGGAAGCCTTGTGAGCAGCTGAGTCCAAATATTTCTTGCGGTTCCCCTGGGCGTCCTCCTCCACACGCTTCAGACGCTCTGCTTGCGGCGTACTGACAGGAGACCACATACCATAATCACTGCGGTACTCGAAACCACGCTTCACGTTGATGCGGCCTAGGGGACGATCATTATGGGAAGAATGTAGAAGGAGGTGCAACTTATAGTACTGTGCAGCTTGTTCCTACTTTTCATAGCAATAGCATTGGTGGGACTTATACTGTGCTTGTTCCTACTTTTCATAGCAATAGCATTGTTGGGACTTATAGTACTGTGCAGCTTGTTCCTACTTTTCATAGCAAGATGAATAGCATTTACAACATTCAAGCCAAGAACACGAATAACATCAAAGCCGCGTAAGTACTTCGAATCGGGCTTCCACGATGATCAGTTTCCCCAAGCTTGATGAAGAACGGAATCGCCAACACGATCAAGATGAGAAGCCCTGACAGAGAGCAGCATGCTGGATTCTTCACCGCCTGACGACCATAGGCGCGACCTACTTTGTCAAAGCCACGATCAAACCAGCCACTGACAAGATCCACAGGGAATTTATTTTGTTCTGCCGCAGCATTGTCCTGCTTTCCATTAGCAGGAGTGACGTTCGTCGCTTGCGCCATCATCAAGGTCCTTGATTTCCTCAGAATCAATTTAGGGTTGAAATTTGAGTAAGTTGTTCTACTATGCTCTACTGCTACTACGGCATTTAAGTAGAAGATTATAAGGAGGATAATACTTTCCTAGAATTATCCTGGTACGACATTGTCATTATGGAATTGACAGTATAGAAATTATGATTGATCTCAGATCGCCACTAACTTCATACTGCACACCGTTAGCCGCTCTCTAACACTTGTGGCAGCCGCTCTCTAACTTCATACTGCGCACCGTTAGAGACATTGAACAAGCTTCCAGTCTCTCGACGTGATCTTCAACGCTTAAAAAAAGGTCCGTCATCGACTCTCTACGTGTGTCCATCAGGAAAAAACAAACGCTCAACTGACTCCAGAGACCGATACTCTTTACAACCAACCTCAAAGAAGTTCATGTTCAAGAAGTTCACAACGATCTTCCTCCGGTCTCAAGAAGTTCACATGTTCAAAAAACAAACCGTCTCGACCAACAAACTTGTTGATCATCGTTTACACCTTTCCACACGCATCTTCGTCCCCTGTGTCACTCACGGACACAAAAAAAAACATCTCGACCTTCATCAGGGCGCACCGCTACACTGGTCGGTGATGGCAGTGTGCGAACGCTTCATAATGCTAATCAGGCCTTCGGCCACTGTGCTTTGCTGTCTAGCGCAAGACCGAAAAATGCGTTAGATATGATAGGTGCGCTGGATGGACATTCTTGATTCTTCGCGCGAACATTGTTGAGGATATAAGGGGATCACGTAGTTCATCGAAATCGTTGTACACTACAATGAAGGTGACATGGTCATGTCTTTTCCTTCTGCAGCTCGTGAAAATAGCTAATGCTGTAGAGCTGCAGGTCAAGAAACCAAGACGTGGATATAAGAAGTGGAACGATCAGATCGCTTTTGAGGAGCGGTTTACCACTGAATGCGTCTGTGAATATATCTAACAATTTCTTCAAAAACAAGGGTAGAGCATCACTATTCTCTTTCAAAAGTTGTGAGAATGGGTATGCCGGGTAGACACCGACGAGATAACTATGAATATATGCTATGCTATCATCAGAAATTATAGAATCAATATTTATACGAATTACGAAGCCATATTAAGATATTTGTGGGCGAGATTTCTCGTTGAAGATACATTTGCGTCGGGATGAGCCAACAAGGTAGGAACTTTTCATTTTTCTAAAATTGTAATGCGAAATTGGTTGTCAGGGCGTCGATATAAGAAAGTATTCGTTCAAATAAACAGCGAGAAACATGAACAAGGTTGTATGACTCAGAGCGAGCTGATATTGACAAATATGCTTGGAGGGTGGTCTCTCGTCTCTCTATTATGCTTATTAGTGTTCATCTGATGTCATGGATGTGGGTGAAATAAAAGGTTAAGGTATTCACGTGCTTCCATCTTCGTTAACCGTCGCGTAGTAGAGATCTGAGTCGGCCTGCACTTGCGGATACTCTCTTCTACGTGTCGAAACTTGTTTTTTAGAACGAAGAACTTCCTGAGGCGTCTTATCTGGATGAAGAAGAGCTTGTTGTCCTGGTGAAGCTAGTGCCACTGCTTCTCGAGAGTTCTTGCTCCTGTTCTTTCCCTTGTTTCCTCCCTGCGCCCCACGTTCATCTTCTTGCTCCCATCTTAGGGGGAGGTCTTTAACTACATCTGCTTTGACGAACAACCCTTTGCGCACGTGAATGCACTCTACTGATGAAACTAAAGAATGAGAGAGGCTTCTGCCGAAGATGTCTATTAATTGAGGCTACCGCTGGAGGACCATCCTCAACATCATCCTTGGCCCTTTTTTCAAGGAGAAAAAGGGACCAGGGAGGTTCTCGGGGATGCGAGCGCGGTAGCTCTAATCTAAGCTAGTTGCCATAAATCTTTGTCCTCGTCAGAGGTGGCGTACGCATGACGGAGATATCGTTGCTCCTCGCGAGCTCCGCGATCTCTTCGCGTTCGCAGACCATTATCCCGATCAATATTCAGATAGCGCGCGGATGGGTGTTCGCGTGGCTGTTCCCTTCGAGAAGCAGTCGGCTCATCACGTCGAGCTCGATGTCGTTCCACTTGTTGCATAGAAGATGTTGTTGCGTGAGGTCGTCTCACCTGGCGGCCATCATCACCGTCGCGTTCACGTTGACGCCGGTGCGTGTTGCTGCTAGCCTGTTCGTTGATTCGATTTGACGTCGAGTCGGAGTATTTTTTCATCGTAGTGTTCCTTTCAGCATGAATTGCAGGGTTGTGGTTGTAATTGTCGTCGTCAACATAAGGATTGACGTAGTCAGGAAGGTCTTCTTTCCGAGTCTTGCGCCCACATGATCCTCTCCCCGGGTCAACAACTCTGGTGCTCGTCCCAGTTGTGGTGCGTGCCGCAGTGACAGTTGTACCTCGTTGTAGTTGACGTTGTTCATGCTTAGAAGATGAAGATGCTAGAGGACCTCCTTGATCCACTGCTCTTGAACTTCGAGATGGCCCCCGATCGAGAGACGCGCGGGGTTGGGCACTTTCGTGTTAGAACCAAGCGAAAACCATCATCAGCAGCATCCTGGGTCCTCTTTTTCCTTTCGAAACGGGACCAAGATGTCTGCGAAGACGGATTTCTTGTAGCCTTAATCGCGATCCTCAACAGCATACCGTTCTTGTTCGGTGCCACGCAATCGACGCGAAGATGTAGTAGTTGTGTGCTTCATGCGACGATCCACATCTACTCGACGTCTACTGTCGTTCCTTTGCGGAAGGACTGCTTGACGCTGATGCGATGCTGAATCATCTTGCCGACGATCCTCTCGAGAACGTACTACACGTTGTTCTTCTCGACATTCTAATGTACGTAATGATCCACGCTGACGACGTTCATGTTCTCGATCATCTTCTTGTCGCAACATAGAGTGAGCATGAGTGCCTCCGCTACGTCGGTTGGCTTCTCTCTGCTCTGCCTCTGGGCGACGATGTTGTTGATAGTCGCTCCTGCTTTTCTTTAACTGCTCACGAGGAACGTCAGCATGTTCTTGGAGGCGTCCGTGGTGGTGGTCTAGGTCTACTTCTCTTTGTCGTCGACGTTTCTGTTCTCCCGTACAAGAACTACGTCCTCCTTCTACTTCACGACGAGCATCTCCACGTCCACCATCTCTATCTCTACGATGCTGTTGTTCCCTAGACTGAGAGACACGAGTTGTATGATCCAACATCCGACGTTGTTCACGTTCGCGACGACGTCCAGAGTCATATCTTGGTCCGTCTTCCAGCATGTTCTTCATCTTCGTCAGCGCTTCCTCAGAATCTTCTTCATCGCTCTGCGGAGCAGCCATCCGTCCTGCAGTTTTCATCTTCTTCATCAACCTGGTGTCCTGCAAGTTGCGACTGCTCTCTTCCGGTGTGTTTTTCGACATATTTAGAAGTGTATCATCTACGCATCATATTCGAAGTTTGCTTGAGGGAGTGACTACAGACGACGAGATCAAGTTTCAATTTCTCACCGTGATGGAAGTGCGGGGAACGAACTCTTCTCCTGAGCAAATGCTCCCTTGTAAGTAGAAACTGACACAACTAGTTTGCAGAGTACACCAACCATAAGAACTGCTCTCCTCCCGATAGCCAAATTTTCGCGCATTTCTTGTTGCCCAAAAACTCTCCAAAACCTTCATCATGTTAGAGCTTAGCGATCGTCATCCTGAAAAGCATCTTTGAAGACGTGTTCATCCCTCAAAAAATTCAAAATTTCAAAGATGCTCCTTGACATGAATTACGATCAGGAGCCGTAATCATGCATACGGCCCACTTGGAAGATGCACTGAAATGCCTTTCCGCAGACCTCATCGATCCACACTGGTTTGCCGTCTACATGAAACGTTGCTGGTCTGCCTTCACGTTCCCACTTAGCTGCTAAATATCCAGCTTTCTCCTTTTCACTCTGCGGTTGCTGGCCCTAAAGAAGAAGAGAAGAACAATTATACTCTATTTAGTAGATAGATACAGATAGGCGCTGCAAGATAATAAAATTGTCCAGTACCAGTAGAGATGATGGTGTTAGTACTAAAGATCGCCTAAAGCGCACGCGCAGAGCGGCAACACAACTGTTAACGTCCTGGGCCCATTCGTCTTTCTCAGGCACAACAAGCGTGAGACCCGGACCACTAAAAACTGCGTCTCCTCGCAAAGCGTCGCTAACCAACCCACTATCCACCTCGGGTGTCAAAAAATATGGAGACATCGCGATGGCCCTGTTGATGAACATTTAACAAGAGGACGTGAGAGTTTCTGTTTCTCCTGTATAGACTTTCAGTTTTAGACCAAGGGCCCGTGTTACTGTTTCTATTATACTTGTGCTGCCTAATTACAGCAGGGTAAAAAGAAGTATGGTTCTAATGAGTCTCCAAGTAGGTTGTAGTCGTGTCTCTAGAAGATGAAAACACTGACACGGTGAAGCAAAAATTGCGTGGTATTTGGAAGTTTAGAAGTATATATAAGTTGAAGTATATACCTTTTCCACAAGCAACGCTTGTGAGAGTGTTGTTCGTGAGTTTGGTTTTCCACTTTCTGCGGTGCTGTGATAGATTTTGTCAGTGCCGGATGAAAATGTTTGTACAATTCCATGATGGACATTGCTCCACGACTGAATCCCGTAAGAATAGGTGGCTGCGCAATTGCCAAAGGGTCATCGCCTCTGCGGAGAAGGAACTGTAGCTCAAAAAGATCACAAAGAACCTCGTAAACGCCCACACTTGGCGCACTCCGATACGGAGTGTTGCGACTCTTCTGCCACATAACTTCGATAACGTTGAAATTTTCCTGATATTAAAGAAGGAAATCCAGTGAGAAGGGGAAATCAAGGCTTTTTCTCTTGCATGACACCTACATACCAGAAGTCAAATTTTTGTGATGAAGCAAACCTGTAGAGAACGATCATCGACAAAGATAAGTTAACTCTGTACTTACGTAGCGCAGTGAGTACAAGTAGTATCAAGGTATACCAACAGCCATCTTTGTCCATCTTTCAAGGGTTCGACGTGGCCATGCTTGTTCTTTTTTGAGATTGGCGGTGCGCAGGCGGTGACGTTGTCACTCTCATTGCATGTGGAAGTGAGATGGATAACCAGAGGCTTCTGCTTCGCGTTATGCGCGAGACTCACTCGTAGCCACACGCTGTAAGCTGTCTTTCCATCCGGGTCGATCTGGCAATTAGGAATCCCATCCAGTTTGATTTAGAGCTGAAAATCAGAGCGTGCTCGACTTAAGGTAACGATAGAACTGCACCTATCACGACAACAATAAAATAATTCATATTATTCAACCCATTTATTCTCAGAGCCCAAGGGGGACCCTGAGATACCTCACCTGTCAAGATGAATTACTTTGAGCCTTAATTGATCTCTTGAACGTGATAGGCTTGTCGCTCGCCGTCTGCATTAAAGACCTCACGATTCCAGTCGATCTTCGCTAGGACGCTGCTCACTGGGCATACTCGCAGGTCTGTCATTTTCGCCACGAGTCCTCTTTTATGTTTTAGACGGCTCAAGAGTTTCTCCTTCTCTTGTTCACTACTTGTGAACCAAGTAATTCTACTAACGTCCTTGCTGTTCTTGCGGTAAGTCTCACGTAAGCTACTACTTTACGACATTTTGATGTTTTTCCTGTACCTTTCCGTCTTTACTAAGAAAAACTTTAACTTTTTAGAGAACTACAGGGAGGTTACAGTTAGAAGTACAAAGATAATGCGTCTTCACAACTACAAATCACAGATCGATCACAACATAAGTTTTGAGCGCGGTCCCACGATGTTCCTCGTGCCAGTATCTCTTTCACGCGAACCATGCCAGGTTGGATTTGCCCCGTAAGCTCAAGTGGCGCGCGATTCCCGTCTCTTAGACGAGCTGAAATATGGACTCAGACGTTCCTTGTTACTCTATTAACAACAGCACAGCTGCTATGAGACATGTTAATAGCTGACGGACATCTGTCTTTCCAGAGCTAGCACACCTCTTCTCTGCACCTCAACAAGCCTATGCAAGCTGAGGCTGCTCTGTCTTCAGTCTAAGTACTTTTTTCATTAATCAAAAGTTGTAAACCCTGGTAGTTATTCAGTCTACTTTATAAAAAGTGCATGTCATGTCATGGTGCCTCTTGTGTAGCTATTAGCGTCTACTTGCGAGGCCAACCAGTAATCTAGTACCTCCAGAGGAGCGCTAAAATACCGGTGTAATGAGGAAGCCGTAACATGACAATCGGATCATCGAGCGGAAAGGTCACCATCTTCGTGGCAGTCGCGGCGTGCCCAGCTCCCGGGATCAGGTCGTAGCCAGGCTTAGAAGATGAAGTAAATAAGTCTAACCAGGGTCTTAATAAGTTTTTGAAGCGGAGAGAACAGTGCTGGATATGAAGAATACTACACCGAGATGTACAATACCTTCGTGGCAGTAGCGGCGTGCCCAGCTCCCGTAGCCAGGCTTAGAAGATGAAGTAAATAAGTAACCAGGTTTTTAATAAGTAAGTATTTGAGTGATATATTTTCGCCATAGTTTCAGCGTTGTTGTTCGTCAGCAAAGCGCCGTCGATTTCTTGAATGCGGTAGCATGCGTTTTCGTAGCCTGGCAAAGCGTATCGGCCTAGCTCGTCCCAAACTCTTCTTGGATGTGTTAAGATTCCTTCTTTGATCTGTTCGTCGAGTGTCAAGCTATTGCTCGCTACACGTGCCATTTTCTTGTGAGTGTAGTCAGTTCTGCTTGTAGTTCGAGGTGCCGGGTCGACCCCCGAGTCCGTGTCCACCTGTTGCGTTTTTGAAACGAGAGCTAGAGCTGTTCATGGTGGAGGCATATTAGTATTTATAGGGTAGTTAGCTATTTTTTTAAGACCAAGACTTCTCCTTAAGGAGGTCTCCTTAAGGAGCTTCCTTAAGGAAATTGCATCCCTTAAAGAATTTCTATATAATAGAAATCTATCATAGGGCTCCCTTAAGGGCTAGAGCTGTTCATGGTGGAGGTATATGCATATTGATCTTCGTCTACACATCATCGAATCCAGTATCTGAAGAAGATCATGAACCAACTAGAGGAGCGCTTGAGTACATTTTTTAGCTCCTCCTGCTGTTTCAATCGCATCTCTTCCTGCTGTTTCAGACGTCGCCTTTCTGCACGCCGAAGGTCTTTCTCAAGCATTTCCCTACCATTTTGGCGCACGATTTCCATGACCTTTTGCTCCCGCCTTGCAATTTCTTCCAACTTGTCGAGGTTTTCTTGGCTCAACTTGCTACAGCGTGGCTCTGGTTGTGTATATTCTTCTTCTTCTTCTCGTAGTTCATCCTGTGATGAATACTTGCTGTGTCTTCTATTAGACCTTAGCGATATTCATCTTGAAGCGCATCTTTGACGCGTTTTTCCCTTAAAAAGGGGGGGCCAAAGATGCCTCTCAAATTGAATATAAGTAGTGAGCCTTATTTCTACTCGGTTCTGTTTCATCAGGAGCAGCATGCTGGTACTCATCTCGAATGTTGTTGTTATTCCTGGTTCTTCCATTTGCGCCAGAATTAGAGCGGCCCTGCTTATGTTGGAGTTTGGAGACGAACTGTTTGGCGCGTCTGGCGTAAGCCATGTTCTCTGTATCCGATGTGGTAGAGGAGTCGGAGTCGGTGCCAGACGAGGAGGACGACTCTTCATCACCGCTATCTTCATGTTGCCCATCATGTTCTGCCTTAGAAGTACGGCCGTGGTCCAAAGCGTTGTTCTTGGACGTCAGTTCGTTAACCAAGTTCTGTCCATCAAGCAAGGTCTCATGGTCATCAGAGTCAGACGAGCTCGCTGACGCTGAAGAACACAACTCATCGTTCTTGCTAACATCTGCATAATTATCTTGTTTGTTACTATGCTTGTGGTTTCTCGTGTGAATTTGATGTTCGCCAGTAGCAGTTGCGTTCTTCTTCTTGTTCTTGTTCCTTTCATGCTCGTCTGCACCAGTTGTGTTCTCACCTCCGCCACGACCAGCTTGATCCTCTTGCTCTGTTTAAAGCTCAGCACTCAGTGGCCATAATGACTCTGAACGGAAGAGCCCCCCTTCTTTCCCTTCGTATATTTCCCCTGTTGGTTCTCTCAAGAAGGGGTCGCCTCTTCGATCTCAGTGACCCCAATCTCAATGGTGACCATTGAAAGTTGAGCCTTAATCTGTGTCTTCTTCCGTGTCTTTAGAAGCTCCTTCAGCCCTTAGTTCCGTGTCTTTAGAAGCTCCTTCGCCCTCGTCCTCGTCCTTCAACAACACATCCTCCACTTGAACTGCTCGCCCACGACCAACGCAGATCATGTCCTCTTCCTCAGTATCAGACAGCAACAATTCCCCTTGCCCGACACCAGATTTGGCTTCCAGGTGGTCAGGTTCACACAGGCCATTCGGAGGTGTGGAGACAGAGTCCATCGAGATGTCAACGTAGTTGTCTATTTTGTTAGAAGGGGTTGCAAGTTCACGACCGATCATCCAGGTCGCATATTTTTATCTATGACTTTATTCTAGAGTAGTTTATAGAACGGAGGTAGGATGGACTTGGATGGATCGGATGGATCGGATGGACCCCTCTGATTCTTCCGATCCTACTTGAAATGGTGGAAAGTCCATCCGTTCCATCCCATCCCGGATCTGGCACCCCTATAAACTACTTTATTATTCGTACTTGAAAAATAAGTCATAGATTTATTTTTACAATGCTTAGTACAGTAGAGTAGAGGTCAACTTCCAACTCCAAGCCGTACTTTTATCAAAAAAACAGCTGGAGCTCGTAGAACCATCATCGTCCCCATGATCGTCACGTTGATGGAGATGGTCCTGACGGTCCGCGACATCTTCTGTTGTAGTAGCACAACTTCTGGCGGCTGCAGTGGTATCCAGCGCAAGTATGTCTACAATTTGCTTGCGAAGAAACGAGCGGAAAGCGTGTCTATTCTTGACCAGGTAGTCGCCCGATGGAAGAGGAACACTCAAATGCTTCATCTCGTTGAGCATAATCGCTGCACAATGGTTTAGAAGAATTGTGGTATATTTATAAGGAAATAGATCGACAGCAACCAACTAGGATAAACAGAAAGTAGGGCGAGGAAAGTGAGGACTTCATGTTCCTCGCCGGGAGTTCTGCAAACGATGTTATAGACAGTAGCTCATGAAAAGGCCATAACTCTGAGTACGTTGTTCCGCCATCTTCGGAGTCGGAATCCGTCCTGTCCTTTTGAGTCTTCTTATGCTTCTTCTCAGCTTTTTTGCTCTTCTTGCTCTTTTTTTCTGCCTCAACGAGATTATCTACATCTTCTCGCCCTCTTGCTCCACCAGCAGGGTCTTCTCCTTCCGCACCACGACCGACAATATCCGCGTTATCTCCAACGCGGTTGCGGTTCTTGGAAGCGGTACGACTGAGAGCAGTGTGTTGGCTTCCTCCTGCTTGTTCAGCATCACCTTTACCATGATGTTGACACCCTTGACGACCAGAGCCTCGGATAGCAGCACTATCGAAAGTGGAAGGATCCAGTTTTTTCAGTTTCGCCATGGGAACCAGTTGCTTGCTCTTGCTCATCTGTGGAGCATCTTCCAAGGTCCCCATCTTCTCCATGTCTTCAGTGACATCTTCTAGAACTTCTACTTTACTCGTTTTACGCTTCATTTTCTTCCTCGAAGCACCTTCTTCAGCACTACGATCCTCGGCAGTGGTCATTATTCGGTCTCCCGGTTCAGTTGGAATAGAGGGCATTATGATTCGTCTTGTTGGTGCGGGGTCTAAGAATTTGTTGTCGTTGGTCTTGGTATCCTCTTAGTAGAAGTAGAGCGATGTTTCTAATACGATGCGACGACAAGAAACGAAGTTTCGTTATATAGTTGACTGAACCGCACAAACTCAAAAGATCGTTACTCTGCAACTTGTTCTCAGAGATGGACGAGATCCATTGCTTTACCTACGTCGCATGTGAAATTAGACAAAGAGCAGAATGATCCATAGCTAAAAAAAGTCATAACCTAGGGCCCGTATATAAGTAATTAATTTGATTAAGCGGACATCGTTCCGCGGCCCATAAACTTAGCATTCCCAATAGGCGCGTAATGGGGAGACGGACATCGTTCGCGGTGGCAGGTATTAGGTGTGTAATTTCTCCTGCCTTTACTCCTAGGGTTCAGCATTTTAAAATCGTAGGGGCAGTAGCGTAGTTGTTAAGGAGATTAAGAGCCCCCCCCTACGCCGGTATCCACGCGGAAAGTACGCAGGTAGGTTTTGACTTGTCGGAACTCGCTTGCAAAGTACGCAGGTAGGTTTTGACTTATCGGAACTCGCTCGCACTACAAAAAAAAAAAAAATAATGTTGATTGGTTTAGATTGTACAGGTCATTCAACTTCACTTACCTCGCAGTTAGATAAGCTAATCAAAATCGCACACACTGAAGTGAGGAAGTGAGGTCATTGAGATAGCTAAATAGAATAAGTTACTGAAATCACAAGAACGAGATACCACGGACATAAATCCAAATTGATAACAAGGCGTAACAATTAACTTTTAGGTAGATCATCATTATCACAACTGGCATGTTTGACCACTTATCAAAGCCCCACAAACACCTTGTTGATGGTGTGAAGCTAGAGATCATATCGGACCTATGATCGTGCTCATTGATCATGTTTCCCATAGTACTGAACCTGCAGAGTGTTCGTGTTGTCATCTCGTTTAATCGCGCGCAAGAGAGGTCAGAGCAGATGTGCAGCTCGTGCAGAAGTGCAAATGTTTTGTGATCCAATACCGATTTCCATCTGTAGAGACCTTCCCCTGCTCCAATGATCATACCATCACGTGGTACAGATATCGGCTCCACAGACAGCGATATGCCGATCCTCTTGCTCTACTACTGTGCGATAAACAGATCGACGAACACATCGGCCTCCTAACTTTACCAGCGTAGAGAGAAGAAGTCTTCGAACAACTTGAAGAGCTCCTTGTTACTGACAGAAGTGGCTTCTTATGTAAAATTGAAGTTGCCAACATCTTCTGTCTTGTCTGTGCATGTGTCAGTTGTGAAGGGATGCGTATCATGTGCAGCTGGTGGACGATTTGAAAATTCGATATTTCGTCGTCGAAGTTATACACAAGTACATGATATAGTCACATATAGTCACTAGGTCGCGTAACCACAGATGAAGGACCACTACTGTATCTTTAATTAAAGCTCAGCACTCAATGGTCATTGACTCTGAAAGAAATGGGCCCCATGCTTCTCCCTTTGCTTTTCCTTCATTTTTCCCCCATCTTTCCTCAAGAGGGATCTCAGTGACCCCAAGCAATCTCAATGGAGGTGACCATTGAAAGCTGAGCCTTAATTTAATTTTCAACCCCATGCCCAAACTTTTCTACGGCTTTGCGTAGTATTCGGATCGTTTCTGCAGGCGGCGGATCCTTCTTGAAAACGGCACTACCTGCAACGATACAGTTCGCACCGGCTTTTGCGGCATCCTCAATACTAGAGGGTCCAAGACCACCATCAACTTGAATATTCTTCTCGGGCCCTAGCGCATACCGAAGCTGGGATACCTGATTTTTTCGTTGAATGAACGTTGAACTTCTACGTTGGTCACAGAGAAGGGGGACTGAGAGAGGAGATATTGTGTTTGAGGTTTGGTCAAGAATATCTTGTATAGCAAGTGAAGGATTTGAAGACTGATAATATAGCATGAGCTAGCAACGGCCGGCGAATAAAAAAGTGTTTGTACTACTTTCATCTACTCAAAACAAAAATAAGTACCTTCGGCATCATGTCCTGCATGAATTTTTGGCAAAAACAAAAAGTACCTTCGGCATCATGTCCTGCATGAATTTCTGGCCTCCGAACCCAGGCTCGACTGTCATGACCAGTGCCAAATCAGCTTTCTTGCATATAGCAATACAAGCATCGTCAATCGGCGTTTTTGGTTTTATCGCAATGCCAGCTTCCATCCCTTCTGCGTGGATTGCGTCAATAAGCGCTTGTGCATCCTCAGTTGCTTCGATATGAAACGTATACCTTCCTGCACCTGCCTCTTTCATCGGTTTGACCCATTTTTCTGGATGCAGAACCATCAGATGCACGTCTAAAAAAGCGTTCGGGACAGCTTTGTGCAGACATGAGACGACTGGCATGCCCCAACTTATATTGGGGAGGGGATTAGAGCGAGGAGGAAGGGGTAGAGATTGGAGTAAGAAGTTCACGTACCTCCTAACCCTATTGGGTGCTCGTCCTACAACTACTACATTTTCAATTTACAATTCCTATAGCATGGCCTGAGGACTGAATTCATTCTAGATCATGGGGAACACCACGTAGTTCATTGGGGCGATCTGAATCTTAATACACTTTCCATAACAAAGTTTCCATCCATCACATCGACATGCAAGCTATCAGCTCCGGCTTGGAGGACTGATTCTGCTTCTCGCTGTAGGTTGGCCAAGTCGCAAGCAAGTAATGAGGGACTGATGTCCACTTTCGCTTTGTGGAAACCAGTTGTGGAGGTCATTCTGGCACCACTCCTTGTAGTTGATGAAGATATTGCTATATTCTACTAAGTAACTTACTGTTGTTTCTAAACGAAAACGATGTCCTAGAATCTCTTGATCTTGAACTCAACCAAGCAAGTGACGTAAGTACTTTACAAAAGATCGCAGTTCCGTCTTCTACTTATTTGCGAGGGCCAAGGGGACGGGATGCCACGGAGGTATACCTACACCATTTTGATGAACCTAAACATGGCTGCTTCAGCTGCTTTCGTAGCAACATGCGACGGTTCTTGTTGTTCATCTTACTTCTGGAAGATGCTTACAGAAGCACTTCTCGGTCATTTCGAAGGCGAGCACTAACATCTAACAAGGAGTAGGTAGATGAAACTGTAACATGTACAAGCCAGTCGAGGACGACTGAAGCATTTCTTGTTGTGTCCTCCCCTGTGCCTTTCTGTTCAAGAGGCACCAGGGTGTTCCAATATTCCAAACGCCTGTGGCAGGTTTTTTGCACCACCTGCCTTTCATCCGTTGACATATGAGAGCCCGACCATGAGTTCAAGCACTAGTGCCTTTGCATCATCCTTTCAACATATCTCCGAATATATGAGCTGCAGCTGACAGGCTAATGTAGTTGTCCTACTTCTAATTATAGGTCCTTTCCAATTTTTCTAATAGTACATGATGATAACATGATAAAATCAAAATTCCAATGGAAATTCTACTTGTCACCAGGACAATGAAACTTTCTCGTTGTGGTCGTGACAGCCATATGGTTATGGTCTTGGACAGAAAGTGAACGAGAAGCTCCCCGCGCTACGTAGGTAAAGGTACCACTCACTAAAAAAACGAAAATAGGTGGTCGAGGTACAGGTAAAAAGAACTGAACAGCATACAACAAGCTAGTATTGTACAAACAGGAGATACTGGTGATACTAGAAGTTGTAACAACAAAGAGTTTACGTTTTGGTATCGACGAGCGCAGTTGCTAGGCAACAAAGACTAGGACATTATTGTCCGAACTCGAAGGCGTGTACAGGAGGTAATTTAGAAAACTTGCTTCTCGTTTGAAAAAAATTTAGAAAACTCGCAGACAACAAATGCGAAAGGTAACAGAAGATGCCGCACACAAGAATTACAAGCAACAAAGATGCTAATGTAGTTCTTAGGCTCACAAAGCAGGATATGTCTACTTCTAGGTCATTTATCCACCTCTCCAACACGGAGATCAGTTATGCTTATGTCCTCCGTCCCGACTCCCTAACATTCTTTTCCCGGCGCATATATTCTTCAGTCATCTCCACTAGAGGACGCTCACCCGTTGCAGGACTTCTCCCTCCATCATCGCTCAAACCGTCCAAACGTAAACTATAATTTTGACCTTTGTTGTCGTGCTGGTTCTGGTCTTCAGTTTCTGGCATTTTTATTAGAAGACATCAGGATCAGGTGGAAATTCTAGGGTGGAACGATGTAAATCAAGCTGTCGTTCAGTAGCATGTTGGCATTGACAATAGCGCAGGAAACTACTCGACATCAGCGATCTTCTTCTTCTCCTCCAAAAACGAAAAAGAAAAAGCATCGACTCTCTTCTTCATAACTCATTTTCAGTGTCATCTCCTGGTGCCGCGGTGCGAGGAGAGGACTCGTTTGATGGTACCCAATCAGCAATTTCTTCCAGAGTCATGTTCTCTGAGCTGTGTCTCCTGCGATAAACCAGTGCTGGACCCTCTAAAGTTTCGTGGACCATGAATTCGTTTCCGGTAACTTTGCTTGAGGTGTTGGACTTGGACGAGGGACTTGACCTGAGGTCTAGCTGTGTGACTAAGCCCTTAGAAGTTCTTTGCTGAGACGGCGATGAAGAGGACTTTATATTCCTATAGGCTTTCGTTGCTGTTGTGGAAGGTGCGCCACTGGAACTAGCGGCGTTCTTCATCTCATCGTCTAATCTTCTGGTATTTGTTCCACCATGATCGGCGATAGTCGTACTCCCTTCTCCGCTACGGCTCTTCTGGATCTCCTCTTGCTTGATGTCCCGAAGAAGATTTTCGCCTGTAGCTGTTGTACCAGAAGCATCATGATCTTCTACCCTTTGATCTTCTACCCTTTCATTTTTCGTGTTCTCGTTGAAAGTGGCGCTCGTTCCACTCCTACTCCTGCTCGAAGAAGAACTAGATGAAGATGGTTTATCTGTGACGTGATTGAACTGCGGATTCAAGGAGGCGTTTTTACTTAGAATGTAGTAGCTTTTGGGGGAAGACTGTCCATCGTCCACCTCGACGCCTGGTTGACTGGAAACAAGAGCATCTCCAGCAGCAGTAACGCTTTCCTCTCGCACACTACCGCCATCTGTTGTTGAACTGGCTGGACCATGCTGAGACAGGGAATGAAGATTCCTACTATCAACACTGGTCATCTGTTGGTGTTGTCCTCGAGAACGATCTCCACCTTCTTGTTCGGTTCGTTCATCACTTCGCTTGTTGTTGATATAATATTTCTTACCCGACGAAGCAGCACCAACAACCATCTCGTCGGTATTTATACTGAACCCCACTGAACTTCCTTGTGAAGATAGACGGTCCTCCTCTTCGTTGAAACACCGCGGGCCGCTGCCGTCTGTGCGAGTGTGCAGGTCACCGAGAAGACTTTCTTCCGATGCCACGTACCTGAGCTGGCCTCCGTGTTGTATACTGTTGTTCCGAGAGGAGGATCTGCCGTAATTGACCGACGAATTCGCAGAGGGAGGTGACTGTTGCTCTTCATACTTTTCAGGGCTGTTGGAGGAGGTGGAGACACTGGAAGAGGAGGTTCGTTCCGGTTCATCTTCTTGCTGGTCCTCTTGAAGAACTCCATGTCCTGTCGTGTGCTGTCGCGTCGTTGTAGAAGTTGCTCCTTGAGGACCTTGATGTAGTAGTTGAGATGGCTTGATATTTTGCTGTTGTATGGAAGATTTTTCATTCGGATCGTCGTGTAGAAGACTAGTAGTACTTGTCGTTGTTCCCTCATGTTGAGGAGGACCTGCAGAAGTTGCATTTTTCGATGAAGAAGGCGTCGTCTGTGTTTCTTGCGTTCTCTGATTTGTTCTTGGCTGGTCAAAGGCTAAAACTGTAGGCGCAATCACGTGGACGCCAAGACTCGGTGAGTTCGGAGTCGACTTGTGCGGGTCCGCCGAGGGTGATCTGCCTAGGATCTGACCAGGTGCATGATGTGGTCCGAACTTCCGTAATACATGCTTCAAAATTTTCTTCGTCTCACTCGGGTTTACGATCCAGCAAACTGGACTAATAAACCGCGCCATGAAATCGTTTCCCGTTCTAGCCATCTGGTCACCAACGTGGATGCAATTCTGTGGTTTCACATCAAGCAAAAGCTGCAAGCCGTGAATGCCCTCTCTTTTATTCCCGATATCGAACCACACATCATTCCCACCATTGAAAGCACAATAGGGAAAACTGATGTGCTCGCGGAGCTCCACTAACGTTTCTTGGAGGCGGTAGACCTGGGTGATTGATGCATAACAATAATGTTAGTGGAGCAGACCTAACGAGAAAAAACAAAAACCGAAAGAAGAAAAGCCAATGTCAAGCAAGTACATAAGTACTTGATTATCAACAAAAAGCGATTGTTCTCCTTGGTGGGTTTTTTAGTGCACGTTGAGACAACCACCAATTCCAAAAATTTTGTCCATTAAGTTGCTCCCCAGCAGTAGTGGTATTAGTACCAAGGTTTAATGTCTGGAGGAGGTTCTACATTTTATTAGTCGACGCATGTGTTCAGTACTCAGTACTAAGGTTTAATGTCTCGAGGAGACAATTGGTTTAATTGGAATTAGTACAACAAAGAATAAGAAATATTTATATTTATACCAATTCATCCAACTGTTCTCTTCGAAAGTAGTAGTTCTCCTCACCAGGCTTTCGTGCGTTGCTCGCTTGAATACATCCTACAGACGTTGGCTTCCGCAAGATCTGAGCGCTCATGTTCATGTCCTTCACGCCATTCCTCAAAGTTTAAAGCTACCGCGTTAGCACCCCTAATTGCACATCCTTTGTTCCCTTTGTCAGGTGGAAAAAGGGTCAAGGATTATGCTCCTGAGGATGCATGAGCGCTCGCCTTAAAAAGTCTCCTCGCATCGGTCCAGTACGAGTTTCATATTAGGCGTACAGTTACCACCACGATTGTAGTAATGCCACTCATCCTGAGCGCCGACGATTTGGTATGAAGAAGCAGGATGCTGGGTGCAGTGTGTGTAGGAGATGGGGAACAATAGGTTGGCTTAGGTCGTGTCTTGTCAGATGAAGTAAGTAAGTAAATGGGGCGTGATATAGAATTTTGTCTTTTGTAGCCTTCCTTGACGTGCTGTTGAAGCATAGTTTTCGCGGCCTCTCCTATTCTTCTCAACATAGCCATTGAGAGCCATTGAGCTTACGATAAAAATCCAATTAACAACTACGCTTTTCATAATTTGTAAACGGTCTTCATTTTGGTTGGTTTCTCCTTGTCGTCGCCTCCGCCCGCCTTGTGTGGAGTTTCAGAATCGACTCCATTTCCGTTTGCCTTCGCGGTCGAAACTTCCTCTTTCACAGCTGCCAAACGCAGCAAATAACCGCTCTCGCCTGCTACGACGAAGAAGTTCCTGCACAATTCCGGTGATACTTTCTTGGCCGCGAAAAAGTCAAGCAAGCCTCGTAGTCGTATTTCGTACTTGTGTCCCTGCAGACCGTAGTTCGCTGCAGTGACAAGAGCGACAGCCACGCCACTTTGGAGTAGTTCTAGTAGCTGCTGGGCTAGAAACAGATCATCGAAGTTCTTCTGGTCGACGTACAACGTTCCGTCGCCATCAAAGGTCATCAGCTTTAAGCCAGGGAGACCCAGTACCTGTAAAAATTTGAATAGATGAAGAAGTTGACGATCTGTTGATGTAGTGATCATGCTCACGAGAGGCAGATGGATCGTGCTTGCATGGGTGCTACAAATCTGCGATAGTTATTTGACCATAGAAGTTTGCAAGCAGCAACTACAGTCATCAAGTATAGTTAGAAATTGATAGGAGTAGCTCCACAGAATCGGAACAGCCCTCGCTAAGTTCACAAGCTCGTGAAATATAATTTCATCAACATCGATAAGATTGCAAAGAGATAATACAGTAGCTAGGTTCACAATGTGTCGAATCTCGTTGAAGCTTGGTGCAACGAAACGGCGATTCGTAATTCGGTACTTCTTGTTGTAAATCGCAAATGCATCCCGTAATTTCAGGGGAGCAAGCATGGGAGAGACGTCAGGGAGTATCCTCGTCAGTTTTGAGTCGTCCTGCAGCTCGACGTGTTCTTTCACGAGCTCCTCGACTCTTGCGAAAACAGCAACGCCACCGCGTGAATTAGATGAAGCACTTGTTGATAGAACTTGATAATTTTGGGACAACTCGTCAATGCGTCGTGAATCAGCATTTCTTTTGCAGGTAGTATAAGTTTCAACATGAAGTAGATGAGCACGGCTTCTTAGATTCTGCAAGAATCTTCATGTGCAGCTTGAGAATCTTCTTCTACTACCTGCACTATGGATCATGATAATGGAAGACTCCCTCATCTTCTTGCTTAGTGATATTCCATTCCATGAAGCCTATCATTGGCTAGCATACCAACCCCTAGACTATACGATGACTACACCCTGATAGAAGACTCGGACTCCCTCATCTTCTTGCTGTTAGTGATAGAAGTCGTGAAACAGCATCTCAAGCCTTAATCAACATCATGTTCAGGTCCCATTGCGGTCTTAAGCTTGCCCGAATCCACTCTATGAAGCTGTCCTTTTTGTGATCGTGGACCGAGTGGTTAACTCGTCGCCTCGAAAAGTTACCATCTCGGAGGCCAACAACGGTCGCCGAGGCCGCAGTATTGTTCGCGGCCCCATTGCCTTTTTGCGGCTGTTGCACGGTATTTTGACCTCGTGAAGCCGACGACGGCGACGGTCTGCGGACAGGCATAAAAGAGGACGAGTTTGCACCAGGGTCCTGCATTTTATTTTTCTAATATCTTCAAAACGTACGAAGTAAATGGTTTATTCAGATGAAGTTATTAATATACTTAGAATTTTTACCAAGTAGTACAAACGTGAAAGGTTTACTGAAACTGAATCTCAAAAATCAAGAGGAAAATGTCGTTCGTGGTATAGATTTTGTATTTGTAGCGCAAAAACAGATTTTATCATCAGAGGACGAAGTAGAACCTGGTCGTGGACGAGAGGGGTAACGTTATAAACATCATTGGCAATGATCGTTTCATCTTCATCAGCAGCTTCTCAGTCGTTAAGCCCTCTTCTTGTTGTTCTCTCTTCGTAATTCTCATTTTTCGTTCGTGAGGATGATGAGATCAGAATGAATGGCATCGTCCTTGTCGGTAGGAAGATGCAACAGACAGAAAGAGAAATTGTTGTTTGCTGTGAACGACAACTTTAGTAGAGTACTTACTTTGTTACATCTTCTTCAAAGGATGAATCTTCTTTCTAGAAATAAACCGAGATGTCCAGATGTTCTTGACGATGTGGGGGTGGACTACAACCACTCAAAGGGGGCGGGTGCGTTTTTAGTACTTTTTGTCTTCGAGAAAATGAACCATGATCAGCACTACATGAATCTATCTTGTTCGTGTTGATACCTTGACTATGAACCCGAATTTCTTCGACTACTTGAATTTCCCCACCAGAGCATTGTCATACAACATGGACGATGATCAATCTCCACCTCCTCCTGCAACTACACCTCCAAAGATGTAGCTGCAACGGACGATGATCGATCTCCACCTCCTGCCTCAAAAGATCAAGAAGTCTTCTCCTTCTACTTTCTCGCATAGCTGATGTTCATCCTCAAACCTGGTTGGATTTCCAAAGTCGCCAAGGCGTGCATTGCATGGGTTGCGTGGGGCGTAGTAGAGTAATCCACGAATGCGCAATTTCTGCTGTCGATGTATCGGACCTCCTTGAACCCTGGATACTGCTGGAAGAGCAATCGCAGAAGATTTTCCGTCGCTTGCTTCGGCAAATTCTGCACGAACAAAGTCTCGTTCGGGTACTGTTGTGGTTTCTTTGATTCTTTGATGAAGAAGGTTAGAGGAAGAAGTTGATGAGGTTGAGGTTGAGGACGATCATGTTGACCATGATTCAGATTATGATGTGGGAAAAACTATGTAAGTACCTTCTATAGGTGGAACAAGATGAGGATCATGACCAACATGATTAAGATTATGATGTGGGAAAAACTATGTACTTATCTATAGAGGGAGGTTAGAAGTGGTATCATGTTTCAAATCTATAATACCATCGATCCCAACTGTGGCTGCAGCATCGGCATTGTTGGCACTTGGAAGAATGCTGGCGTTGAACCTGCGACAGCTGGCATCCCTGGCCTAAAGTTCATGGCTCCCATCTGCCCTGGCTGCACTCCACTTGGAGCAGCTGCGGCAGCAGCTTCTTTTGCGGCCTGCTGGGCCTCGGCCTGAAGTTGAAAGAACAAGATGTGGATGTTGTGCTTGAGAATATTAAACAATGCTGAAATTTATTTTATTGAAATTTTTCGTCAAGAAAGTAAGAACTGCAACAATGTTCATCATGTTGATCATCTTCATATAAAAAATTCTCCCATAAATAACCCATATCAAATAATTCTACTTTCTTCTTCTCCGCATCTCGTTTTGTTGGATCTTGTTTTAGTGTGTTCTTCGGTCTAGGCACGAAAGTTCCATCCTCCTTGGAAATGACGTCACTCTTTGTTCGCGCGAAGTCTACTCGCATTGGCTTGTCAAAAAGCGGATAGTCCTGTAACCTCTCCTTTGCCTCTCGCGCGGAGGCTATTGATTTGAAAACCTGTTTTTGGAGCAATAAGTGAGGTATTTCATCGGACGAGGAACAACACAACATCTTCATTTAGAAAAGAATTCAACGTAGTTGATCCTCGTGGTCGTTCTTATTTCATCACCAAATAACAGAAACAAAGTCCTCTTCCTCTACTTGTCTTCCTACTTAAAAAAAAACAAGTACACAGTATCTTCAATACCACCCACGCCTGCCCCCTTCTCTTCAGGGATTTCATACATATGATGTCATGTATGTCGCCGTATGCTGAGCACACCCTCTGCAACTCTTGTTTTAGGAGTTCACAATTTTTCCTGTCATTCAGGTTGTTGATGTACAACGTATGGTTCTCCGGCATACCCGTCATCCTGAAGATGTTGTTTCGGAGAGGTGTAGGTGAGGTCTTGTTGGTACGGAGAAGGTGTACTAGAGGTCTTGTCGTATGTTTCGGAGACTAGGAGGCGTAGTCTTTGTTTTCGTGCTGCAGTACTATGGTTTCAAAGTGGGGCTACAGTTGGCGTCGTGCTGGAGAAGGCGTCGCACAGAACAAGTCGGCAAGAAGTAGACAAACCAGTTCCGCTATCGGAAAACCAGGACGAGGGCTTTTTAGGGGGGTAGGCGTTTCAAATTCAATCAACAAGAATGCCTCTAAAATATAGATGAACGGTTTTTTATTCTATGGTATACCGGCCTTCAGTAGAAGATGAGATATATGACTAGAGGCGGAGATGATAGCAGACCGATTCATTTCATAGTGGTCTCTTCAAACAGAAACTGCTTTCCAGCATTTGTTCATCTCCCTGCTCTCACAACTTAGAGATGAGAGCCAGATTATTGAAGCTACGACATCACCTGCATTCGTTTTTGATGAGCAAAGAAGGAAGACCATTGATTTTAGAAAATGAAAATGATGTGAATTATGTGATAACAAGCCAGCACCATATAGCAGAAGCGGCCCTAATACATCTTTAACTACTTCGTTATCAGGTCTCCCAGGACCAGCAAGAAAGGTTGCTGGACCTGTACTTCTTGCTTTACACCGAATAATATAGACGTAGATCATCATATGAAAGAAAAAAGTGCACTCACACTCAGAAAAAGTGGCTATTTTCCTACTTAAATCCTAGCCAATTTCTTGAGTGTGAGTGCACTTTTTCGTTTCATAGATCAGCTACATCAAGAGGAACTTCTACAACAACCACAAGAGGATCAAGATCAACTACTTGTACGTGCTACTGCTGAACGTTCTTGAGACTGTTCTTCCGCATATGAAGATTCGAATTCTTCTCACACGGCCTCGTGGTCCATTTCACACGACGCACATGACGAAACTTCGAAATAGAATTCCACCAGCTCAACATCGTGATCTTCATGAACCTGAAGACAGTAAGGATCCCTGCGAGCCTAAGAAGTTGTCTCTTTTTTTTCGGATGTAGAAGATCGTTTCTTGGTGCAGAAGATCATCGGCTACCCAGTCGGAGGATGAGAACATAACAGATTCTGATTTATTGTCCAGTAGAAGCTTGAATGAGAGTTCGAGTTGTCTCTTTATCTCAGCAATTTGGTTCACCTTCATCTCAGAGATTCTCTGTCGCTGTTCATTTTCAAATTATTCTCGCCGTGTTCATTTTTCAAAGTTGTCCAATGATTTCTTGTTCGTATCATCATCATGCGTATCATCAATTGTGTTAAATCGTCAATAGTCAACATTAAGTTTTTTGATATTTTGCAAATGATGTTCAAATAGTCTAAGAAAAGATCGCGTGCTAATCGTTAATTGAAATATCTTGTCATTAAGTTACAGTTTCGAGGTATATATCTTCATCAAATTTACTTCCCACAGGCACAGTGCTCTTCTCTCAGTTGTGCCGCTAAAAATACCAACATGATAGATACATCAATATGAATGGAGGATGCCCTGAAGGAGATCCTTTTTAATATGGAGACGTTTGCACCATTACAGTAGATTCATCCCTCGTCCAACGATTTTAAGTACAAGAACACATGGAAACCGAAACACGAAGCTATTTATATTTATTGTTCCTACTTCATAAACAAAGCTTCCGTGCTCTTTCTTAAGAATTCCGTCACCTCGTCTTCAGGCTCCTCCAGTGAGGCAGCGTTCATCAGCGCTGCTGCAGTTCTGTCCTTCTCCGCTTCCGCAGTGTCTTCCAGCAACTTATACGCCATCAAGGACATTCTGAACTGATCGTTGCAAGTCGTGCACAAACAGTAAGGTTTCGACCCTTCATCTGCGCAATGTTTGCAGTAGTAATAGGCCGTCCGCATGCCAAGCTTGATGATGATCTTGTTGCACATCACACAGTACAACCGTGTCAAATCGTGTCCCAAGTTCCTCGTAACCAAACTGTTTCCAGGAGGATAGGCGTCGCGGATTTCGTAGGCCATGGACATATCGCGCACTGCACAGATATAGTTGTCCGTATGCCGCAAGGGCATCTCCCGCAACTCCAACTCGTGGTGCATGTGGTTCTCCATGATTTTCGATTCGGTGGCCTGTAGAAAAGTAGAAGTTTTCAATTAATATGATGTAGTAGTTCTTGCTATGCAGTTCGTGGTGAGAAAATGCTTCAATCACAAATAGATACAACAAGGGAGGATGGTGACCAAGAAGTCTTCATTCATGAGTCACGAACAAGAAAGTAAGTGGGTATTAAAATAATATGGGTGGAGCCAAACTAACTAGGAAAACAAGAAAAAGGAAGGATAGTAGGTAAAGGACGATAGAGAAGGTAAAGGAAGGAGAGTAGGTAAAGGAAGGATAGTAGGTATTAAAGGTATTCTACCTTTCTCGGATCCACACCTTGTGATTTGAGCATGCCTTGCCTCACTTTCTCTACGTCTGCCTGCAGTAATTCGTTCTCAACGTTGGTTTCCTTACCCATCATCTCCCGTTTTTTCTTCGTCATCTCGTCAATCACACCCTCTGGCACTTGCGTAAACATGTTGAGCAGTAGGTCCTTGTTCTGAGCTAATCTCCGGTTTTCGGCACCAAGTGTGGCGCGGGTTAGAGGGGAAAAAGAGGAGGAGGAGAAGTGACGAGGTACAACTATCTAAATCTACAAAATGCATACTTAGTTAGATCATAGTACGCATTGTTATCTTTGCGGATTCACTTTCTAGCACTTCTGTTATCTTCTAAGCTAGCGGCTCGGGGAAGGAGCAGGCGCCAGTATCTTTCATCTTGTAGTTCTTCCACTAAAAAGGAGAAGAATCTTCCTAGTTCTTCCACTAAAAACAAGGAGAAGAACCTTCCTAGTTCTCCACTAAAAAGGAAAAGAATCTTCCTAGTTCTCCACTAAAAAGGAAAAGAATCTTCCTAGCTTTTATTTGGTAAAGGGACGTCGATAGGGACTTCTTGTTCTCGTTCAACTAGTTACAACACCTGCTCCATGGTCCATAATTTAAAGACTCGCGCAGATTGGTCACTGTCCAGCCAGTCTACGTCCCACAGGAAGTCGCCTAGACCTGGCGTGCTCGTCAGGTCGTTCAGCATACCATAGGACCAATCCAGACCGAACTTCTTGTAGCTTTCTGCATGCTTCTTCAAAGACCCAAGCAAATGGTAGGGTTCTTTGACGTGCAAGTTTTTGTGATCCTTGACGCGAATCGACTCCTTGATTTGCGCCATCACACCACCTTCTTTGCGAATCAGTGCCTGCAACTTTCCGCCTAATTTGCCCTTTAAACCTTTGCCCTGATCGGCAAGCTTCTTTTGCTTCAACAGAACCTTGTCGATCATCTTCTGTTGGGCCGAGCGGATCAGGTTGACGCGTGGCGGCCTCACTTGGCGCTTGACTTGGTAAAAGCGGTTGCGTCGGTCCTCAAAAACAGGCATCATTTCGACCACGGGAAGACCTTGGCCATGGTTGGGCTTGTACTCGGAAAACTTCGGATAACAAAACGGACCACAGGCACGGGTTGCTTTCTGATCGGACGCGAAAAGCTTCGAAATGGCGTCGACCTGGTGTTAGGAAAGAGTTGTTGATAATGGAGATTGGTAGCTTGTGATGTAAGTCGTAAAAGTAAAAAATAACGTACGGGCACAACAACAAGGGAGGTGAACAAAGATAAACAAGAAAGCTGTTTATCGTCGGCCTGGTCGTGTCACAGAGGTGGAGATGAAGGAGTTGTTGTTGATGAAGATCGTGAAATTCGGGACGTCGAATAACAAAAATCGAAAAATAAAAGCATCTTCTTCTGATCATCTTGACCACAGGTAGGTTTTTGTTCTTGATGTCGTCGGACAACTTCAGGAATAATTGTGATAATGATAAAAGTTATTTCTTCTTCTTCTAATTTTCATCGTTTCTCATATAATATTACCGCTCCCTTCCGCATGATGATCGATGCTTTCAAGTCGTTTTCTAGTTGTTTTCGGTCTTGCAGCATACGCGCTCCTAAGATCTGACGTCTTGGAGACTTGCTGGTATCTACCTCTTCCGGGAATCGATCCGGATCTCGTACTGACCTAGGAATTGCCAAATTGAGCTTCTCTGGTTCAGGAATTTCCATCAAGATGACCTCCTCTCCCCCTTCCATGGCAAGATGGTATCCCTGGCCACTTCCTCTATCACCCGAGCCCGCTTCCAGCATGCCAGGCCTGTGCGAAAACTGTGGACTTGGGAAGAGGGAGTCTTTCGTTACGATCGTGGAAGGTGTTCGGTAAGGCTTTTGGTCACCACCAGGCTCAGCGGGTTGGAACCACAACTTCGCTACTCCGCTGACGTCTTCCATAATGAGGAAATCATCTGGAGACGCGATGTTTCCGTACCGCGACAACGGTCCCATATCCTGCGGCAGCTGGAAGGGACCATTTGCCACACCCGCTTCAGACCGAGAGTGGACTTGCTGAATGTACGTTTTCTGCTTCTCCGCTGAACTACGAGCTTCAAACTTCGTAACTTTTGGCTTGTTCTTTTTCTTTTCCTCCTCGTCGCTGTCCTCGTCCTCGCTTTCGTCCATGTAGGTGTCCAAGACAGACCTCGCGTGAGACCCGTCGGTTCTCAAAATGCGCTTTCTACCCTCAGTTTCTCTTTCGTCGTACTGCTCTTGAATCGTCTCTAATGGCCTCATTTCCGTCGCCCTTTTAGCGCCAGCTGTGGCAATTCGAAACTTGAAGATGCCATGCGACGCGAGTTCTTCGTCAGTGGAGTTCTGCAAGAAGTTGATCTTTTCCTCTGGCGAGTACTGGTCAAAGCCGCACTGGCCGTCATCTTCAGTCTCGTAACCTCCCAACAACTGATTGAGGAGTTCTAAGTCGACTTCACTATCGTAGGACTCCACGTCGGAAGTGTCTTCATCATCCTCTACTGGTGGACAAACGAGGTCATCCTCATCGTGATCGTGTGCTTGACTACTTGGCCGTTGAGGTCTCCTAGAAGAAGACGTTGCTCCACCAGTCGTTGTAGAAGTACCCATCGAAGATGTCATCATGCTACGACTACCTCGCAAAGGGATATCGTCATCATGATCGTCTTCTGTAATCCTCAATGAAGCCGTTGGTGCTATACTAGACGTCGGTGCATAGGAGCTAGTTGTAGGTGCGGCAGTCGATGCACTTGCGGTTGAAACTATCTTGCTCTTGTTGTTTCCTAGAGGACCTTGCAATGTTGCGGTAGTCGTCGTCGGACTGAGCACGCCTCGACTGCCAGTAGTTGTAGGTGGACTTCCACCTAGAATTAGAGGGAGGTTATCGGTGCTCGCTTACCCCGCTTGTTATGCCTTTCTCCCTTAGGAGAGGCATAAAAAGCAGGGGTAAGAAAAGCACCTTTAAAAAACTACCCTTAATAGAACTGCTGATGTCGATGTGGCGCGTTGCTTCGGTGATCTTCGACTCTTGTTCCTCGAAGAAGATGCACGGCTTTGCGCTCTAGACGAAGACTTCAAGACGTTGTCCTTTTCCTGCTTTCTCGCGTGGAGGTCGTCTTCTTCTCCTGACTCGTCTAAAAATGCTTCATCTCCTTCCGTCTTAGCCAAGAGTGCGGCCTTCTTTTTGGATTCGTAGTAGTTGTCGAGCCACTTCTCGAACTCGAAGGTCTCATTACCGGAATCCTGCTTAGTCCTGCTTGGGGTCGTAGGGGTTTTAGTTTTTTGAGATTGAAGATCATATTGGTCGTAGAGCAGGTCCGGATCTTGTTGTTCATGATCTGGTCCACCTTTAATATTTGGCGTGTTCTGATGTTCTAGGTCTTGGAGGTATTTCTCATGTCTAGCTTTTGCCACTTCTTGCATCTTTTTTGCGCGTTCTGACCTGTCGTTCGCCAACAAGTTCGTTTCCGCCACTTGTGCCCTTGCTTCGTCGTCCGGCGACAAGGGTGTTCTTTCGATTGCATAGCCGTTTTTCAGAAGCAGTTTGGACCTGTCCAAAATAGCTCGTGCACCGAGTCGTTCGCGAGGATTCCGTGGCACGATTTTCGCCGCGCGAATACCCTTTCGGTTGCTTTTCAATTCACTGGGTAGCAAGCGTGCTGCTTCGTTGAAAAAAGCGGTATCGGTGGTCCGTTTACGCCGTTGTTCACGAGCGTTCACTTCGTTCAAGTTGAGGAGTTTGAAGACATCAAGTTCGCCACCTGCAGCTGCTGAATGAGTGGTGCTGCGCTGTGGCGAATGCGAACTGCTCTTCTCCTTCAAGTGTTGGTGCGGAAAGCCTCCTACCTCTCCTCCCAACCCTCCTGCAGGTGTGCTCATTCTCGAAGACTCACCCTCAGTGGCGCTGTCAAAGTGCCGCTCGTTCTGATGCGTCCCCTCCAATAGGGGCCGACTCCTGGCTCTCGCAACATTCCTCAATGGAGAGGCAGAAAAAGACTTCGGATTTCGGTATAACGATTCAACTACTCCTGTATCAATCTCATTTGTTGCCGGAGAAGACAGTGAGGTTGTCGAAGATCCACCAATAATACTCGCGCCCGTCTTCGCCAGTCCACGAGACCGTAGACCGGGTGAGGCGTCAACATCCTGCAACAAGGTCGGCAACATTTTTTTGATGTTTCTCGATGTAGTAAGAAATGCACAATTTAAGTGGGAACAGGTTAAGGAGTAGAAGACAGCAAGATGGTCCGTCCAGGAGCACACAGGGCTTGAATTTGTTGAGCGACGGGTGGATGTTGTTGACCAGAGAATGCTAGCACAGTGACGAATTTTTCTACGTGAAAGGATTTTTAGCACGACAAGAAAGAGTTCGGTAGAGGTGGATGGAGCTGTTGTAGGGCATCATTAGATAAGATATTTTGCCTGGTGTCATGGTGGAATCAGTGGGAAAAATGAGAGACAAGAACTTCCTTGCAAAATTATCAAGAACCCTCTACTTCAATGAAACTTTCGAGTACACTTTCACTTTTAATCCAAGAACAAGAACAACTACTCCTCTTAATCACGATCATGAATTCAAAAACCTGCCAGTTGTAAAGCTACAGACTATGCCTCAGCACAGATGAGTGTAAGTATCTCTCCGATTACTCAATCGGCCTTCGAACACAGATCGATCGGTCGCTGCATCTCCACTCCCGCCACAGAATTTGATAGAGGACTCAAAACTCATCATGTTGAACCATTTTCACTCTCACTGACGATGCTTCTCTCTCATTCTCTAGACAGAAGTGTCAGCAAACTGATTGCACTCAAAAAACAGAAGAACGATCATCTAGGCGCTCGACAAAAATATCATGAAGAACAAGATACTTTAGGGTTGGAAGTCGCGAAACATCAATCATCATCGCGATTCCTTAAAAACTTCCGCTTCGCTTGTTGACTGTATTCTCTTGAGTCAGTAGGTCAACAGCAGGAATTTCATCTCGTAACTCTTTTTTTGTTCTTGGAAGACACCCAGTCATCATTTCTTGCAGCTGCTACTACCAAAATGATCTCATGTCACTACCACGGTGGATACGGATAGCATCGTTGTAATTTCGTACACTGAGAATGCATACACGTTCGCTTTGTGAAGATTGCATTATTTGACCGGAAGTATAAATATGCTATGGAATGTTCTATATTTAGCTCTTTCTTTGTTGCTTGTGTGCCAGCTCCTGTGAAATTGACTTTATCGCAAAAACTCTAGATTCTAGAAAACGCTATTTTAGCACTTCTACAACATCGTGGACATAATCGCCGTATGCACTACTACTTGAGGTAACGCCGTAAACCTAAAAATGTGAGAAGTATTCAATGTTGATGCCAAACAACATGATCTAATTCGATGCTGGGTAGTCTCTGCCGAAAAAGGTGAAATTCTATTGGAAGAAACCTTCACCGAAAGAATCTATCCGGTCCTTATGATGTTCGCCTTCACTTCTATCTCGTTGTTTATCGTCTTGTCTTTTGTCATCTTCTACAACTTGTTGAACCCGTTTCAACTCGAAGTATAATCTCAATTGCGTGGTCTAAGCAAAAAATTGTATAAAAACCACTAAATAAGCTTTCTTGAAGCGGAGAGAACTACAGTGCTGTAAATAAATGTTTGATGATCTATCCTCCAAGAAGATGAAGTTCACCTTCTGTAGTATGATCATGGACTAATACTACTTGATCATGAAGATGCAGGACTAATACGACTTGTCCGCAGCAGGTCTTAATGGGCTAATACTACTTGATGAAGATGGTGATGGCTTACTTGTACAACTGGTAGTGTTAGAGTTAGAACTGGTACTAGAAGTGTTATTAGAGGTAGGTTTTTGGTGCTTGCTTACCCCGCTTTTTATGCCTTTCTCCTCCTAAGGGAGAGAGGCATAAAAAGCGGTAAGAAAAGCACCTTTAACCTACCCTTAATGTTAGATCTTCCAGTTGTGACCACCTCTACCTGTTCAGAAGTATCCATTTCCTGAAGCAATTGGTCCAAAAGGGAGGATCCAGAAGCACCATTTGCATTTGGTGGACTTGTAACATCGGGTCTTTCCTCCTCCTTTTCGTCCTTGACAAGTGTGCTGTAGTTTGTTGTATCTTTATCATCTTCATCTTGATCTTGATCTACTTCAACTATACTTGTTTCTGCCTCGTCTGCAGGAGCCGCAGCTAGTACATCATGACCACCAAGATGAAGATCGTCAGTCTTGATAGCCGCGTCCGACTTTGTCATCTCTGCTGCTGTTTTAGTACAACAAGACGCCTTCGCCTCTTTCTCAGGAGAAGTACGATTGGAGCTTGAAGAGGTTGTAGTTGTTGGTTTTTTTGCTGCGACAGTGGTACCGACGACCTTCATATCAGGCAGAATTAGAGCAGGTTACGGAAAAATTCCATACATCACTCTTCAGCATCAGCACAGGATTATTCCTCCTGGCCTCTTTTCTACTAGGAAAAGAGTCAGGGATGGTAGTGAGGAATGCCATTCGGAAACCCTTAACAAAACCAACTTGTTTGGACTAGCACCTTGTCCTCCGGATCTTTGTCGCGTGAGAATCTTAGGTCGTTGCAACACTGTAATCGGTTGTACTTCTTGATGAGAATGAAGATGTTGACCAACATGATGAGCAGATGCTCCTACCATTGCTAGTGTTAGAGGTTGAGACAATTGTTCATTTCCTGCGCCTGCCTTCATATCATTTTCTCACTTTCTCAAGGTCGAAACAGTGAAAAATGACTTATGTTCTAGAAATGAAATGTAGTTTCAACGACCCTTAATATTGGCTGATGTTGTTGAGTAGTACTAGTACTAGAGGTACAAGAACTAGTAGGAGGACTACTAGGTAGTTGTTGATTTAGTTTGTAGGAAGACGAGGATGATGTTGATGTCGCTGGGGAGGATGATGGACCCATGCTTGGAGCAGCGACGTGGTGCGGGAAGTTCCTCGCTGTTGTATTGGATTTTGAGCCCAGAACGACACCAGCAGGAGTTCTTTGGTGCTCCTGTTCTTGATGTCGTGGATACTTCTTGCTAAACGAGGAATAACAAGTAGTTGTACTTCTAGAAGACGACGAAGATGAAGATTGGTGTACGAGCTGTCCTCCTCTAGTATTGACATTCTTGCTATTCCGTAGTTCCCTCTCCCCTGAGCTGACGATGTAGTCCGGAATTTGAATTCCTGCTACAGCGGATGTTGTCGATGGAGGGCTCCTGTAGCTGTAACTAGAAATCGGGTCAACTTTTATCTCCATACGACCTCCTGATCCAGATAAGGCTGTGTAGTCTGTTGGAGTAACGATTCTGTTATTTGCTGATGTTGATGTGCTGGTTGTCCGTGGAGCTGCTGGCGTTCTACAACTATATTTGTCGCTACTTCCACGCACCGAGCTGGACGAGGAGGAAGAGGTAGCGGTACTAGATGTAGCAGGATTATGAAAATCAGGCTGTTGATGTTGAGCTTGCGTCGTCACCACAGGATTCTTGGCATTAACAGCTGCATTGCCTTTGCCTCCAAATAGAGTAGTTTTTGTTGCACTAGTACTATTACCTCCAGCACCTGGAGGTGACGTGACGTTGTCGCGACCACCTCGCTCAAGTGCTCCAACTACATTTTTATTTGTAGAGGACGGAACAGGAGTCGTAAACACACCTGCTGGAATAGGTATAGGAGTAGGTATAGGAGTTGTGCCAACCGCAGGTCCAAGACCCGCTCTAGCACCTGCAGTTGTAGCCATGTTATTGGCCATACCCGTAGTCATCTGAGCACTGGTGTTTAACATGCTATGCCCGCACTCAGAATAGTTCTCAGCACAGAAAAGCCTCAGAAGTGGATTGTTCAGTTCCTCCGAAGGCGTTCTCCACAAGATATCTGGCGTTCCAGTTCCACCTACTGATGTAGTTGTTGAGCTTACTATTTTCTCCGTAAGTGCAGTTGTAAGCGCGTCTCGAATCACTTTTGCTTCCTTGATAGCGGCAACAGAGCTAGGAGAAAGGTCGTCTTGTTGTTGTAAATCTACATTTTGTTCGCCTTGAGGATGCTCCGAAGGAGAGAACGAGAAGGTCGGTGGTCTCGCTACGTCACTCACGGTTTCCGAAAGTAGCATGTAGGCCCTCTGAAACTCGTAGCAGAGTCGCTCTTGACCTAAAGAAGTACAGGCAGAAGAAGGGGATAGAATGATCTGGATTTTTTCCTGTATTTCTTTTTATTCGAATTATTTGTACTTCAGCTCCTTCCTTTTTGTCGTAGAAATGAGATGAACTACAGTAGTACTTCTACAACAAGAACAAGTCCAAGAAGGTTACAACTAGCAGTTGTAGAAGTACCCAAATAAGTCGGACACTTTATCTGTCCCTTCTCGAACGGATCCTCGATCAGCAAGCATGAGTGACGTGAAGCGAAGCGGATGCCATCGACATTCTGAATGAGCGGACACGACCACTGCGATTGCTGATGTCGTGGTCGTGGAATTGTTCTTCGATGAAGATGAAGATGATGATCTCCCAGTGGATAAAGAACTAGATGAAGATGATGATGATGATGATGATGAAGATGATGATCTCCCAGGGGAAAAAGAACTAGATGAAGAAGATGATGATGAAGATGATGATCTCCCAGGGGATAAAGAACTACAACTTAATACCTATTCATATTAGTAGTTGTACAAGTTGAACATCTTCACACAGGAGTCACAGATTCTAATTTTTGATGTCAAAAAGGTCAACTACTACATCAAGTACAACTTAGAAGTACCCCTCTCCCTCCACCAAGCATTTCTCGATCTGCTTCTGCTCGAAAATGATGGAGATAGCGGAGCTTTGGCAGTGGCACTCCATGCCGAATACTGACCACGTCTCGGTTGAAGTTGAATTCCGATGTGTAGAAGTGAAAAAACTCCGTCAACAGCTTGTAGAGTTGGTCCTTTTCGACTTCTCCAGTCAAATTTTTGAGCGCTTTGGCTTCTCTCTCGGCTCGTTCTTGGAGGTGTTAGAGCTGTGACTGTGACGAGGAGGACGACGCCAATACTTTAGATTTACATTTAGTAGCAGAAGACGAAGTAATTTATATATTTTAATCATAGAAGAAAGACGAATTAGTTCCAGCCTTAATCTCGAATTCTCTTTTCTAATCTCTGCCTCTTTTTTTGCTTCTTCGACCTCATGCGTCCGTCGTTGCGGAGCTCTTCCATTCCACCGTCGCCTTCAGGCTCAGGCCTCCAGCTCTTGCGGAAACTGACGTCATGGACACCAAATAGCAAGTTCCTGCGTCTTCCCTCGCCGTCTTGCAGCAAAGGCAGAAGCTTCTTCTTGTATTGGGCAAGTTAGATGAAGACAGAGACCACGACGAGGTGGAGCTTGGAACAAGAAGATGTAGATAACATCAATCTTCACAAGAGCTTTCATCTATTAGCGAGATATGTGTGTGTTGTACTAGGTCTAGGATGACCACATCAGCCGCGATAAGAAGCATGATCATCTAGACAAGGAAATACTAGATCAAATTACTGGGTTGGGGTTCTCACGGCCACTACTTCAAATAAAAAGCTGCCACCTCCAGGACCATAAAGAAAGAAGATCACCAGAAGCATGTACGCGTAGCTGGAGAGCAATCCGTTTTGGGCGTCAATCAGATCCCTTCGCTTCGCCCAGGCTTTGACTAGTAAGCCTAGATCACGGCAGACTGGGGAACGAGAGTAAGTGCGTAACAAGCGAGAATTCTCGTAGCCCAGAACATTATTGAACGAAATATCGATCGATACCATCCGAGTTGTACCCTGTTGGCCGTTTTGGCATGAAAGTGGCTGGGTAGGATCTTGTTCATCGTGATTTTTCATCAATGTGATGTACTTAGATTTCGTCTTATCTGAGAGCAGTCCATAGGGGTGCCAGATCCGGGATGGGATGGATCGGATGGATCGGATGGACTTTCCACCATTTCAAGTAGGATCGGAAGAATCAGGGGGGTCCATCCGATCCATCCGATCCAACCAAGTCGCCCATCCTACATCCGTTCGATAAACTACTCTATTATCTAGATCTAGATATTTGATGGATCCATATCCAGCTACTTCAACAACATGGTCATCACGATATGAATGAAAATGCGATTTAACCTGAGATCATAGTGGTCAAAAAAATTCCACATGAGATGAAACCTCAACTGTATGAAGTGAGTTGTAGTTATGAATACTTATCAAACCGCTGCCATACATCAGTTCCATCCCTCGTCGGTGCATGCTGCGCCTGTGGCGGCGAAGAAACTGTCTTGCGTAACCTACTTCTTGAAGGCTTGTCCTCTTGATCAACATCTCCGTCATCTTGCTGTAAAGGTCGTGCTGAACCTGAAACATGATCATGCCGACCACTACTAGTACTAGAAGAGGGACCGAGTACGCCAACATGATCTACGTCATGATCTGCCTTGTTGTTTTTACTAGTTGTAGGACTTCTACTAGGTAAAAATGCGTTTGTGTCTTGTCCTCCGATCATTTGATGTTCTCGTTCAGTCGATGATGTAGTGTCTTCACCAGAACTTGAGCTTTCTACTTCCCTATTCGGTAGCTGCAACTCTTGAAGTAAGCTTAGAGGTAGGCTTTTGGTATTCGTTTATCCCGCTTGTTATGGCTGTCCCCACCTAAAGCAGAGAGCCATAACAAACGCTAACAGAAGCACCTTTAACCTACCCTTAGTAAACCTGTCCTCGCCAATTCCGCTTCCTCAGCCTCTAGTAGGAAAGTGTCAACCGGAGCTCGAATCTTAACCAAAGGAATCCGAGCATGAATGATATTTACGCGTTCAAACCCTTGACCAGGAAGGATCTGCTTCAACGTTTTTGCTAGGATGAGGCATTTGTCGCGGAAAGTTGTCGGGTCTATGCCTGCTCCACTATAGAGAGCCGGATGTAGTATACTAACGTCGATGTCGCTGTCTCTTGTCATGAAGCCGTTAATGCTGCTACCATAGAGTTCGACGCGGACTTTGCGTTTACTCGATGATGAAGATGACGAACTACCTCCGCCATTGTTCAGGCCTCCAGGCTGCTCTCCGTCTCGGGCAGCACGACCCTGGCTTTTCCCACTGCTCTGCAGGTCTTCTTTGCAATTATCCGGTTTCTTCTCTTCATCTTGTGCTTGTTGCGACATCGGGGTTTTCTCTTCATCCGGGAGTTCTTCTGCGGCGTCCTGCAGCATTTCATCCAACAGGTCTTCATCGTGAAGACAGCTCTCCTCTTCGTCCTCACCAAAGATGGCATCGTGTTCGGAGCCATCATCCGCATCCAAAGCGGCAGAAACGGTACTGGACACGTTGTAATCTCCTAATCCGGCTACTGGGCAATCAGTGAACCCCGAGTCTTCGAGACCATCTAGGAACTCTTTCGATTTGAGCACTCGTTTGAAGGTGTCGGATGCGACTAGAGTTCGGAGTTTGCGTAGAATCACTTCCTGGACGCAGTAATTCTCTTTCGTTGGTCGTAGGAAAGACAAGATTTGCTTGGTGCCAGGCTGGAGATCATGTACTACATGTTCTCTTTCCTGGAGTTCTTCGAGCAACTTGCTTTTTTTCTTGTTTTTGATGACATCTTCATCTTCAAGAACTACCGTTTTTTTCTTCTTCTTCTTAGAGTCATTCCCTTGCTCACTACTAGACGTTGACAACTCTTTCTTGCAACTGCTTTGATCGTCTTCTGTCTGTTTTTCCGGCGAAGGTTGTTCATTTTCATGAGCCTGCTTGTCCTGTTGAGCACACTTTCTATTTTCCTCCGCATCCTCTTCACTCTTATCCTTCTGTTGAGCAAACCTTCTATTTTCCTGCGCATCCTCTTCACTTTTTCTATTTTCCTTCCCCGCATCCACCTCTCCAACAATTGTTGCTCGATTTGCTTGTTCATCTTCTTCAGCAATTCTTGCCTTTGCCTGTTCCGTCAGAGCGAGCAGACTTGCACAGTCAAAACGGGTGTCATCTCTGGAATACAGAACTGGGATCGGCGGCTGCCGAAAACACTGGAGCATGGCTATACATCTCCGATGTGCAAATGCAGGAAGCATGCCTAGTGCCGTTAGAAGCAGAAAAAGAGCTTGTTCGGGATTCAACAAACAACTACAACTACAGGGGTTGCTACAACTAGACAACCACTTCTAGCTACCACGACGTTCAGGAGTTTGAGCATAACTTCAAAAGCCTTTGTGTTACATTGCTGACCAAAATCGGATCCGCTTCTAGCATGAAGATGAGCCCCTCAAGAATTTTCAATATTGCTACATCTAGTCCTGGCTTCGCGACTAATTCCGATAACACTCCACTTGCTGCGTCGTCCGCTCTCTCCGCGATGCGGTCGTCTGAGATCTTGCGACGACCGGAGGCCGCAAGAGCCATCACTTCCTCTACGGAGGAAGAGCCCTTGGTGATGTGCTTTGAAAATAAAAACTTCTGTTGATGTTCTCGTTGCTCAGCATCATCACCATAACCATTATCTTCAAGAAGAACATCTTCAGGAGCATCCGCTTTCTCTGGTGTACTCGGTGCGCTAGAAGAAGGAGGGCTAGTACTTCCATTCTTCCGGTCGTCTGACGAGGAGAGTAGAGAAGACGAAAGCATACTAGTCATACTAGTACTAGAGTCGCTTTCTAAAGATGGTGTTGACGTCTCGTCGACGAGGCCTTCTTTGCCATCAACATGTTGATGAAGATTCGAGGATGAGCTGGATGTGTAAGGAAATTCTCGTCGTGGTTGCGCCTTCAATGAAGTGCTTTTCTCCTTCTTATTCTCATCTCCTTCTCGTGGTTGCTCCTTCAATGAAGTGCTTTTCTCCTTCATAATATTCTCATCTTCTATCTCGTCTGCTTCTAATAGTTCTACTACAGGAGCAGGACGAGATGCACAAGCAGACGGCGAAACAGTAGAAGGTTCCTTCTCTTTGTTGTCATTGTCTTTGAGTTTGTCATTGTCCTGCTCTGCATCAGCTAGTTGTTGTTCCTCCTCCTTAATCTTTTTTTCCCATTTCCATTTTTTGCTCTTGTGTTTCTTACTACTGGTACCTCTTTTGTACCTTTGTGGTGATCGGGAAGGCGAAATGACGTAAGACCAACGTTTTTCACAGAGTTCTTCCCACTCAGCTGCCCGAACGTCGAGGAGCTGTTGCCGTACTTCCGAACATATCGGAGACAAAAGGGCTACAAAAAATTGACCCAATCTTGGGATACTTAGAGTTACCATCATCCGTAATTTTTCATCCACGACCCACCTGTGGTGGAGAAGATGAGTAGATCCCTCAAGATACACCTTCTATGCCCATGATCCCTTGCTTTTATTTATTTAATGACGTGTACACTCACATTTATACGGTTCGTTAGGGGTTCTCTTCTATGGAGTAAATACTTAAGTATTTACTCCATAGAAGAGAAGAGATGAAGTAGTTAGAGATAGAGGTAGCCATAAGAAACGCGCGTAAAGAACTTGCAACTCCTCAATTCTTGCGGAGAGTTCTAGAATGGCAGCTGACGCCGCAGCACAAGAGAGATTCTGCGCCATCAGTGTGAGGCGGATGATGGCTTGGGCAAGCACATCCTCTCGGGACAAAAAAGTCGTCCCATCAAGAAAGGCAAACAATAACTGGGAGACTTGCAATCCCAGCATTTCTTCTTTTAGAGCTCGCCACGACTCTAATCGTCCATCGCGAGTAGATTCAAGAATCATCTTATTCTTAGCTGGGGGGCCTCTTCTTTTTTCCCCTTTCCCCGACCCCGTAAATATGAAACTACATGAGGTCTAAGAAAGATCTTTTTTCCCCGGCCCCGTTGTAAATATGGAACTACAGGTCTGAGGAAGATGGATGATCTTCCAGAAGATGTTCCAGAAGATTGAGATTCCATAATTCTTGTTCAGCTACTTTGCTTTCATCCTCAACGCTGGCTGCATCCTGATCCTCCACCTCCTCTGGAACGTCCTCATATTTTTCTTCTAGATTATAGGGCTCTGCATAAAAAGGCTGCTCTGCAGCGCCAGCAGCTGCCTGATGTTCTTGTTAGAGCTGTCCGTAATTCATCTTTCTTCAAGTGCTGCATCCTTGAAATAAATATAAGTAGGCTGGGGGAGCATTCCCATACAGGATATTCCTCCATACGTTTCAAGGATGCGCATGCGTCCAAAGATGTATTTAGGTACTACAGCCTTAATCTTGGGTAGACGTAGTACTAGTAGTTACTGCATTTCGTCCACCTCCAGTGATTTCAACAGCTCTTGTAATATCCACTTTAGAACTTCTACTACCTCCTGGAAGTAGTAAACGAGTCGCAATTCTGTCTACTTGTCCTTGTAGAGTAGACGAGTCGTCTTGAAGATGGTGAACTTCTATCCCGTCAGGTGGTGGTGAGATCATATCGCGGCATTCTTTCCCCGTTGGCGTTCTTTCCTCAGCCGCTCTTCTTTCTGCTTCTGGGTCGTGGTGATGTGCTAGACGGTCTGGGGCAGCAGGTGGAGGCGAAGACTACACTTAGAAGACGGTAGGTGATTTACACACACACATCCTCCATCAAGTAAATGTCAGATGAGAGAAGACGGAAAGGTAAAAATTGTTCATTAGTCGGTGACGAGTATCTTAGTAGTACGCGCTTTCAGAAGATCTTCCATGATAGATGCAAATGTAAAAGTAGAGCGAAGAACTTCTAGGGATCAGGATCACGACAGTCAACACGAGGTGGAAGACCACAAGAAGAGCATGAACATCTTTCATAATGTTGGAGTTTCTAGGCGATAGCGGAATCACTAGTCTTCTTATCCTTCATAAATGTAGAATCCTTGATCCACATTGGTCGTCGAAAGCAAGTGTCCAGTCTGTGGGTCCATCATATTCAAAAACATCTGGTGCAACAAGATATCGTTGCACTGGTCAAACAGTGCACTGTTTCCTGCTTCCTGCATTTCTTGTACAGCCGCTAAATGCGCCGCAAGCTCCTCTTGCTCTGGCGTGAGCGCTAGAAAAGGCAAAGGATGCTGCAGTTCGTGAGGCTGCTGGAGTTCCGGGTCCACCTCCCCAGTGGTGTTAGAAGAAACAAACAGAAGAAACACCAAAAAAGGGTGGACAGGGGACTCAGACACACAGAATCTAAGTCTCCGTTCCAGCACCTCCCTATAAAGACCGAACGATGCTTTCTATAACTTAATAAATTTCTCCCCCCTATTGAACGTCGATACCAAAACTTACTAAGTCTCCTGCCGTATAACCACCAAGAACATAATTACAGTTTGGTGATACATCATGGCCGCCGCTGCTCCTGCTTCCCCCAGGTTCATCTCTTCGTCCGGTATGTCAAGCATGTCATGCAATAAGTGATGACCTCCCTGCTCTTGATATTAGAGCAATACATGATGATGATTTCCTTCTTCATGTTAGAGCAGGCACGGGGAGAATTATAAAGTAGAACAAGAAGTCTATTTTAGTACTACAACTAGAAGATTGAATTTGAAATAACCATAAGGAAGAGCATTAGATGGAATATGTATATTTATTTTTATATAATTCAATCCATCCCCTTCCACGACAAGTTTGAGGTAGATGTCTTAATCATCCAAAGAGAGATCATCGTGTACTTGTCCAGCAGTTTCGCCGGGAGGAGTTTGCTGCAGCAGATCGATATGCGATGGTGTTGGGTAAAGCGGGTAAGCTTCCTCCGATTGGTATTGTGATGGCGCAATGTATGAAAAGAGCAGAGGAATTGAAATTATTGATTTTTTTCTGGCGAGGACATCTACTGCATCTTCTGTTGTTCATCACGACTCATGATCTTCTTCAAGAGATGCAAAAGATGGAAAAATGCATGAAGAGAGCATAGTAAACAACCTCAGTACAGAGGTACGTGGTTACTCTTTGAAATCTTAAGGCACTAGACACGCTGTGAGTCGGTTTTAGCATAGCGCTGCCTGGACCTCTACATGTAAGCAAAGCCTCCGATGTGGAGGAGGAGTCTTCCGCATCAGAACTCTCATCGTCGTGCTCTTTGGAGCCTGTGGCTGCAGTGGCATCTTCGGCCTCTTCGAGCTGTATTAGAGTCACAGTGCGGCACAGATTGAGATCTTAATAATGTTGAAGGAAATATACGGCGTTTTTGAAGGAAATATTATACGGCGTTTAGTTAAAAACTAGAGATGCCCCTGGCTGCGTTGAGATCTTAATAAAAACAGGGAAGATACTAGTACTAGTACCCCCGCTAACGGAGAGATGATACGCAAGAAAGACCACTCATGGATTATATTCGATAAAAAGGAAAGTACTTCTTAGGCTCCTAGAACTACTACTAGTGCTCATCAATATTCGTTAAAAAGGAAAGTACTTCTTAGGCTCCTAGTAGAACTACTACTAGTGCTAGGATCTCATCATAAGAGTAGATCATCATCCTCCACTCTTGCTGTCCCTCCTTCAGCTGCTCGTTGACCCTCTGCTGGGTAATTGAACAGAAGATCTTCATCGGGAGGATAAAGGTCTTCAACAGCTGGCTTTTCCTTTTGATGCACATGCAGTGCAGTAGTTCCTGCTGATTGTGCTTCCACCCTTGTTGGGTACGACAACGTCGTCTCCCCATTCCGACTATCGCTGGGCATCTCTTGGTCCTCTAGTGGAGGAGGTCTACATTATTTCAGACAACTTAGTAGAGAAGTTACAACTGTTAGTAGACAAGTTTTAGTAGAGAAGTTTCCAACGAAAAATTACATTTCATCTACCAGTCGTTGTATCACGTATTTATTGTACTATCGTCCCAGTTGCTTCCGCACTTTCTTCAACTACAAGGCAATACTTCTACGGAAAAGCATTAGAAGATCTTTACACGACGCCACAAATCGCCAAGAATGAGATCAACTGCTGTTTTTGCTTGCCGCATACGGGAGGCATGATTTACGTTGAACACACTTGATGACTGATGAGAAAACGCTGGTTCATTTGACCACACGAAATGACCAGCAGATAATATTTATATGATGATTGCAGTCGCTGCAACAATTCTTGTAGAAGTAGTTCTAGCACAAGGGACTACCCAGAAGTAAAAGTATTCATCACAGTTCGTTAGAAGTAATCAGAGAAGCAGGCGTTGTACAGTAGTTGTATCCCGATTCGACCAGGTCGTCGGTCGTGAGCACCTCCAAAGTATTCATTTACAACAGCAAACGGCACGACAAATCTGCCGTATCTATCTTCTAGCGACCGCTCTTACATTTTATGGTGTTCTTCTGGTAGTTTCTGGTGACACAAGTCAACACACAAGCACAGCTTCTTGACCGTTCATCCTCTTCCGTATTCTTTCAAGAACAACTACATCATATCACGCTTCTTGCAGACATGAATGTCTCAAAGGCATCGAAGTCCGGATTGGTATCCTTTGCTTTCGGCCTGTGGAATCGCCAGATAATTTCGCCACCCTCTAAAAGCGTCACGAAGGGCAAGAGTTGACCTTTCATACCTGGTTAGAATGAAATGAAGAAATGTAAGATGTAGAAGGATTGGTTGTAGGAATGGAGCGTTCCGAAAGTTGTAGGAATGGAACGTATCGTCCAAATTAAATCAGAAAAAGTACCTGTGACGCTTTCCACTAATGCGCTATTAACGTACACGCTAAAAGTCGGATAGTTTGCCTGATCGTAGAGGCATTAGAGTAAGAACAAGAGACTTTCAGTCGATTCGTTGTGTTCGATTCGGTGTGTCTTTTCGTTGACAACTAGCCTGAAGACGTTCTTCATGCTGTTGATGTTGTAGCTGTTATACTAGCTCAAGCTCACAGAGTTGTAGCTCGTCATACTGCTATAGGATCTTCCATACAACTATCTAGCTCAAACAAGCCATAAGTGCATGAGATGACATCGCCTACGTCGGTGTTCGGTAGGTGGCAACCGTGTCCTTCAAGCAATTCTAGAGGGTCTATTATATCATCCTCGACCGGTTCTATTATCTCGGCATCGGCGTCTTGTGCTCGGTTTAGAGGGATGGTACAAGTGCAACAGGAACAGTAGGAGCTGTGAATCTGAGGACTGTAGCAAGAGGACGGGTCTAAAAGTAGCCATCGAAAATTCGCGTAATCCGAATAAATGGCAAGAAAGGCAATGCATGAGGGCTTCTAACTATAATCATGCGTAGCCATCAACGTCATTCTTCAACTACTGCGAACGACACTGAGAGCTGTGAACGATCTGAGGACTGTAGCTAGTAGAGCTGAAATGACAAGAACATAATGAGGATGAACCCGCGGGTCCGAGTATATCGAGACTAGCATTCGACCCCGAGCTGCCTCCACCTCCTTGTCCGTCTCCGTCACCGGCTAGACTAGCCGATGGAGATTCATCCAGACTTTGTGCTAGAACTACTGCAGCGGTTTCTTGTTTCACTGTATTCGTTAAACCGATGTAAAGCGCCGCAGGGCTCAAAACCTCTACCTCGAAATACAGCTTGTCTTGCTCTATTCTGTGCTTGCCGTATCTGTCATTTTTGGGTAGAAGAGGTGGAAGAAGATGAGATCCACGCACACGTGAAAAATAAAAACCGTCAAGAACAAAAAGTACTTCTATCTGATAGTATCATGTACTATTTTTGTACTTCTTGAGAGCTTTGCATCTTTTAATATGCCAAGGGCAACAAGGTCGGTCGTGTTGACTCTCGTCGTGACGTCCTCTAGAATAGCAAAAAGAACATGATCAACATGTTTATGTCTTGTCAATCATGTCATGAATGATACATAGATAGAGGTACACAGTCCCCCTTCCACTAATTCCTGTCTCTGTAGCGCTTATTCTGGACCCTATCTTCCCCAACATCCTGAGGTCCTGCCCTGATGGGACAGATGGCAACTCATACTCCATGGAGGCACCAATTGGCTCTTTTGATTAGAAGAACAACTCTTCGGTCATGGAAATGCAGAAGGAAGCACATCTAGTACTTCTACCACTATTCTTCATCCGATTTTTCACGATCACGACCATTTCCACTTGTCCTACAGCTTGCTCTAAAATAAGGAGTTGTGCCACTACTACCTAGGAAGCCATGATGATTCTGTTTTTACTGGTACCATCCAAGAATTGGATTCTAATCCTCTAGAGAATAAAGGCCTTAACCAACAGCATTGCTGCTGTACTCGTCGGTTCCGAGGAGACATCGGTAGACACGTGAGAGGCACCCACAAATGAGATCCACCATTGTTCTTTGTATCTATGTATCTACAGGGAGACTACAACTGGGAGACTTTATTTGGGTGTGCGTGTAAAACTAGGTGGAGGAAGTAAGGATCTACTTCATGTGCAGGAGCCTTCCGATTACTCTTTTAGCACAACTACTGCTGTGTACTTTTCACCATGCTCTAGGTGGTGTCCGCTTGAAAGATTGTTGTACTGCCGGCTCCTGAATGTTGTTGTTGACAGTACCGATTGGGTAAGTGTGGCTCAGGGGAGGCGTCTCTAGGGCACGCACGCGCTCTCATCAAGTGGTGCGCGCGCACGCGCTCTCAACAAGTAGTGCGCGGGTCATAAAAATAATGGATGGACTAGACGGTGTGTTGTAACAAGGAGACCAGTAGAATTTCTTCAGTGGGATGTTATCGGACGCTCATAGCTAGTATTGTTTATAACGAGCTCGAGGATTTTCATGGGTATCTACAGGTATTTTAAGCGAGTGTTATTTGTGCTCATCTTATGATGCTCATCTGCTCACTGTGGGTCACTCTTGTTGGCCCAGTCACTCAACATAACATAGTTTTAGTTTCATAGGTCGTGTCGCTCTCAGGAGCATCTCAAAATCGTCACCGGGGACCGCTCTGCATCAAGATCAAAGGGTGCCTTAGCGCCTTTTCTAGTATTTCTGACTCCAAAATTATTTCCTAAGCAAGATAACGATAACAAGTATTAACTCGATAATCTTCTGTCAAAGCTGCAGTCCTCGAATGTTTTTAGTGCAAGGCTTTGATTTCGTGAGAAGCGTGACCGCTTTCCCGCTGAAGGCCGCGCAAGCCGAGCACGTTGCAGCGCTGCTCGTACTAGGGTATCTATCTCTACCAACTTGAAGTCGTAGTTTGCACTTGAATTACTCGAACTACTTGTTCTACTTGATGAACTTTCAATATTTTTATGCTCGTCATCTTGACCAAAACTACTTAACAAAATTGACTCTGGTGAGTTGGATGTGATTCCCCTAGATAAACCACCAGATGTCGATGAACAACGAGCGGATGTTACAGTACTTCTACCTATATTCTCAATAGATGAACAGGATGTCTTTCTTTTTGATTTTGTTGTATGCTCCTCAAGTGCAAAATTAGTACTAGATGTTGCTTTAATGGCGCCTCTTGTATCAATATCAATGTCCTCCGCAACGAGATGTCGGCCTTCTTCGACGAGGCACAGAGTTCCACTGCCACGTCCCGGTAAACAAACATATTTTCCTTGAAAAGCGCGCACCCGTCTTCTAGAAGTGATGCGTCGACGTGTTCTTCTTGGAGAAACTTGACCTCCTCCATGATGTGGCCTTTTTCTCGAAGACGATATATTTTCAGATAACTCTAGTTTTCTCCTCGTTTTCAAAAAGCGTTTCTTCGTAGCTTGAGCAAGGTCACATGCCCCTTCATATGCAGAGTCGATCACTTTGTTGAAAATCGTACGCGCATTTTCTTTACCGTTTGTTGCCGCAGGAACATGATGATCAGCCACCTCTTTTTCCTCCAAATCCAATTCCCTTGCTTGGACACGGACGTAAACTTTAGCGCCTTTAGTTAGAACTCAATCCAGCAAGAGTCCATCTTTTGCCTCATCTGTGACCACTTTCCTCACCTGTGTAAACAGCTAACTATTGCAGATGGATGTGGCCACTTTTGTGTATCAAAGTCGATATTTAAATCTGTGGCCACTTTTCTACTGAACAAAGATGGATTTTTAGGGGAGGCCTTAATCTAAGGTTCGGATAATCTTCACTCCAAACTGCGACGCCATCTCGTTCATCGTAGATGCCATTTAGGAGAAATAAGCCATGGTGTGGATCCATTCCACCGCCAGTTAACTTCCTTGTGCTTGTCCTTCTAGTCCTCGCACCTGCCTTGTCTCCCAGAAATAAACAAGCGTCCTCGTCACCTCCGAAGAAGTAAGAAGCGGATGCGTTCACATCGGGAACTGTAACGGTACCTGCTTTGTCTCCATTTAAAACACAAGTGCGCCAATTCGTTCTCAAAAGACTGGCAGCTATTGGACCGCTGGAAATGGAATGGGTGGAAAATGCTTTATTACGTTCTTCACGTTCATCTTGAGAGGAGGTGGTAGTTCTTCTTCTTGTTTTGGTCTCTCCTTTGCAATGATGTGCAGGAGCAGCACCAGCTTCGAGGTCAAAATGCTGGTCCGAAAGTCCAACTTCTACTTCTTCACTGGTGTTACGACCTGCTCCAAGTAGAGAACTACTTCTGCTTGATGACGTTGACGCAGTACTATTCCTGGACGAACTACCACTAAAATTGGAGGAATTACGGCTTCTGCAGCTGACGTGTGACATTTTTCGGCTTGAACGTAGAGAGCTGTCTAGTAGACTGCCACAATTAGAGACCGCCCTAATCGTCCATCTTGCGACTCATCTCCGATCTGTTTTATTCCCCTTTTGAGACACTTGACTTCTACAGCTTCGCGATGCTTCTGGAGATGGATCTTTTTTAGGGGATGCCGTAACAAAAAAAAGAGGCTTTTCATGGAAAATCGGTGTGCATGGTTTCTCATCAGGTTTTAGGGTCCACGATAATTCAGCATCGACATCAGACCAGAGACTCGACTGCGCGGTGCTTCGTGCTGTGGTGCGAGCAGGCGGTGGACTCTCAGAAGTAGCCATAGTGGATACCTCTTCTTCGGTTGGCGTAGACGTTGCTGAAGGATTTCCTTTGCTGCGCTCTATTTGTTTACTTCTACTTTTCCTGTCTCCTTGTTCATCTACACTAGGACCACGGTGCGGACGGGGAGAAAGTTGCGGACGAGGAAGTAAAAATCCTTCATCTGCTACTGAAGAAACGGATATAGCTGCAAAGAGTGGAGAGTCAGCTGATATGTGTTCGGTCAATCGTGCCTGGGCAGACACTAGAGGCTGTCTGCTGGGCCTTAGATGGAAGTTTAGAACAATTACAGAGGACTTATTATTTACTACAGACGGATCATCCGTGCATCATTATCACAGCGAAAGTCTTCCCAACAAGTCAAAGACAACGTAATTAAAAATAGTTCAAAACTTAAACTATTCCCAAGAAGAATAAGTAGTATTTAATCAGTACCGATCAACTTGAGCATCATAAATTTGCACAGGACTCCTGATCGTCTTCGTCTTCTTCCAAAAGTTCACTTGCGTGTTCTTCTGGAATGGGCTGTAGGTGGATGTCCTGCTCTGTCATGCGCGAGCAGGCACCAGGAGACGCTGCAAACGGGACGATGGGGGAAGAAAGCGGCTGCTGTGCTGGGACCACTATGGGTACTATGGGGGAAGGAAGAGGCGGGTGATGTGAATGTGCGACTACTGGGGAAGAGAGTGAGTAGAGAAGTCCCAGCTGAGAACAAGATGAAAGAGGTCCTTCTTCTTGCTGATTGATGTTAATATTCTTAATATAGTTTAGACTTGTGGTCGCATTACTACTTGTTGTTGTACAAGCACTACTCGAAGGAGTTGGGAGAAGTGTAAGAGGACTCGAACTTGTCGTCGACGTCGCTGTAGTACTCGTTGCAGCGTGTTCCCTTGGTGTGGTGTCGTCTTGGTGGAGGTGGAGGCCTTGGTGGTGAGTTTTTTTTACTTCATCTTCTACATTTTTACCTCGTGTTCGAATTCGAAACTCCTTATCCCAAGACCGCAAGAAACGGTCAACATAGTCCTCGTGATGCTTTGTCGAGAAGGACGTCTCGAGAACCAGACCGAGACCTTTATCATTTGCTGAGGCGTGGCTCCTTCGTGTACGAAAACAGGGAAAGCATGAGGTTGATGTGTGCCGCGCCGGCATAATTTTTGTGCCGGAAGTAGACGTACTACAGCACAACGCAGGAAGTAGAAGTAAAAGCTTCTTTCATCAAATTCTAATTTGCATGCACATTTTCGCTAAAGGGTTCAGCACATCTTCGCTAAACTAATAGTAATATAATTAACGACTCCTGCGGCACGCGTTTATTGTCTACAACGACAATCCTGACGTCATAAAATTGTTCGCTCCTGTCCGGCGCTGCTCTCATGATACTGGTGCTATATAAATATTTTTGTTCGTCTCCATGTAGCTTGCAGCAAAAGAACCTTACGTCGCTTACTTCTTACTCGACATGTCATGATGACTAGCGTCTTGCTCTCACGCCTTTCGTCCAAGTTCAAGCTCAAGGATCTCTTTTTTTGTATGCCAAGTTTTTTTTTTCCATAGGACTACATGCTGCCAAGATCGCCAGAGAAGGGCGATCCCAGTGCTATCCGGTGTCTGTAGTATTTTCCTACCTTCATGCTCACGCTGTATGTTCTTGGAAGGACAATTTTGCCCCACAAAAAAAATCGACATCTTCTTACAGTCTTCTTGTACATAGATCATCACCATCGGTTTTCAGTCAATCTCGTCCCTGTAGTTCTTCTGAAAGTATGTTTATTTTACTCGGCTTACTTATTTCTATCTATTGCGTTTGTTCCGTTATTGCATGATCATGTACATGTTGAGACTTCTGTTGTTCTTGAGTTCTTGTTGTTGTAACGTAATCTACTCCCGTTGTAGTAGCACGACATGAAGAACTTCTTCTTCCTAGAACAACACGTGCAACATATTTATTCCTTCAAATGATCCTATCTCACTCACGAGTCAATCTATCTATAAAATTACGAAATTTGCATATCTTCGATAATCCTTGCTTTCTTCGACCATAAGATGAGTTTCAACAACACAAAAATGAGAAATGTACAAGAAAAAATCGATATAATCTTCAGCGAAAATAATCTAACACTAAGCCTAAGGAATCATCATCAATCTAATTCAGAGCGACCACAACAGAGACTGCAAAAACAGAGTACTAATTTCTTTGTTTATCAAAACTGGAATCTTCTTTACAACTGTAACTACCGAAAACCTTCTTCACAGCTGCTTTCTTAGTTGATATGCTGTTCTACCCAGTTGTAAGATCATCGTTGGGCTAGATCAAAAAGAAAAGAAAATAGAGGTTGTATCAATGAATTATTTTATGCTTATGTGGATTGCCCCAAGGAATCATAACAAGTAACACGATGTAAAAAGCATGACGATGAATGCCTGTCACGACATGGTGACGGAATAGATCATGGGTTCTATGTTGTTCGATAAAAGACAACGACTAGTTGTACATGATGTGGTGCGCGCTCGACGTTTTCTTCACATTTACTAGAGTTAGACTGACACTGTAGGACTAACACGAAGATTTGTTTCAAACCTGTGTTCTTGAAGAATATGTAGGTACGTAGTACGACCATTAGCCATAGCATCTATAACACGATGATGATTCGCTGCACAAGCATGGTCAAAAATCATTATTCCTGTTCCACCTCAAATGATGCACGCGCCGGGCGGCCCTGTTGCTATCTTTCCGGAGAGCAGCTGCAGCCGTAGAGACTTCTATTCGATAAACTGAAGTAAGCGAGTAACTACTTAGAACAAGCGAGATACTGAAACAAGAGCAACGTAATGACTCTGTTATTTCAGTTGGCTACTCGGTCATTTTGAGCTTTCGATTAGACCCACCTGAGACTTTCTTTCTTTTCGTACAGAGCTGCAGCCGTAGAGACTTCTAATTAGACCCACCTGAGATGAGTTGAGAGACGACCCAGCACCTGACCCAGCACCTGAGAGTGCACCGCAAGCGCAACCTCATCAACATCATCAAGGATTCACTCTTCCTCAAATGATGCAGAACCTTTACTCCTCTCTTTCTGTGCGTCCCAAGCACTTGGCGGCAGCGGTTGATCCGGCACCGTGAGTTCGCGTCTAAACTGTGGCTGTTCGTGCAGTGGTACGTCTATCTTTTCGGGCCACGCTTCCACCTCTACCATATTTTTCAGGTGATAAGGCTGTCTCGGTGCTGATGGCGGCTTCACTCCCGCTCCTGGAGGGGGAGGTGGCGGTGGTCGTGGTTTCTCGTTCTTGTTCGACAAATCTACTTCGGAAGACGACGACACCACGGGAGCTGTGGCGGTCGTGGACGAGCTTCCTAATGTAGAACTACTTGTGCTAGTTTCGCTCATTCCTGATGATCCTGATGATGTTTCTTGACTGCCACCACTAGCCTCGCCTCTTCTTGGATCCTCGTCCCTCCGTTTCAGCCTAAATGCGTCGGGAGCCGTTCGTAGTGATGATGTAAGGGAAAAGGCCGCAGCACCGCTAGTACTACCACTATCCGGTGAAGTAGAATTTGAAGATGTACTAGCACTAGCAGTTGTACTAGTAATAGTACCAGTTTTGCTAGGAGCTGGAGGTTTTTCCCCAAAGAAGTCCTGAACAAAAATATCGTCGTTCTTGCTACTTGCACTTCCTCCAGGAACGTTACTACTTCCCAGTACTTTTGATGACGTTAAAGAAATATTCTTGTCAGCTAAAGAACGCAACATTTCCTCGTCGTTCTCGATTTTATCGATCATGAGAAGTTGTGACGAGGATGATACTAGTGCAGAAGTAGAAGTTGTTTTAGTCCTCTTGCCATCTCCAACTACATCTTCGTCAACGTTAATATTGTTGTTTACTCCTCCACTTGATGGTGTTGTACCCGAAGTAGACGTGAAAAAATCTTCCCCTTCGTCTTCGTCTGTATTTTCAACAGGTTTCACTTCGATATGCGCTTCTCGCTTGCTCGATTCGAAAACGGCGTCGACAGCTGCAGCACCCTCTGGATCCTCATCGTCGTCATCACTACTACCATCTGATCCACCTTGTTTACTGGTGTTTGAGTTTGTGTTCTCTGTGTTATTCTCATTTGTCACTGCTTCTGATGCTGGGGCGGGTGTTGGTGTGAGACCTGACGTTGGTGTGAGATCTGCAGAAGTCGACGTCGTTCTTGAGGACGAAGCTGTTGTACTAGGTCGTGCGACGGTAGAACTATCAGAACCAGAACAAGATGTTGTTGCACCACCTTCACCAACCGAAGTTGTATCCTTTGCTCCAGATCCTACTTTTGCAGTATCTTCCGATGAGCCTGTTGGAGCGCCTTGTTCACCAATCGCCGACTTATTTGCTTTCTCTCCTTCGAGTCCGACTGAAAAAGGTTCTTTAGAAGCACCTCCATCTCCGGTTTTGCTGCTTTGTGAACTGGTCATGGAGGTCGTAGTTGCTTGCAGACTGGCAGTTGATGCAGTACTAGCCGCAGGAGAGTTCATCATGCTCGATGATGAGAAATTTAGAGACTCTGTATCTGAGAACTCCTCTTCTAACACGTGCTTGGGCAGGTCGCACAGGTCGCTGTCATTAGGCAGCGTGAAGTTTAAAACCCTCGCCATCTCGACGTCAACCATCTTCTTGCTCGCGCCAGTTGGAACCATCTGGATCTGTTGGTGACCTCGATCTCCTGCACTAGTTCTGTTTATTTTTGCTGGTGAAGTACTAGAGGAAGTATTGTTAGAGCCCTCCCCTATTCATCCCTGTGGAAATCCCTCAAGCATATGCGTCAGTATCTCCCTTGTATTGGGGCGCATATGTTTGAGGGATGTCTACAGGGATGGATTAGGGGAAGCCTTAATATTGCCATGATTTCTGTCAGCACCAGCACCACGACCATGTGGATTGAATTCAACTACATTCGAAGACGATGTCATTTTTGTTCCACCACCAGGAGGCCTACCCCCTAAAGCCGCTTGCTGTAGTATTCTGCCCGCTGCAATGAGCTTCTTGTGATGGCTACATTTCCCTATGCCTGGCTTCAGGTGCGGGCCGACTAGTAACGCCCACTGCAACCGCACATGCCTCACGCGGTCGCTCGCGAGATCCGCTAGACTAGCTAGAAAAAGGTGTACGAAGCGCCTTGAGACACTACTGTCGCGTATCAGAGCATCGACCATCTTGAGGTATGAACGATATGCCACTTATTGAGAACAATGACGAAGATATTACGAGACTGTCGCTCCTACTTTTCCTTCCACCTAGTTAGAAGGAGCTGAAGAAGCGAGAGCGACGTTCTCTTAATAGTACCTTTGTTCTCATCATTGAGTGGCGCCTGCCATATAAGGTACGTTATTTTGTTCTGAAAACTTCCTTCTTTGAACGTCTTTCGCAGATGGTTCACTATTCGTTTCGTTCTCAAGGAAAATCCGTTCCTTGGCGTGCGTCCTCGTGACGAAGTGCTGGCACTTCGTGGCGTTGACGAGGTTGTATTATTTTTTGACGTTGCTACACTGGAGGACGATGAAGATCCAGAAGACCCACCAACTTGCAAATTGGGAGCAGGTGTAGTAGTACCTCCCACGGCGACGCCTGCTGTCGTGGAGCACGATGAGCCACCAGTTGTTGTAGTTTCTTGTCCACTTTGCTCGTCTCCACTTGTGCTGATATTCGTATTCTTCGACCCTGATGGCGATACCAGTGGACTGACCAAAGCGAAGTTTAGAGGAGGTAGAATTAATGTAATGCGCTATGTTGAAGCTGTCATGAAGTTGTCATGACTGCTGGCGCTAAAAGTAGTTTACCCAATGATTTGAGATCATGACGGCATGGACTAGGATTTTCCAGCGTTAGTACTTCCATCACAAGAAGGAGGAACTAGTCGTGGAAGTGAGTACAACAAGAGAATGAAGCGTACAAGAAAAACTCAAGTATTGTATTCATGACGGAGGACATCGGATGGGAAAGGGAAATCCTACTCCTGGGGAAAGGGAAATCCTACTCCTGGGGAAAGGAAAATCCTACTCCTGGGTAGAAGTACAGGCTACTCCTCAACAACAAGTCCCTTAAATACCGTGACCCAGAATGTGGAGACGATCGATCACCCTTTCTAGCCTCGATGCAGCACGCCTTTAGGACTAGGTTCGAAACCGCCGCAGCCTTATTCCTTACCAAAGCCACACCGTCGTGGAGTAGTTTCAAATATGTCGGAAGCAGGTAGTAAAACACCGTATTTGGATCCTCGAAGTATTTCTCACCTGGTGGGATGCAATTTATAGGGGAGAGTAGGTATTTCTCACCTGGTGGGATGCAATTTATAGGAGAGAGTAGCTCCAGTTACTTATTCAGTACACGAGTCCATCATCGCACCTTAAATGGTAATGGTCCTCGTTAACTTGTACTCGTGTAACTTATCAAGTAGACGAGTTGTTACTTGTACTCGTGAAAGTGAAACTTCGAAAAACTGAAATAAGCAAGGAACTGATCAGAATGACCGAGATACTGATGAGAAGGAAGAGTAGCCTTGGTGTTAAGCTGCCTCCCTTATTTCAGTCAGTAACTCGGTTATTTTGAGTTTTCGAATATATATAAGCAAGTGAAATAAAATCAACACTCTCGCAAATTTTTGGAATAAAAGAGAAGGATAAGGAAGGAAAGCACCACATCAACAACAAGCCAAACAATTTGAAATTTTATTTTATGAAGATACACAATGCCGGAAGACTTATTGTCGCGATTGAGTGTCGTAGACGCCAATTGTCTGTCAAGGACATCATTTGCGACAGGGATTGCAAATATTTTGGATTCGCTTCGAAATTCCCGACATTCTTCGCTAGTCCTAATTTGATATCATCCCGATCCTGCGTAAAGGTATGAAATTGCTGTAGGAGCTTCTGTCTCAGATTTTTGACTTCCTCTGGCTCTTGGTGGAGAGGGTTGTCTTGGTCTTCTGAAGATTTTGATGCTGAACCTCCTTGTTCACGAGCACTAGTTCTGCTCGGAGAATTTGACGAAGAGGTACTCTTCTTGTTTCTCTGAAGGTTTTTCATCGACGTTAAAGATTTATTTGCTGTTTTCTGGTCGATGCGAAGCAAAGTTGGCACTTGCTGCTCTGCTGCCTGGGCAAGATTGTTATTGTTGTTGTTGATCAAATCTGGGGCCTCACTCGTATCGGCAGTCTGTTCTTCCACTTGTTCGACGCTACTGCCTCCAGCTAGTAGTACCTCTTTAATATCGGCTGCTCTTCTACCACTTTCGTCACCTTTGCCAGTCGTAGAAGTTTTTCCTGCCTGCTCGTTGCCACAAACGTCTCCTACCTTCCCTTTCACCTCATCTCCTTTCCTTGCATCTTGCAAGCACCAGAGAAATGTGGCTCCGATTTTCCACAAACTACACGCAACGGCCTGTCGGGTCCTCAATTCCTTGGATTCGCACAAAGAGAAGAAGAAATTTCGGAAATCGTTGAACCGTTCCAGCTTTAGCGGCAGAATAGCTTCTATGGATATGAAGAGGGAGGAGCAGGCGGGGAAAGTTTTTGAGCGCAGCAGCTGTGCTAGAAGACAGTTTCTTGGAGTTTGGTACTCACTTGCTGCAATGGATGACCTGAATGGTTCTGATATTTGATAACCTGAATTTGATCACAAGGATTCTCTTCTTGTTTTCCTTATGATCAAAATCAGGTTACCAAATACCAGAACCATTCATGAGGACCACGACCGGAGAAAAATAAATAAATAAAAGAGTAGCCTTGATGTTATAAGCTACAACCTCCCTTATAATTTCAGTCTTTCAGTAACTCGGTTATTTTGAGTTTTCGAATACGTAAACTACTCATCAGGTGGTTCATAAACACCGCAGAAAAGGTGAAGCCCAGATGGTATCGAACTTCGTTGTAGACGGATCGTTCGCTATTGTTATCGGAGTCTTTCAGCTCTTGCAATATCTTGAAATAGTACCCAATTAGTGTATCTGCACTATGAACCGCCTCTGCACCACCAAATTTCTGCAAGGCGAACTGATCATTTGAGAGAACGAGAAGATTGTTGACAGTAGGTACAACTACCATGTTGTCAAGATGCTCACGGTCGTAGTTCCACCTAGAAAAGAAGATGCAAACAACTACTTACAACCAGTACGACTACAGACGGCAAAATAAACATGACACTAGGAGCAATCAAACATGACACTAGGAGCAATCAACAAGTACCAAGATATATCCGATATTTTGGCATAGTGCAAGGTGGACCCACCGGTTATTGTCATTGTAAAGCCGTTCTGCTATTGAGACGCATTCCGGAAACTTCCTAGAGGTCTCGATCATCAACGGCAACTGCTCACTCCCACACTTGCGCACCGTGTAATTTACGTCTTCGCATAACCGTTCAAAGGTCTCGAATAGACGACTTCCACCTAAGAACAAATATTTATTTTTGAGAACTAAAGTTGAAGAATTTTGAGAAAGAATCTTAATGTGAATCATGTTTGATTTAGGTCGTTTTGCGACAAATGTAGTAATCCTACAACTTCTAGAGCCATAGAACTACACGCATAATGATGAAGTACGACCGTGAGCAAGTTGCGGTATAAAATTTTTCTAGTAGTAGAAGTACAAAATTTCTCTCCTGCACAGTGTGCCACGTCTTTCATGTTTGCGAGAACGGCCTTCCGTACGGTCGCTTTTTGATCTTCGCCTAATGCGATTAACTGTATAGCACAAAACTCAACACAGAGTTCTTTTGTCAACGTTGGTGCCAGTCCATTTAGCAGGAACGCGCTCAAAGCTCGTGCCTCCTCGTCGCTATCGTTACTCAGACTCAGCACAGTCCGAAGCGCATAATCGGTCCGCTCAGGAAGCCGGAGGTGGGAAGAGAGGACCTGTGTGAGATGAGGGAGCTGGAGGTGGGAAGAGTAGAGTAGAACTACCTGTTTAGAATTTCATGCACATGCTTGAGCTTGGCCGCCTTAAGAATGAGGAGGAGCAAGAGAAATCATCTAGACATTTCGTTCTATGGTTGCTCCTCTTTTATGAGCAAGAAGAGAGTTGTCTCATCCTCGTCAAGAAACTACTTAACATATTTAACTAGTACATCTGTAGTACAAACTAAACAATCCTACCAATAACGCTTCGGCCGCATCATGTCTGGTCTCTTTGAAAACCGGGTCTAGAAGCAGTGTCGGAAAGACAGGCACCAGTGTCGCAAGAACATAAGCGTAGCCTATCTCAGGGTTCGACTGGATAAGAAATCCCGCCAGATCTCCGAACTGTAGGAGTATTTGTCTCCGCACATCTGCCTCTGGATCCCAGGCAAGCTTGGAAAGATACCTGTACTTTTGGTGTCTTGTAGCATCAGCATCTTACTCCTGCAACATCATGTGCTTCCCAATGAATATTATCTTTACCACGCCTCCTGGACGAATGTTCATGCTCATGTTGAGTCGTGAATGAGACTCACTGACTCCTACTTCTAGTTGTTGTAGTTGTACTAGTGCCTAATATTACTACAACTGTACAAGCACATCAAACATAAGCAGAAAAGTGACAAGTACGGTTGTATCAAGTGCTGGTATGCTTGTTCGCAGGAGAGCATTTGGTAGCACAGGGAAGTGATTTCCTTCCCAAACACGACCCTTTGGACGGCTAGCTGACTATGTGCGAAGTATCGAGCTCTCTCGAGCATTGCATTAAGCATCTGCTCTTTGCTCGCGTGACCCGCATGTGGCAAAGCGTCAGCACTCAAAAGGGTGCTACTGCTACCAGAGCCTCCTGATGAACCAGCCGATGGGTTCGCTCCGGGCCCAGATGAAGATGCGGAACCCCCCGTGCCAACATTGAAGGAATTAGAACAAGCAATGCAACAGCATTTTTAGTAACTGCTTGTTGAATGTGCATGGTTTCCATAACTTCTATCGATCCCTAATCCTATTCATTCTTTGATCATGTCTTTCTCTTTTGAAGTCCACCCACTAGTACAACTACCAGCACTACTTATTAACTTCTGTTAACAAGTGCTCCATAGCTTGTCCTGATCCACCTGGTCCCCCACTAGAGTTACCGGACGCCGGAACGGCGTGGCCGCCAGCTCGCGCGCTGCTAGTGCTCTGTGAGACGGACAGCTCCCGACGTCCACGACCGAAAAAATTCAACATGATCTTCACGAGGGTAGTCGGAGGTGGTCGGCTCCCTCTCTACCTCTTGTTCCGTCGGTGCAGGAGGACGACGGGCTCAACATAGGCTCCTACGACCTTTCGCCTTCACTCCTGGAGCTCGAGGACAAGGTTGAATATTTCAATCGAGTACTTGGGAGAATGACGAAGTTCTGGCAGACCGCCCCGCCCGTCCGAAAAAAGGATCCGGCGAAAATATTTTCCCGCCAACAAGAGTACCAAGAACCGTTTAGCACGCCCCCGTCCCGACAAGAAATTCCAACTTCTTATCTCTGGGGACTTGTCATTTTTGCATTTTTTGGGACAACTGCATTATTATACTCGAGCAAGCACAACTACAACATATTTGATGCCCCACGAGAAGACTTCTATACGAATTATTCATATTTGTTGATCTGGGGATCGGGAAGGAAGCAAGACGTCAAATAGAAAAGCGTGCAACTTCTACTCGCAGCTGCTTTATACGAGCTTCGGCACACTCTACAACTACTTACTTACTATTAGCATAAGTAACATGTTTTTACCAAGAAGACCGACTCTCAACTTTCACAGAGCAAATAGATGCTGCTGCCAAGAGCGAAACCGGTCCTCGCGCACTACTACTAGCAAAAAGTCAGCGCATGCAGTGGATGAACACTCGTCGCGGCCACAAGAATATCGCAACTTTGTCCTAGAACTGGTTTGATTCGCGATTCTACACAACACTTGCATTCATTCGAAAGGGTAGGGTCTTGGGCACAGCTTTCGATTTCAAAGGGTAGGACGTTGAGGGACGATGACAGAGACAGACTTCGTATCCTGGTACGGGGTATAAAAATTAAAATCGTCGCACTTGTTGGGTAATATGACTTTAATCGTTGTAGTAATCGTGTAATACGAACAGGAGGAAGAGTTTCAGTTTGTTATGACACACCATAGAAGGAGAAACGAGAAAATTGAAGCTTTCTAAGACGCCTGCTATCGATGACATTGCTGCTGATTATAGAGGGGTATTTACGATTACGAAATTGACATGAACACAACTTCTACGGAGAGCAGTTGTTGTTATACTAGTTGTAGTACGTCGTACTTAAACCCACTATATTTCATAGAAAAAGCAAAAAAAATCGAGTAGAAAATTTCTAATATGACCAGCACGTAAAGTAGATGATCTAGAACTAGATATGTCTTTTCATTCATCTTACTCTGAATAGAAGTACATAAAAACATAAATTTGTAACCTGTACCAGTTGAGTTTCTTCCTGCTTTCGTCTACGAGTTTCCGCTTCTCGTCTAGTACGAGGCGCGAAGTAAGTAGATGCCTTTCGTCTACGAGTGTCCGTTTCTCGTCTAGTACGAGGAGGGAAGTAAGTAGATGCCAAATTATTGAGAATTGAAAGTTGAAATCCTATTTCTAACTCGTCTAAAAAGTAGACCAAGAAGTATTCAACATGATTCCACAAAATGACTACAACATGAAGATACAACTGCTGATGACAAATTGAAATAAATTAATGATTGCTCTTCAGCGAGCCTTTCTTCGAGCAAATATCGAGTTCTTTTTCCCTGAGTCGTCGCCCGGACCTCCAATCTCAACCCAACATGCAAATGGGTAAGCAGGCAATGCCCGGTACTTAGTAGTGCACCCTTTCTGCCACTTCTAAAACGGTTAGCCAGGCTTTCACATGGCCCATGCTCTCCAATGCTGCTTCATCACGACATTGAATATGACCTGTTGGTATTGGTTATACTCAGCCAGGTCCTTCAGATCATGGATCCCAGTTGTGACCGTCCTACTCCAAGTACCATACTGATAAGTGAACAGGCCAACGCCTAAACCAGTAAGCCAACTGCGCAGTCATCTTAGAAGTGAGAACCCTATCAATATTTACTACATAGTTATATAATACTACTACGGGTACGGTATTCAAATCAAAATTTCGACATCAAACAGATTAGTACCAGCACAATGGTCCCGCCTCGGCCTCCAGCATTTGTCTAAAAAGAGACTCATTGTCGTCCAGAGCCTGTCGTATCCCACGAACTTTGCCTGGTCGGCGGTCGATCATATTCTCCTTACTACTCTCCTGGGCGTTTGACTCCTGGATACCGGACGATGCCTCTTCCAGCTTCTTGGCGCTCCCTCTCCTTACCACGGCGTCTCTCTGCTGCACGCGCCTGTACTCCTGGTGGCATTGTGTTGGTCTTGCCGGGGGGTTAGACGACGAGTGAGTACATAACTTACGGACTCATTGGCGTCGGCGAAGGTAAAAAGGATGTCTGATCATTTCATTCATTCATTGACCTAGCATGAGGTGGTGTCTCGGCGGACGTTGTTGCAAAGGGGGAACAAGGGTATATTCTAGCTTGTAGTTGCAACTAAAAGGAGATCTTCAACATCACATGAATACTTCGATTTCCTTTGTAGTTCGAGTAAATCTAATGATCTTCTACTTACTTAAAAACTACGGGATCTTCATGACAACATTGATAATCAACGTGATCCTCGTCGAATCAAAATCATCTTCCCTAACTTATTGTCGCTTCGATTAAGTCCAGATTGTTTCGCGCATCCACTTGCAACGGCCCACCGTCTCGACAACGGATCCAAAAGTTACCAGATATCAATGGATTCGGTGTCGAGGACTTCTGTAATGTTTGGAGAATCAATAGAGGACCGAGGTGCAGCTGCAGAAGAAGCAAAAAAAAAATTGCAAAAGTCGAATTGCAGGAGAAGCAGGTAGCTTTTCGATAATCAAAAATACAGGCGAAAGCGATAGTGGTGGGAAAATGGAGAAAACAGGAGGAGAGATCAGGCAAAGGAGGACTTCTATAATTAAAAAAACTGGGGTGCATACACGTCCACGGACTGGGTAAGTATATCATCATCATACCTGCTTCTCCGGCAACTCGACTTTTCAAAATTTCAAAAAATTTATGAATGCATATCAAAGTCGACTTATAAAAATTTAAGCATGCCTCATCAATAACTGATGAGCGATGAATCATCGTGTTTTTGAATCAGAATCTAAGCAAATAAGTAGTATCTTCCACCGACGAGGACCACACCAGGAGGAGAGAAAAATAATGTTGGAGTTGTAGTTCTTTCTAGGCATGGTCACTCATGGAGGAGAGAAAAACAAGCTTTGAAGCGGAGAGCAGAACAGAAGTGCTAGAATGAAGAGAAAAATCATAAATGTAATTGATGAATCGGCTAAGCAAAAAAATAAATACGTTCCCTACAACACTGCCATGATCCGTTCCAATTCTGAAAGAGACGTCATCTCCTACTTTCAGCTTCGTTCTTTTTACGACGCAGGAGTGGACGAACGGGTCTTCATCGTAGACTTCGAGGAGCTCTTTCGAAAAAATGAAACAGACTCCCTTCTCAGACCTTTTGTATACGAAGCCGACGTATTCTCCAAATTTCTCCGGAACGCTGTTGGAAGCCTCCTGTTGTCGTGGAGGTTGTGTGGATGAAAAAGAACAGTCTGCACAACTTAGGGTACTAACATAGTAAACTTTCACATAAAAAGGAAAATTGGTGAAGATGCGAACCTTGGTGACAAGGATACCGGACGGATGATCGTGAAGATTTCCAGGTCCTCGTTGTACTACTACTACTACTACTACTACTACTACTACTACTTGGAAAATGTTTAGTGTTGCTGTTCACTCTAGTGCTGGGTCCCTAGGAGGTTGTAATTCTTTTTTTTTATCTAAATACTTACGTTCTTTAGAAGACCTGTAAAAATATCAATAGTACCTGCTTGTGCTGCATGATGCTATCTATACTTCTTGTTACGTTTAGACCTGTAATATCAACAATGGTACCTGCTTGTGCATGATGCCATCATGAATGTAATATAAGAAAAGAAATGTCAAAAATACCTCTTCTCCTGTCCTCACCAATCGCCAGATGGGCTTTAACGCGTCGACTAGGAGGTGGCCTTCAGCATTCTTGACCACGCTCACACCTACAAAGTCGTCGCTTTGGAGTTTGTACATATTCACAACCTTGTTCTCGATGAAAACAAAGCTTTTCTCTGGTGCAGAACTAGCAGCGCGGATATTAGAAGTGGAGACCACGACAACTGATGGTGCAGATCATAGGAGTAGAGTGGTGAAAGATAAAGATGGTGCATGGTGGAACAGACTGAGGACAATAAATGTAGTCTGGAGTCAGTGAGAGTAAAGGTTATAATCATGGCGATGGTGGATCAAGAACGATGGATTATAGTAGGTAGAAGTAGAGAACAAACAGCAGATGTAGTTCTTCTTGTTGAAGATGGCAACTACATCGATAGAACATCGATAGAGATGAAACGCAGAGGCCTACGTAAACGTAAACGTCAACGTATCATGATCATCAAGAAAGTAGTGCGTCGTGTCATGTCATGTCACCTCCTCAGGTACTACATGGAGGCCAAGTAGTTAAGAGGTCACTCAGCCTTTTAGTCCTCCATAACATCCGGCTTTGATCTGACGACAATGGCTGTATGTTCTCCATCGGGGGTCTGCTTGCTCGTTAAAAGTCCTACGATCACCTCGCTCACAGGTTGCCTAACTCTCGGATCCAATGCTCGGTCGCGTTCCTCTGCAAGTCGTCCCCGCTCCTTCCGGTTTCGAAATTTTAGACACGTCGTGGAGGGAGGAGGTCGAATATCGCAGTAGAGATCAACTCCTTTCTTTATCTTTGTCTTCTCTTTTTCCTTGTTTTTTACTTGTCTTTTTCTTCAACATTAATCAAGATGGGTGGTAGTACAACTAGAGAGGAATTTGAGGAGGTGGAGCCGCAGCAGGTAAGGGAGCAGGTTGATGATATATTCATCTGACTAGTACTTGTCTATTTCTTGGATCATCTTGTTCTTGACTAGATGTCGAATGATCATGTCCTCGAAAGAATAAGGTAAGAAGTAGTTAAAGATGTCGAAATAGAACCATAAGATGAAGTTCTACTAGACGAGTCTAGCGGAGTAGATCTTGTCATACTATAGATGAATTTGATGGTGATACTCAACCACAGGAACTGAGAAGGCTCAAAAGATCATAACTGATGCATCTCTGCCGTCATCTGTGACTTTGTCGTTTCTTTTGAGGATCGTCCCTTGTCCCGATCGTCTCTCCCTCTGCGTCTACTACGTGATCGCTCCCCACCGCGCCCTCGCTCCCCCGTGCCACGGTCGCGAGAAGACGCCGCTGCTCTCGAAGATGTCGGAGGGGCTCCACCATAGGAGGCACTGCTCTGCGTATTAGAAGTGGCTGTTTCTGTTTTTTTGTTTCTAGAGACAGCGCCCGTCCTAGTGCTGTATAGATCAACGGTGACGTTGTATTTGAAAAAAAGCTCGCCCGTCCTAGTGCTGTATAGACCGTTGATGATGATGATGATGATGATGATGATGATATACCGTCGATGGTGTAGATTTGAAAACTTTATTGAAAAAAAATAGAGTTTTTGTTTCTAGAGACATCGGCTACTCGAAGAACTCAAAAATTTAGATTCGCCCGCCCTAGTGCTCCTGTATAGATCTTCGTCAGTTGTTCCTCCTCGTGTTCCATGTGCTGAGGCCATATGTCGGGTAGTCATATCGCCTCGCCCACGAACGATCTCACCTCCTCGTCCAGATGATCCAGGAGGATGGTTGTAAAGGCTTCTAGGAAGTTGATGATCCGCAGTATCTACTTCCCCATATCAACTATGAAACGCAAATCTGTTATCATTATTTATGATCAAGGAGCTTCATCTCATTCTCAGGTAGAAAAAAAGTTGTACATAAGGCAAAAGGACTAGACGAAAGTGGATTAATCAATCTTTATTTTTAAAATCCTCACTAACAGATGAAATCAATTTTTACGCTCGAACAATAAGTACTTCTTAATAATATGGGTCGTGGAGCCAAACTAACTAGGAAAAGAAAAAGGAAGGATAGTTGTAGAGCATGACAACTGTTCTATGGTAGTTCTAGTTGCTGCATTTTTTTAAGAACGCAGGATAGCAGTTATATTAAGTAGTTTATGTAAAGGATGAATAAGAAGTGCTAAAATGATAATATATAGTAAGTAGTTTAATATGTAAAGGATGAATAAGAAGTGCTAAAATGATAACAGATTTACTTGGGGGCTTCATACCGACTCGACGTAGTGTTTCCGCGGCCGCCTCTGCTTCGCGAAGACATTCGTGGAAGTGGATCTAAACCACCAGGAAGATTAGAAAAGGAGTGAGGAGGCTGTGAGTCGGAGCAGTAGATGAGATTGCTGTGATATGAGAAGTAGGAGCAGTAGATGAGAACAATGCTGACACTAATAATGCAGTACTAGTTCTAGACGATAGCGGATTAGTTAATCTTTATTAGGTCCATAACTAACACTAATCTTGAGCCAAAAATGCTGACACTAATAAGTAAATAAATATATACCGGTGGAGCAAACCTACATAGGAAAGATAGAAAAAAAGGAAGAGGTATATATATTAGGACTAAAAAGAATTGGCCATCTAGTATAGGATCAGTTTATTCTAGGCGCCGGCTGTCGTCCATCTGCCCTGGAGGTCTTCTCATCTAAGGCGGCCGAATATATATAATTGCTCGTTGTAAGAGAGAAGTTGACTTGAAGGACATCAAACAAGAATAGATGACGAGGGGCAGGAAATTTTCATATGCCCAGCACAAGTACTACTAGAAGCTACTGAAATGGAAATCATGATATTCATCCCATAATACCACCCATTGCAACCATGCTTGACAACGACGAGAGCATTCTTTCCCCATCTGGTCTCTCATTTGGCCCAGAGGGTTGCTGCAACAATTGGTTCAGTAAACGGAGTTTTTCCTCACCTGTAAACTCAGATGCCGAAATGAGAAAATTCGCTTTTGCCAAGAGCGAAGAAGATGATTGTGTTGAGGATGCCGCTGTTGAGCGAGCCGAGGAGAAGTTAGAGCTTACTTATCACTAAATTCATTTCGGAGATGATCGCGTTTCCCTTTTTTTACACGCGTTTCCCCTTTACTAGAGGAAGGCGGGGCATCGCGTTTTCCGCCCCTTAATAGATGTGAAGAATTATAGAGCAAGTGCAAGCCTTAAATAGAGGTGGTAAGGACGCTTGGCTGCTTCGGTATTTGCCATCACTTCTGCTGGCTCCTCCAAGTAGAAGATGCTGTTGCCCACCTGTACTTCCAGTCCTTCTAGAATTGTAGCCACCTGTGCCACTTGCCGCACCACTTGCACTTCCACGATGTCTACTATCAGGTCTTGAATCTGCAGGATATTTCACATAATGAGGTTTCTCTCGTTCTCGGCTACTTCGACGCGCCGTATCCAGGCGGCATGTATCCAGGCGAAGTAGCTTCGTACTTTGACTAGATGCCATGTATCCAGCGGGCGGCGGGAGTCCAGGCGGCCCCGCTCCTCCAGGTGCTCCTGCTCCCATGTAAAAATTGTTTTGATTGGTTTAAAGTGAGCAGCATTACATTCTACATTGTTCTTCAGAACATCCTTGCGGTCCCATTTTCCAAGGATGCTCGGAAAAAGGCCATCATCAAGGATGTTGCAGGAGGTGCAGATGAAGCAGAATCTTCATGCAATTATAAGTATAATGTGGAAGTAGAAGCGCTTAATTGTTGTTGGAGGTCATGCGATCCAGCTGATCCTGTTCGACTCTGCGTTCATGGTCGCTGTATTTGTTACTTGAAGGCGGAAGGCGCCCTCCATTCTGCGAAGTTCTTGAAGAGGGTAACACCAGATTTTTGGACGAAGTTGAAGAAGTTGAAATATTAGTCGTTTCCGCGGCTTGAAGACTTCTGTCGGAGTTCGCGCCATGATAGCCATTTGCACCACGATAATGCTCTGGTGCCTTTGTGGACCTTTTTCGGCTATCCCCATGTTGGAGGAGTGTTCCTTGTGCTGGAGGTCGGTTTTCTTTAAGTTAGAAGATGATTCATTCATTCATTCACTCATTCATTTACCTGTTCTTGAGGTGTGACCACAAGAAGTAGAAAATGAAGTCGTGACCACAAGAAGAACATCAAGTCGAGCCAGTTCTTGTTGTTCACTTCATAAAGAATTTAAACCGACAAAAAAGGAGAAGTGCTGCTTGCAGCCACCATTAAGAAGAATGATGGAATTATTGTCTAGATTGAAGTGGCTATGGCTTTCATTAGATAAGTACGCATAGAACAAGGGACTACTTAATTCTTTCCTTGAGTAGATGAAGTCTTACAACTTCCTTTCGTATCTCTCGCCTAAATTTTTTGGAAAAGGCAGCCACCATTAAACCAACTTCAACTGTCAGGAGTAGCCTTAATTGTCCCCTCCACCAGGACCGCTGTGATACTGCCTCGAGGACCCCTCCTGTTGCTCGAGCTTCGCTGCGTGTTGTTGCTGTTGCAGAACTCGTGCTTGGGCTTCTTTTGACTTCAAGGCTTCCCATTCCCTCACTGTTCTGGGGAATTCTATAGGCGGTAAATTCACACGATGCGGATCCCTTTTTTAGAGCCCACAGATGAAATCCAGATCTTGTTAGTAGTAGTAGTAGTAGTAGTAGTAGTAGTAGTAGTTTACCCATTCGTGGGGTATTGAAGACAACGTGGGGTATGTTAAGTAAGTGCATTTTCTCTTCAGGATTCTACTTACGCAGCTACGCCAGGACAATTCTACCTACTGTACGCCATTTATCATGTAGTTGGAGAAAATTACACTGCACAGTACGCTGTGCAGCTAGAGATGCATCACATGGTGAGCCTTAACTTTTGGAACGGTGTTGTCTCTCATTTTCATCATCCTCTTGGCGCAGTGCCTTCCAAACGAGCGCGACATTCGAAACCTTGTGATCGGTTCCGCATTGCAGGACACGCCAACACGGATGCCCAGCTTGCGGCTTCGAACGGGAACTCATATGCACTCGACAACATACAGCGTCCCATACCTGCAAGCCATTGCCGCGAGAGAACTTGCGGGTGGAGAGTATGAAAGGCAAAGATGGTACAGGTACTACGGATAGAAGAGTGAAGCTTACAAGTAGAGAACTACTCGTAAGGGTCGAACGGGTGAAGACTACTTGGATAAAATGCTACTTCAAATTCGATCAGGTAAACGCAAAAAGCCTGTTTCGTCGAAGAGAAGTTGTGAGCAGCGTGATTGATTTAATATTCATTAAGATTAGTACCAAAAGTATCGTTTTCATGATCATGTACTATTAAGTATCCTCGTAAAGTGTACAACAAACTTTCCAATGAAAATATTAAAGCAAGAAGTTCTTCATATCGTCAACAGCCATAATATTCATGTGAAAGAATATGTTCTCGTTCTGACTTGGTCTGCGAGCAAATGCGAGATTCTCCCTTGTCAGTTTAATGACAATGGCAATCGCATCACTCGGGAAGAGTTGCGGGAAAGGCAGATACTTATGGGGGAACCGGTTCCGCAACTCAATCGCTTCCTGTTCGCTGGTCTGGAGATCATGGAGTTGATGGAGATGACGATGAGGTTAAAAGTAGGATATATCATAATACTGTAGGAAGAAGAAGATGAAAGGGGATCATGGAGTTGGAGATGACGATGAGGTCAAAAGTAGCAGGATATATCTTGTGGGAAGGGCTAAGTCTCTCGAGGTAAAAACTAACCGGTTGTTTTAATTAGTGCTTTGAACGCCGCTGGGCCTAAGCCTCAACCTTATAAAAAGGGAGAAGCCAATCAAGATTTATCATAATCTTAGGAACAAGAAGAAGATACTTTTCAAAGCTATACTTGTTGATATTTGCGTTTTCACGCGGGACGTTGTGCACGACGACTACATATTGTAGATGCACGATCCATAACTTCAACATTTACAAGTCTAGTTACTTCAGAACAAGTTCCATTCAAGAAACAACAAGATAAAGTTATAATACCCCTTCCTCCATGGCTTGATTGTATCCGAGATCTGGCACTTCAACCATCCAGATATCTCTTGTCAAATCGACTTTAGTGCCATCCATCGTAGTCCAGAACGCTATGACGTTGACACCACGGAGCTGAGAAATTTTCGCAGGGGTGTAATTCTGGGGGTGTTCTAGTGCGTCTTGCAGTTGAGAAGTGGCAACATTGCTAGTTGTCGCTGTCGCTGTTGCAGTGGAAGTAGTGTTGATTATATCTACTTTAGCTCCTTGTCCTGAATTATTGATAGTAGAAGCTCCTCCTGGAGGTCCACTTGATGATGATGTCATCGTCGTATGTCCGGCAGATCCTAGAGGAGGTGGCGGAGCTAGAACTCCCGATGCTGTATGTCCCGAGGAAGATTCTAAACGACCAGCTACTTGCAAACCTCCTTGCAGGCAAAAAGATTGAAAATCGATCATAGGATCCGCGATATCCTTCCAATCGAGTGTGAAACGGTCTCCGAATTCAGTGAGAATGAGCAACTTTTTGCAATTCGGGTCCTTCGGGTTCACTTTTTTAGAGGTGGTTTTTCACAATTTTCGCTGATGTGGTCGAGTGAGTAGTTGCCACCACCTTTATTTTCGTCCTCTTCAGATCCTCCACCGGGAGGAAGATAATTCGGATCTCACTCACAGTAAAAACAGTATATCTATAGAAGTTCACATGCAGCATGGGATAGTCGTGATAAACTACTACCCTTAACTTTTACGACTTTTCCCAAACGTGCTGGGGGATTCGGGTCCCACCAGCCTTTGGGCCGAGGAAGTAATTGCACACGGTTAGCCTCCTTGCTTGTTTCGCCGTCTGAGTCGACCTCCTTGATCATGTTCGTGTTTGTGTTATTGGTGCTGGTGTTATGAGAATTTTAGAAGTTACCGAAATTCATCTTTTCGGTCATCCTTCACGCGTTTTTCCCTTGAAAGCGTGCTGGCAATAAGATGTTGCCTCTTAAGAAGATGAATTACGGGAAGCCTTAAAAATTGCTGCTATTATGAGACTTGGTGGTGGTAACTCCAGGTGGTAAGGAGACTCGTTTTCGTTGTTCTGTAGAAGCGGCTGTATTGCGCTGGCCCTGCTGATTCTGTTGATTCGGTGTTGAAGGATGATTAGGAACAAGAATTGAAGATGACATATTTTCCTTTTCCTCGTCTAATCTGGATGCCGTATTGTATATGCGGCCACGCTTACTTGGCGGTGGGAGAGCAAGACCAGCATGTTGCTCTCGTTCTCCTCCTGCGAGGGTACTTCTGCTTGCAGCTGCCCTAGCAGCTGCGGACGACGCAGGAGGTAACTCAACATCAACATGATCATCTCCGTGGTCGGAGGTTGTTCTGTCGCGTTTAATAGTTGTAGAACCACCTCCTTGATGTTGTTGATGTTCTTCACGTTCTAGTTGTTGCCGTGGTTGTTCACCAGAAATATTTGATGGAGGTTGTAGCCGTTGACGAGAGTCGTTGCCTGTCGTAGTGGGTTTTTTAGCTCGCGAGTCTCGATTGCGATCTTCTCCTACATTTTTAGGGGGCTTTGTCGTCCACCTATCAGTCATTACCTCGTCTTTTTGTGCTGTCATCTTGTCGATCTTGTCCTTGTCAGTAGAATGTTGACCTTGATGTTCCGCACTAACGTCAAGGCTGAGACCATGCATGAGCGTTCCTAAAAGTGTAGTTGTTGGTGGTGAGATGACGACGATCGTATTCGATGAGTTATTTTAAGAAAGCAGCAAGAATGAGAAAGCTTCCAGTTCCACGGCTTAATATCCTTAGCAGTCAGTCTGTCTAGTATCAGGTTGCCTCCGCAGGGTACCGACCTCCCCGCCGCTGCGACTGAGGGAGCGATATGAGGGAACGACTTTTAGTTTTACTTAGAAGTAGGAGTACTAGGGCTAGGAAGATATCTTATACTCGTCGGTGCTGCGTTGCTTTCTGGCATCTCTCCACCACGCGCGCCGCGTCTACTTCCTCGTCCACCAAGGTCCTCCTGAATCTGAGCACTAGTAGTCTTCCCAACGTCAACGGAGGGCATGAGATTTTCGTCCCTTCAAAAAATAAGAATAAAAATAATCGTCTTGCTCGACGTATGTAGTACTGTTTGTAGAGGTAGATTGTTAAACTGTTTCTTGTTCTCCCTGAAACGTACAATTGCGAAAACAACTTATCTACTTATATTATAAATCAATACAGTTGATCTAAATTATACTTGTTTGAATAATTGCACAACGAGCTGTTTGATGCACTGCTAGCAATTTCAAGTGACAAGTCAAGCATCTCCCGGTAATCATGGATTTCAAGAAAGAAGAGTTGAAGGAAGACGACAACAAGGAAATGCAAGAGATCTAAAAAATAAAAATAGTAAAATCATGTACTAGTCCACCTCAGAAGTGTTGCTTGAGGAGCTTGGTCGTGAGTGAGCTTTCATTTCAAACAGTAGAGCGTTATCTGGACATGGAGTTATCTCACTGTTTGCGATAAGCAGAAGTCTGACTTGCGATCTGGACATGGAGTTATCTCACGGAACCACGACACCATGGACCGAGCTCATGTTTTCATGGACATGGAGTCATCTCACGGAGTCGGCTCACCAAGTGGAGTCTTATTTCGCGATGTGCTGTTGTGAACACAATGTGCTGCAGCTGCACCAGATAAACGAGAAAAGGATTGATATAATTCCTCCAGGAGATAAGTTCTCAAGGTACAAGTTAAATTGAGAGTAGCTTAAATTGTGGATTCAGAAGTAGTACTTCCGTGAAGTCATCTGCCTTAGGAGATACACAGCAGCAGCTTAAATAAAACTAAAACTACAATCACTGCGACTGCTAGTACGTCAGAACAAGTCGTGTGCTACTAACTTAGTAGACCAGAGTCGTCAGCGGGTAGAATTCGCCAGGGAAATCTTAGGCAGACTGCCGAGTTGATTCGGCTCATCAGTAGACCAGAGTCGTCGTGACGAGTGGCTGGCTAGTAGATTCTTATGGTGATAGATTCATGCGATTGTAGAGAAACCTACATATGAAATAACGGGAGGACGAGGCGGTCACGAGCCTTACTTTCTTTCGCTTTAAGGTCAAAAAAAAACTGAGGAGCTTCTTGATGAGCACAAATAATAATTCTAGTATGTAGTTGAACGTAAAAATAATGTTGCTCAGCAACGACGAGGAATCTTCAATCGATGATTAGCTATAGTAATAAAAGATGTAGAGATGTAGTTAATAGTAATAATTTGAGCAGCCTGGATCGACATCATCAATGATGTAGATGTGAAGAAGATCCTTAACTTTGCATGTTCAACATCTTTCCTTTCACCTCCTCCGCATCTTATTACAAGTTACCTCTAATATTGTAGTTGTTCATCAACTTGTTCTTCGACAACTTCTAATGCTTATCGAACAAGGATAGCACGGGCGGAGACAGTTGCAACACCAACAATCTACTCCTGCCTCGAAGAAGTTGATTATACATGTATTCATGTCATGATACCTCGCGTTACGTCTTAGCTAACGTTTATTTTTGGGTTGTTCTTAGTCCATCTTCTACATCTAGTAGACGAGGTACATCTTCGTCTTGTTACAACACGACCTATTGAGATTGAAATTGTATAATCTAGGTAGTACAACTCGTTTTTCGCGTTCATTCACCTTTTTTCAGGTGTTGAATGTTGTTGATGAAAATAAAAAAAAAGTTATATCACATATTTATTTGTTAAATTGTTAAAATACAAATACAAGCAGAGTTTTTGAAAGAGAGGGCGGGGTGGTGTGACCACGATAGTAGGAGGAGCAGGGTCGTGTTGACAGAGTAACTAGACCTAAACGTCAGGCCAGGCTCTGTAAAAATAATAGAACTACCGTTGCGGTGGAACTCTAGCTTCTAAGATTACTGTTCAATAGATGAGTCAGTAGACATCTCAAATGGTGACGTTGTTGACATAATATCAATAACAGTATGCACTTCTACTGAAATTGAGAAAATATCTCTCGAGACACTTCCTAAAGTTTTGATTGTGGGAAGTTCGGCGTGGGATGAAGATAAAAGTTGTAGGGCGGGAATGGAAATGATCGGAGGTAGTAAATGTAGAATACCGATGAAATTGAGATAATGATAGTCAAGAAAAGTTGTTGTTCCCCGGCAGATGTATGAGTAGTTGTAATATTTTAGTAGTATTATATCCTTCGCCGGCAGCACATTGTGTAATCCACTACGCATCACGGCCATTCGCATTCCCTGAAGAATGGTTTGCCTATGGTGACGTTGGGAAAACAGAAAACTAGAACTTGGACTTACTACATTACATCATGACGTTGTAGACAAAAACAAATTAAGCTACATTAGTGTGTAGTTGCTGGCTCTTCTTAATCTCAATGTTGCGACACCATTGGGAGGAGCGTTTAATACAACTAGAGCTCTAGATGTACAAATTGAGCTCTAGTTGTAAACGCTCCTCCAACAGCACGACTCATTTGCAAATCAAGAGCTCTCCTGTTGATTTGACACCCTTCGGAGCAGGAACGTTACGAGTCCTTTTGTGTAATAATGGAGTGGCTGGCTTCGACATCAAGATCAACAAGGAGCTAAACAAGGAAGAAGAAGTGCTGTCAGTGTGATTTATCACGACACGTTCATCTTTAGCTCCTCCTCCTTCCACCAAACTACAGACTACAAAAAATATTCGCAAATCAACACGAACATGAAAGAAAAATTAGATTTAGTAAGTGCGTTGCTCGTCTGCTCAGGCAGGATAGTCTTTCGGCAATTGCAAGCGCAAGGGCCTGCAGCTTTCGACAAGACCTAGGACGATTTATCCGAATATTTTGCGGCTGTAGTTGATAAGGAAGCTTCGACCTCTACTGCACCCCGATTTTGACATCTGGCCCCATATATCAGAAAAAGAAGGTGTGCTTTCCTCGAATTAGACCACGTCTTCTACGCCTTGTTCTAATGTGTTCTATTTTTAACATTAATTATAGTACAATAGCAAGGTTGAGGTTGTTACATCAATCTAAAAAGTACGATGTACTGCTACTTCATCTATCACTCATGCCGACAATAAAATAATTATTCGTCATCGAGGACGGAATATAATAGAGTTCGCATATATTCGAGACCACGCATGGAGGTGGACTATCTTGTTTCTTCATCTACTGAGAGAACAAGACTGATTCATCTATACAACTCTTCACATCAGAAAGAAGTAGTCCAAACCATAACCATGTCCTCTCGGAAAGCTTCTACTCAAAAGTATCATCGACGAGACTCAGAGCTACTCACTCACAATCGGTGCTGAGCTCACACTAAACCCTAAGCCCAATTCACAAACAAAGGTCATAGTTCTAGACAACAACAACAACAGTTCTAGACTTGTACAATTTGTATTTTTGAACAACGTCGTAGGCGTAGCTAGGGACAACTAGCAGCACATAACTAATATCATTCGTACAACACTTCTCTTGAAGCAACGCGTTCTTTTTCAGTCTCGATGACGATGAGAGTATTCATGATCTTTAGGATTCATCTATCAATTTATCAGACTGCTTCCTCGTACTAGGCCACGAAGTCCTCCTGAAGTTGTGTTGGAGACTTACTAGAACTGAACAAGTATCCGAATCTTCCTGAAATAAATAGAATGAGAGCAACTTCTACTAAAATAAACTTTATAATTTTTATTCTGAATATATTTTATGAAGTCCTCGTGAATTTATTTTCTAGATGGTTCTTCAAGTTAAAATTTCTATCGACCACTATGCCCTCATCTGTTTCGTGCGTTGTTGGGACAAGCGACGTATGCTTTCCTCGACGCACTCACGGGCCCAAGCTTCAAATTAGAGCTCTCCCCTATTCATCCCTGTGGAAATCCCTCAAGCATATGCGTCAGTAAAAATACTAAACATATGCGCGCCAAAAATACAAGGGAGGTACTGACTCAGTGTTTCCCTTGATGTATTGACGCGCATATGTTTCTTTGAGGGATCCCTATAGACGGGATGGATTAGAGGAAGCCTTAATCGAAGCTCCTGGTTTTCAAAAAACCTGCAAACCTATTCCAATCCTGGTGTGTCACCCTCTGATATGCCACATGGTTCGGGTTGCCCGTATTCCTGAGAGGGTTACATGATGGAGGGGTCGTTACATGATCATGATATTATAATTAATATGTCTTGTCAAGATAATTGTGGTAGAAGATGATGTGGGAAATAATATCTTCGTGATGTTCAACATGGTCTTTCCGGTCATTCTTATGATTAACAATGTATCAGCATCAAGTTCAAGATTATGAAGATCATGAATATAAAGGTTAGAAAGTTGTCCGTCGATGTCCCTGATCTTTGAGCAAGATCATGAAGAAATTTTCTTCAAATTATAGTTGTAATACTTTGAAACTGGCTTCTGCACTATTCCCATCTCGATAAACTTGGCTTCAAGGTTTCCGAGGACCTAAAAATTGGAGACGAGATTATTATCAGGAGAATAATTTTCGACAAGTAGTGTCATTTCATGCGAGTACGAAACTGAAGAAGATGCTCCTGCTCTTGTTGTTTCTACTTCGTTTTTCAAACATCATTGTTCATCGATAATAAAACATCATTCGAAAAAACATCTTCAAGAAGAACTAGTTGTATACCTCGAAGCAAAGAAGCCTATCATTCGGGTTTGAGCTTGAGGAATTCACGTTGATATTCGTTCTCAGCACGTCGTTACCTGATTTGGATATGTTGGGAGGAGGAGTATACATCAACTTCTACAAGAACTCGTTTAACTCCAACAACATAAGACAAATATAAAGCTCTCGGAATTATAGTAGGCGGAGTAGGAGCAGTAGGCGTATGAATGGCTCTGGTATTTGGTAGCCTGATTTTGATCATGAGGAAAACAAGAAGGGAACGGTCCTTTCAATTACAGATTTTGCTGCAGAGCGCTTTTGGATGCAGGCCATCGAAGAGATAGACGTCGTAATGTGGTGGGAAACATTCTTCCCAAAATCTTCCCAGTTCCTCGTTATCCCATGCGAAACTTCGGGCCTAAGAATGACGAAGACGCAGAATGAATGAATGAATGAAAATAATGGAGTATGAGTTAGATTGTAGGTTTTTCAACTTTACTAGCCTAACTAGTAAATGAATGAATGTGCCTAACTTCTAGCAGGAAGAGGTATTGTTCTTCTTGTGTTCATTTTTTTCTAAAGAACTTTTGCGTAGAACGACTACATATATTTCTAAATCAACACTTCCTATTGCAAGCAGCCGCTATTGCAACTAGAAGATGACCCGGTCTTACAACATAGACAAGCAACAAGCATCAACATGAATGGTTCCGGTATTTGGTAGCCTGAATTTGATCATAAGGGAAAACAAGAAGAGAACCCTTAGGATCAAATTCAGGCTATACCAAAAATACCAGAACCATACACATCTTCAGTCGTCTAGTACTACTAGTTCTTGTAGCATAGCATCAGTCGTCTACTAGTTGTAGCATCATTACCTCTGATTCTTTGTTGCTTTCTGTAACCTCATCAGCTACACTAGGTTTTGAGTTTGTTGTTGGTGTGCTTCCACCCTTCTTGTCAATGTCGCTCCCAGCAGCCTGCTCTGCTTCCCGCTCTCCGCGGACCTGTGGAGGTAAAAAAGAAGAACAAAAACGAGTTACATGTTAGTTAAGTAGTTAGTTAGTTCTTTGGTTGCGTAGAACCACGAGGAATAAGTATTCCAATAGTACGTTAATGTTTTCAACTACATTCAACTTCAACATCTAACTTCGCTGAATTATCTGTCGAACATCTTCATGGTATTTCTATTAATACCTCTCCAGCGCCTTCCTTTTTTGGGGCTTCATCGGTAAATGTATCGCCAGTGACCACCATTTTTTTTTGAACAAGTTCTTCAAAAGACCTTTCTACACGAAGCAGAATTTGCTTTCTTCGTCCTTCTCCTAAGCACTTACCTTCCTTTCCTTGATGTTGTAAGAAGTATGAACTCCTCCTACTGGTATAGAACTTCCTAATAATGATGAAGTTGTTAGACGATAGTGGACATAACAATCTTCCTAATAAATTTTCATCGCCATGATCTAGATGAAATCGTCATAGCGTTAATATTCTTGTCTCCGTCTCCTCGTCCAATTTTTCATCAATTCTTTTCTGATACAATTCCAGATTCACGCAGCAAATGTAGAGGTGCGTGGGTCGTGTCTCAACATCTACATCCGCTGCCACAGAGGACAGGGAATAGAATCATCTGCACTTCTGTTGACTCCTGGTGAGCTAGAACTACTTGTACTTTTTTATTTCACTTTAAAAAAAACAAATGTAGTTGGCATGGGCTAAAAATACAAGAACGCCCACTAGAATCTATCAAAAATGTAATTTATAAGTATGAGAAATCAATCTGCACACTCACTTGTCCGAAAAAGAAGATGCTGGCAATCAAGTTCAGCATTTATGTCACAATCGAGATTCAACGACTTAGCGGTAAAAACTTCGATTATCTTCTTGTTTCACCGGAAAGAACCAGGCAGTGCTAATGTAAAATATGACAAGATGAATAGAACATGAAAATGTAAAAGATGTTGACTACAAGAGATGTTGAACAATAGATACTTGTCTACTTATCATCTAGGCTGTAGTGGTCGCTTTTGTCTCCACCCGTCGCTGTTGTTGTTTTAGGAAAGATAAAGGTCGTACTCGTCTCTATATGGAGGTTGGACTGAAGAAGCTCTTCAGCGATTCATCTTTCGTAATGGGTAGATCTTAATATCTTTGAAGGAGAAGATCTTGTTGATAATGTTCGCTCATTTGCATACTACTGTTGTGCATATATTTCAACATCGCAATGTCTTCTTTGAGGCTTTTTCTCTCGCGAGAGAGAGAGCTGGTGCACCTTGCAGGTTCTACTTGGCAGTTTTTTTTGATGACTACTGTGTAGTCTGTGTTTGCATCTTCGAACTCAGGAAAGGGCTTCATGAATGCGAATGGTGTTTTATGCTTTGCAGATCTATTAGTCTTTCAAGATTTTCAGAGCTTTTGCGAGAACGACCCCGTCTGCCTCTCCTGGCTGCAGAGTTCTTTAACACGACGCACCATATGAGTTGATGTCAACAAGAAGAATTGTGAAGAACTCATCATGTTCAACAACATGCAGCATACCCACCACATCATGATCAAGAACTACAAGGAGATAGAGACGAGAGGAAGATGTTGACGAGAGCTTGTTTCCATTTTTTAGTAAGTAGATGCCATCTACTATCATGCTGCAGAACACCGCTGGAGCAAGCTGTTCCTTAAGCGCTCCTCGGCATTTCTCCTGTTGTTGGGAGAGTCCTTGACAGGAGAAATGCCGAGGACGAGCGAAGACCACGCAGATTGAACGCAGATACATCAGGTTACTGTTTCTCGAGATGAAGAATGGGGTATTAATATAATCCGGGAATGGGGCTGGGGTATTCGGGAGTCACATATTACAAAACAAGGAAGATTCCACCTCTGGCTCAGGTTGAAACCAGTGAAACAGACGTCAACCTTTGGCGCAATGATGGTGGTAGCGAGTCCGCTGACCTACCTGTGCAGATGAAGGCAACATTGGGAAAAGAGTCCAAGCATGCAGCCAGGTCAGGAAGAACCTCACGTGTCCAGAGATTTGTCGTTGTTCCAGTGGTATGTGACTGAAAAAGCTCATCTATATCGTCAATTGCCACGACAGATGAAGCATCGCTTCTTGTCAACAAGGAAGATGGAAGATTTTTAGGATTTGAATCTCCTGTTACAAGTTTGCTCCTGCTATTGCTTTTCTGTCGAAAGAGTTCCCACATTGCGCGAGCACTTTCGCCTACTGCGCCCTTTACCAAGGAGCTAACCTCAACTTTCGGCAAGTCACGTAGCAACTTGCTCTTACCACAACCTGTAGGGCCAAATACGAAGAGACGATTCGAGGTCGACAAGATCCTGCTCACCTTTTGGTCCAGCTCCACGTCCGCCCCCTTTGATATCACGGTGATATCGTCCTTCTTTTCCACCTCGTCTCCTGGTGGAGGAAGATGTGGACAACTGTCTCCTTTATTTAGCTTTTTGTCATCATTCTGTTCCTCCTCCTTCTGGACGTTGACCTTGACACCATGCTCGTCCGACTCCAGTACAACTGCCTCTAGTGCACTATCGAAAAAGAGTCCGATCTCACGTGCACACGACTCCTGAACACTTTTAGTACAAGAACCAAGTCCTGTGTTTAGTCCACTAGGACTTCTAGTACTAGTGCCTTCCACTTGTGTTGCTGGAGTAGTTCTTGGTGGGCCAGCGAAACAAAAATAGATTGGTGCTCGTTCATCTTTGAACGCGCTGCTTGTTCTCCTGCAAAGTTCATCGTGCAGCCTCTTCCTCCTAGTATCCCATTCTTTCTGTACCTTTCCCACTAGATCGCGTAAAATGCGCAGGACTGGTCGACTCTGCGGCAAGTCACTTCCTCGAAATAGAAAGCATAGAGGGCGTCGCGGATTCTGAAAAACCATATCACAGTAGAGTCGCGCACACGGGATGTCTTCTGCGAGAACCGAAGAAGAAGTCGTTGTACTTCTACTACTAGTTGGAACAATGGGAACACCATTTCTTGCTTCTGCTGTTGATGTCATCTCCACTTTTCGGTCTTCATGCTTCTGCTTCCTTTCGGCTTGAATAGCTTCTTTGCGCCGTTCTACTCGGGCGGCCTCTGTCCGAGCGGCTGTCGCCAAGTCTGCATAATCGCGAAACACGACATCATCTCTATTAGACTTGAGTTGCGAAGCCAGTGCATCCTTGTTCGTCGTGCCAACAACCAAGTGAAAGCCAGTTTTGTATCTCTTAGAGGTAGGTTTTTGGTGCTCGCTTACCCCGCTTTTTATGCCTTTCTCCCTTAGGAGAGGCATAAAAAGCGGTAAGAAAAGCACCTTTAACCTACCCTTAAATCTCTTCGTTGAGTCCCAGTCCTCCTGATGTAGTTGGTTACTTGTTAGGAGTTCATCGTCTCCGAATAGAGAGCGTGGGACAAGTATCAAAGTGGTGTCTCGTTCTCGTCCAGAACTACGCGCCAACTTGTTCTTTGTTCTTTGTTGCTTTGTTCCACTTTTACCACTAGTGCTGCCATTTTTGGAGGAATTGGATACGAAAGCCGTATACTGTGTCAATTTTGGTACCACAATGCCCCAAGCACGACCCCCGCCAATTGATGAAATGTCGACGCGTAAGATCAAACTGTAGTTGTCATGAAGAGTAGAACGATCTTGCTGCATGACCAGGTCAGGATGCAGAATGCTCCCCGCTGGAAATTTCCGTTCAAGTTGTAGCTCTGCCAGATGTCGCTCGTAACGAGAAAAAGTACAACTTCTAGAAGTTATTCCCGGTTGTTGATGTCGTGTTCCTGGACCTCGTGGTCCCTCTTGATGTACTGCCTTGGCCTTCTGGACCACTCTTCTGAACTCGGCATTGATGCTCTTGATGAAATCCAAGTTATGAGGTCGGAGACAGAGTATACTCTCCAAAAACAATGCTGATTCATCCGTCGTGCCGCTCTCCCGGAGCAGGTTGTTTTCCGTCACATCGACATCTCCTGACGAACAAGATGAAGAACGTCCTCGAAGCAGGAACTTGATGTAAGCATCGGGAATCTGCCAAGTTCCTCTTCCTGTGGTGTCGTACATGGCCTCCGCATCAAGCCTACACCGCGCAAGGAAAGAGGCCCCGTTTGAAACAGAGAATGCAGCGGTGAAGAACTCGTCTCCTCTCCTCTGAGCTGTTACCACTTCCTCTTCCAAGACTAACTTGTTCTCACTTGCTGCCGTACGAGCAGAAGAAGAGAGGTCCTCGTTTTGTCCAACATCTTCGGAAGGACGATAACGAGCATGATGCCCGATCTTCTTGAGTTCATCACCCGATTTTGTGGACGAGGCAGCTGCATTCAACCACCGCTTTCTATCCTGAGGAGGTATCAGGTGTATCGGAAGTGTCAGAGTCCCTCCAACGGGGAACGCCGTACGTGCATCAGCCTCTAGACGTACGCGAGATGCCACTTGGCTTCGCAGCTGAACCATGTTGATTGGGAAGGCCTCCATTTTTTTTGAAAATGGTTGATGTTGATGATGTCTTTCAAGCAGATGAACGAAGAAATGAAGGTAAACATGAAACTCTAAAAAAGGTAAATCATCTCCTTGGGGCTTCTCGCCCGTTTGGCACGTACCTCCTACAACTACAGCTAGACATCATCTTCTTAGCTCCACAAGCCAAAACAATTTCAGCAACAAGTCCTGCAGAAATGGCGATTTTGAAGGTCTTGTTCGATGCGTAATGTCAACTGTGGGTCACGTGCGGATCAGGACAACTAGCTTTGGATCTGGAGATGATGTGCACTTCAGAGATCGTGATGGAAGAACTGGAGGCACTCAAGATCATCTGCATGTGATCCAGGTCATGTTGACGAGGCGACTAAATTGGATGGCAGTATGATTTACTGAACAAAAACGAGCAAGAAGAGCAAGTGCAGTTTCTTGCTTTTTCAGAACTCCGACATCTTCATGCTATACTATCACTATCTTCTGCAGGAGCAAACATATAAGGTGGTGACCCTGAAGATGGGGACCCCTGAAAGTAAAAACAGGGATGGATCATCAAGTGAATATGCATAATTTCAATTTCATTGTCCTTTTCATTTGTTGTCACTTGATGTGATTTCGATCGTTGTGAAGAGCGTGGGTGCTATAGAGAAAAAACTATCTTCAAGGAAGAACCGCGTCTAAGTTGATCCATCGAAAATATTTGCTTTTGAGTGAAAGTTTGCTCGTTATTCTTCTGTGAAATCAATGAATCTTCAGTTGAATCTCTGCGTATTTTTTGATCCACCCCGCCATCAACTTACTAGTCGTAATTATAAATATATTCGTTCATTATCTACCCCTCCCCCTTCTTTGATGCGCCTCCAACTCACAAAAATCGCTCTTCCTCCAATCGTTTGTACATCCACCTTTGCAGCACACACCGATTGTCCACTTGGATCAGCTTCAAAAAGAGGAAAAATTTCATCACGCGTACGAAGCGGCTGGGGTCGTTGGACGCGCGCGTATAGACTCGACCTAAGCGGTCCTGCGCACCAGGCTTTTTTGGATCCTCATACCACTTTTGGCCCGTTCCTTGCTCGTCAAATTGTACTCCAAATGTTTCGGCCATTCCTCGACTGAGCACCGAATCTCGCAAAAATGCTCGATGAATCTGGTCGAAGGCGAGTCGATGTTCACGGTTATACGCGTACAGGAACGGGAAGAGAGGAGTATGAAAGGGGGGGTCGACTTCCCTGTGGAGGGGGTCGAACTTATTCGCGAGATGGTCGTTGTTCGTGAATTCGGAAATCTCTTCCCTATATGAGGAAGAGCAACGCATGATTTCAGACCTGCTCATGATCAGGATAAACGAGATTACTGCAGCAAATGAATTATTGGGGCCACTATGTTACTAGTGAAGGACAGCCATAAGCATCCGTCAACAGGTAGTAGAAAAGAAGCAGAAGAGGATCGTCAACGGAGCTTGGTCGCACGTGCAACTGGTTTAAGGCAAGACGAGCGAAGCGTTTTACGTAGGATTGAAATATCTCGCCCCTTTGTACGGTTTCTTCCAAATACCAAGCAACCACTTCCTCGGATCTCGCTAGTAAAGCCACACGACTATGGCAAGCTTGAGTGCTAGCAGCAGTTCTTCGTCTGGTGGACGAGGGGACTGTGGAGATTGGCCTACTTATGGAGGTGCTACTGCTAGTCGAAGTCGAAATTATTGAAGTTTTTTCAAAATAAATCTCCCGTGTGATATTGAAATCCATTGGAGTCCAAAAATCTGGCCAGCCATAGTCTTCTTCCAACCTAGATGGCGATACCGGAAAGGCACTCAGAAACTCCGTCTTGAATTTTGGTTTTCGGTATTTTTGGTTTGAAGACTCGTTGCCTTCAGCGTCTCCGTCGCGAGGTCGCCCAGGGCCATAGACGCGGTCAGCGATCTTTCGAAGCAGCTTGTCATCGATGGTTTTAGAAGTAGAAACAAGTGGTCCCTAGTAGTACTAGTAGTAGTAGTGTACCCATTCATGAGGTACTTAAGTAGATTTGCTTTTATAATTAGAGTACTTATCTATATGTCTGCTCAAAGCAAACAAGGAAGTATATAAGTACATACAACTACATTTAGATTTATGTTGATGATCCATCTTCTAGATCTCCATATCATCAATATGCCCAGGCGCAGTGTACAGCTGTTCCGGAGTTCGCAGTTCCTCCAAGACGGTGTCGATCGCCTGAACTGCTTCGGCAGGCGCCCAGAGATGCCAGGCAGCTGTGGTGGGATCTTCTAGAAGAAGTTCTTCATCTACTTGTTGTTCTAGTACTACGCGGCCGTCGTCGCTAGTTGTAGATGTAGATGCTATAGCTTTGGAGGTGGTGTCGTAACCCAAGATTTTGGAACGGAGATGTATTACATCCTCTTGTTCGGAGGGTTCAGCAGAATTAGACGCAGCTGTTCTTGAGTTAGACCTTTATTCCCCAGTTCGGCTTCCCTGTGGAAATCCCTCAAGCGTATGGTGCGTCAGTATTGATATTCCCCTTGTAAGTATTGGTGCGCATATGCTTGAGGGATCAGGTCTATAGACGAGATGGATTAGGGCGGGAAGCCTTAATTGAAGAAGGCGGCAAGCCGTATCGCTGACGAATACTGGTGTACAGATTATTTTCTTCCCCAACATGATGATACCCACAATCCTGCACGAAATCACGCAACCAGTATTTCCTTTGATCAGCTGCTACGAGTCTCCGATAATCCCCCAACGCTCGCGCGCCGCCGACAGAGTTTAGGTTCAGTTCTTGGATGTTCGCTATGTACATGATTGGGAATAAGAAGTTCTCTTCTTTGTCACGAAAAGCAGCGTCGCCTCTCATATAAGCAGCGAAGTCTTTGTGAGTGTCTCGATAAAAAGCATTCTTGCGCATGCGAATGTGGGAGAAAGGAACCTCAAAAGCCTTGGCGACTTCTTCCACTAAAGTGCGCCATTTTGGGGAGAAAACCAGACGAACAAGACCGTCACGGAGGTTTCGGATACTACCTGATGAATCCTCTGCAGCAGCAGCTGCAGCATCTTCCGGAGCCTTGTTCGTAGTCGTGGTCTGTGAGTGTGAGTCGGAACCTGCCTTCTCAGATGTCGTCCCCCCCGCACTACCATACGTGTACGGAACTTTGGTAAAGTCGACGTTCGGCACGGTCTTCATCTCCGCCACATTGTCATATACTAGCAGCAAAAACCGTTCTAGAGATATCGGACCGTCATCGAGCTCCGCTAGGACCTTTCGTAGCCATAGGCCCAACGCGCGGAAGGTCTTACGGTCTGTTTCATCTTGCTCTTGATGTTGTTCTTGTTCATCTCGTGAAGAAGAAAAAGAGAAAGAGGAAGAGGATGGAGTGTTACTACTACTAGTACTACGTGGCATAAGAAATCGTCGCAACGCCTGTTGCAACGCACTATCAGGAGAAACCACGTCAGTGCAAGTGAACTCCGAAGAAGGTGTGTTTTGCTTTTCTCCATCAGCAGAGGGCTCCGCTGAAGATGTTCCTGTTCCTGATGTTCGTCGTGATGGTGATGTTGGGTAGTCTTCTTCTATCGTAGTACTATCTTCTGGTGCACTTGTTGCTCTACTCCCTGACGAGGGTCGCTCTAGAACTCTATTCCCATGATCGGCAGCACCATTCATTCGATTTTTCTCATTTTCGAATTGATTTGTGAATACCGGATCCCATATTGTGTGCATTCTGAGTGTCGCCGCAGGCTCAACTTCTGAAGTCGGATACAAATCTTCTATACTCGACGCAGCGTCTAATCGACGTTTCTCCTTTTCTGATGGCCGATCCAGGAGTAAAGAAGTTCTCTCCTCGGGGTCGGCGCCAGGCAAAGATGAACTACCAAATCTCGTCCCAGATGATGAATCTTCTTCTGGTGCGCTGACTACATGATCATTTTCTTCTTTCCCATCACTAGACGTCGCAGCCGGCAACCCTACAGCATACCTGTAGTGATGAACTGATAAATCAGCCAGCCGCGCAACGTGCAAGACGTGTCCTTCTCGGACACGCATTGAGCGCGCACCAATAGTGAATGCCTCTCCTGGACGCACGATTGTGCCCTTCATACTCTTTCGCGTCCCTACGGATGAAGCATCTTTCATGGGACGATACTCGTCTGGTGTGATGATCGATGTGCTTTGGAGAAATGTTTTCGACATCACAGCTGCGTTTGATCTCCTACTGTTACTTCCACTACCTGGTTCTTCTTCTTCTCCATTGTCATCTTCCGCTTTATTGACAAGATCGCGTCCTATCGATACAACATCGGACTCAGATATCGTGCACATCATCCTGTCCTGGCGTTGCAAGCTGGCTGATCCTGTTGCAGAGAGAGGCATTTCCACGACAAATCGCGGTTCCCCATTCTCATGCGTAAACTCGGATAGAACGTTCAGTTTGTCTGCATTTGTAGTCCGCATTACGACTTCCTTTGCAAATGGATTCGAGAATGTACGATGGACTACATTCGATAGCAATGAAACGCCACTTCTTCTAGGTGACGCTCCCTCGCCAATAGACATGAGACTGGAAGTTGTCCTCGCGTTCTTTGTCTTGCTGCTCCCCTCGTCGTCAGCAGATGGAAGATTCTCTCCTGTGCCGTTCCTACTTGGAAAAACGAATTCCAACAATGGAATCTTAGAGACCGGTAGTCGAAAAGGCCACCGTTGCCATGGCGTGGGCCAAACGTCGGTGACGAGGTCCAAATCCTCCAAGACTCTCCTTTCCACATGCATCTCCCTCGCACCGACGCCTCTTGCGTTCTCTAAAAACCGAGGCTGCAAGTCGTCGGGTCCACCATAGGTCAATTCCTGCAGGTAAACGCCAGCAACGATAGGAGATGGCGTCAATGGATGGTATGGATGTTGTCGCTGTGTTCTTGGTTCTTGTCCATGAGAGGACTGCCCCCCAGCACGACTATCTCCTTCTACAGAAACTAATGGACACTGCCTCGCCTCACTTGGTTGTGCAAATCCCACTGGTGCTGTGCCCAAAAATGCTCGTAGTTTCTCTACCATACTCGTTTTCCTGGCACCACCAGTCCTGAAATCTTCATACCGATCCCCTGCCACTAAGGCCTCATCGAGGTCCGAGAAGAGTAACCAATCCACGTGTCGATTCCGATATAAACACGCGGTCAAGGCTAAACCATGGGCGGCGACCAGGTCCCATTCCATCGACGCGCTTTGGATGCGATCTTCACATTGCAGTGTTGTCAATTCTGGTGCAACGCGGTAGAGGGAAAAAGACTCCACTGGGCTTATTATTCTTGTGGAGGTTTCTTGTTCATCTTGTAGTTGTAGTTCTCCTTGAAGATGAAGGTGTAGAAGTTCTTTGCGTGTGCCTGGTGCTGTAGAAGTAGCAGAAGCTGAAGAACCTCCTGAAGGTGATGCAGGGGATGAAGATGTAGTAGTTCTCCCATCATCATCTCCTCTCCTGTTGATGTTGTTCTCCAACAATATCCGTCGAAGATTTTCCATATTTGGTCTCGCGCTTTCCGGTGGTCCTAGTTCGTAAAGGGAGATTTGTGGAGGCAAGTGCGGCCCAAGCTGTACCTTCTGGAGTTCGATCCAATGACTGAGCAAAATTTCCTGAGGTTGGAAGATGCCACTTCTCCGTAAACCAAACATCGCGCCAAGACAGGTGCCAAATCGTAGATTCTGAGAATCAATGTGAGCCTGAAGCGAACCGCGACTGTCGTAGTCTCCTTGGTTTTGTTCCTCTTGATGAACTTGATGATGAAATTCTCTTTGTTTAACATTGACGTCCTGTCGTGCTATTCTCCCAGCATCACTCAAAATCCTCTTCGCTGGTCCCAACACGTCTGCAGCCGTCCTCACACTTCCTCGCTCAACCTCTGGTATCCGGCACAAGGGGACAGACAACAATGTTGTCATGCGGTCAGACATTATGCCAAAACCGTTTTCTAGAAGCTGATTTGCATCCGGCCGCGTCCCGCGGCGTCCTCCTCGTCCTTCTATTAATGGTGCTCCTTCTTCAGTATTGAAGATCCTGTTCGTTTGCTGCTGCTTCATATGCTTCACGGCTCCCAACTTCGCCAGAGTGTTCAAATGCAACTCCACGTGGTGACCCTGTAGGCCTGTGTACTCGAATGTCAGATGAAACGTATCCACGGAAACGAACTCTCTGCCATCTCTTAGGTATCGAGCCACTGTGGAAGTGTCAGTTGACAATATGCACTGCACCACAAAGCCAGGTAGGGGTGCACGCGGAAAAAAGCGTCGGATCGAAACATCATTTGCATAGGTCTCGTGCTTTAGAACACTGCAAGGAGACGACTCAAGCCAAGCACGTTGGAATCCTGCGCCATAGATGAGTTCACAGCGACTTGGCGTCTCGATGGATAGCTGGTTGTTGCCATTGACGGTGCGTAGGAGGAATTCTATGACGTAGCTCGTACTTCTAGGTGTCCTTGACGAGGGCAAACTTGCGGCCTGCGTTTCTTCTTCTTGCAAAGGCACAAACCTCCCTACGCTGACGCCCAGCATAATCAACTCCGCCGGATAGCCCTCTATCGGCAGCCGAAAAGGGCCACCACACATCCTGTATTCGTCCCAGAGGACACAGCTGTCGTGATACTGCAAGACTCGTCTTGCATGAAGAGACGCAGAAGGAGAAGCCGCCGTGTTCATCTTGACTGAAACTGAGTCTCTAGCAAAACCGGCAAGTTGATCCGAGACAGCAGCACATGTCGCCATCACGCGTTCACTGCGGAGAATCGTGTCGATTGGTTCCAGCGTAGTAGACGTAGACGAAGATGAAGAAGTTTCATCCTCGTTTGAGACATCTTCGCCAAGATCATCTTCATGATCGTCTCTATCATCTTTCAAAATCATCGACTCGATTGCGTATTTCGTCGGCAAGAACTTTGGTTTATCGTCGTGGTCCTCATGTTCTTGTTGAGACACATTCTCGCCAGATGACCTTCCCCTTAAATCGTCATCATGAAATTGCGCCAACTGATCTAACATCGTCTGAAGCAATGCTGCCGTTCCTGAAGCCAATTCCAACGCGTGATCCCAGTCCTTATTGTGTCTTTTGATATGCGCGTTCAGACCGCCAGCTAAGACTAAGGCGTTGGATCTGTCGTTTAGAGCTGCTCACCCTAAGGCATCTTGGAGTGCATCCTGGTGCTCCACCCTTTCTGTCCTCGAAAAAAAGTCGCAGCCGCAGGATGTAGTTTCATCTGAAGATGGATGAGGGGAAGCCTTAAGTCTTGTCGGAAAAAGGAGGATGCCATAACTCTGGCTTGGAAATGCATTATCCACTGAAGCAAGTTCAGAAACGCGCTACCAATGCCAAACACAAACGTCGCGTCTCCTTCTGATGTTTGCGCTTGTAGGATTTCGATTTGGTCGAGGGCTAGCTGTTGTAGAAGTAACGGGTGAGATGAAGATTCTACTTGTTGATCTTCATGCTCAGAAGAAATTTCGGTCTGGGGAGACGTTTGTTCATCACTTCTTGTTTTCGTTTCTTCGGCGGGAGATGGTGTTCTTGATGTGGTTCTGCTTCCATAGTAGTCGCGTACACGCCGTTTCGTATTTTTCACACCACGTCCTCCTCCTCGGCCTTGAGGATTCTTAGAAGAGACTATTGCAGCTCCTGCTTCTCCATCTTCAACAGCTGGTGTGCGAGAGGCTTTTGCTTTTAGTTTCCCGATTGCTTTCCGTAGTCTCCTTACCTCCTTCCCCTTCAAAGCGTCACTTTGATCTAGAAGTGCTGGCAAACACACGGCATCCCGCCACTGCTTGTAGTGGCCAAAATTCTTGTCTCGCATGGCCACGTAAACGAAAAAAAACAACGCAACCCCAGTCGGCTGCAGCAGGGTCAAGGCTCTGGCGAGGCACTGTAAGTAAATGGCTTTCACGAAGTGGTCATGGCTTCCCACGTCGACGTCGAGAAAGGGACGGATGTAAACGCGGCCTGATGTGTCCTTTGTCTTCTTGGTTTTTTCCCTTTCAGAAAGGCACTCAAACTTTCTTCTGCCCTGACCATCTCCATCACCTCCTTCCCTCAACCTGCATTCCCTACCTGAGAGAACTGCGCCTACATCGTTGATCAGGACTGCGCGAGTCAGCATTTCCAGTCTTTTGACTGCTCTATGCTGCCGCCAACGGCCCGCATCGGTTAGTGAGGACCAAGGTGGCACTGGCAATAAGTGCTCAAGCGTTTTCTCATAGAGATATTCGCTGTATTGGTTGTACGTGAAAGGCATGTAGTGGAACAAGTACAAGGGCAACATCAGCTCGAATTCCGGCATTGAGTATCCGTCGGCGCGCGAGACCAAGCCGGGAAGGGGGCATTTTGCGCTTTCTCCAATGTCAAAGAAATCGTAAGGACGCGACATAGAATCCCAAAATCGAAAACTTTGGTGTTCCTCTAGTGGTGCTTCAGACTCTTTATTCATCTTGTTGTTCATTACCGTCGATCCTCGATGCAGATCCGCGACTGTGGGAAGTCCGAGCATGCCCATGGTGTTGTTACGAAAAAAGGCAGAAATTGACTGCTGCTTGCGCTCTCCTGGTGCGAAAGGCTCTCGACCTTGGACATCAGCCCACGTCTCGTACTTTGGCCAGTCACCGCCATTCTGACCAACAGCTAGGATGTGAGGCCAGGGAAACTCGGTTAGACACGCGAAAGCGTCCTCGTCGGCGCGTTCTGCTGCTCCTTCTGCTCCCTCCTGTAGTTCTTCTGGTGCAGCTTCTGGGAGTGAAGAAGATTCTTGTAGTTGTAGTAGATCTTCAGTTGCGTTGCCACTCGTCCCATGATACAAGCTCCGCACGACAGTCATATGCCCTGATTGCAGTAATGGATTCTCGCTTACGAGAGATCGATGTAAATCATTGATCAATTGTTCGTCATGCTCATCGCCTTTTTCTGTGCTGTCTCCACCCGCACCCCCGACAGCCAAAAAGCCAAAACTATGTCCCGATCTCATCAGCTTGCCAGCATCCACAATACGCAATGCCTGCCACATAGCTGTTGAACGTGGAGTGGAAGGACGGGCTACTTGGCTCTCGCCGGCTTGAGGATCGATTGCAGTGAAGATCCGAGGTCTCACATCCGATGACACATAGATGTGAACATTGTACATCTCGGCAAAGAACTTTAAAAGATGGTGCAGCTTCTTGCGGATGTAAGACGCCACAACTAGTGCCAATGAAGCACTGCTGGAAGAAGGATCACTTGCTGCCGATTTCGAAGCTGGTGCTCTGCTTTGTTTACCTCCGCTTCCACGACCCTCGCCATAACCGCCACTCATACTAGCATCTCCATCATCGTCGAATACTGGAAGGACCACTACGATTTTCGGAAACACAAATTTGTGTCTTGACGATGAGGTTAGGACTGAAAAGGCATCCTTTATGACAAAAGCTTGGGGGCCCATGCTACCCGGTGGCTGTCGCCATTTCGCTTTTTCATCCGCCTTATTTGATGAAGAAGTAGTTGTGGTGGAATTTTTCGACCGCGGTGCTGAGTTCTTATCGCGGCTCCCAGGACTCTCGTCTCGTTTCCTGTAAACCGCTCCTTCAAAACGCGCGTGGTTCGCTTTGCCCTCTCGGTGAACTGCGTTGAAAATGAATGCGGTGACAGCGTCCAATAGCGTCTTATAGTAGACATATTGCTTGATAATATGTCCTGTTGTACCACTGGTACCGGTTTCTTTCTTGCTCGCGGAGGTCCCACGAACATTCTTATTCTCGGTCGCCCCAGCACGAGTGACAAAGAGAATTTCCGGTACATCATTGACTCGTCTACCTGCTTCTCCAGCATCGTCATTTTCTTGAAATTCCTCGGCCTTCTGCGTCGATGTCGAACTACCACCAACATCTTTCCAGAAAAAGTCGTCGGCATTTATTTTCTCATGTGTATGCCGCACACCTCGTTGACCGTCTGAGAAAAGGTTTTCATCGGCGCTGTTCGCGAGCAGACCAGTGAACGTCGACGTGAAAGGCGCACTCTCACCACGACGACCATTCGCAGCTAGAAGTAGAGATGAAGATACCAGGAACAAAGAATAGAACAAAATGCGGTAGCTTAGTACTTGATTTTTCGCTTGAAAACTCCTTGACAAAGACGCAAAGGCACTCTTCATCTCTCAGCCATCAAGCGCTCACTTCTACTCTGCGTCCCACCTATGTTTTTCCCCGTGGAGAGCCGGGTGCAAGAAGGAAGTTGTTTTTAGGGTATGAAAGACAAGTGGACCATGATCTTTCCAGAAACAAGAATAAAGATAGAAACAAGAATAAAGATGACTTCGAGGACGCACGAACAAACATTAACATTATACAACGAGTCGTGAGCGTTATACAGTCCGCAGTCGTGCGAACGCAACAGTAACACGATGAGGAATCTATAAGTATATGCGGAGGACGCAAGCGGGATAGAGAGCAGACCTTCTTCATCTCCTGGTTTGCAACAGGTTCTTTCAGTTTCACTCAGCACACCTTGTGATAGTACACATGCATACTCAACATCAAACAGCTTTGAATTAGGTCGCAGACATTCCAAACGGCCAATATCCTGCTATCTGTAATGCCGCCTTTACCACTCCAAAGTACCCTGGTGGTTGCAAAGGGGTCAGTTTTGGCGCTTTTTCTATAGTCTCAACATCCTTGATGTTACTTGCTCGGTCAGCACTGGCCAAGGGAAGACTTCCAGCTACATCCAATACATAGCGCTTTGCTGCTGCATTCCCACCATCTAAAGCCTCGTAGATCTGTGTGAGGTCTGAGACTGGTCTGAGCTCTATCGGCAAGCGAATGTCATGTGCTGCGCAAAGTTGGACCACTTCGCGAGTGTTGCCTAGAGACCCTGTCACCGAAACACACACATCCTTGACCCCAAGCATGGTAGAGGCAACGAAGGCGCCGAAGGTTTGCCTGCAAGCCCCGAGGAGGACGAGCTTGGGCGTGAATCTAAAATTGTGATGTTGTTGGGAAGATGATCATGTACTTCGTAAGTCCTCGTCACGCTAAGCGTAATCATGACATATTAAGTTGTAAGATGATCAAAAATTTTATCAACGTGATTCGATGGTGATAAACGTACTTAGGTACTTCTTCTCCGCTCCAGCTCCAAAATCGTAGGATTTTTTCAGCAATTTCCGGAGTGCAACGATGTCGTGATCCACCGACACCGTGTCCAAAATGATATCGAAACTGCCTTCATGCTCTGCCAATGAACTAGGATCTGTAGAGTCTATACACCCTTTTGCCCCATTCTCCTCTGCTAACTGCTTCTTCGAAAGACCGCGTGTGATGGCTACGGTTTCTAATCCTAGGCCTCTCGAACTCAGCTGCACACCCATTACGCCAAGTCCACCGATACCAACGATACCCACTTTCAAAGATGCTGGACTCGAAGATGGAGTTCCACTTAGCCGTTCAGCAAGAAAACCAGACCTCCCACTTGCACCAAGACTCGCACTTTCACCACCACCACCACTACCTTCTTCACACAAACCAAGTGGTTTCAGCAGATGTTTTTTCAAAGGTTCGTACATTGTTATCCCTGCACACAGGATCGGTCCAGCATACTCCAAAGGTATGGCGTCAGGGATGGCAATGCAGCAATTTTCTTGGACCACCATTTCCGTGCTATAGCCTCCTATTGAGCGAGGTTGGGAGATGAGATGCTGGGAGGAGGATGTTCCAGGCTCACACGTAGTAGCTCCTGAAGTGGATAAAGGTGAAGACATACTCGTTCCGTCTTGAAAGACATGTCTGCCTTCTTCCCAACCTTTGGCAGGGCTGTTGTAAGTTCCAACACGCCTCACACACTCGTTTTCACGTCCGTCCGCGCACTTATCGCAGTCTCGACAACTGTCGACCATGGTCCCAACACCCACACGGTCGCCAGCTTTGAAGTTCTGAACGCTGGTACCTACTTCGGTTACGACGCCGACCAACTCATGACCCGGCACGCACGGATATCCCGTCCCGCCCAGAAGTGGCGTGTGGTTCGCAGCTGCATGCAGATCTGATGAATGGTTCCGGTCTTTGGTGTAACCTAAGAAGTTGGACCATAAGGGAAAACAAGAAGAGAACCCTGCTTAGGATCAAATTCAGGCTATACCAAAGACCAGAACAACCGTACATCTGAATGGCAGACACCGCAAAAGAGAATCTTAAACCGGACGTCATCCTTCTGAACTGGTCGTCGACGTAAGGTTGTGGCGTGAAAATGACACGAGGAATCCGCACAGGCCATAGCACGAACGAGTATGGCGCTCGTGGCAGCGGCAGCAGACGAGACGGCAGTGTGGTGCGACATGTTTCTTGTTCTTGGATACCGAGCGATCTAGTTCAAATCTGAATTCCTCGTAGTGGAGGACGGACTTGTTCGAATAGTAAATCACAATTGAATCGTCTTTGACTCTACTCATGTGAAAAATTCCCCTAAATCATGCTGAAAAGCTGTAGCCAGAAAAAGAAAAGATGATTACAGAAAACAATCGCTTTTCACAAAAGAAAAATGAGGGCTTGGGGGGATTGATGGGAAGGAACGGCAGAAAAGCAGCTTTTTAAAGAGTCTGAATCTGACAACATGAAGACTGAAAGAATTTTACGATAGTGGCTGCGTTATGTCAGTCGTGTCCCTCGTATTTGTTTCATTTGATGGCACTGACTAAGAATGGAAGAACAGGCACTTAGGCAACCAACGATGAAGGCAACCTGGTTGCACAAGTTCACGTTTGCTTCTGGTTGTAATGGAAACGGCAACTGCACGCATATTGAGAAGATTCATCGAAGTTTACAAAATTTTTTTGTCGTAGGCTGACGCTGCACTAAGAAGAAGAGTCGACTGCCTGCGCAGCACCAGCAGTTTGTTCAACAACGTCTTCTTCATCTTTATGACGTCCCATCTTCAGGCAAGTATGTTTTTATTGTAACAGCATGCCATTTCTCTATTTCCGCTCTTATAGGTTGTTGAACTAGCCGTTCGCGCTGTAACCTCGACTTCCCTTCGAATTTTGTGCTTTCGACTTGAATTTCATAGCTAGTTCCACAACCGCCAGACCGATCTATCACCTTCACTTGCGCGTCATTTCCGAACGCAGATTGAAGAGTCGCGGCAACAGAGGCTTCGTATTCGCCACTGTGTTATCATGGAGGATGCATGTATTTTTTGGAAAAAAATTTTCTGCTTCATCAATGGTAACATCAAGCGTTAATTGTGAGACTAATATGGAAATGGAAATGGAAATTATGAGACTGAAAGTATCGCCCGCTGCTTCCAAAACCAAGAGTCGAAAACAACTAAGAGCGGCCAGTGCTAGGCTACATACTTGAATACCATCCTACAGACTATATATACGGGGACCCCTTGGGGGTTAAGTTCTTGCTGTACACTTTGGGCAACGCCGGCCCATGTGTAACGTACTTCTTAGTCGTAAGTCTGAAATGGAGGAAATTGTGAGACTGAAATGGAAATGGTACCCAGACGTTGCTGAGAAGTATCGCCCGCTGCTTCCAAAACCGAGCTGTTGTTGCATCCTATTTGTCGTTCCCCCCCTGCTCCTCCGTAGTGAAGATTTTTCCGAAATAAAGTTGCATCTACTTGTTCTGAGAGAATTGCTTCCGCTTGAAAGACTGGACGAGGTGCAGTTGCTCAAAAGTCGAACTTTGAGAGCGCTCCTCTGTGCAGTCGAAAAAAGAGCAGCAACTTGTTGCACTGCTCGACTCGTAGTTGCTGAAGATGTCATTTTTCTTGTCCTCTGACCTCTACAAGTACGAATGCTCTTGTGGAAGAACTAAAACCGAATTCCACTTCTAGAAAAAATGAGTTGTTCTCGTCTCACCCAGCACCTCTCGTCTCACAACGACCATGAAAGACAATCTTTCGAACCATGGAAGAAACGGAAACGGGTCTTGGCAATTTCAAAGAAGTCTTCTGTTTGATGTTACTTCTACTAGTACAACAATTGACGTTGACGACCGAGCCTCGAACAACTTGTTTTCATCAACAATGTCTTAGATGAGTAAAGTAGGAACAATATATTTATAAGACTTGACCTTTCATCTAAGATGAGTAAAGGTCTTCATCTGTTCATCTTCTTTGACAACAGGGATGAACACAACATTTTTATTGTAGGAGATGGCAATCCGGTTGAAGTCAGGAGTTTTTCTAGTTGTCATACTAGTGCCGACAGAGTACGAGATGGAGGAGGGCCAGGAGTTGTTCTAGTTGTCATACTAGTGCCGACAAGTTGTCGACGCACCATGTTGATGTTACAATACAATACAATTAATATCGCTTTTTTTTTTTTGTAGTTCGAGCGAGTTCCGATAAGTCAGAACCTACCACAAAGTTCAGTGCAGACTGCCGCAAGGGCGTCATAGTTGGTATACAAGATGGATCTCACGCAAGGATTGGAATAGCGAAGCGGTGCGGTTACGTATGTTTTGGAAAGTTACAACTTAACAAGAACTAGCCCGAAACGAGAGACTTAGAAGATAGATGACGATATAAGAAGAACGCATGTTTTCGTGAAAAATAGTTAGATGATCATGGAGAACAAGAAGGACAACAGAATTATCTTTTACCACTTTTCATCTTCCCATCTTTGCCTTTGCCCTTGCCTCCTTCTTCGTTCAGCAGAGGGCCCTTGGCTACTGCCTGGAAAGAAGAACCTTTAATGATGCCCTTATCAACCGGAGGCTTCCCTATCCCTTGTTTCATTGTACCCTTCCCACCCAACGATTTCGATTTGTCGTAGTATGAAGGATCTCCCGGAGGCAGTGGGAATGAACCCTTATTATAGTTCTTCTTGCCTTTACTAGCAGTATATGGAGGTGGCCTGTGTTTGCCTTGCCTTACGGCCTGCATGCTTAGCAGATCTATAGCTTGGTGGTACAGCGGGCACTTACCGGTTGCGATAAATTCTTGACACGTGTCTCCATGTGGGCAGCGACGATTCCGATCGAAATCTATCTCTTTCAACTGTTCGTGCTTGTTCGTAGTGTTGCTCACCAGGTCGTTCGGTGTACCACGATCCCCGTGCGGAGGCTTTTCTTGTGGCTCTTTACGTTCTGAAAGGTGGACCACTACACCAGGAGCCTGTTTGTTCATTATACCACTTCTAGTACAGGCAGTTGGGACTATGAGGCGAGAACAAGTGCCTAGTATTCCCGCAGAAGCACCCCCTTGAAGCGGTTGATCGGACTGTTGTCCACTGTTCTTGTTCTTCCTAGCGGAAGCTCCCCCCGACGCCGACCTTCTTGTTCTTCTTGGTCGTGAATAATTACGTCCTGGCGATTCACTACCTCCAGAAGCACCTGCAGGTGAAGGAGACATGTAGAACCAATACATAGGAAATTACAGTTAGCGTTATCTTCAGGCTGAGCAGGAGCCAAGGTCTGTCATCATGTCATTTCGTGTGCCCTCTTAAGCCACGTGGTCAAGTAGCCTTGAGGTAGTTCAGCCTAATTGTACCTCATATTCAACAAGCAAGATGAAAGAATTTATTTTTGAGAACCACATCATGATGTCGTAGAATAATATTGTTCAATAATAATATTTATCAACGCAAACTTATACATAGTCATAGATACCATATCCATCTCGCTGGATATTCGATGTTTGCTTCTGCAACTTCGGAGGAGGGGCAGGGCGAGAAGAGGTTGATCTTGATGTTGTTGTACCAGTTGTATTTTTGGCTGCAGCATTTGGCGGGCAATTCGAACCTCCAGCTGCCTTGTTGTAGTAACGAACAGGTCTTCTGCTTATTTCTTCGCTTCTGGCACTACTAGCACTGCTCTCGTACTCTAAACTTTCTTCTTGTGCCTTCTGCTTCTTTTTCCTTTCCGCTGGTAGTTCCTTCTTGTGAAGCCGACTTGTTACAACTTCTTTTACTTGTTCAACTACTACGGCCTCGTTTTCCTCTTCTACAGTCTCATCAACCTTGTAGTTGCCATGACCATCTTCACCTGTATTTGTACCTCCAACATGATCATCGAGACTCAACATCTTTTCACTCGCCCGCCCGCCTTGAAGACTATCCTCACCAGGCGTTGGCTCATAAAAATCGTCGTCAGGATCTGCATCACCCATCTCGCTACTCCTGCAACGATCTTCGAAAGGATTTTGTTGCTTGAAAGGATTTTTGCTTTGCTGTTCTAGCAATGCAGCTGGTACAACTAAAGGCAGCTCTTCTTGTTCTTGTTCCATGTGTTGTGCCTCGTCTTCTTGATCTTGAGCCTCTATTTGGTCCTGATCTATCCTCCTTCGCTTCGCGTCATTACTAGAAGCTTCAACCGCATCAATATGATCGACTGGTGGTCGCGGAGGTGGAGCTTTGAACAGAGCACCTCCAGCATTACTAGCAGAAGAAGTTGCGATATTCTTATTGACGCCGTTAGACTTAGAAGCAGATGATGAGTTAGCGGTAGTTGATCCCGCTGGAGGACCTGCAGGACCGTTGATTTCAACGCCTGTACAACTAGTAGGTTCTAGTGGCACTGCTTTTCGCGAAAAGTTAGCCACGTCATGGAGCAAACTAGCGGTCGCTCCAATAATCGATTTCTGAATTAGAATTTAAGTTGAGTAGAAGTGCTTATTTTTTTGCTTCTCCTTTCAGATGAAGATGTCAGCTTGTTCACCACAACAACGCACCAGCGATGTATGAATCCACCCGTGGAGACAATGGAGGAAACGTATAGTATAGATACATGTACATTTTGACTCAAAGTTAAAATCTTCACGTGGTCAACGTCAAATTAGTTTTTCCAATCTACCAAGTCAAAAAAAAGAGGTTGTAAGCAAGAAAAACCCAGCATGAAAATTGACATTGAAGGGATCCATCCAAATATTCCTAACTCCATCTGTGCGTGCATCTCTCCGCGAATTGTTTTCACATTCTGTTGAAGCTGGTCGCACAGCTTCTCGATCTCGGCTCGATCGTGGGCGCGCAATTTCTGGTACGTTTTCATCGCAGCTGCATTTGCCTTACTCGAAGAATCCGCTAATTTTTGCTGTAGTCCTTGTATTAGAGCTCACGACCCAAATGTTGATCCATCTATCTTGACTCATAGTTGTATGGCCACATATCTTATGAGTGATGAGAAGGTGTTTCTGTCACCAGCAATGGGTGGACTCTCTCGGGACGACTCATTTTGGAGCTGCTGATTGCTGTCCCTGATGTGTTTATGTTTCATCACCTCGTATATGGGACAGCGACCACAGGTCCAACTAGATGCTTCAACAGAAGATGGACATGGAAAACATGAGCCTTGTTTGGGAAATGGATCATTCATTAGTTTTGAGCCTTGTTTGCCTTAATCGTATCTCAGTTTCTTTAGAGGCCAAGCTTTCCCGCACGCTTTTAAGCTGGTTACCCAGGTGATCGATCTCTGCGTACACCTTTTCTGAGTCGGCGACAAGAGTGTCGTAGGCATCACGCAGTTGCTTATTCTCAGCCTCGCACTCACGAAGTCGCTTGTTTTCGGCTTCGAGCTCCTCACACCTCAGCTCTAGAGCCTTTCGCTTTTCGGCAACCCTACGAATGTAAGCACGATCTTCGTCATCCTCAAGCAATGATCCTTGTTCTTGCTCCGCCATTTTGTTGATCTTGCTCGTCTACGAAGAAATCCGGAGTAGAAGTTCTCCAATCATGGCTGGTAGAAGTTACTACCTACGCGAAGCAGAAAAGACCTTTGCTCAACATGAGTAGAAAAAACATAAGTCAAGAAAATAACAGCACTGTTACTTCTTGTCAGTCATGGTACCTCTTGCGTAGCTATAAAAAGTGTCTACTTGGGAGGCCACCCAGTAATACTTACAGTTCCTCTTTCAACTGCAGTTGTTTGTTCAAGAAAAAGAAATCCTAACAACACGACCCACGTAATACTGATGAAGATGATCTACAGTATAAAGTACGTAAGTAGGTGCCTCGTTCTTTTGGTATGAAGAACAACTGGAAGAACTGGTGCAAGAATGATCGATAAAGTCTCTGGGATTGCTTTTTACGAGTCGTAGTTTTTCCAAACAATGTTGTTCTTGTTGGTCATTGCAAAAGTCTCGTAGTCCGTCGAACGTCATTGAATGCAGCACATGCCTCGTGCTCAAGGCCGAAGATGGAGCTACTAGTTCGCGCATTAAAATTTTCTGAGCTTCGGCTCCTCTTCAAAACATGGCGTAGAGAGTAGAGTGTTCCTGGTGACCTTCATTAATATGATAATTCGCATCAGTGTACTAGTCGTACCAGTCTCAACTTCAACTTGAGAACCGATTCGTATCACTTGATCCGCATCCGCCTGGTGATCAGAAGTGTGAATAACAGTTTGCTCTATTGGTGGCAACTTTGTGAACAACAACTCAAAACAAAACACATAGTGATAAAAAATACCCTGTCAAGTGTTTTGCTATAGTGTGAATAACAGTTCGCTTCGCGGATCGACGAGCACCTGGTGCCGTTGTACAACGCACAGAAGTAGATGAAGTTTCTTTTTCGTGAATTCGAAGAATAACCTAAAATCTTCACTTGCTGGCGGGGAGGAGGTGGTATAGATCCTGGAAACACAACATCGACATCATGGCTCTTGTCACCTTCTAGCAAGATGAAGACTCTGGATGAAAAAGCTAAGTAGACGACAAGGCTCTTGGTTCGATGTTGGGATTTGCGTAGTCGTGTAGCGAGAGAATGTCAACATTTGAAGATACATATTTATGATATAAGTTCAGATAACAGTTTGCTCTATTGGAGGTAACTTTGTTAACAATAGCTCAGAACTAAGCTTGTAGTAACAGAAGACACCCTGCAAGTTTAAATAAAAGACGAGAATGTCTTGCTTAGGCCTCTTAAAAATCTGTGTGTAATAGGGGACGGTCGGTACGTGATTATTGAAAGAACCTAAACGCTAGTACTTAAAATAAAGGACTCATTTCTATTTCATTCAGGAATAAAGATGATGTGACAGTCTTTTCTGTCTTTTTCGGTTTCACATTCGTATTAGTTACTAGTTACTAGTCGTACTTGATGTGCGTGTAGCTATGAAGTCGACCTTCTACTTCCACTTCAAATTCTCATTTTACCCAATCTTGCTTTTCAAGAAAAACTGTAACTCTCATCTATGAAGAGAAGAGCGTCCACCCCTTCCCCCACACCCTCAGTTTGTAATCATCTCTTCTCTCCCAGACCGACACCTCTCCTTTGTAGCTCGCGATCGCAGGGAGCACCTTTCGGTGAAGTGCATGCGCCTTTCGTTGAGGTGCATGCTCCTTTCGGTGAGGCGCATGCTCCTTTCGGTGAGTAAGTGAAAACACCTGTTCTTGTTCCGGCTTTTGAACGAGGTCCACGCAAGAACTGGTTTTTCTTAGATGAGATGAAGTTGTAATCGATCATCTAAGTACTTAGAAGATGAAAACAACATTATTTAGTACATTTACAATTACAACACCTCCGCATCTACATTTAAGGACGAGCAACAACTACGCCACGACATGCCCTAACAACTCTGCATATCCCTGTTGGAGAAGCTGGGCGTTCGACGTCATCGGCTGCTCTTTGACTACGAGGCGTAGGAAGATTCGAAGATCCAGTTTTTAAGGTCTTCTCTTGATGCGCAAATGTCGGGGGTAGTTCTTGCGAGGACGCCGCTCGCGCCCCGCTTGGCATAGGATCACTCGGAGATGCCTGTAGTTGCTGTCTTTGTCGTGTTCCGCCTGGGACTCTTCCTGATCCTGGCATAGGAGGCGGAGGCGAAAGAAGATTCGCAGACAGGGCTGTAGTTTGCCCGTGGACTCCTGGTGTGACGCTTCCTGCTCCTGCACCACCAGCAGAAGAGGAAGACCCCGCTACAGAGGACAGCACGCTAGAAGAACTAGACTTTCTAGAAGACGCTTTTGAAAACAGCTGAAATTCTTGATTATCACCAGTTGGTATGGGTCTGAGCTTGAGACCAGCAGACGGAGGAAGGACGACCGTAGACGTAGTAGAAGCCGTATTTAGAGGCTGCGATAAATATTGCACTCCTCTTTAGAATATCCTTGCCTTCTTTCCCACTGGAAAACAAGTCAAGGATCATGGTAGTGAGGAATGCGATGTGGAAGCCCCTAACGTATTGTCATCAGGCGGACAAGGGACGGCAGCTACTTGAGCGGGTGGAGGAGTATTCCTACTGTCAACAGCAGCCAGACGGGGAGTATTCCTACTGTCAACAGCGCAACTCGAGGTCGATGGTAAGGTCCACGGTATTGATAGCAGGTTTCGTTGAGAGAAAGTGGTGGTCGATGGTAATTGTTGAAGAGAACTCGAGGTCGATCGTAGTGGTTGTGGTACCCAGTTTCTTCGTTGAGATGAACAAGCAGTCGTGGACGAGGATGATAGTGGTTGATCATGTGCCACTGCCATGGTTTCTTGTTGAGGATTTCGGTTTTCATCTACTGCTCCACTATTCTGCATGTTCGTACCTGGTGCAGGAGCTGCTGAAGAGGAGCCGTTCTTCGCTGCAGTTATGCCTGCAGCGGATGAAGTAGAATTTGACGTAGAAGGTCCGCCGGCGCGTGTCGAAAACAACTCAAAAGAACTGCTACAAGAACTATTAGATGAACACGTTGTCGTCGTGGTGCAGCTGGTCTTCATTACCTTTCTCTTTCGCTCGTGGTCTACTTCATCAAAGTCATCGCGATCACCTCCACTTGATGCAGGTGCTGGTCTTTTCTGAGTCACTTTTCTACTTGAAGGGAGACTTGATGCGGCCTTCGTTCCATGTTCTTCTTGATGCTGAACAACAAGATCTCGTCGTGGCAGCGCTCTGTTGTTGTCCTTGTTCGTCCCATCGAAGATCAAGTTGCTACAATTAGAGCTAGGGGAAATCCATCTTCAGCAGCATCTTGGGCCTGCTTTCCCCTTGAAAAACGGTCTCAGGATGCCTGTGAAGATGCATTTATTGTAGCCGTAATACAACTTCCTCTATTTGCTCCCCGACGACCCTTGACCTTGACGTTCTGGCTGTGGAGGTGCTGGAAGTTGTCGCCATGTTGTTGTTGTTCCTTGCCACCGCGCCCACTCAGTAGTCTTTCATATTGGTGTCGTGTCTCAGTCTCAATGTCCCTTGCCATGTCCATGACGCTCTTGCGCTTCTCCTCGAGGACGTTTCCTCCTGTTGGTGGCGCTCCTCCTTCTTTTGCGCTTTCTGGGCCTCCGCGTGGGCCACTTGAAACTGGACAACTATTCGGGACAGCAGTGGTGTAGTTCTGCAGCTTCTCGCCCTCGACCGGCGTCGTGGTGCCATTTATTGTTGTTGTTCCTCTTCCTGATTCAATATTTCCACCTGAGTTGTGTCTTCGTCTATCATCTATTTCACTAGAACTACCCTTCGAGGACTCTATGTCCATCTCACTGTATGACGAGTCACTGTTGTAGTTGAGATCCTCCTCTTCTTCTTGTTTCTTACTAGATAGTGCGCGATGAGCTGCATTGCGAAGATTCGATGCAGCAGCAGCACAAGTTGTAGCAGATGAAGTAGAACAAGTTGTGCTAAAACTACTAGGAACTTCAGCTGCCTGGTTCTGGTGTTGAGCAGAAGCACTACTGGAACTGGAGGAAGACGTCACTGGAGCCTTGTTTTCAAGGGATGATGATGAAGATGTTGCTGATCCTCCATTGTTCGCAATAGTAGAACGAGGAGAAGTCTGAGGAGCGCCGGGGGCAGCACTAGTAGCACTAGTACTAGAGAGTGTTGCAGCCTTGTTCCCGTGAGGGAAGGACGTGCCTGGTGCTGTGCCTGACCCTCTCCGATTTATCTTCTCAAGGGATAAAGATGTCGCTGATCCTCTATCCGTCTGAGGAGCGCCGGAGAAGTCTGAGTTTGCGCTGCTCGAACTAGGAGAGGGCTCCTCATGATGGAATGAAGGAGAAGAGGCTGGACTACAACTAGAAGTAGACTCCGGAGCACCAGCGGCAGTACTAGTACTACTAGAGTTTGTTGTAGTACTTCGAAGTTGACCCTTGGTTTTATGGTGGGGAAAGGTAGCACCAGAAGCATTACTCGAAGATGTTGCTGTAGCCTTGGATGTTGCTGTAGCCTTGTGCTGATGATGATGGAAGGCTCCTGTAGTTGTGCCTATAAGATCTTCTTCCATATGTTCTTGTTGTATATATTGTATTTCTTTTTGGTGTTGTTGTTGTTCTTGGAAAGAATACGCAGTGCTGCTGATGCAACTACCACTAGGTCTGCCGCTATTTTTTTGTGAAGAACATTTGTTGAAGAATGGTGATTGTTCGGCAAGGATCAAGTCCTTGTTTGTCTCCTCAGCTTCGAACTCGGCGTATGGCGGTGGTGGTGGTGGTGGCGGTGGTGGTGCTGGTGGTGGTGGAGGGGGGTGTGGAAGGGGATTACAACTACTTATTTTTTTCTCGAAGAACTCGGTAAGCACCTCATCTATTATTTTTTGCTCGTCCTTGGACTGGATCACATTTTCAACCTCCTGTAGTCCTCCAGCTCGAGGCTGCCTCTCCACCATATAATTCAATCTCAATAGATTCTTCCTGTTCTCCTCGTATTGTATATCGACAACAGCATCATCACGAGACTCATCACCATTCGTGGCATCGTCAACACGTGGTCGATGGCCATTCTCATCGTCAAAACGTCGAACTGGACCTGCTGGTTCAAGTTCAAGAGCCTCTAGTCCTGGTCCAACATCTTCCTCAGAAGGATAGAAATTAAAGGTAGGGCGGTCTTGGTGTTTCAGAAGTATTTCCCGTTTGTTGTTCTTGTTCTGCCTTTGTTTCCCACTTAGGACTAGGAGAGGCGAAACATCAAACGGAAACAGGAACTACTGAATGGTTCTGGTATTCGGTAGCCTGATTTTGATCCTGCTATGGGAAAACAAAAAGAGAATCCTTGTGATCAAATTCAGGTTGCCAATAAAAAAATACCGGAACCATTTAACTACACCTTTACTAGCTATAGCCTACCCTTAATATAAAAACAGCGCTCGACCTGAGGAGGCTCATCGAATCGGACTCGACGTTTTTTCTTGCCTTCCGTTAATTCGATTTTTTTCGCGGTTTCTTCATCAAGCGAAGGTGGAGGAGGTGGAGGCGGAACCAAATTACTAGGCGAGACATAAGACGACGACGATGAACATGAAGATGCTCCATTATTTGGTATCTTCCCAGAAAGCAAGTCCTTTTGGCTATCATGATTCGACGCAAGATCTAGCACATTCACGCTCGTGATGTTGCCTTGCACTAGCCAACGTCTGAGGGTATTTATCGTCTTCTCTGCGTCCTCGTCAACCCTAGTATTCACTTTCGTGTTGGCTCGAGCGAGCTCATCGCTGAGGGAGCGTATTTTCTTCTCTGCTTCGCCAAGCCTTTCTGCTGCATACCACTTGTCTCGTTGGGCCTTTAGAAGATCTTCTTTCAGTAGTGCTAGCATTTCGGCTTTTGGCACCTGCTGTAAACGTAATATTTATTGTTGGAAGGGCTACACGCTAGAGGTAAAAACGAACCCGTTGCTTTATCATAATTCTTAGAGGTTTTATTTACTGATCATTTCCTTGCATATTCATAACTTCCACCTGTAATTTCTATTTCAGGTTTACTATTCAGAAGACTTTCATGACGATTATTATTATTATTAGGGAGATGAACAAAAGAGCATCATCCTGACTCACAACTAGGGTATCATTTATTATATCGGTGGAGCACACCTAACTAGGAAACAAATAACAAAAGAGTCAAGTAATCCATTTATTCAAAAAACGCGATCAAGAACATCATCATCATCTGCGGCTAGGGTTCAAATTAAATTTTAATGTATTTCTATTTGTCTCAAAAATTGAAGTTGTTTCCTGCTTCTACCTTTTAAAGATAAATACTATCAACATGCTAGCTCTGCCTTTGAAACAGCTGTCAACTAGTACTGGAGGTAACAAAAATTCTCAATGTAGTACGATTTGGCTCCTCGTCAGTGCTCCTTCCTCGCTTGTACCAAGCTGCTTGCGGAGCTGCTCAATTACGTAAGAACTCTCACTCCAACGCTTTTCAGCTTCCTCCTTTTGTTCCTTTTCCATATCTTAGACCTCTCCCTAATCCAGCAACACTGTGGAGTACTTCTAGGCGTAGTTCTTCTTGTAGACTGATGGTCCCCCTCAAGAAAAATATTATGCATCAACAAGATGAACAAGATTTCCTGACCGTATATATTAAACGATGAGTTTAAATGATTGAAGGATCCCTATGATAGATTGTGTCTACTGGAGATCATGGATTAGAAGGGTACGCCTTAAGTATCGAGCTCGATTCGCAAATTATCTAGCTCGCAGTTTGCCCGATCCGGATTAGAGGAGTCAGGAAGACTAGCTCTAGTTATCCATCTAGAATGGCTGTGGAAGAGGTATTCAACATATCGCAATTCAACATATCGCGGCTGAATAGCTAGAAGAAGCGAGCCCCTGTTCAATATCAATAGCTAGAAGTGGTCCAACATCTCCTACTACTCTGTCACGAATGAGCTGAGTGTTCCTCAAGTCCTGCTCATGAGCCATCAGGTGTTCTTCTTAATAAGTAGATCCTCTTTGGTACGCAGCAGATCCTCATTCTCCTTCTTGGTACGCAGCAGATCCTCATTCTCCTTCTTGGTACGCAGCAGATCCTCATTCTCCTTCTTGGTACGCAGCAGAAGATCCTCACAACTCTCTTTGGTACGCAGGTGCAGCAGATCCTCAAGGGCTTTATTCAACTCCACCTGCAGCTGAGTCTTTTCGTCCTCGATCTTGTTCAGGTTCTGGCTCAGGAGATGCAGCTCCTCCATCAGCTCGCGCGTTCTTTCCTCCTTCTCGGTCATGTTCTGGCTCAGGAGATGCAGCTCCTCCTTAGCCTGACGAATTTCTTCTTCGAACTGGTCCATCTTCTGCGTCAGAAGTAGCTGATTGTTGTAGTTTTCTTCACTGCTTAGAAGACGCTTACGAGTAGGTGTTCGGTCGTGATAACCGTCGTAGTCCATGTGGCTATCATTGGGAGGAGGGTCCCAGGAAAAGCCTCGATCAATTGATCCTGGCAAAGAGTCTGGCATTTTTTGTCATTATAGCTATCCTGAAGATTGTTGATATACAATATAGTTCACTTATAATAGTGATAGTAAAATTGGAGTAGTTCTTAGGATTCAGATGGATCTTGTTGTTCTTCAATAATTCTTCTCCACAATTAAAGTACTGTAAAGATCTTAGTACATTAAATATTCGTTGTAAATGAAGTAAATAAAACAACTCTTCTTCAAAGGAGTAGGAGAGGTACACGACTTAATACAGGCATGATCAGATATACGACTAGTGGGGGAGAGTCAACTACTACTCTACTCCTCTATGTGTAATCCAAAAAAATGAAAATCTTTGTTACGACAACAAGTAAGTGGTTTCTGTCAGGTGGGACTGGGGAGCGCGGGATGAAGCACTTACTTGTACTTCTACTTGTTCTTGTAGGTGTAGTAATGGTAGAAGTTTATTACTTCTAGTTTTAGAAAAGTTAGTACAAGAATCTGTAGCAGACGTCACAGAATAAATCACTCTAGGAACTCATTGTACTTCTTTCTTATCGATCAAATCAATGCTAGCGTTAGGCCGCCGCAGCCGCAATCATTCCTGGAGGTAAAAAAGGTAAGGAGGCATAATTTTGAGAAATGGTAGAATCATCGTTATGAGTGCACATCATCCGTGTGTCTCAAGAGCAAGGATCATGCCGATGAGAGTTGTGATTATCCACGTGCCACGATCACCGGAGGGCTTGGGCTGATTTCATGATCCACCAGTCCCTCAACGTTGTATGTAATCAAGATCCTCAAAATAAAAAGCGTGTATGTATGCGAAGCAAGAAATAGTAGCGAGCAGACGGACGCGATCTTCATCGTACTAAAAGGAGTCATCTTCAGGTTCCCTGTCGTACTCGGAATTTCCATTATCTTCACCGAGAAAAACCAGAAGTGAAGATTCCTGTAGTTCGTGCTGCTCCTAAAGACCAGAAAAGTAGATGCGCACTGGTTGTAGAGTGCTGGTCAAAGTAGCAGCAGTGTAGCAGCCAAGAAGGTCTAGCATTGTTCATTCGCTTCACATAATTCATCGTGATGTCAGCATTCGTCATCGTCATGTATATGGAGGATCTTCTTGATGTTGAAGTGTAGTTTGATTTTTATCCTTGAAATAGTTTGAAGGGGCTTTGGCGGGGCACCAAATTATGTTTGTCAAAGGAGGCGCAAAATAAGCATGCGTGTGGTCGTGAAACATCAATCACAACATGTTGAGAATTGATTGTGTGAAACTTGTTCTCCGATGTACTACAACGTTGTATTTCTATCAGAAGAAGAAGATGGAGAGCTTTGGTAAGAAGATAGGCGATACATTATAACATATGGTGACTGCAAGCATGATCAAAAGAAAAAAAAATTGAACATTTCCAAGTACAGTGGTAGTAGAAGCTGCATAGAGTCTACAGTACTATAAGTAATATCTGTAAATCAGATGCAGAAGTGTTCTAAGTATTTTTACAACCACCTCTAGCAGAAGTTGTATCTTCCAAACCACGATATCAATTATCAGTGCTGCTTGTTTTTCTTCTGAAATTTCGCTAGTGCTCCTCCGACCGGCTTAGGCTTCTTTTTCTTCGCTGGTGCCTCATCTTCTTTGGGCAACAATGTCTCTCTTTCTTGTTCAGCTCGTAGTTTTCTTGCTGTTTCCTTTTCTTCCTCCTTCATCCTTGCCAATCGCGCTTTTGCTTCACCATCTAAAAAGTCAGGCATCGCATTCGTTTCCACCACCTCGTCATCGTCGTCGTCTAGATCAGCGAGATCGATTTCCTCATCACCAAGGACGCGAGCAACATTCTTCTTGTTTTTCTTGCTTTTGCCGGTTGAAGAAGAAGAGCCACCTGCTTGTCCATCATTTTCATCCTCGCCAAGCTTGGTCTTCTCGTTGTTCTCACGACCCTCGTCGTCATCCTCGTCATCCAAATCTGCCAAATCCAGATCCTCAGCTCCCTGCTCGTTGTAGCTGACTGCTTTCCGCGAGATAACGCCTGCTTTATTCCCGGCGCTTGCACTCTGCATGACCACATCCTCGTAGTAGCCCAAGCCCTTGATACCAGTCTTGAACACGTACCCAAGTTTATGGCCTGTGTAACTGTCACACGGCTCGAAGTACGCGTCTCGTTCGCGTTGGGTCACACCGAGATCTTCGAGTAGTTTGCGCCTCTTCGCGTCCATCTTATCGTCACCAACGTCCATTTGTCCTCCACGCTTCCGTGATGCAGCTTTGTTGGCTAATGAATTACCTCCTTCTTTCTCTGGGTCTTCCTTCATGGCCGCTTCTGCCTCAGCCATCGGGTTCAGGCTCACCTTGTCCTTTAAATCATCTAACTGAGTAGTGATATCTGGCGCGTTGAAGTGCACCTGCGCGTAAGCCGCTTCGACACTGCGCTGGATGCGACGCATCTCCTTGAAGGAATCGGCGTTGCCGTGAAGGATCTCGAATTGCTGGTACATTTCCCAGAACTTGGGGTATTTACGAGGATCACAATATTGCGACACGTGCTCGTAGATGACGCGGGCACGGGTGAGCTCACCGAAACTGTTCTCCAACTCAGCGAAGAGAAGGCCAAAATGGATCAGCTCCTTGCCCTCAGGAAGGACATCGATGGCGGATTTCAGGACGTTTCTGTGGTGGCATTGGACAGACAGAAAATCATTCAGTTACACGGTGTATACGATAATCGTACTATTTACAGGCAATAAATCAATACTTCGAAGTAGATCTAGTACTAGTAGGTTGTACTAGAAGTACTACTTGTACTTGCCATACAACCATATCAATAACCAAAACAGCACGCACAAAAAAAGCAATTATACCTCGCCACATCTCCTCCTTTGATTTCTCCTGTTCGCACCACCAACAGTGTCCACATTTTCACTTGGATATCAGGATCCTTCTTGCATGCCTCACAGCCTTGCTGGTAAATCGCCAATGCTTTCTTCGCCAATCCATATCGTTCTTCCAGTTTCGCATACAATACATGCAAGCGCATCTGCATAACTTCTGAATTCGAACATGCCCTGATTGCCTCCTCAAACAGGTCTCTGGCGCGTTCCAGCTTCTTGCTCTTGTAGCGCCGCATAAACTTCGACAGGTAGAAAAGCCACAAGTCGTTGCAGTGGGGCTGCTTGAATAGCGTCACGCCGCGTTCGTAGATCTTGAAGGCTTTCTCGAAGTACTTGTACTCTTCGAGGTAGTGGGCGTAGTTGATGATGGTCTGAGGCGTGGCGATCTTCATCTCGATCATGCGCTCATAGGTGGCGCTCGTAGTGTCGAACGTACCGAAATTCTCCTCCAGGTCAAGGACGAGGTACCTAGAAACAGGAGAGAGATGAGGAGAACAAGTGTGAACGTGAAGAAAAAAATTTGTAGTCCTCTAATCATAATAGTCTTAGTAGCGAAGGTGAAGTACCACAGCTTCTTGCTCCTCACGCTCTTCATTCTTGCCGCGTTTGACGTGTCTTTCGGATGCGTGATCGCTGATCTGGCCAATTGTAGTGCCTGTGCGTAGTTCTCGTATTTGAGTTCCATCTCTATCCATTCACACCAGATGCTCGCTACGTCGTCTGCATGTGCAAAATGCACCTTCAACGCTTCTTCAAACAGTTCGCGCACATTCAGGCTCAAATCGCCGTCGTCGTGTTCCTCGAAGAAACGCGCGAACTGGATCCACAAGTCTTGCAATTTCCCTATCACTTTCAGAGGCTCAATGGTGCCCACAGCTTGCTTGTATGTCTCCACCACCATAGGGAGATTATTGCGGTCTCGGTAGATTTCGACACGTTTGATCCATTCCGCGACAACGTTAGGGTTTTGACGGAGTAGGACACTGGAGAGGAGTAGGGGACGCTTATCCATTAAGTCTTCCAAGATCGCAAACTGAAGCTCTTCGCCAACCTGGTCGTGATGTTGAAGAAATTGAAGTTAGGTTTTGTGGTAAACAACATGACAAATTTATATATAAGGTTTCGCAGCTCGCAGGGCAGCGAGTGCAGAGATCACATGGAGTAGGGTAGCATGGAGCTAAAGGGGGAGCTTCTTGCGCCCCTTAAAGCTCTGCGCCCCATCCACTCCATGCACCATGCGTGCTATAAACTAAGTACTTCTCCTAATCATCATAGAAACAGGATGCAATCCACTAATTATGATTAATATCATGAAAAACAACAAGGAATCTACTTTAGAAACTTAAACTATACCGGATCCTTCTCGTCTATCGTCTCCACCCAATCCGACAAGAAAACTTCGTAACTCTCGTAGACTAGTGCGAAATCGTGCGCTGTTGTGATACTTTCGATGGCTTCCTGGTAGGTTGCGCGAGCCTTGTCGAACCAGTTTAGTCGAATAAAGTGATCCGCGAGGCAGATCCAGAGACGGCCGACCTGGGTTTAGGGTTTAGGAGAAGTGACGAAGAGGTGGAGTTGGAGGTAGAAGAGTTATTTTGTTCTAGATATTTTTTGATTCAAAGGGACGAAGAGGTGGAGTTGGAGGTAGAAGAGTTATTTTGTTCTAGATTTTTTTTGATTCAAAGGGACGAAGAGGTGGAGTTGGAGGTAGAAGAATTATAATTTTGTTCTAGATTTTTTTTGATTCAAAGGGATGAAGAGGTGGAGTTGGAGGTAGAAGAGTTATTTTGTTCTATTGAATTTTTTTGATTCAAAGGGACGAAGAGGTGGAGTTGGAGGTAGAAGAGTTATTTTGTTCTATAGAATTTTTTTGATTCAAAGGGATGAAGAGGTGGAGTTGGAGGTAGAAGAGTTATTTTGTTCTAGATTTTTTTTGATTCAAAGGGATGAAGAGGTGGAGTTGGAGCTAGAAGAGTTATTTTGTTCTATTGAATTTTTTTGATTCAAAGGGACGAAGAGGTGGAGTTGGAGGTAGAAGAGTTATTTTGTTCTATTGAATTTTTTTGATTTTGTATTTGAGCTAGGCAAGTGAAAGACGAAGAGTTGTAGTTACTCATGTATTTTTGCAAGTTGTATGAATGGTTCTGCTATTTGATAGCCTGAATTTGATCACAAGGATTCTCTTCTTGTTTTCCTTATGATCAAATAAATCAGGTTACCAAATACCAGAGCCATTCATTGTAGTATTCTGACTTGTTCTTGTCGAGAGCATTCTTGTACTAGTCGTTGTCGTACTCAAGAAGAAAATTATTAGAACAAAGTGTCATTTATTTGAGTAGGAAAGTACCTCATCCGTAAACTTCGAAATTCCCTGTCTGATAATCGGTTCGATCTTGATACTTCGGATGTCTTTTGGGTGGGTCGAGACTAACTCACACAGGTCCATCCACAATTGATGCTTACTTTAGAGCTCTCCCCTATTCATCCCTGTGGGAATCCCTCAAGCATATGCGTCAGTATCTCCCTTGTATTGGGACGCATATGTTTGAGGGATGTCTACAGGGATGGATTAGGGGAAGCCTTAATTACTCTTACTATTGATCGACACAAACTCTTCGTTATCCAGAATTTCGACCATACGCACCGCTGCCTCGTCAAAAATCTCTTGCTGCAGTAAGTAGGCGATAAAGGTTTCCACATGACCGGGTTCGAGCATGAGGTAGCGTCGGAACAGGTTGAGGCAGGTGGAACGAGGGACCTGATCTTCATAATGCTGAAAATTAAATACAACTTTGCAGCGAGGAAACAAAATGACAATAGATTATATTTTTGAGGTCGTGGTAGAAGTCGGGTGGTGGATATTCATATTGTGTACTAAAAAAAAGTAAGTACATATTCCTCCTTCAGCCAAGGTATTGCTTCGTTCCAAATTCTGTAGTGCTGATGGATCGGCAATGTCCTAATCGCCGCATCAATCGCTCTTCTAGTTCCGGTAATCCTCTTCTGCTCCATCAAAAACTGGATGTAATCGATCCAAATCCTAGGCATTTTGTGCAAAAAGACCAACGCCCTTTCGTAAATCGCGTTTACTTCCTCGTAAGCTTCTTCGAGGATGAAGTCGCGCTCGCCTAGGTTGGCGCGGCGCTCCTCAAGATAGCGCCGCCATATTTTGTACGAACGAGGGAGAGCCTGGTTGAAAATGGGGTTGGGAAAAAAGGGGTGGAAAGATTGATGGAAAGATTGATGGAGAGAAAGAGAGTGGCGAAAAACAGTGGAGGTTGAAGAAGAGCATGCAGATTATCTTGTTCATTTGAAACCACAAGAATCTGATGCTGATTACCTAAAGAACCTATAATGACGACCCTCCAGAAAAAGCAAGTTGTAAAAATTTGTACCTTAACCGCCCTTTCGTACATGAGCCATCTCGTCGATGCATCTGATTTCTTGATTGTATCCACGTAGGCGATCCAGATTTTGGGTCTAAAGGGGTCCATGCGAAGCTCTTCTTCGTAGGTTTCGTTGACCACAGCACTCAAAATCGTAGCCGCATTGGCGGCACTTGAGGCCAATAATGAGGTCATCTTCTTGCCGCCTGACCCAACGCTAAAGGTCTCGACTAGACCCAGAGCAGATGTGGACGACGAAGAACCTCCTTTCTGTAACGACATTTTGGTGGTCTTGCTATTTCTATGTATAACCGTAATTAGTAGAGGTATGAGTGTCAGTTACGTTGAATTCCGTGGTTGTCGTGTGTTCTTGGAAAGTAAAAACTGACGTCGTTCTTGTCGTTGTGGTACTTCTACTTATCACACATAGTGAGCTGCCATATTTAGATCGTGGCTTCTCAAAGAAGCATCTTCGTTAATCATGATCTATATTTATGAAGCTTGAAGGAGGTGGTCGGTTCGCTTCAAAAATCTTCATGGCTAAGGCCAAGTAATATAGTAATAATGGAGTATGAGTTAGATTGTAGGTTATTTAACTTCAATTACCTCGCAGTTAGAAGGACTAATCAAAAACGCACACACTGAACTAAGGCCAAGTAATACATCAAGATGAATTAACATTGTGACCACGACATGATCAATATCGATGTTTCTCCTGCCGCTGGATTATGAGAAGGTTATGACAACCTTTCAAGAAGGTCGTGCATAGTTGTCGTGAAACGTAAAATCAAAGACAACCAGCGTAGAGCTAGAACAAGTGATGTTGAAGAGAAATTCTGGATCATGATTCACTGGGGGAGTCCCTTTTTCACATCATATCAGGAATTGCCCCGAGCAGTGAGAAGGATCAGCAGCATCGTCGTTGTCGGCCCATTGATGTGTTTACGTCAGCGTGGAACGAAATGTAGTTCTTGATGGGGAATTCTGATTCACAATCATTCGAGTCCAATAATGGAGATAGAACAACGAATACAGATAATTCATTCCTCCTGAATCGCTCAGTTGTTGATTTGAACTTTCTTCCTTCTCGAGGACCACTAGTATTGGCCTTGTGACATCCTTATCCATTAACAGGATCGGTGGAAGCAGTTCGCTTCTGAACGGTCTTTTGATTTTTGTTCAAATTTTTCACATAGAGAATTTCGTTGCGGAGAATGAGGTCGATCAACATAGAAATCGACAGTTGTTTGCAGCAGAAAAATTCAAAAAAAAACTTAGATTTTGATGTTGATTCAAAAATTCGCTAACACATCATCTTCACACTATCTACGTGTCTACTAGCTACCTACTGCGTGGGAGGAACAGGCCGCAACGATTAACAAAAAATACCGGCTCCTTGTTGAACATCCAGTAGAACAATAAGAACTGTATGACAAATCTAATACATCAATTATGACTAGTGCCTAGTAATATTTTTCAAAAAATTCAAGAAATCAATGATCACTGTAGTTCTTGCGCAGCCAAATAAGAATTACAAATAGTACAAGAACGTCCATCTTGAAAAACACATCATGCTTAAATCTACTTCTGAGGTGGAGCAGGACAAGGATCATAATTTTCAGCATCTCACACTTCTTAGTGATCATCTGTAAGCGTTCCCAGGAACATTGTGAGCATGGCATCTTCTGGCTTTTCGGTTGGAAAGGTGTCACGAATTTCGTCGAGTCCGGGAAAGTGCGTCGAATCCGCGGTTCGTCCAATTATCACGTGGCTCCCCTGTCGAACAAGTATGCTCTCCCCATTTCCGCCATCGTACTTGCGACTGAACTCATCTTCGCGTTCCGAAAAAGGCACAATTTCGATTTTGATTTTGCGGATCTTTCCTGCAATTTCTAGCAACCTGAAAACGGCCAATCGGCGATTGTCCAGAGACCACATTTTTCCGTCTTTGCGGACGACCGTGATCATCGGAATATCGTTCTTCTCAATGTCCTTTCTTGCGAGCTCCAGTGCGGTGGAGAGAAGGCTTTTACCGTCTTGGAACTGCTGGATGTGAAAATAGTCATAGAAGAGAAAAATTACATATCAACGGCCCTACAAGTCTTGATATGGAATCGATGAAGAGTACTTGCGTCGTGATCATCTTCAGTTGTACAACTATAATAATTGGTACCTCCATGATAAGTGATCACGACGTGAGCAAAATGTCAAAGAAAAGATGTACTACGTAGAGTCAACATAATATTAAATCTATTATTTTCATCATTTAGAAGTACCGATGCCTTGATGCTGTCTTGTGTGAAGTTGATGTCGCTGGCAAAAACACGTGTGTACTCGCGATTTGACAGCGGTGTTGGAATATTTGCTACGTCCAATGTGATTGTCGTTGACATCACTGGCTGGTACCGACGGCGAGCGTTACTCCACGTCTTCCACTCACGACTGCAGAAAGGCCCGCACACATGATGCGCGCAAAAATTCTCTGTCTTAGAATGCTGTGCTTCTTTTTTCATCATGTTGACGAACATTGTCTAGTAAGTCTGAGACGAACGATGCTTAAAGAACCGTTGGTGAAAAGACGCGGCTATATGAACTAAGTCCTCAAGCAGCATCCTCCATAACGATTCCCGGCAGTCCCAGATCCGTGTTGCCGTACTTCTTTTCGGCGCTCATCAGCACAACATCCGACAACACGTAGTCGTTGCCACTACGGCCACCTTGCAGGTCACACAGCAGCTCGCGGCCATCAGACAGGTGGTAGCTGAAGTGGCTCAGGGCCTGTGCCACTTCAGCGGACGCATCGGCGGCTCCAGAGTTGGAGTTGAATTTTTCGAAGTTCGATACATAGGGCTCCACCAGAAAGCGTTGGCCTTTGTTGGGCCCCTCGTTTGTCTGGGTCCAGACCGATGGCACATTCACTTTGATCGAGAACTTGCCTGCGTACTGCGGCAGACTTTTTCTAACATACTCGTGGAACTCCCCGATGTAGGGGAGTGCGGCCTTCGCATTCTTGACATCGTCGAGAAAGCAGTCACTGCTGGACGTGGTTCCCGACTTGAGAAACTTCGCCACACACGGTTTGCCATTGTCGTAATCCCCCTTCTTCACAACCTTGTACTTTCCCTCGCCAACCGTCTGCTCTTCGTAGACCTCGTTCTGGTTGTCCGAGTTCAAATTGGCGTACAACTTCTCGATCTCCTTCGCCTGATCGTCAGGGCTTGTTGTAGGCGAGTCCGTCATCTTGATGGTCGTATCTATTTGTAGATTCTTGTGTTGAACAATTCTTTTGGTTCTTTGATCTTGAACTTGATGTAGTTCTGAAATATTTAAATTACTTTGATGTAGTTCTGAAATATAATTTCTATTCTTACAGCGCCTAGGCCTAGAAACAGTGGTAGTCTTCGTAGTTGTACAATCAAACTTGGGTCATTGAATGATCGTGGTCTATCATTTCTTCAGTCTAGAAATTCAGCTCCTGTCGGCATAATTTCAAGACTGATTTTTGTTTCTTGCAGCTGTCGTACTTGAAGATCATCACAATCGTGCTTCACCCGCGGCGAATAAACATAGGACTTCGTCATGTCGGGTCTCTTTTTCTACTTTCTTTGACACTTCTACTTGAGTTCGAACAAGGTAAAGTCACCTTTCTTGCGCGTGAGCGCGCGGGCGAAGCTAGAAAGAGGCTACACCGAGCACCTTCACGACCCGTCGCAGAAGTTGTTCTTTCTTCATTCATTATTTTTCAAAAAAACGTGCGCGTCAAGCGTGGGAGAATGAAGCTTCTCAAAAAATCTTGCACGATACAACATATTACGGAAACTCCTGATATTATCATGCGGAAAATCAACTCTCTTCGAATCAAAGAAAACGACGGGAAGATAAGCGTTTCAAATATTTAATACACGCTGACAACTGAAGCGTCAACTTCATCTTGTTGCCAGCGTCGTCGGAAAATAATGATGACTGGATTAGAAAAGTCGTCTAATAAAAACCGTCCGCCCGCCGGAAGGCTGCTCCGCCATGGCTGTTAACAGCCAGCCAAACGCAAAAAAAAAATTGGGCTATTGGAGCGCTATTTGATTGTTATTAAAATGCGTGCCGTAATTCTGTAATTAAATTCAAAAACACGAAAACGACGAGAACGGGGGCGGTGATTCAACTGCTAAAAAGATCAGTGTTCAATCTTTTGTTTAACGCCCCGACGCAAAATGTTGGAACCGAGATGACTCGTTCGCTTTTTATAGTGCTCATCTTTTGTTTTATCGCTGTCTCCCCGCAGGCCTTTGTATTTTATCCAGCAGTTATAAACAGCCAACAAAGCGCTTGGGTTACTGCTTCCACACTCAATTTTCACGGATGTACCCTACAAGTTCATGAAAAGGAGGTTTGTTAGTTTCTGCTCGATCAAGGTTGTGGCCTTGACCGTGAAAATCGGAGTGGAATTTTCTCCGTTGAAGTAAGTAAACTATCAGCACTTTTTTCAAAGGATTGCATGCCACTTAAAAACAGAACTTATTACACTTGCTTTCTTGTACCTTTTATTTATGCTCGATCTAACTGCTGAGCAGGAGGCGTCTTCGTTTTTGTCCTACACATTGTATCACGTTGCTCTTCATGCGGTCTTGATGTGGTGGAGACCGGAGAAGATCCACTTCTACCACTAGCACCATGGTCCTCTCCTCTTGCTCTTTCTCCTTGTAAAATATCATCAAGGTCATCTGCCAGAAAGCAGTCAGGGTCAAGGGCCAATGGTGAAGATGCTGCTAGCCGTACAGTTGTCGTCGATGCTGCTAGCGGTGCTGTTGATGCTGGTAGTGGTTGTACTCGTGTAGTACTTGAAGATGATGAAGAAGATGGCGCTACTTCTAGTACCGGAGTTCTACATCCATCTTCAGTTGGCGCTCTTCGTCCTTGTGGTTGTGCTTAGCAGGAAGATCTTCATAAGCACCAGGAGAGATGAATGGAACAGGTCGTGTAGAAGGAGGAGGATAATAAATAAGGAACTACTTCAAGATCAACATCTACTACACCTTCGAACAAACTGTTAATCGACATTTCCTCTCCTCCAGCAACTACATGTGAAGAAGGTTGACGCGCAATATGTTCTTGATGTGACGCATCGCTTCCCGTCGACTGTAGTACTTGGCCCCCCCGCCGTGCACGACCAGAATGATATGAATATGTTTCCGGCGACGGAGGTAACAATGTCGCTTCGTCGTGTCTTGAAAGAAGTGGTCGTGACTCATCTGCTTCGGAAGATGATGATGACCCAGAGGACCCATCTTCTGACGAGGCGAAAGAGAATTCTGAATCCTCCGCCCAAACCCCATGCGATCTCGCACCACATATAATTTGTAGTTTTGGATGTAACTCTTCGCGTTGTTCATCATGGTCCCTTGCAGGTCTAGTCGTGCTGTTGAAAACAGAAGATTCTTGCGCAGCACTTGCAGAAGATGTTCGCCTGGAGAGTGGAGACACGGTCGCGCTTCCATCGTCGTCCTCGTCGTCATCATTCATCGATCCCGTTCCCGTTAACATAGTCTTCAAGAATGCTCCTCGTCCTCGCGGTTGATTACTCTGCTGGTGTACTTCACCACCCAATGCCACTCTTGAGCCAGAGGATTCGCTCATCTTCGGAGCTCCTGCTCCGCGAACTACACCACGAGGCAGCTGTAGTATGGGTCCAAGAGGTACTAGTACAGGAGAAGATTGCACAGCCGAGGGAGGTGGTTGTAGTACAGAAGGTTGAGAAGAAGGTTGCGCAGACGAGTGCTGAGGTGGTTGTAGTGCAGAAGGTTGGGAAGACCGTTGAAGCTCCTGTACAGAGTGAGGTGTAGTTAGTACAGAAGCAGGCTGTACCACGTCAGAGTCCTGCCCTTGTGAAGAGAGGGAACGAGGATGGTCTTCTTTTCCTCCACCAAAATAACTGTAAGAGCCACAACGTAAAGATGAAGAAGCTGCGGGACTTGATGGCATAGTAGTACAACCATATGGAGGACGAGGAGCACCTCCAGGAGTACCAAATGGAGCACCTCCTGATGCCACTACTGTAGGATCCATGGCCCATGGTCCTCTCTGGTGGAGATGGTCAACATGATGATATTTATAGAAGTAATCATGTTCATCTTCGTAGTTGCGGATCGTATCATTATACGGAAGTCCTCGCACAGGATAAGTAAACGGTGAATGCAGAGGCTCGGCTTGCTCCTGTTGTACATCTGGTGAAGATGCAGTCCTCGTCTTCGTTGCATTCTGTACTTGTTGTACTGCTCCTCTGAGTACTTCTGTTTGATCCACTGCACTCAAAAATCTCCCGAATGTTGTAGCTCCTTCATCTGCTGCTGTATTCTTCGACGTCTTCATCGCATTCTGTACTCCTCCGAGTACGACATCAACATCGGCCGACGTAGCTGTACTACTAGGTGGTCTAAAAATGGCAACAGGACTTTCGGAGACTCCTGTAGGTGGTCTCGCACCAGTCGCAACAAGAACGCCGCTTCTCTCCTGTAGATCATGATCTGATGGTCTCGCATCAACTACGTCACCGCTTGTTCTCTCGTGTAGAGTGGCAAGATACTCACTCTCGCGCCTCTCGAACCAGTCAGCAGAGGAAGGGAAAGATTCAACATTACCCGTCTCCAGTGCCCCCTGTTCAGCTGGGATTGACGCCGGGATTGAGGATGAAGCGGCGACCAATAGAGTTTGTTGTAGTTGGCAGCGCCGGCTCCTGGTGCGAACAGAAGTACTATTAGTATTACTAGAACCACTAGTACTTGTTGTGAACACAGAAGATGATAGAAATACTTGCACAGATATGAGAAACATGATCAGTGTTTTCCAAAAACATCGGCCGGAAGATAAAAAGGACTGGAGCGCCAATGAAGACCGTGCAACTGCACATGCGCTCCCCGTTTTCCTCGTACAACTACTGGAGGGACCCGCCATTTTTCTGATTGTTTCTAATATCGAACAACTAAGAATTTAGTTGTAATGGTAATTCGTTATCAATTTGAGTTTTTTACTTTATTTTCTCCTATTATGGTTGTTGAAACAGATACTGTGTATGCAAAGTGTCAGTTTTGGACCAAAGGCCTCGGTTTTCATTCTTATTCGGAAAAGATACTTTGGATCTTATATGAAAATCATGCGGAACACAATCTCAAATGACTCTCTCGCCCGCGAAGTCCGCGTATTTCTGCGTCAATGTTGATCATCATTTTTACCTCGAAGGTCGTTATGATGTCCTACAGTCACGACGAGATTCAAAGAATTCAAAAAAATTGTTTTTCATTATTCTCAACGCGTCCATGAAATGATATTCAGTGGGGCTGGGGGTCATCAACGTAGAAGCCGTACTAGAAGCACTTCAAACCTAGCACAAATAGAATGCTGCATTCATTTGGTGTTCTGTTTTCCTCCTATTTCCACGATTTTGGCTAAGTGGGCTAGAGCATGGTCAGCACGTAATGCCATTTGGTGGCTCGACTCAAATAAGCGCAACGGCGGCAAAAGCTCTCCAGATACGACCCGGACACCCTAGAGATTAGACGAGGACGCTCAAGAACAAGAGGTGGAAGGACGACTTTCAAATATTTATATTATTGGTGTAAATATTATACGGGAGCGGAACTTACACCTTCACCTGCTGTTGAAATACCGGCTAAGCAAGTCCACATGCCAATGATAAATAACTATAAATCCATGCCCATAACCATCGGATATTTACTTACGCCGCCCAATTCCTGTGCCCCTGCTGTCCATAGTGGTAATTGTGTCTCTGCTGTTCGGCGAAAAGCTGCTATCATAGAACCTGTTACCGACAGGAGGTAATCGATGCGCGCCAGAGCAAAACGGACCTCATGTCCAAGTTCTTCAAGGATTTGCTCTTGATCATGGTCTTGGAGCTCATGCTGTCCTAGAGGAAGTGCAGCTGGTTTCTCTTCAGAAGTTGTTGGTGGACCTTCCTCTTCAGGTGTTGTGTGTGTTTGCTCACGGGCAGTAGGGCCAGACGAGGATGATGATGAAGAAGAAATAAAGGAGAGCTGGTTCAGAAGATGTTGATCCTCGTTTGAAGATACAACTAGTTGATGTACAGGAAGAACACGAAGAACATGTTCTTCGTCTGATGTTGTACTACTATCTGGTCTTTTACTATTCGTTTCTTCAGCTCTGGAAGAAGACGGACAATCGACGCGGTCATCATCATTTCTTGGCGGACTATTCAGAGACTCAAAAGCAAGCATGAGAACCTCCCTATTCGACATCGCGTCCTCCTTCTGCGAGAGACGAGGCTCATACTCATCTCCATCATGAGAAGACGCTGGCGCACTACTACTTGAAGAGGACGACACGACATCATGTTGACTCCCGTTGCCAGCTGCTAAAGCTGCCACCCTTTGGCGCACGCGCTCGACTATGGCACGAGCCTTTTCTTCAGGCAGTGCCGCGCTCTTATCTCGGAGCAGTAATGCTGTGTTGATTCGCTGACACTTTTCGCGAAGAAGAGTGTCCGAATCTGATAACTCTGAACATGAAGAAGAAGATGCACTAGAAGTTGCGGCCTCGTCGTAGGGGGACTCTTCTTGTTTGTTTGTTCCGCGTCGTGTATCATCTTTATTTGCGGCCTGACCTTCCTCTGCTGCATTTTTTACTATCCCACCTCTACCTTGATGACTATGAAAGAACAACCCACTGATTGAGAACAGAAGTCTAATTCAGGAACAATATCAATCTATCTGTAAAAAAAAATTATAGGGTCGTGCCCAAAGAATCGTCCTAAAAAATGTACGTTTTATCAAATGTTTACAACACATTCCCGGTCGTCGACTTCACCTCTCAATCAGAGTTTCAGCATACACATTCATAGAGTGCTGGTCTGGTTCCATAGAATGCTCATCGAGTAGCATTTGGAGGATGACTTTTTGAGCCAATCTTCGCACCAATTCCCCTTCCAGTTTGATCAGGTCACGGCCTGCCGCTGCTCTTTCATCTTCTTCTTCGTGATCTTCTGGAGGACCTTGACTACGATCATGCCCTGTTGTAGGTCGTTGATGAACAAGATGATCATGTTGGATTACATGTTTTACTTTTGCGTTTGCCGCCTCACGACATATGCCGTCAACTGAACTACAAGAAGAGCAAGAGCTTTGTGCCTTTCCAGACCTGTTTTCTTGCACTAGAAGTGCCTCAACAGTTTCAGAACTAGCTGTACTACTTGCAGAAGTTGTGCTTGCTATTTGATGTTCTTGCGACAGTACTACCACTCGAGAACTACAGCTACTCGTGGTCCTCGTTGTACAACTACCACATGCAGCAGAGCTAGTAGAATTAGTAGTTCTTTTCTCGCCACAAGTGCCAGCTTGCGGAGGAAACTTGTTCTTCAAAAGGACTCTTGCCCTTAGCTTCTTCGTCAGACGTGGCAACGGACCCACCGCACTTAGGGTCACTTCCCGCAGCAAAGGAGTAAACGAATCCAACTGACCCCTCAGAGCAACCGCTGCTTCTGCAAACTGCGAAAACATCAAAATTGTGGGTGGTTTGTACGGAGGTGGTCTTTGTTCATCGGCTCCAAGAACGGAAGGATCCTGAATTAGAACTAAGAGAAGTTGATTTCCATATTTGAGACCACACATCCGAGGAGGACCTTTTTCCCCTTGAAAACGGGCTCAAGATCATGCCTGTGAAGATGATGGATTTCTTCTAGGCTTAACTGAAGTACCCTCGTCTCGAACACACCATGAGGATCAGCTGAGTCTCTTTCTTCACCACCTCCATCTTGATCTCCTGCTTCTCCGCCGTTACCATTACGTTCTGCCTCCTTAGGATAGTGAAGATCATTCAACGCCTTCAGCGTTTTTTGAGCAGCTTTTTTCACGCGAGGATGGAAGTAATTCCTCCAAAAATCCGAACAGAAACAGGCATGTGCGAAAGCTCGGTTCGTCAGCGACACATTGGGAATGTCCTTCACCTCCAAGAAGGCGAAGATGTACTCCAAGGGAACATGAAGCGCAACTTCGTCGAAGAAATTCGGGTAGCTGTTGTTGTTGTTGATGGTGTTGGTGGTAGTTGGCATCTTGAAGAAGTTGTTGTTTATTGGTCATCTTGTTCGTCATGGATGATGGACTTGCGGTTGAGGCGGCATCATCTACAACTAGAAGCTGCACAACCTCGTCCTTTGGTTTAGCATCGTCGGCATTCTTGAGTCCCTCAGGAATGTGTTTTTTTGGAATTTTGTTTGGGAAGATACCGATTTGGGAGATAATTCAACTCGGAAACTCCTGCTGGCTCTGAAAAACACAAGTACACCAGAAGATGGACTTCTTTTGCACATGATAACCGGTTTTCTCAGTTTGTTAATTTTTTTTTCAAAGTCTTCGGCCGAAGGACCAGCGCACCAGCTGGGGTGGGCGCAGAGAAGGCTTACATTTCACAGACGATCCAGTTTTTGCGTCACACACCAACTGAAAACGTCGGATCTTCAATCCTGCGTATTTTATTTAGCTTTGTTCTTTGATATCAGAAGATATCTTCAAATGCATATGATCAAGTAGATGAAACAAACATTGTCACGGTCACCCCCTCGTCATCCTTGACATTATCAATGTTCCGGTAAGGCTAACGCTAAGGGTCGGAAGATGAACAAGTGAAAATAATGGCATGCTCAACTTGAGGTAACTACGATAGAACATCTCTAATACACCTACCCTACAGCATCACCAAGAAGGGAAACTAGGTTTCATAAATAACCCATAACCATAAGGGTAAGGAAAATGGGCGTGCTCATAAAATAAATTCAGTTGATGCACATCATGATTTGTGCGGAGATGGCCATCATTCTAAGATCATTTTTGAGTGAAGGTTCTTTAACTATGGACCAGTTCATCTCTCGTCAATCTATTATTAAGCTATAATTTTTCATCTTTCTAAGGTGCAAAAACTGTAACGCGCGCGCGCGCGTTACGCGCGCGGGTTACGCGCGCGCGCGCGTTACGCGCGCGCGTTATAACGCGTTACGCGCGCGCGTTATAACGCGTTACGCGCGCGCGCGTTACGCGCGAAATAAGGCGCGCGCGTTACATGCGCGCGGCGCGCGCGCGTAACGCGAGCGTAACGCGCGCGTAACGCGCGCGCGGGGGGGGTGCACTCGCGACCGGGCTCGCCGGGGCGGGGCCGGCGCGGGCTCGCCGGGGC